GCTTAGATATCTTAGATGCGGCGTAATTTAATAACATTCTATTATTCCTTAAGCCATTACTAGGCGATTTCTAACTAATGTAACACACTACCGCTCGAACTCGCCTCCTTAGATACTAGGGTTGTAACTTGGCCTATTCTAGAGCGCCCCGTCCCTAATGGGCGCAAACTAGCATGAATAGTGCCTAACTATTCTTGAGAATTATCAGATAGAGGTAACTAAGTCGGATGAGGAGATCCTGTATCTAATAGCGCGTGGTTATCCAATTCCCCACTATGGGATTCCGTTGAGCGGAGGTTATAGGCCATTATTGGACAGTGTTGTCGTGAAGGACTAAACTGCTCAAGAAAAGGGGTGAGCGATTCGAATGTCAGAGGTATGGGGTGAACAGTGTAGCCTTGACTTCAACAGTGGAGAGATAGTAGCATTTAGGTGTAGGATAGACGAATCGCTGACGGGCTCTACCCGCCAGCTCCTAGTGCTATATAGTCCAAGTCATATGACCTCAGGGTGAGCAGCCTGGTCCATAGTGGGGGAGGTCTGACAACTGTGTAATTACGTAGTATCACTATAAAAGAGTTAAGCACTTAACGCCATGCTTGTTAGCTATTTTTATATAAGAGAATTTATTACTAGGATCTAGTGAGTTCATCTCTACAACCGCATCGTCAATTAGAGCCATATTGGTGGAGTTGTGTGCTGTCCAAGTTTGACATGTTTTCGGGCCGAGCGTGCCTCACGCGAATCCATACATCACGCGCACGGACACGTTACAGCTACATCGGTCCACCTCGTCCAGTAGCGCCCAGGTCTCTGACAAATCGTCTTGCGATCCGTTGGCACGGCCGCGTGCATGTCCGACTGATAAAAGATCAAATAAAGCCTCCGTCGCCCTCTTTGCCTAACATGAGCATGATTCTTTCTATGCTGTACCTTTTTATGCTTGATCTTTGTGTGCTAGCAGTGCGACAGTCCTTCAGGTGTTCGATCCGGCGACCACGGCGGTATGTGTAGATAGAAGAATCAGTCACCTGTGCATTTGCTTCACTACTTTCATGCGCCTTGAGAATGGACTTGAGCTTGATGGTTGCCTGACCCGGCAAGAGCGGGCTGGACATGAGGGATCAGGCAGGGTAGGGTTGAGCGGCGTAGTGGATCGCTTTGCATCTCTGCTCGACTGCGGCAACTGACGATGACGGCGTAGGCGAAGATAAAGTCTTCAATAAACAAAACTCCTTATGCAGATACCAGCGAAGACACATGACAGCTTTCTCTAGGAGTTTGTCCGCTATTCAAAACCCACCGGCGTGAAGGAGCCCTCTCTTATACATACTTGCGCGCCCACATCCGACCCGGGCCAAAGTAGAGGGGATTTTTCTGGCGGCAAATGAATATTTTGGTACTTGGCATTTTTCATCCATGTCAGAACAGATCTGACCGGAGACGGTGCACTCCTATTAAATCACACCAGCCGCAGCTTCTGACCTAGGATGAGAAGCAGCCATCGGATCGCGTGCCACAGCGTTATCAGTTTCGAATCGAGGCAAAAGGAGGCAATGACCTTGGCGAACCACTGTTGAACGGCTCCGAACCTGAGAACAGCCTTTTCCCACTGGTAAGGAGTCTGCTTCCCCTCAATCACCTAACACCTTAGAAGCTAACTTAATTTAGCCTCAAATTAAGCTGGTTATACTAAGGAATATATATAATAGTTCATTCCTCACTTTATTCGTTATGAATAATAATTACTAACCTAATTCGGTAGGTCCTTAGTACCTTACGATACATTAGCCTCTAACCTAAGATACGGTAGTATTACTAGCCAGTGACTAAGAAATTGGAATAAGGGTAGAGTGTATTTACGAATCTAGCTCTAGAGTATATCGAATACGCATTTCTTAAGCAGAGGTCATAGAGGAAGAAGATAGACGAACTTGGCATGGCTGAAGTAGTGGAATGATGTTGTGGATTGGCTATGTCTTGAGGACACTAAAGGACGATTCAACCCGTGGCTAAACACAGCGTTTCAATCTATATGCTTTAGGGACATCCATAGCCAGGACGAGTTGAGACATACACGGAATCAGAGTCTACCCCCCTATGCCTTTCCTATCTGTGTTCTTCCTCATCCTCTCTCTCCTCCATCCCGGACCCCAATACCAGTGCACTACCGCTAGTGGCACAACCCCAATCGTCACTAGCCCGAGGCCCAAAAATGCGGTTCCAACACCCATCGCCGCAATCATTTGCTCAATGAACGCAACACCACCTGCACCCATAGAACATCTTATAAGATTGTTAATTGCAGTACTTGAAGCACCCTTTCCAGGACATAGATCAGACACTATAGTCTGATTAACAGCAAAGATTGCGTTTGAGGTTGCGGCAATCAAAAATTGCAGTGTTAGGGGAACCGTAATCCAGCCTGGTCTCGACACGAGGCGGGGGAAAGATAGAGAGAAGCCGTAGAGACAAGTACTCAGGACGAATATTACGATAATCCATTTCGTATGTCGTAGACGCGCATGTTCGATGGGAAAATCTGCTGGGATAGCCATCTTAGTGAGCTTGTAGTCGGCAGGTAGATTGTGGGTTTCTTTGTATTTGAGTTCTGTCTCCACGTAGGACTTGTTCATTAAGTTTCCAATGATCGTGGATCCGACAATGGTACCAAAGCCGTTGGGGAGAAATGCAAGGCCGAGTAGGAGTTCGTTAAGACGAAAGGCTTGCTTAAAGAGGCTAGTTGTGCTAGCCGTTACCATACTCCAGATAGCGTAAACCGTGCCGCCAAAAATAAGGCTAGACAAGATGTCTTTCTCTTGAAGCAGTAGGAGGGGCTCAATAAAGGTCCTTATGGTAACTTCCTTCCGACTGTAGCTGTCATCGCGATCGGTAATGTAGGGCGCCTCTTTCCAAATTCTACGGATCAAGGGTTGGTGAATCCCGCTGAGGCGTAGTGAGCCATTCCCGGCAATGCTACGGAGGGTCTCGGGGAGGACGATAATAAGGGCGATGAGGACAAGAGATGAAATTATCAAGAGGAAAACGAAGATAGATCTATCATTACAGTAAGCATGTGGACAATTAAGCCAAATCTTAACGTACCTAAACCCAAAAAAGTTCGCCAAAATCCCACCAAGGACAGGGCCAATTGCTATACTGAAGTTTCTTACTATAAGTAATTAGTTTTTGATCTATTAACGTAAGAACTATCCGCCATCACCTCCAAGGAGAATTCCTAGTATAGAAAAGCAGATTAAGGCAGAGGGCAGAATTAAGGCAAACTTACTGGCTTGGTAGAAGCTGATGAACCCACCCCTCTCTGCAGGTGGTGTGATGTCTTGAATCACCCCATTTCCTGCACAAGTCAGTCCTCGACTGCGACTTAGGAAAACTACATACCAATGCTGACGGTCGAAGCACTCCCTGCAGCTTGTAGGCCTCTGAAAATCAACAGCACCGCAAAGTTGGGAGAGAAGCTCAAGCCAATATTCGCGATGATGTACAGGACGAAAGAGTAGATATATATCGGTCTTCTCCCTATTGTATCTGACAGTGACCCCCAGAAAAGTGGTGAGATCCCTTGGATGATGAGATACGACGTAATAGTCAAGGAAACTATGTTGAGGCCAATTTTCAAGTCCTAGTCTAGATTAGAAACTATTTTTTTTTTCACTACCACCAGTTAAAGTCCACTGGGTTTGATAAGCTGATTTGTGCAGTGGAGAGTGGGATTGAATTCATCAGAGGCGACAAAAGACCAAATAAAATATGTGATCCTTACCTTGGAAATAGCGTCAATTGCCGGAAAGAAGATGTTTGACGACAGCCCCGAGAACAGTCCCGCAACCCCAATCATCGCAACCACACACCACTTCTCCCTTTTTTCAAAGATATTATATACTTCCTCTTTCAAAACCTCTCCACCTGGCATTGCGCCTTTCGTCTCACTGGGTGGGCTCGCTGTCCAGTCTTGTTGGTAGTTCCACGATGACTCTCTAGGGCTGTCACTTCCAGATCTTTGGGGACGCGTCCACATCGTGCCGTCATCATTGTAAGCATCGGCGTCGAATTGTTTCCCAACGGCAAAGACTTGCAAGCTGGTTCCTGTAACGTAGATGCCGTTCCCAAGTTCGCGCCATCCTTCGAGGGTGGTAAAGCGGCGGGATATTTGGGTTGTCTTGATTCCCCAAGAATAGGTGGATGACATGGTAAAATCTCGAAAGTAATTGGTATCGTGATGTGAAAGGTGCGTGTCAAAAACCTGGGGTGAAGAGGGTGGCACTAGAGTGCCGATAGATTGAAGGTGCTGCTCGAAAGCCATTGTAGCCCGAACCATAGCGGAAATAGACGAACCGTGCACTGTGCATCGCCTTTGTGATGGTCGGACATGTTGAGAGGTGAGGAAACATGTTGTGTTTCCGTTTCGTAGACTAAAAGTTGACCGATGCGTACCATCGCCAATGAGATCAGAAGCATTACCAACGCAAAACTTGCCGCATCCAATGATGTTAGACGAATTGGACTGCCTCATACAGGTTCAAGGACGCTATGAGGCAATGCAATCCCCGAAAATGACCCAAGGGAGCTTGTGGTTACTCCTTCCATTGGTTGGGGAACCGACCTACCTGTACTATACCGCATTAGGTAGTCGGTGAATTCAACATGAGACGGTCCCCTTTGATCAGTGCTCCCATATGCGGACCACTTATGGTAATATGGCATACGCTATATGCATTCTGAATAAGCCTGGCCAGGAATTTTTACGTTCCGACAAGCCTTGCCAGGAGTGCTTACGTGTCGACAAGCCTTGCCAGGAATGCTAAAGTTCCGAACAAACCTTGCTAACACGCCCGTATGACCATTCAACGATGTTTCATGGCGCTTCATTCCAAAACCTTACGCGGCCCGCCACATTTGATCGCTTCTACACATTCTTCCAAACGGTTGGATAACTTTCTCGTCGGCCATATGCCCATCTTTTCACATAATCAGATACTGTATTCCTGATATGCTTTCGAATTCGCGGCGAAGGGCTCCAGCACCCCCTCCAATACATATTCCCGAAGTCAGGCACAGTCGGGATGGTGGAGAGAAGCTTCAGATTGTCACCCCAGCGATAACGCCAGCACCGCCTACGTCTCCTCTCTCGAAGGCAATTCCAGCTGTTGGGCCATTTCCTCAATCGACGACCACTTTGCCCACAAAACAATCCACGTCCCTCAGACCATCGTCTCCTACCTCACAAACAGCGATAGTAGCTAGTACTACGAGGCGATTGTCTACGTTCACAACAACTTCGAACCCACGATCCCCTACCAGAACATCTTTCGTAACCATAACCCAAACCCAAACCCAAAGTCTTTTCTCCCCTAAAGATGAAGGCGAAAAGTCTCCAAAGGACACAAGCACAATCTTGGTATCTGTATCTGGGGCCCTACAGTTAGTATTATCAATCCACCATGCTATTGCAAAAGTCTACTTTTAAGTGGTGATCAACTACGGCCAAAAAATATAGAAGTTGCGCCAGTTCTCTTGTCTTGTAGGAGCCTCGCTAACCCTGATTGTCCCATTTTACAGATTCGTCACGGTTACCGCTAGACCTACTGGATCAACAGGAACGACATTGCCATTAACAGGCACGACACAGAACGTCACAGGTGGTGCGAATCTGCTTCCACCAGGTGCTATCGCTCCGCTGGTCGGCTTAAGCGTTATTGGTAAGTGTCATTTCCTGTGTAACACCTGCGCAAGGAAACACTGCATATGACAATGGGTCGCTGATTCCTCACAACTCATAGCTGGTGTTTCCACGATTTTCACGATAATTGTCGTTCTTTGGAGACGCAGGAAGAAGAAATTAGAGAAGAAAGCGGGGGACCTAAAGGTGTGTTCTTCTAGCTACTTGTATAAGATATAATATTTGTTGCTGACGTTTTGTGTAGCATGCCAAATTGGAGGGAATCGATGACGGGTTCAGAGCAATACACGAAACACCGCCCATCCTTTCAAGAAGAAAAATATAGATTCTTAGTGACCAGACAAGCTAAAAGTCTGTTTGCAGTCTTTTAAAAACAATTTAACCAAATACTCTACACTTACGTTTATTGATATCAAGAATTACACTAATGTGGTTTAAAGCAAAAATCTAGTATCCATACATTCCACCAAATAGCTACCGTCGCTAGGAGCGATGAATACATTCACTGTTTCTCATAAGTAAGCTCACCGCGTCTGTCCGATTCCTCCAAACATTAATGCTCCCTCCGCTCGATCTTCTAGGTCTCGCTATAGTTAGTGCAATGTGACTTCTTGTTCCTGGATAGAAGATCACTCTTTTGAGGCTCGGGACAGGTTCTTTCCGTTGCTCGGTTCCTACAACTTTTCTTAGTTCCACTCCATTCTTAGCATGTCCAAAAATAGTTCAAATACGAAGTGTGACGGTGAACCATGTGACTCCTGGAAGCTGTTTCATAATCAAACTCTGTTGCAAACACGTTATCTAGGTTCTTAGACTGGCTTAAGCCTAAACCTATTGGAAGCGCAGCCAGCGTTATACTGAAACGCGTGCTTGCCGTAGCGCCCTGTAAACACTCTTTCGAATCCATGCCAGTAGCAAAAGCTAGGTTTCAGGACATTAGAGTTGATATATACAGTACTAAGATCTCGGGCCGAATATTTGATTCAATCAGTTTCGTGTAGCGAATGGATCGAACGTGTGATGATAAGAATGAGCAAACGCCCGCTCTAAGATATTTTTCACGCTGGTCTATCATACACGACAGCCCTAGCCTTTCACCTTATATGGATCAGCTGACTACATGCCGTGGTTGTTCGATTATGGGATATATGTTCTTCCTTGCTTCAGTACTGGCACAAGGCGCTTTTGGGTTTGCAGAGTCATCTAGACCATGTCCAACACAAGTAGCATTACAGAGCCCAACATATTCTGCTGTTCCATCTACTTCTTCCAGCGCAGATTCTGGATGTGGTAGTGAGGCGATTCCTGGCTCTGACTTGGCGAACTTTGGACAAACAGTTAATATCCGTGGTTTGGTAAGAATGCCCATGGCCAAGAAAAATCGTGTTCTCTAATATAGACGCAGATGGAGAGAACGGACCAAGACTTTGTAGACGGACTCGCACTAGATTTGTTTTCACCGTCTAGTCGCACGCTCGTCGTGAATCAAAATACATCACCTCTCCCTGGAAGCTTCGTGAGCGGTAGTTCTGGCGCTCCCTTCGTCGCGCTTTCGAATTACTCATGGGTAATCAAGCTGAACGAGACTGCGAACGATCTCATCGCCAAAGTCGAGCTTCCTTACGACCCTATCGCGCTTCAAAGAATCGGTATAGACCAAGGCAACACATATGTCGGAATGCTGGCAGCAGATAAGAAGTCATGGATCGTATCAGAATCGCAACGCAATGTTCACGTGTAGGTCTGCAGCGAGAATTCGGCCATGTCGTAGCGCTAAACTCGACGCAGGTCTGAAAACAAAACACGAATAGTTAAAATGACTTCACTTGACGGAGAGTACATGCTTCTTGGCCGGCAAACGGAGGATATCTCCAATGTATTCGTGCAGTACGGCCAAGGGGCCACTCGAGCAGTGAACTTAACGGGAGGCACAGGCAATCAAGAGGCTGAATTTATCGACGGCCTACGTTTATCTGTCGAGTCTGATCAAGCGTTTACCTTGAACATTGACATCAAAAACGGGATTCCACCACACATATTGTCCACCAATGTTTCAGCTCTCAGTAAGAACTACCAAATCAACTTCATTACGTTAAGATATTGATTTTTTGTTCCAGATTCGTTTTCCTGGATTATAAATACTAGTATACCCACACAGGAACTCAAGAATGCTGAGCTACGGGTTCCATGTACGTTCTCCCTACACTAGAAGTTCGGGTACCTTGCTTATTCCATTGATTAGTCAATCGCGCCATGTTAGCGGCTAAGACGATTAACGCCACAAATGCTGAGAAGCGGCTTGCAGTGGCGAAACGATCCCTCAATGCAACCTCCGAATTGTTCACGCCGCTATCATCCGAGTTCCAAGAGATAGAAGCTTCAGAAGACCGCATTAAGGTATCTGGTCTCAAGCAATTAGATGGACAGTACATTTTACTTTTAAGCTAAGCTTATATTAACGAATCATCTCTTTGTGTACTATTTGTATCTTTACAATCTCTCATTCTAACGTTTAATATCATCTCGTCCCCCCTTCTAGTTGATTCTTACCATGTCATCATGTCATTCTTAGTTCATTTCATGCTTAATAAATAATTCAAGCATTCCAAGGCATGCCGGCCACTACAGATGCCATCCCCAAATCAGTCCCTGGTAGCTAGGGCATCTATAATTCACGATCTGGTTGCTATTGCTCTTCTACTCATGAGAAATGGAGAGCAGCGAAAAACATCATCTTGAAATACAAGCCCAAGTGTGAATCGTACTTCGTCAAGGACTCTCACTACCCCAAACACATATCACATTGGCTAGCAATCTACATAAATCCACGGGTTACGAACGAGAAACGTAAGAGATTTCCTATGCGAGTGGGTCACCCTAAGCCAACGGATCACACCACTAGGTTGCGCACCTTTGCATACGAAAAGGTCAACACCACAAAAAGCTATAGTGCAGTTTCGGACCGCAATATTTTATTGGGGCTTGTTGCTATATCCAGTCTTGCCACAAGACCCGCACCGCCTCTCTCTATAACCCGTTTTATAGGCTTCTCACTCTCCTCTTTCCCCTTGATATTTTCCAGAGCAATTCAATCACGTACCTCCGTAGCAGTAAATGTATGCTCTGTCTGAATTTGTTTTCTGTCGTGGCCTTTTCGCTCTGTTGCTGCCGCAGCTGCCTTTCGAAGCCCAGCCATTTCCTTGCGGGTCAACACAATCTCCTTTGCTATCTTCCCAGCGCCCTTTCTGAACAAATTTACAGCTTCAAGGATAGAAGCAGGCAAAGAGCTCTTACGTCGGTCGCGAATAAACGTTGATTGAGCCTCTATCTCGTGGGCGTGACTGGTTGTTTTGGTTTCCCATGGCACGTCCTCTGGGACTGGAGGGATGGGCGTGAAGCACTATATCAAGCTTCGAGTAGACAACCTCTGGCTTGTGTGACACTAATCCAGGAGCCTGGAAGGACTAGGAAAGCCTCTTTATTTATGTGCTTGCTGTTGTACCGTACCAAATCATCGATCTCATCCCCATATGCCCGTTTCAGCACTGGTTCAGCACACCACATCAAGTGGCTGCAGCAAGTACGACGAATATGGAGGCATACAGAGAAGAACAATCCTCCCCTCTTTGCACATCTTGTGGGAATCCAAACCTTTGGTGGCTGTCGTGACCATTAACGCGCATACCAAAATGCGTAGTGGAGGCTCGTACCAGCTACTCATTATTAAATTGCTTCAGCCCAAGCAATGGCAAGCCCGTTCTATGTTCCGCCGCTAGAACTGGCCTCAAAGATCCAATCGCGAGGTACATCGTGATACCAGGAGGAGATAAGCACCTTGCCAGCGAAGACGACAAAATGGTGGGATAGGCCATCTTTAACTATCACTATTTTGAGTCAGCAGGACTCCGCCCATATCCTTGAGGAACTTACCGTTACACGTGAGCGTCTAAACGTATAGGGCTTATCACATGTGAAATGTGGGTTTTAGAGAAATCCCTACCGAATGTTCATCCTGCAGTGGTCTATATAAGGGGCACTTATGGATGCTCAAGAAAACTGGCCAATCTATGACATTCTCTTGCGTCTAATCGGATTTCTTTCCATCGCCTGATACTCCTTGAACGACCAGATGTACTAGTAACCTCTTCCAAGGCTAAATAGCTCTTCATCCTCCAGCCTTAGATATCAGTCCTATTCCTAGTAGCAGTTTCTGCAATGCCGACTTTGTGCTCCTCGTGCTGTGTATTCTCCTTTGGTAATTGATTTTTTTTTCAGCCCCATACTACGAAAGTTCCCCAAAGCCGAGCAGTGCTAAAGACAACATGCAAATAAGAGTGACAACCTTGAAAGAAATAATCCAACGGTGCTATAGAGAGCCGAAGAACCACATGACAGCTTTGGTCCCGATGATGGTGCTGGAGAAGGTGGTAATACAGCCAAAGCGGAAGAACTTGTAAAGGAAGTTGTGCTCGGTCGGGCATACGCGGTACAGGATGATAGCGATATGTGGCCAGAACTCGACAATGATGTCGAAAGTGCCTAGCGGGTGGGGCTGCGTTAGTAAAGGGAAGAAGGGGAAAGGGCAGGGGAGGAAGGAAGGGGGTTTTTAACAATACGAAACATACCCCAGACGAAACAAAGAAAAAACTTTATGGTGGCGTATTGCTCATGCTTGCAGTCGAGACCTAGCGACGCGCATGAAAGCTAATGGTGATATAAATGTTTACTACGAAAGGTTACACCGTATGTTTACGAAGAGCCCTTAAAATTAGTGCGACAGGAAAGATTTCCATGGGTGTTGAACTGTTGATATACCATGTCTCTGTACCCAACCATTGGCATTTGCTTCATTGTGATAAGAAAGAGGACTTGATTACTTCTAGTTCCCAGCATGACTTCAGTTTTGGTGAGATCCCAAGCTCTGTGTACGTATCTTGCACGAAGTCAAACCACAACGTAATTGTCTTCTCCAATATCAGTAAGGCCTTAGCGTCTCATTGCAGCATAAATGAGGACACCTTCGAAGTTTGAATGAACGTCTAACTCTCGTGCATACTCTTTAATCGCTTACACGTCATCTCCGCTTGTAGCGCTTCTGTCACCCGCAACCCTCTCCCGCTCGGCCTTCTCCCGATCATAGGACTGAAAAACCACAAGGAGACCCAAATCATAGCATTCCTTAAGACTACCTGCAGCTACAAGCGCAACCCAGAAGACACCATCGTCTACGAGTGGACCTGTGATCAATGATCAAGACCTTTTTCTGTTGTCTTGAAAACGTTGACGAGACCCGTGGTGGCTGTGCGTTCTTGTGGCGATAAAATGGTTATGATGAACGCTGAGCGCGGCGCTAAATCCATTGATTGTACGCAGACCCGTAGGATTAGAAAAAAAAAAAAGAGAAAGACACGTAGAAGTTACCTGGGATGGGAGTAAGCGCTAGTGTGACGGCGGAGGGAAGGTGGGTGAAAACTATTGTGTTGTTACGGTTAGTAGATCTTCTTATCTAGAAGTGGGAAAGGATAATGGAGGCGTACATGAACATTCTTGAAGCGTTTGGCGGGCAAGGAAGCCACGATCATGGACACCGCAGCAATAATACTTGTCCTGAAGAAAAGTGACTCCAGCTGTCCTTCGTGAACGCCGTACCATGCACGGAATGACCCAAGCGCTGAATTCCAGTCAGCTAGGTCCATTGATAATTTGAGTCGGAGACGCACAGAGGTATCAATCCTGATGCAAACGAGTCGACCCCAAATAAACACCACAGACTCATCATCACAGCTTGGTCTTCCCTACTGATCTCAGGGAGCAGCGTCCACATCCTGACCTTTGCCCTTGGCTCGTCTCTGGCTGTACCAGTTTCGTCGTCCAACAATGGTGTGCCCTCCGTATTAGCACTGCTATTGGCATCGGTCAACTTCTTGGGGGTCTCAACCTCCACTCTGCTGCTCAACAATAGTGCAAGAACAAACTTAACTACTCCCAGAACAGCGTATCCACAGAATACCATGCGATACGCATCATCCAGCGACCAGTGCAGACTTTCAGACAGGTAATATATGACCCAAACCGGATGTAATCATGCCACAGGCAGTTTTAGCGGTCCTAGAAAGGCTGTATCATGCCGTCGATGTCGGTCCTAGTGGGCGTGGTGGTCAAATGCGCTACGACGCCCTCTTCGACAGCCCGAAAAGGACCGATCTCATTCTCACTACCGCCAAATCAGACTTTAGATCTTCCTTCGTGAAACATATGGTGATAAGTACCTTAGACTAATGACTCATAACACTGCAGCGGCAAGTAATACCCTGAAGTCACCAGATATTGCAAAAGAAGCACCAATCCTCTCCCATGAGTGCGGCGCCCATGGCTGAGTTGCTTTCCTACCCTATAACATCGGCAAACAGGGTTGAAATAGCTGATGCAGACGCCTCCAATCAGCGTGAGAGTCATGGAAGCCCTATTCTTGTTTTCGTGATGCCCAGCGCCCATAGATATTGCTCAAGACAGGATAATTGAGCGACACTCACATAAACCATCCAGCAGGTGGGAAGTTCTTGCATCCAATCGGGTTGACAGCGTGGCAGGAATGCTCTCGGGCTTCAGCTCGCACCACAAATGTGTAAGTCAATCGTTACATCCGTCCTCCCATAGCCGTGCAGAACATCAAGATCAGAGCAGGGGTTGCGTCCTTGGTGAAGTGGACATCACAGGAAGATGGTGGAGCTTCTCATGAGCTGGTCTCCCGTCTGAGCGGCAGGATCAGAGAAATTGTGGAAGCTCTAGATGCCTCCCTGGCCTACAAATTTATGAACGACGCATTACATGTGCAGAGGCCATTGCTAAGCTATGGCCCCCACTCAATTTCCAAGATGTTGGCCGCTAGTGCCGCTTACGATCCTAGTTAACTGTTTCACAGGCTTCATAATTCTGGATTTCTCCTATCACGCACGTAGAATTTACTAAGGTCTCAGATTAGGACTCTCTGTCTGAAATGGTCCTGTGTGCCGCGTTATTTATACTTATTATACTTTGAATATGTACCTAGGGCAATACCAAATAAGGTAGTCAGCTAGTAATGAAATAGAATTGAGAGGCTTCATAGCGCTACTCAAGGCAGCCTTTGAGCTGAAAATCTCCAAGTATAGAAGAGATAGGCAAAGCTAGTATAACCAACGTGTTACTGGAGGTATCTACACAGGAGTACGAATAACTAACTCTTGGCCTTTCCTTATTGCTGCGTAATGCCCGTGAAATCTAGGAAACACTACGTGATCGCAATCGCTAAAAAGTAGATGCCAGAATGAGCGGCCAGCCCATTAAGCGATAGGAATGGATACCCTGTTCTTAAACGCCTTAGCGCTTTAACTTATTGTGTACACAGAACGTCCCGCTAGTCATATACAGTATATACTAGCATCTGACTGTATCTTATACTCCTTCCTATAGATCTGCGTCTCCAATAGCTGTCAATTGCGATGTCACGGGGGCCGGTGACGGATTAACCGGTTTGGTAGCTCAACGCTAAGGTTATAAGGGATGCGCTTGGGCACGTGTCCGCGGTTCAAACATGCCCATGAGCATGGATAAGGTCAGGTTCTTTGAGATCAGGATGGCCAATATACATGTAGAGTTTACCTTGGTTTTCGATTGCGACCACATCTTCCCGCATGAAGCTATGATCAACGCTACAGTGGAGTTGGCGCTAGATCCTTTGTCTCGTATGTAAGCGGATGAGGAAAATTGTATCACTGTGATGCTTGATCGACCGACCAAGGAACATGTAATTCGTCAGCTCGCCACGGTGCCCATATCGCGATGGCCAGCATGTCACTAGCGTTGCCCGCAGCTTGTATGTGGTGACAGGACTCACACAAACAGTGGGTTTGCCAAGGTACGAATACGCTAGTACGCGACACGAAGTAAGCATCCACTGTAACGCTTGCTTGAGAACATGGCAGTCGGTAGGGTATATAACAAAGCTCCAGCACTCCCCATAAGTCATTCTCAGACATCTACAGTAAAAGTGTTGCAAGCCTTTCGCACCACTAATTACGACCATCACTTTGGATACCACTATCATGAAGACATTTACTTCTGCTCTCCTCACTTTGGGCTCCGTGAGCACCATCGTCAATGCGGTCGCCATCGACTTCTACGCCAACAGAGACTGTGGCCTCTTCAGCTACAGTATTGACACGCCGTCCGAAATTGGATGCACCACTCTTCCAGAGACTGTCTCCGGCTTGGTCCTTAAGACGGACATCCCAGACGGCGACTGCTTGATCAATCTTTTCAACGATGAGTCCTGCATGGGCAATTCGGTCCAAAACTTCTTGAATGGAGACACACAAACGAGTAAGTGAATTTCACTAAGGACAGCAAGCGTTATGCTTACGCAGCGGTAGATGTGTGTCTTCCGGCGCCGCAGCTGTACGTGGCGTACTCGGCTACAGGATGCTAGATGGCTAGGCCTCATAATTTGGCTCCGCTGTTAATGTCGATATGTACGAGCAATTGGAATCTCTTGAAAATGCACATTCATTGGTCCTCTCAAATAAAAAGACACATGGGTTGTGGCTTTGTGTCATATCTTGAAGGCATCCACCAATACAGTCGTGTCCAAACCGTTATATCTTCGCGTGGATCCTCGTTCTGGTTAATCACAGTGGCGAGGGCGTCGGCGCCCTCAGCGAGGTGAATAATGTCGTGTATTTATCGGCGATTGGAGCGGTTGGAGCTAGCCAGGCTGGCTCATTTTGTAAGGGTGAATTATTTCGTGCTGCCATCGAGCAAATTGACAAGAAAACCGAGTTTTCTGGTCGTGTGCAATCTACGCCATTTTTTCTTTATCAAAGTACAGCGAACCCATGCTCGAGTCGAGTGGAGCAGACACAAAGTTCTGCGAGATGCTTAGCGGAAGCTCAACATTCCTGCAATTCAGAATCACGATGTTACATTTGTTAGGGCTGTAGGGTGGGTATTATCGGTTTTAGGGGCTCGGTAGTATCCGCTATACTATCGAACAAGCATGTCTAGCAAATAACAGCACTCCGCGAGAAATGGATAAAACACTCACAGAAGAAAATACCATTAATGAGAATACCAAACAAGATAACAGACACGCAAAGAAGCGAAAAGACTGAGGCAGAAAGCTAGAGTACGCACTACCTTTTTTGTATTTCACGAAGGGACATCTCCTAGGAGGGAAGGAAAGCTACGGGGCCAGCTAGCAAACTTCGAGCGTCTCTACAATGCGGCTGATATGGTGAAGCGAGACATGGTGGGCCTCAAAAACAAAGCCTACCCTGGCCATCGACGATATCCAGGACGTGGATGAAGTGATTCGAGAGATCTAGGGTGGACATGATGGAAGACAGACCTAACGGATCTCGTGTAGACTTGTGGCTGCTGCAATTACCAATGTCTCAACTTTTAGGTGTGCGACCGGGTACATTATGGGTCCTACTTCCCGAATCTGTGGTGTGCATGGTATATCGTGGGTAACGCAGGGCAATCGGATATTGGACCTGGTGATGCGCTTGCTTGACCAGTATTATTTGTAGGCCTACTATTCTCGCGTTCTGGGCTTCAAGGTTAGGTCAGTTTTCTGCTTCTTCTGAATCATGTCCTGAGTTCTCGCTACCTTAATTCATCATCTAGGTTAAAAACGTTCGAATGTATGACTAACAAACCTACTGCCTCCTACTGCTCTTGTGGTAAGGGCTGGATCGAACTTCAAGGCTAATTGGCATATAATAATAGGTTGGAAGACCCAAAGGCTGCTTCGATAGAAGCTTGGCTGAGTCGGATGAAGGCTTGTTAATGCAGCGTCCAGCATGGCGTCCGCGGATTTGTTGACGGAATGAGCAGTTAGCACGACGTGACTGCCAACTCATCTGGAGACAATGGATAATATCGTGGTTGCAGCCCGCAATAATGCAAAGGAGCGCAACTTGGTGAACTTCTGGAGGTATCATCGATCCATACGTGTGCAGCCGCATTCAGGCTTTCCGGAACACGTACAAGCTTCTATCAGATTCCTTCTATGTCACAATTCCTTCGCCGTTGGTAGTTCTTGCTCGTCTTTTGGCTAATGATCACATTGTGGAGCACTCTCTTCGTGGTCACATCTGCAATGTACCTAGACTTCTTTCGTCCGAGGTTCGAGAAATCATTTTCAATCCACGCGCTTTCGTTAGAAGAAATGATATTCAGTCTTCCCTGGGGAGATTGTGCACGCGGTTTGCGAAATATTTCGAGACGGTCCTATTGTATAAACGCGCAACGAATCTCAGTTCGTTCCTCGTCGAAGAAAGCAACTATAATTGAGTCGCTTGGACCAATCTTTCCTCGGATCGTCGTTGGCATTGACCTCGTCTCGTCGATCGTCCAGAGGTCTGGCAATGCGTACAGCAATTCCAGTCCAGGGTCCTGTTTAGGGTATTCAAGTAGGATGATGTACTTTAAAGGCTCCAATGGCTGGAGCCAACTCGTCGCCTTGATCAATACTTCTCGCATATCCGACAAGACTGCGTCTCTGACGTGAACCATAGCGGTGTCGCAGTTATCATCGCTCCTGACCCCAAGCCATTGACGGGTAAACGCAATGTTCCCGACTTTGAGAGATAAGCCTACGAACAGTCAGCCTGATAGCTAAAACTGAGTAGCGTGCGGAAAGTTGAACCGATGCGATGCTCATGCTGGCACGCGTCGCTACATGGAAGAAGTCCCAAATAGTCAGCCGCTGCAATACACTTGATGACTGGCATAGTCATTCTGAAGCGACCATAGAATTCCTGAATGTGTGAAGAGTCTTTTTAATGGAACGTGATGAATTGGCAAATTTGGGACTGCCTTGGATGGCGAGCAAACATGTCAGTACAACGTGCAGTCACGGGACTTGTGTCGCTGGATGAGTTGTCAAGGTTCAAACGAGAGTTGGAATAGTTCCACGCGAACAAGCTCTGGTGGCCTTTTTGGTATATCGGACTGTAGTCGATTGAACGCATTCAAGTCTTCGCCGTGGAGCAACGGCATATCTAACACCGGATGTATCGTTACGATGCCCGCGACGCGCATGCTTGGGGAAGCGCCGTGACGAGAATCCGGTCGCTACATGCATCTCTGCGGTAGGCGTCTACTGCGCTGCTCGCAAGAGGTTTCTGGTCGAGTGCAGCGGGAGAAGTCAACGCGTCTGCCGTCTGGAGAAGGCGTGCCCGAGTTCCGCTGAGTCCAATTAGTAGGTTAGCCGCACAAAGACGTCATGGTCCCCCCACAACAGCTGCCCCTCCAGCTTGGGTCGGGCGAGGCAAAGACGCGCATGCACGCTGCACCTGTTTGCGAGTGCTCCCCTGAGCGCGCCGCCTCTGCTACAATGCCCGGCCTGGTTCGCAAGCTGCTCGTCTTCGCCGCGGTAGACGGGCTGGTGTTGCAGCCCGCGCCGCCGCGCAACCACCCGCCGACGACGCAGCAGGCCATCAAGGTCGACTACAAGGGCAATGTCGGCCCGCTGCTCAAGGACCGCCGCCAGGAAGACACGGCCCCGCACACGCTCGAGGTGCATGGCATCCTAGGTAGGGCATGCGGCGCATTGCCGTGACCAGAAATAGCTAACCCAGCCCAGGCCTGCTCAAAGTTGCGTCGTCGTATTTCCTCGTCTCGGTGTGCGACCGCGAGCAGGTGGCGCAGATACGCGGAAAGGCCATCTACAAGATCACCGACGTCGCTCTGATCCCGCTCTCCTCGCAGACCGACGCCGACAAGGCCATCGTATCAGCCCGCGACCACGCACAGCGCCACAGGAAGGCACAGGGCCGCGCGGAGGACGAGTATGATAGCGAGAGCGACGAGGATGACGCGCCCAGTGTGACCGACTCGCTCGAGGAAGACACGCCCGCACCGCCCACCCAAGTCAAGGATCCCGTCACGGGCCAGCGCGGGCCGGCCGACCGGCGCACCAGCGTTGCCGAGGACGTGATGCAGCGCAAAGGCGTCTACGGTCGCTTCGCAGACAAGTGGTTTTCCAAGAAGGGGTGGAAGACTGACAAGAGAAGGACGCAGGGCATGAGCTCCGCCGAGGACCTACGCAAGGCCATGTCCACGAATGTGGAGTCGATACCCAACGACGAGGGAGGGCCTCTCAGTCCATCCAAGCCCGATGCTCTGCCCGTCGAAGACAGGGATGTGCCAGAGCCCGTGAGCCCTGAAGAGATACCGAAAGCGCTTGCCGGAGACAAGGACAGCACTACCATCGCCTTGTTGCCCAAGATTCTGCGCACCGCCAAGATGTACTTTGCTTCTGGGAACTTTTTCTACTCGTACGATTACGACCTTTCGCATGCAGTTGGAAAGCAGCAGCCTAGTTCCACTGTCCCTCTCTCCAAGCAATTCGATCCCCTGGTATGTCGTTTCCATCTCATAGTGTGGATACTTGTCGCTAATCATTTGCGCAGTTCTTTTGGAACGAGCACATCATGGCCCCCTTTATCGAAGCAGGCCAGTACAGTTTCGTCCTCCCAGTCATCCAAGGCTTTGTCGGCCAGCGTCCATTTAGCATCAAGGTCGTCGATACCAAGTCCAACAGCGTTGTTATAGATCCGGACGCCACTCCGAATGACGTGGAGCTACAGTCGATCCACCAAAACAAATCAACCGAGTCAATTGCTAGCACAGATGACAACACGAAAACGCCTCCACCGGAGCCTTCCAATGGCAAGGACTTCCTCCTTACCCTGGTTTCGCGCCGGTCAACCAAAAGAGCTGGCCTCCGCTACCTCCGGCGTGGCCTTGATGACGAAGGCAGCACAGCCAACAGCGTCGAGACTGAGCAGATCCTTTCGTCGCCCACTTGGAACACGTCGCAAGACAAGATCTTTTCTTTCACTCAGGTTCGAGGTTCGATACCCCTCTTCTTTTCGCAATCTCCGTACAGCTTGAAGCCGCAAGTGGATACCTGGGGTTCCACGGACACGAATGCGAAGGCTTTCAAACGCCACTTCGCCGAACTAACAGCAAGATACGGCTCCGTGTATGCTGCGTCTTTGGTCGACAAGCACGGAACTGAAGCAAAGATTGGAAGCCTATACGAGCAACACGCCAAGATAGTGAACGAACATGGCGGCATGGACGGCAAAGGGAAGAATCTCGATTTCGAATGGTTCGATTTCCATCATGTCTGCCGAGGTATGCGATTCGAGAATGTTTCTCTGCTCATGGACTCTATTGGCCCTTTCTTGGAGACAGCGAGCTGGACGGAGATCTCGAACGATCAAGCCAAGCAGACGCAGTCTGGTGTGTTGCGCACAAATTGCATGGATTGTCTCGATCGTACCAATGTTGTTCAGTCTGCCTGCGCCCGGATAACCCTCGAGGCTCAGCTTTCGGCCGGCGATTACAGCATTGATCTCCAGAACGACCCAAGCACATCCTGGTTCAACACTCTTTGGGCAGACAACGGCGACGCAATCTCCAAACAGTACGCGGGCACTGCTGCGCTCAAGGGAGACTTCACCCGAACTAGAAAACGCCAAATCACTGGCGCTCTGACTGACTTTGGGCTCACGTTGACCAGGTACTACAACAACATTGTCAATGATTACTTCACGCAAGCGGTCATCGACTACCTGTTAGGACGCGCGACAGATTCCATCTTTGCCGAGTTTGAGGCAGACATGAAGAGCGCAGATTACTTCATCGACGTTCGGAAAGTGCGACAGGCGGCCATTGACCGCTCAGCCGGCATTGTCATCGAAGACAAGGACGAAGATCTTGTCGCTGGCTGGACGTTGAGCGTGCCGACTTCGGCCGATCATCTCAAAACTGCCACCTTTGAGGAAGCTGTGCTACTGCTGACAGAGAAAGCTCTGTATTTCTGCCGCCTGGATTGGGGCACGGAAAAGGTGCGTGAATTCGAGCGCATCGAGGTGGAGAATGTGGAGGGATTATTCCGCGGTGTCTACATCACCAGCACGTTAGCATCGCGGCACATGGACGAGCAGAAGAATGTCGGTTTTGTAATTCGGTATCGGGCAGGGCCAGGTGGGGACCTGGTGCGGCGCAACACGCGTTCGCTTGAATCTGGGAAAAGCGGTGCCCCGTCCGAAGATGAGCCAGCGGCGTCGAAATCACAGGCTCCACAGGCGACTGGCCGCTTCCTTGCGTTCAAGGCGCTGCCTCCACGCACCAGCATGCCGGCAGCTGGGGACGCCGCAGAAAGTCCGGAGAACGAAGTGGAGGTGGTGCAGGGCATATGTGAGGAGATTGCGAAGGTGGTGAATAAGACGAGGGCCGGTGAGCAAGTCAAGTCTAGCATTCCGGGAACGGAACAGGAAGACAAGACGGGAGGCGAGCCGCAAACAAGGAGGTTGGAGGTCAAGGATCAGGATGTGATCAGTTTGACAGATGCGAAGAGGAGTACGGGATATGTAGAGACGCTGGCCTACTCGATGAAGAAGCTGGTATGGGGTTGAGCGTATATGCGAAGAACGGCTGGATACATAGCATGATACCACATAGAATTGTAATGACGCGGACATTTTTTTCCCCTTCTGATCGATGGCCGCCGTGTTCACATGCAAGTTTCCTCGGTGCTCGTGACGATGCACCGTCTGCTTGGTAAACATTATGGAAACACTTGTTGTTGGGCGGCGATTCAGAGGAGCACGGGTATCCCACGCGGTACGAATCGTAAGTCCCCACTCAAAGTGAGCAAGGTTCTGTGGTGCCGGAGGCTCCTGACACGGCTGTCAGCTCCAGCCAAGTCTCCGGATTTTCGTCAGGAGCAGCCATTTTCCAGTGTTGACTGTGGGTATGATTATTGTGGATGGCTGCAACAGGAGCCCCACTCGAAAAGATCTTTTTCCATGAGCCTCGTGCTTTCCTTGAAACAGTATGCGGACCGACGGAGTCTTCCTGATTCGAGAAACGTGCAGAAGTGGAGACGCATCGCTTGCGCGGCTGAAAATGATCGGCGGTTGCGGTTCCCTGGTTTGGCAGCGTACCCGATAGAAGCTTTTGAGGCTCTTCGCTTCTCAGGCTTGTCGTCCGAGTTGATGAGTATTCATTAGCAGGCGGACGCGCTGGGGGGTCGTGGTTCCGCATACAACAACACTTATTCGTCTACCCTCTACATTTCTTCTCCAGCACCGAGCCGACATGGTGAGATCGTCCACACGCCGTTCCTGCGACCGACGCGTGACTTGCCGCGGCCTAGGAAAATGCCATTTCCGAAGCCCACCCGCCGTTGACCTCACCGGCGCATCCAAGGCGCTAGGACCGCGAAAGCACGGACGAAGCTGCATACTGGGACACATCCGCGCCGTCGTCGAACGGCCAGCAAAACGACATGTGCAAGCGAGAGGGCAACTCGGTCCCGTGTGTAGATTGCACGGGTAACTTCGTGGGGGCAACAGGGCCAGCGCCAACAATGCGGTATACGGCTCCGCTGCCAGCAGGTCGCAGCAGCTCGCCGCGTCTCCTCGTTTTGTCCGCGCCGGCGCGGTAGGCAGCCAGTAGCGCATGGGGGATGTTGCAACTTGCTCGGTACTCGGCATGCTGGAGGCGCAATTAAGGCTGCGGCTTCTGCTGCAGACGTGCGCGGGAGGCGCTCGAGCTAGAGCTGCGAGGGTTACATGGCGGCCAGAAGAGCGGGTCGACGTCAGCGGCGTCCGACCGCGAACGGGCCCGTGCATGCAGCGCGGCGTGAGGTTTTTGTCGATGAGTGACGTCAGGCGATCGCGACGTCGTGTTTCATGCGCTGAGAGCATGAAGCTCGCCATCATGGGATCCAGGCGGGCTCGACGCAAATGGAGGGCAGCGCAGAGATAACCTCTGCACCGGATGCGTCTGGCCACGCGAGGACTGTCCCGAGCACGCGCTGGAACAAAGAGCAGGCGCGGTGCCGCCGACTGCGTTGAGCTGAACACGACGATCGCAACACCGTCGGCAGGCGATGCACAAGCACCATGGAGCCGGCCTTGTCCGTCGCCCAGATGCTTGTTTCTGCCCCCCGCTGAGCTTACGCCGCGCCCACTGTTCCATCTGCCAGACCAGCAACGGCCCTGCGAGGCCAATCAGCGTCTCCACCTCCGGACCCTATACTCGAACGAGCAGTCCTGGAGACTGGGAGCGGAGCGGGATGAGCGAGCGTGACAGCTCGCTGGTCTGAGTGTCTCCAGGCGGGGCACCACGTTTCTTGCTTGGGGATTGGCCCCGTGGGCAAGACGCCTGGGGTTTGGGTTAGAGCGTTGTGCTTGGAGCGGTCCCGAGGCGACGCTGGACTTGACCGCGTGCTGGCGTATATAAGGATCGGGGTTTCCGCCTCCCTGGGTGCTCGATTTCTCTGGTAGCTCTTTGTCTTCTTTTGGGTTGATACTCTGCGGGTTCAGCCACCATGTATCAAATCGGCAACATCTACGGCATCACTGCCATCGCCGTTATTGGCGGTGGCTTGTTCGGTTTCGACATCAGTTCCATGTCGGCCATGTATGTGTGCATCGTCGTGGTGTCATGGAGGAGACTGACAGCTCCGTAGTCTGCCTACGCAACAGTACCGCTGCTACTTCAACCAGGGACCCTCCTATGCCGACGACCCAGATGGCTGCTCAGGTCCCACCGCCAACGTGCAGGGTGGCATCACCGCCGCCATGCCGGGTGGTTCCTTTTGTGGTGCCCTCATCTCCGGCTGGATCACCGACCGGCTTGGCCGTAAGACGGCCATCCAGATCGGTTCCGTTATCTGGTGCATTGGTTCCATCATCTCGTGCGCGTCTCAGAACATCGCTATGCTCATCGTCGGCCGCTTCATCAACGGTATCGCCGTCGGTATCTGCTCTGCTCAAGTCCCTGTCTATGTCTCCGAACTGGCTCCTCCTTCAAAACGTGGTCGTGTTGTCGGTGCCCAACAGTGGGCTATCACATGGGGCATCTTGATCATGTTCTACATCTCCTACGGCTGCACTTTCCTCGAAGGACCTCAGGCTTGGCGTGTCCCGTGGGCTCTTCAGATGCTTCCTGCAGTCTTCCTCTTCTTCGGCCTTCTTCTCCTGCCTGAGTCGCCTCGTTGGCTCGCCCGCCACGACAAGTGGGAAGAGTGCCATGCTGTGCTCACCCTGGTCCACGGAAAGGGAGATCCCAACGCGCCATTCGTTTCCCTTGAATTGAACGAGATCAAGCAGATGATTGAGTTCGAGAGGCAAAATGCCGACGTCTCTATCAAGGAGCTGTTCCGCCCCAGGATGTTGAACCGCCTGCACATCGGTGTCTTCACCCAGATCTGGAGTCAGTTGACGGGTATGAATGTCATGATGTACTACGTAAGTTCTCCATTGCATAACGTTTCGGGTGGCATGAGCTAACATCGATAAGATCACCTACGTCTTTGGTATGGCTGGCCTGAAGGGCAACAACAACCTCATCGCCTCCTCCATTCAATACGTAATCAACGTCTTCATGACCATCTTCGCCCTCATCTTTATCGACCGCTGGGGCCGCCGCTATCCCCTCATGATCGGCGCCACCCTCATGGCGACCTGGATGTACGCCAACGCCGGCCTGATGGCCTCCTACGGACACGCCGCTCCTCCAGGCGGTCTCAACAACATCGCGGAGCAGTCCTGGGAAATTGGCGGCGCACCCGCGAAAGCCGTTATCGCGTGCACCTACCTCTTCGTCGCGTCCTACGCACCCACCTGGGGCCCCGTCTCCTGGATCTACCCACCCGAGCTGTTCCCGCTCCGCGTGCGCGGCAAAGCCGTCGCCATCACCACCGCATCCAACTGGATCTTCAACTTCGCGCTCAGCTACTTCGTGCCGCCCGCGTTCGTCAACATCCAGTGGAAGGTTTACATCATCTTCGGTGTGTTCTGCACGGCCATGGCCATCCACGTGTTCTTCTGCTTCCCTGAGACGAGTGGTAAGACTTTAGAAGATGTGGAAGAGATGTTTATGGCAGGTATCCCGGCGTGGAGGACGCATGTGGATTACCAGAGCACGAGGAGAGCGGAGGCAGGTGACCTAAGCGATAAGGAAAAGGCACTGCATCACGAGCAGAGTCCTGAGAGGCTGGAGGACGCGCCGAAGGTTTAGGTTGTGTGTAGTTATGTGTGAGGTGGTAAGATAGACAGCGGCTTGGAGGATGCAGAGAGTTCGAATACACGAAGTGCAAGTTTACCGATTCTATACTCCCTCGTGACGCGTCGTCGGTCAATGTCCGGGTCGGTCGGTCGGCGGTGCGCTCCACATCCTACGTGATGAAGGTCTTGGAGCATCCTGCTTTTACACAAGATGAAACTTTACGTGAAGGGCTGGTTGACGGTCCTGTCTGAAATTCTTTCGTAGAGGCGAGGAACGCGTTTGTTCCACCGTTTCCCGGCCCAGCGCTGGGCGCCTGCCCTTCCAGACTATCAACGTGCCTTCTGTGTAAGTGTCTAAATCTAACATAGACCGCAGGTTTAATTACTTGTAACAGGCTATGTGCTCGCAGCGACGTACGAAACTCACACAGTCGATCCGGCGCTTCAGCGGCCACGAATCAGCATGCGAGGCTGAGCCACACCAAAGCAACAGCGCTCGCGAGGCTGAACGCTGCAGGAGCATGGGGCCCAGGCAACCTCGCTCACGCTTCCCAGCTCCGTCTCTTATTTTTCACGCCTGTATCCTGCTTGTCGAGTCCTCATATTCGTCTAGAACTTGGCGTCTCTTTCCGCTGATACCCATCCTCTTCGCGAGTGCGTCTGCATGTCGCAATAGCAGCCCCGGCATGCGTCTTGGCCCTTTACTTACAGCCTTGTTTGAGTCAACAGCCCTTCCAGCTTGAACTTCTGTTGCATTATAGCTGCCATTTGAAGTTGATAGCAGCTGAACATCCATACCTACCCTGAAGTAACCCGAAAGTCGCCACTCACCAGAGCTCCAAATGGATTGGGCTGGACCTAGACTACGCGAGTACGAAGACCGGCCACTCAATGCCGACGCTGAAGAGATCCGTCTCATTCGCCTGCTTCCTGGGGACTTCAACGATGATTTAGAAGTGAAGATCTTCCACGCGCTATTTGTCGAGCCAGAACCTGCAAAGGATACTCGACTCGGCTTGGATGAGATCCGAAAGACACTACCGCATCCTTGGACGGTTTGGGAGACGAAGGAAGGAAGATATATCTACTCTAATGATTCTGAAAACGTTTCAAAATGGACGCATCCTGATCCAAAATTAGACGAGGAGCTGTTCGGAAATGGGAAGTCCTTCGAGATGTATCCTAATTTCGAGCCAAGATATGAATGTGAGTTGAGCTATCGCAAACTCCGCTATTGTCAAATTTTTATTCTCTATCTCCTTTAGCGCTATCGTATGTGTGGGGGACAGAGGAAGCCAAATCAAAAGTTCATGTCGTTCATGACAGTCTTATGGACGTTCCGAGTCTAATCTACGTGAGGTCAAATCTCTATAATGCTCTAAAGTACCTCCGAGATCCCCTCATGGAAAGAGTCCTTTGGGTCGACGCTATCTGCGTCAATCAAGCAGATGTTCGCGAACGCAACCGTGAAGTCGCAAATATGGCTCGAATTTACACCTTCGCTTCGCGCACCATCATCTGGCTTGGTCTGGAGGACGAGTCTGGTGCAAGCAAGCGAGCATTCGAAATCCTTGGCTTCATCGGTGAACAATTTGAAACGACCACTGAAAGAGGCATATTCGTCACACCAGGATTTAAGAACCGCAGCGCATCCGACACCGCGTTTCCATCTGCTTACGTGCACCCGCGGTCATTATTATCCGTCACGTGTGATAGAACAGAACAAGTCGGACCCATCTACTCTAATGCAGATTGGGAGGCTATCGAGATCCTTACTCGTTCCTGGTGGGACAGGCTGTGGATATGGCAGGAAGCTAGACTTGGCTACCGAAAAGCCATCGTGCAATGCGGACCTGGTACGATCCCCTGGTCTTCTCTAGCGCATTCCACCGCTGCATTTTCTCTCAGTGGAAATCTTATATTCGGTGCCTCGTTCAATGCTTCGCTTGTGGCTCAACGTAGACATTTATTTGCCGGGGGCAAGTGGGAAGACGACATCGAGCATCTATTGGTGGGCACGCAGAAGGCCCAGTATACGGACGAACATGATCGCATATATGCATTCCTTGGTCTTGTTTCACCTAGATTCAGAGCCAATATCGCGATTGACTATTCCCGGAACGTATTTGATCTCTTTTACGACACTTGCGTAGCCATGATCAATGCGTCCGGCGGTGTATTTTTTTCTCCGCTTTTGCAACTGGGACCACGATATGCCACAAAACAAACCAACGTGGGTCCCCGATTGGAATGATAATAGGTTGGATCTCATGGAAGGAGCGTGGGCTGCCGGTGCAAGCGATTCACGGAATGGCATATGCACCATCGATGGTCCGGAGCTCACAGTTCAAGCGATAATCTGTGGTGAAGTACAGCATCTCATAACACTGGATATGGGAGATGCGTACATGCTTTCATCTCTGACTAAGTTGGCGGAGAAGCTGAACGCAAGCTGCTGCAGGCACAAAACTATCGATGCAGTCAAGCGAGAACTTGTCATCATACTACTGGGCGGCCAAGTCAAAGACCTTTTCCCTGCTAGACATGATTATATGTATGTGGATGAGATCCTCAACCGCAGTGATGACTACGAGTCCACATTTGGTGGACCTGATTATTGCAAAGGCCGTGCTATCTTCGTCTCAAGTCAAGGGCAGCTCGGTCTAGGTCCATCTTCTATACTAACGGGTATGTTTGTCTATTTGATTTCCAATAGCAGATGCTAACCAAGCTGATTCAGGAGATCACATTGCTGTAGTCTTTGGCGTTGGTCAACCAATAGTTTTGCGGCCGTCGAGTTCGCATGCTCCTTCTCAAGCTTCCCAATATAGAGTCGTTGGGCCAGCTTACATGCAAGATCTCGCGTATGCTCAGGCTTTGCGTGGACCGATACCCCCTCGCCAAGAAGCTTTTTTTCTTCCCACGCCACTTCGAAGACGTACCGGATTCACATTGGCCATGGTTCAAAAACATCACTAACGGGGAATTATCCCCCGAGGATCCCCGGTTGGGAGAGATCCCAGAAGACTGGGAGTTAGGAAGGAATTTTCGAGAACGCGAAAGAAAGTGGTATTTGAATAAGAGAACAAGAGATACAAGGTGGGAACCACGCGACCAGCCAGACGAACTCAGAAAAAGAGGGATCGACGTCCGGAAAATCGTCTTGATTTGAGAGCATCGAGGACTATCACTTTTGTGAACCAGAGAAGGTTTTTCGATCGCGTCTTAATTCACCATCTACTCTCTTTGGGTGTTCAATTGGATTGTTGCTGGGGGTGAAAATGTGCGTCTAGATAATAACTTGTGTACTAATACCTTCATCCGACGAGCATCAATGCCAAACCTCACTGAGTAACTTCACAGGGTCGAGATCAGGAGCGACTAGCTCCATATTTGGTATGGGCACAGCTGGGTCGTAGTGCAAAAAGAGTATGTCGCTGGAAATTGGGTCATTCGGCCCACCAACGCTAGTGAAAGAAGATTCATGTTGGGCTGATGGCATTGTGCTATTCGACGGAGTGTTTTGGGTAGATGCTTTCCCAGGAATTCCACCTTCACAAAGAGTCTATTAACATCAACTATCGCTCTGGTGGTGAGCTACGTAATTGGTTCTACATTCTCTCGAGAACCATGCTGACACATTCTAGTACTGCAATGTACTATAATGGCCCCGAAAACAGCGAATTTTCGAACACGTACGTGCCGCTGCCTGGACTCAAAATCGCCGACGCGGACCGCCGCGAGTGCTGTCAAATGTAGACATCCTGTAAACGACCCTTTTTTCTCTGCACATAGAAAGTCCAGCATCACCGGATACGACGGTAGAATCGAAGACTTCTACTTCCCGACTCGCACCAGTCTGTTATGGCCTGCCAACAACAGGTAAAAACCACGATCAAATTCATAGCTTTCAGATCTGACCATACTCCAGTAGCAATTCTGTTTAGGCCAGCCTAACGGCTCGCAGTCTTGCTCAGCTCTCGGCCCTCTCCCTCATTCGGTCAACAAGACTATATTTCCTGACGCTTCTAGAGTCCAACTAGCTGGCATGCAAACTCTCATGACAGCGAGCAAAGCATTCGACATCGAGCTCCCAATCAAGGAGATGCCGTTCAACGACTTGAACCACGCCGGAACAGTCGTCTCCTTTCCTGAGAATCACTGGGTGAGCGGCTGGGAAGAACTCAACTACGGGAGAAACACAGCTTTGCGCTGCACAGAGGATGGTCAAGCCTGGAGGCTTCATATGATGTACGCGCACTGTGCGCCGGGACGATATTCTAACAACTGTCAAGGAACATCAACGCCTTCGCTTTACCCTTCATCCCCATGTTCGCCGTCATAGTTACGCTGCTCGACCTCGTCCTCTTAAAGTTGCTCATGCCAAGCCAAAGACTTTCCAATATCCATATGCCCTCCGCGTTTCGAAGACTGCCTTGCCTCGCCTACGAACCACACCTCTGATTCGACATGCTGATATCCCGGTTTCGTCCAGCCCAGTCCCAACGGAGCGGAACTGGTCCAAGTCTTTCCAGCTTATGAATTACATGCTGCTCTCCAGGCCCGCGACCAAAACGCGGAAACAAGCAAGCGCACGCTTGCCCGCAGCCAGGGTTCTCACATACCTGCTCCTCCGCATCCCGTGACTCCTCCCCAAACCCAGCGCCACGCCAGGCACCCATCCCAATCACGCGGCTTTCCCCACCACCCACCCACGAACACTGATCAGTCGCATCTTCATCCGCCTCGGCGACTGCCCCGCGCCAAGGCCGCGCCTTCACGCGTGGCCCGTGCAGACAACGAGGGTGCCAGGCACTCACTAACTCACGCACTCGCTCCCGGCTTCGGACCTCGCATGTCACAACCGCGCGACTTCACAGAGAATAGGCAGACGTAAGGCGTCCCAATTGACGATGTCCCAACGGTTTCATTTTTCCGCGTCGCAAGCCATTCTACAGGGCTCGAGCGCGGGTTGTCTAGCGGACATTACGACTTCGCAAAGCTAGCTGAAGCAAGAGCCCTTGGAAAATAACCACCGTATCGTGACAAAAAGAGGTTGGGTATCTAGGCAGAACATGAAGATTTTAGTAATGTGGATGCACTGTATGGAATGAAGGGAATAATATTTTGCCGCCCGCGAGGGCTCCGTGTATGTGGGTTCGGGGGTATAACACCATGCGCGTGCATGCCAGCCAAGCGTACAACAGCAACGAAAAAGGGAAGGTGTCTGGAGACAGGATAAGACAAGGCACAAGGACGAACGGGAATCAAAACGCCCAGTCTATGGTCTACAGAGATAGGAGATAAAAAGATTTCCGCGCGTGTACATGTATCCCTTTTGGTGGTGACAAACAAGTGCAAGAATACATGGGACGGTAGGAAAGGAGAAAGAGAATTGACTTTGCAGCGCGTGAACCGAAGACAAAAGATCCACGAACGCCTTGGTACGCACTCCAATCAGGGACCGCGCCACTCATCAGGCATTTGGTAATTTTGGTTCAGGTTACGAGTCGCTTGCTGAGCCCGACTGTGCGCTTGAGAGGGGTACTGCGCCGTCTGACCGGGAGGGTACGCCGGCAAAGCAGCCTGTATAGACTGAGTGTCCCATGCGTTGGCAGGGGCGACAGCAGGATAGTGGTGCTGGTGCACGACCGACACTGGTGGAATCGAAGGGTGGATAGGTCGCGTCGAGGGGGCAGCGAAAGGGTTGTTCTCCATGCTGGAGTTTGAGGTCCGGGTTGGTTGAGCGAATGGGTGGACGGTTTGCGAGGGCGAGTAACGTGCTGAAGGAAGCTGCTCACGCGTGGTGTAGGATTGTGTGTGTGAACTTGGAGGACGTGCAGCATATGTGGGCTGCGGCGCGAAGGTAGTAGCTACGGGCGTCAGGACCGGTGGTGGATCGACAATGCTCATTCGACGTCGACCAGCAGGCCTAGGATCCCCAACGGAATAGGAGTTCGAGGTCTGCGGCTGGGGTCGCGTGGCATACCGCTTCTGGATGGCTTCTTCTTGCTCCCGTTGTTCTGCGGCCGTGCGTTCCAGGGACATCTGCAACTCTTCTTGCCGAAGAAGGCGGGCTTGCTCATCAAAGTCTGCCTGCGTCATAGAGCCTCGGCGCGAACGTCTACCACCACTCGGCTGCTTCTGATTGTAGCTCGTAGGTGGCTGAGTCTTCTCACGGTCAGGCCTTTTCGTCGCGCGCTTCTCCGACTCCTTGACTGTGTGCTTCTCGGGATGGCTCTTGCGCTGCCTATCGCGATCGCGTTGTTCCTCGGCTTTTTTTTTCTCGCTTTGCTCCCTTCGAAGCCTGTCCCTCTCTTCATAGCGACCAGTATCCAGAGCCGCGAACCTGACCTCCTTCTTTGCCTGCTCAGCTGCCAGCTTTGCTGCCTGAGACAGTGACTCGTCAAGACGGCGCTCTTCCTCTTCTTCTTGCTTCTTCTTGCGAAGCCGTTCGCGATCGATGGCTCGATCAGTGATTTCGGGCGCGGCACCACGGGTAGAGCTTGCATGGGATGCATTGGAAGAAGTATACAGATCAACGAAGTCTGAGTAGTCGTCTGCGTTATCACGCGACGAGCTGGTGTCCCGTGACGAGCTATGTGGAACACCAAGCCGGGTACGGTGACTGCTTGGCTGTGCAGTCTGCCCTCGTGTTGTGGTCGGCGGAGAAGGGTCACCCCGCGAGTTGTGAACAATAGTGCGAGGGTACTCCGGCGCCTGTCGACCCAAAGGGGAATCGGGCTCAGTCTCCGAGGTCGTGTAGAGCGAAGGCGTTTGGCTCGTAGTCACTGAAGAGGCTGACGCAGTGTGGCGGTGTGTCTGTGGCGCAACTCGCCTGGTGGTGTACCCTTGTGGTTGCCCGAATGGGGGAGTTTGCGGAACAGGAGTATCTGGAAGGCCAGTTCGAATTGGGTAGGATGCGTCTGAGCCTGGCGAATCAATGGCGATTTCATTGGAAGCAGTCGATGAGGCACCCAAAGAAGATCTCTTGTACGTCTTGGGTACATATGTTCGTGGGTACTTTGCATCCCTACCCTTGGTGGAGCCGATTTGGATGATAATCTCAGGCTTTACTGCGGTAGCAGGCCTCAGTGATGGTCGCCGGCCGCCACTTGCTGATGGCCTACGTTCTTCGACAACGTAGCTTCCAACTCCAGTAGGTGTGGGTGGGTTGTTCGAAGCGGGCGAAGGCGCGTCATCGCGAGCGATGGGTGGCGCGCCCCTGTATTCTCTAGTCCTTATCTCTGGCTTCGAGCAGCGCTTGCCACGGCGGCGGGCTCTGTCGCAATCGAACGCGTCCTGGAAGGTCCTGCTCCTTCCATCCGACCCGATGTAGATCTTCTCTTCAATTCGGCACATTGTGACGAGTGTGAGCAACCGAAGGTCGCTTTCGAAATGAGTCGAGACTGATGGAGCCTGGCTCGACGTTTACGTACCCTCAACCTCCCACGATGGTAGGTCGAGGTCGTCGATAGCGTTGTTGGTGGTGTGGTTTTGTGCTTTTTCCGAAATAAGATCCGGAGCCCGAACTATAAAAATAAATTGTAGCCGGCAGCGGTAGGCGAGGGGAAAATCCTGAAAAGCTTGCTTCCTTTTGGGCGCGAAGTGGGCGACGCCGATTGCGAAGCGATAATTATCTTTGCTTTGCGGTGGGGTAGCAAGTTGAAGGTGTTGGTCGTTTATGACTCTACGTCGAGGCAGGTGACAGCCCAACTAAGACACGACACGACTTGGTCTTGGTGTATTTGTAAGATGTGAGGCGAAGGTGCACTGCAGACAGAGTCGGTGAAGTGAATACCAAAATAAACTATGACTTGCAGCAGGGGAATGGGAGTGGTGTGCGTTTCGAAGCATGAGAAGATCGGCTGCTGGGGGCGGCTGTATATGTATGCGGAGCGCGGGAGCCTGGAAAGACGCTGCAGGTCGGGGAGAATAGTAATGAGGAACGCAAAACGAGACTAGCAGGGCGCGCAAGCCACTTGGGAATAGAGAGCAAATGTCGAGCAGTGAGTAGTAGGGTGAGCAGGGGAAATACTGAGAGACGGCGTCGTGGGGTCCGTTCGGTCTTTGAGGAGTCAATTCACTTTGCCCTGGAATGCACAGCCGCTCGACAGCCACGGGCTACGGCCAGCCTGCGGACCCCTGCGCAAAACCGGTCTGCTATGCCTTGGGAATGAACAAACAGAAAGCACGGGTCCCCATTGGAGAATTGCGTCGGTTTCGAGTACAACAGGCCACTCACGGGCCGCTATAACATTGTCTCAGAAGACGCGACTCGGGCAGCCATGGAGCCATGGCGTCGTCCGTCCGCGAGTGATGCCCTACGCTGCATCCTTCGGCGAGCAGCCGACGGTAGGTTGATGATTGCGCCGCGGGCAACGAGCACACTGCGATGCCGTCGCAACGGTGGCCGCGAAGCGCAGTGACGGGCGTGGAGCGTGCTCGTACTCGAGCACGACGCGCAGCGACAAGTGACACGGATGGCGGAGGCTGTGGTGCTGGGCCTACGGCGGGCGCGGTCAGGCACAGAATAAGTGGTCTCGACGGCGCCCAATGCCTGGGGGAGTCTGGATATTGCATTGCTGAGGCTTAAGGTGCCAGGAAGCGATTCGCAGTGGGGCCTGCCAGACGGCGGGCGCTAGTGGGTCCCTCGACTCTCCCGCAGCCGGCCCACGCACGCAAAGATGCGTTCGCAGTCGGGCTGCATTCTGGCACGCTCTCGCGAGTCGCGCGGCCTGCGAACGCTGCGCGAACACCCTCTTCGTCGCCGGACTGCGCGTGCGTGTCCACCATCTGCGTCGGGTGTGCGCAGCGACGGTTCTCGAGCGCGCGCGCACGGCTGCTGCCTTGTGGCCGGCCGCATCGGGCGCGATGGTCGCCTCTACGTGAGGCAGCAAAGACATTTCTTGATCAGCATGCTTCCGCTTTGGGAAGCGCGCTGGGTGCGTTGCCGCCGGCAGTCGGAGCATCGTCGCGCAGCCGTGGAGCATCAAGCACGCTGGTCCGAAAGAACAGCGTGCTTTGCCAATGACGGCGGGCCTCGCAAGCCGCTGCCCACCAGACCGCGCCAACGTCGACCGCTCCCTCTGTGCATGCGCCCTGTTCCACCCCAAAAACCCCGCGGTTCCATAGCCTTGCGCCGATGCCAGTGCCAGTGTTTGTTTTTGTGGCCTTGCAGCTTGACCGACTTTTGGGGCTTCCAACTTTGCACATCGTAGAGACGGTGCGATAGCAGCCCCTCGCACGGAGCTTCTTGCGTTCTGCAAGCCGTGTGCCGTCTCCATTGGTCTTGTCTTGGAAACAGTCGTGATCGCTTTGGGCAGCGGCTATGCGACGCCACAAATAGCAGCCACAGCGTGTCAGCAGAAAGCAGGCTGCGGCGTGTCATTGGCCACAAGAAGCCGCATTGTGGCGCGTGGCCCTCTGTGGTGTGATGGTGGTGGTGTGCGACGGAGTGGCATCGACTGGAGGGTTTGTAACGTCAGTTTGGCGCTGCCACAAGGCGTCGCTGCTTCCTCGTTCGCGACTTCCATTGCGATGTTCGGGCGCCTGCCATTGGACTCCATGGCTCGCTGGGCAACACTGAGGCACAAAAGCTCCCCTCCTCGACAGCCCATCGCGCGCATTAATTTCCGTTTGGCGTCTTGTGCGAAAGGCCCGGCTAATTGCACTCATTGAACAGGTGCCGGCCGTGGAGCACACGGACGGAGCATGAATGGGGCGGTGTCCACAGTGCACTAGCCACCATAGCCACCGCCCGACTTCAAGTCCAGTCTTCTTCGACTAATGTTGCCTGCTTTCCCCCGCATGCTTATCCGTCTTACTCAGCTCGTCTCCAACGAATGCTACTGCGGTAGTCGAATAGACCGGCGGTCCAGCAAGGCCCCCGAATAGCAATTGTTAGTTTGTCACAAATCCGGACGCTTGTTGACATCAAACAGCCAACTTTTTAGCCCCGCGCATCATGCTGCTAATGAGCAAGAATCCTTTGTCGAGCAACTTGGTGCGCTCGGGCGGCCTCAGAACCGTCACACGCTTGGATTCGCCGACACGTTGGACCTGCGGTCGCGACTACGCCGTATGATCAGCGAAGGTCCGAGAAATAGTGACCCGGCTGTGGCACGATAACAAGGCTGCTTCACACCTCAACCTAGACCGGCAAGTTCAGTCGCCACTCCAACGCAAACTGTGTTCGTCGACCTTCGATCCTTCGGGAAGTGACGTCTTCTAGCTCCCGCCCAAGCTTGCAAATCACGAATGATTCTACCTTGTTTTCAGCCTTGTCATGAGCGCAACGTCAGATTTTTGTGCTGAGTCCGACGCCAGGCACCTCTGCATGTGGTCTAATTTGCCTCCCCAGTAGCACCATGGAAGTCACTAATTCAAATTATGAAGCACCAGCGTGCAGTCTTCCCTGAGCGCATTTCCGCCGCCTCGTAGATACATACCTACATTACCAACGGCGAATGTGTCGTCTTACTCAGCATATAGGGCTCGGTACACAGACTCAACAGCCACATCTCTGCTGAGCCACATTCACACCTTCTTACTTCTCGTGACCAACCACAGCCTTGCATGACAAGCGAGGCGGCGGGTGTAGCATCAGGAACAACAAGCTTCTTACAAGTGTCCCCTGTCGAGCTGAACGCATTGCTTGGGCGCTCTACAGGACCGGAAATCTCTTCGGCGGATATCCCGCGTGTCAGTCAGGGTTTGCCATACCGTTCGCAAGGCTCCAGCTTCACGGTTGGCCTTCCCTTGCGCATCGCTGACGGCGTAAACCGGAGATAACGCCCGCCCGTCAAGTTGGGCCGGACCCAAGCTCGTGCGGTTGCGAGGCAGTGCTTTACTTAGTACAACATACACGGGAGCATCTGACCAGTCGTCCGGACCCCCATCGTACGACGAGCGTTGGCGATGTGTGAGGCCGCCGATAGAACCGCGGGCTCGCGCGGGCATGCTGGGTCGGAGCGTGTGGTATCGATGCAAACACCCTACGGGAAATCCTTTTTCGCCTCAAACAGAATGCTAACACCGTGTTGGGCCGCAATATCTTCATGGCAACCGTATCTTGGGGGTTACGCCTTGTGGAAACCCGACCTCAAATGTCGGTATGTACACCACGTTGTCAAGACCCAGCATCTCGCTGCTTCCGTTCAGCAAAGGCGTTTCTCCGCAGTTCTGTCTCATCTCGGGTTTGTGTACTGGCATGAGTAACAAGCACTAGCTGGGATGACGTCAAGGCTTTGGTTGATCTATATTGACATATAACAAGATTACTCTGACACGCTCCAAGAAGTAGATCCAGGCACGTTCAAAGTAGGTCGGACAGTCCGTAGCAATAGACCGACTTGGGCTAAACACCAACAAGTCTGTCTCTGAATACACGGGAATTGCCTCATATTTGTCAATTCTTTCCGCTGACTAAACTTTCATGTCAACACGAAAGCCATATATATTTGTAGACTGTTGCCAACGACATCGCATCTTACTGCTTTTAGGATCACATTTCTGATATCCGAGTTTCTGTACACGAGTCCATCAACTAGGTCTGACGATGTCTAAGCAGTGTGTAGACGCATGCACGATGATCATACTAGTTCCGGCTATTCTTGCATCGCAGATGTCTCTAAAGTCCAGTCAACGATACGGGTTGGTAGAAATCATGACGTGAGAACATACAAGAAATAGAATCGATTGCCGAGCTTACGCAATATGACTGTGAACTTCACCTTCAACTTGGACACCAAAAACGTTAGCTCAGAGTGGTCCCGACGTTGAGCTTCGAGAAATTGCTCATCCAGAATAGAAGTTCCAAGGATATTGGTAAAGAACCGTTCTTGATTATCTGTCCATATAACTTCAATTTCGTACCACGAAATCCAATCTCATGAACCTCCGGCGTGGTTGCAGAGACGATACTTTGACCAATCTTTCGTCCATGTGTCCTGCCAGATGTGAGAATACGCAAAATTTCAAAGCTGCCAGCATCACGCCTAGTGATTGACTCGGCGCAGACAGAGGTAAGCTAGGGTACAGCTTGAGCGACTGTACGTATGCTGTTTTGTGCTGCTGCTGCTGGAGCCACACCGCAGTATGTTGTCACCTCTTTGCAGCGTTCATGAGGGAGCACTGGAGTCCATGTACAGTAGATTTCGATGAGCCGTGTTCCAATCCACAGTGTGGCGCCCAAGAGGCCAGTTCTAAACGACGATCCGCAGACTATGTTCGAGGCAAGCGCACACTCTTGATGTAAGTGAACGCGTCGCCCAGCAACGCAGCGCGGCTCCGCGTTCACTTCACCACAAAGCTTTCCCATCTCTCTCCGCGCGCCCCGTTCCTCACCTTCTCTCTCAATCCCCCGCGCAAGTCGTTTCCCTCCCACCAACCCGCAGGATAACGGCTACCGCTCTGCAACGTGCCTCCGACAGCGACCTCTCTCGCACCCAAGGCCATGCTCCTCCCATGCGTGGTCCCGAGTGGCAATGCGCCGTCCAGAGCCCTGCCTTCATGCGGGCCAGTCGTAACCGAGAGCAGCGCATCCGACACACCGAGCAGTCTGCCCACGGGCTCCATCACCACCATAGCCGCGGACCCGCAGGATCCCATCGTTGCTCTCCCTACCGGACCCGACCCGGGCGCCACTTCACCGTGCAGCGCCGCTCGAATGCCCGCCGCTCCCACACCGCTGGACGCCGCGGCGATGAGCCGCGCCCGCACCATGCTCGGAACCTCCACCGCTACATCGGTCCCGACCACGAGCCAGCCAACTTCCACCTCCGCCGCGGAATCCAACCCCTTCTCCAGCCCCTCCCCAACCTACCTTCCCGGCACACCACCCGTCCTCGCCGCCCTCTACGCCATCGTGCTCCTCTGGACGCTCGCCTTCGGGTACGCCATGTACCACATCTACCGTGCTGATGCGCGGCCGCGCAGGGTGGCCGCGCATCCGCAGTGGCGAAGGACGGTGGATACGTATGGGCAGCGGAGCCCAAAGAAGGTGGGTGGGAGGTTTGAGATTAGGGGGGTGGGAGTGGGAGGAAGGGAGGGGGGAGTGGAGATGGGAGGAAGGATTGGAAGGGTGGGGATGTGAAACGTTGGGAGGGGATGTGGTCTGTCCTGGCAGGGAGAGGAGGTTGAGGAATCGGTGTGGGGTTGGAGGAAAAGAAAGTGATGGGAAAGATGGAAGAGCAGGACGGCATGACTAAAGTGGAGGGAGAGCTGCATGTTGAGGTGTCCAGCGGGACGAAACGTTGCAGAGCTGGACAGCATGGCTGGAGCAGAAGAGAAGGAGCATGGTGCACGAGTGTATTGAGACTCTACGTACGGTTGGAGATTATGAAGTCGACAAAAAGAATGAAAGTGTTAGCTTACAGTAATGTTTACCCGGAATGATTTGAAATCGCCTTCATGGGATCAGATAGCTAGTTCCATGGATGGCATCACATTGAACCGACATGTCTGCTACACAATACAACATCTCTCGGTTCAATGTACACATTGTTGAACTTTAAATGCCGACGTGGAACCAATAAAACTGTATTGTCGAGCGGCAACACTGGACAAGTACGGGTTCCGGTCGAGAATCGATGCGGTCAACACTTTTGATGGAGCTACTTACCCATGCAAGACTTAGCTAATTGTCGCCCAAAACCTACTCCTCACATTCACATCACAGCAGCAGGGGAAAGTGGCTATAAAGCCTGGCGATCAAGCCTCGTCTCGGTCCCTTACGGAACGTCGACTCAGCGACACCTAGTGGGGAAATAACCTTTTTTTCATTGACTCCTAATCATGATGCTCTCATAAGGAGCGGTATCCCAAGCCGTAATCGTGGCATGATCCGTAGCCCATGCTCCACATAATCGCCGAACCGAGGAAAGAAACACCGTATTGAGCGTCTAAGAGCGGGGGTTGCGGTCTCCGAAGCGGCGGGGTCGCTCGGCGACCTGCTGTGCGGCGACGGGGACGACGTTGACGGGAATGGAGTCGAACTGCAGATTGTTAGCGGACCACTCGCAGGTGAGAGTGTTTGGTCAAGACGTACGCCGAGGCTCTTGAGGAGGTCCTTGGTCTCCTGGTCGACGTCCAGGGAGCCGGACTCGCTGTTCTGGGTGAAGTCGAGGGCAGAGATCTCGGGGACGTATTGATCCTTGCGCTCACGCTCCTCTTCCTGGAGCTTGAAGGAAATACCGCGGACGGGTCCTCGCTGGATACGCTTCATCCTGCGTTGTGTTAGCCACCGAGCTTCTCCAATCGCAATTGCACATAGCGGAAGCATACAAGTGCGTGGCATATCCGGCAATCTTGTTGCGCAGACGCTTGGAGGCAATGATGGCAACCTCGTCGCAAATCCTCTTGTTGGTCTCGAAGTCGAGCGAGAGCTTGGGGTAGTAACGCTCAATGATGACCTTGGCGGACTTCTTCACGGTCTTGGTGCGGACGCGACCCATTTTGGCGGTTGACTGTAGATGTGCGGAGGGGAGAAGAGGAGGCTGCTGGGTTAGTCGGGTGTCGCGGTCGAAGAGAATAGCCCTGGCGTTGCAGAGCGAAATTGTGTGCGGTTGCGAGTGCGTAGCGGCTTGGCCTCGCTTACGTCGCACGGGCCCGCACGGTTTTGGCGAATGAATGTGCCGCCCGCTCCGGACGAGATCTGTCGCTACGGAGCAGGCGAGCGCGCACTACCAGAACACGGACGCAACGTGAAGCACATTGAAATCGAACATTGGATGCGAAAGTCGTCAATTCGTGATATGGAAAGCATCATTAAAAAGATATCGCTAACTCGGTCAGACGCAGCAACAGTCAAAAAGCCACCGCGCGCATCTCAGATGCCCGTTGCATGCTAGTACGCAAGATACAAATTCAAGGGTCCGGACTCATCCTTTATTCACCCCAAGTCGTGTCCTTCGCACACCGCTCGCTAAAAGAAACGCCTCTCGTGCGCCGTAGTCTCGCCGCCACTCTCAGCTCCAGTAGACTCGCCGCCGCCGTGGGGAGGATTAGGGTAGTAGAAGGCGGCGATCGCGATAATGACATACACGAAGATGAGCAGACTGCCCTCCATGTAGTTGGATTTCCGGTCGCGCAGGAACGAACCCACAACAAGCACGGCGAGGACCAGAGAAACGGCGTCGAAGACTTCGAACTGCATGTTCATGCCGATGTTGAGGCCCCAACCAACAATGATGACAAGCGGCGTGTTGAGCAGTGCGGTTTGGATCGAGGCACCGAGGACGTGAGCGAGAGCCAAATTCATCTGGCCATCCCATGCCTCGTCGATGGCGAGAAGGTGTTCTGAATAGCGTTAGCGTCTGTTTCGTTCCAGTGATATCATTGACATACCCGCAGCTTTCTCGACGACTGGAACAAGGATAAGACCCATGAAGGAGTCGCTGATGTGACGCTCCTCCACCATGTGTGGGATCTCGATGACTAAGAAGACAGCGATCATTGACACGCAGGCCAGCGAAATCAAGAGACCGATGATGCACTCCGTCAATGTGAGCTTGGGCTTGGCCAGCTCCTTGTTACGATCCTTGTCAATGAGTTCATCTCGCTCGTAGATCTCGTGAAACAAATTGTCGTGGGACTTCAGCTGGAAGAGGAGGTAGACAAAGTAGGCAATGAGGAGGATAATGGCGGTAGCACGTGAGATCTTCAACATCTCGTCGCTGATTTCGTTGACGGCGAGCTCGAGGTCTGTCCGACCATTAAGAGCATTGTAGTAGACGGTGGGGAGTACCAGACCCACTGTGACAGATGTTAGTATCCAATCGTATCACGCATGCGCGAGAAGACGTACTTGCGGCTACGAGCATCAGACCGCTACCGGCCTCTGAAATGGCTTCGTGGAACGACTGCTCACCACCCTTAAGACCACCGGCCACGAAGCAGAAACCCAGACACAGTAGCATGTTGGCGAGTATGGAACCCAGGATAGCGGCGCGAATAACGGGGACATTCTGCTCTCTGCCTGTCACCAACAACACCATGAACAGGACGATTTCCACAACAGATCCAAGTGTCGTCTCGACGATGACGCCGAGTACCTTGGGCAGTTTACGAGCGAGCTCTGACCCGCAGAAGCCCACGGTATTAGCGGCAGGGACCATCGCAATGAAATTGGTGATGAAGATGGCAAGATGGGCGCCCTTCGTGTTCGGAAGTGCAAAGTGCTGCGAAATACGTTAGTCGGGCGGATGGCTCTGACTGTGTGGGTGTACCTACCAAGGCGATGGCGACGGGCACCATGGGCCACAGGATATTGACCCATCTAGAAATCACGCTGTTGCTCTTGTACGAGATCTTGAAGAACTTGAGTGGGTGGAACCCTTTCCTGCCGCTCTCGCCCTCGGGCTCGATGCCTTTCGTGACTTTGTGGCCATTGTGGTTGAAGCGCGGCAGGTGCATGTGGTGCTTCTGGCCGTTGCCATTGCCATGAGGCACCTCGGATTTGGGCTCCTGCGCGTACTCGCGCGAGGATCGCGACCGGCGAGAAGACGACATGGTGTGGGAACGTGGAGGGTAGGAATTCGGCATGAGAGTCAAAGGATTGGAACCTCAGCTGAGCGGACAGTCTGCATAGACCGTCAACGAAGCAGAAGGGGACCGTGTTTCAGGGAGCGCTGTGTGGGGACACAGCGACGCGGCGGCTAATTATTATAGAGAAGGAACCACGGAGATTTCTAGGAGGAGAATACGTGAAGCAAGCGAGATATGTCGGCCGTTCGGTGTCGCTCTCGGCGGCGTCATTTGGAGAGCTGGCCATCTTTCCAAGTTTATTGGAGGCGCGGGATGCACGAGCGGCGCGTGGATCGCTGTCACTGGATAAGGCGATCGGGCATCAGACTCACGATTGCCCGTCCTTTGTTTACATGTCCGTCAACACTCCGAGAACAACGACTCTCCAATGTCCGCGGTGTACACACGTCTATTCACTGTGACCCCCAAGCGCTCGCGCTCCGCAACGGCGCAGGCTTCGCACTCCTTGGGTTTGCTTGTCTGCGGAGGCCTTCGAAACAAAGCCCGCGCCAAGGGCAGCGAGTCCAGTTTCAAGCATTCTAAATCGCGGAGTGACATCAGCGGGAGCGCTAGCGCCCGCCAGCCAGGGGCCCAGGGGCTGCGCGACGAGATCTCACCGCCCAAAGGGTCCAGATGCAATTCCAGACTCTCTTACTGCCCCCAGCAACTGCGGCTGCTTGCTTGCTGTCTTCACGGGGCTTGCAGCCAAGACTAGCTGATGCACACAACTGACTGCGCCATTTTGCAGACCGGGCCGCCGTCAGGTTCAGCTGTTGCAGGCCGCGATTGCAGCCAGGCAGTGCAAAAGAAAAAGAGGGGCACGGATCGCAGAGCTAGAGCTGCATGTGGGGAACCCCGACGACAAGCCTCGTGCTTTCAACCTCAAATCAGAGACAAGCCCACTGTGGTCTTCTTACCACGCCTTGCATTGTCTATTTGTACTGAGAGCGACAAATGAGCACTCGCTGGGGCGTCTGATCACTCTGTTGGGCATGCGTGGTCTTGTCCCACGCCACCATGCAAGCATTGCGGGAAGCTGCCTGCTTTCAGGACGTTCAGAACGTGAGCTGCCACCTTCTGTCTCAGTGGCTTCGATTGGAAAGCCACATCCCGCAATCACGGCTGCTGCGGTTTGCCTCGTCTTGCACTGCGAAGGCCAGGGGCAGCATCAAACCTCCTCCGCATGCACAGGAGACAATCATCAGTCTGGCCCCCACGGGCAAGATTTGTAGATGCTGCTAAGCAGTGTGTAAACTAAGAACTCGTCCGTCAAATCATTGAGCAGGATGGCGGAAGCGAGTGGTTGACAAACAGTTTAGCTGATCTGCGGTAGTCGTCCCGTGTCAACCGAATGCGGGGCATGTCCAGGAATTATCGTATTAGAGCTCATTTCCGACCAGTGTTTCCTCTCAGGTTCGATCCTGTCTCTGCGGGCCGTCGTTATGCATGCATTCCGGCTTCCTGTCGACGTCCCGCTGTGCAGGTCGATGGATCTAATACGTTTGTGCGAAGGCCGACCCACGTCCGGTCTTTCGACCTACCCAGGCCCATTGCTGCAGGTAATCTGTACATAGCGCCATCTCAGGCAAGCAGGTATTCGCCAGATTTGTAGTTGCCTGTGTGTCCATACGCAGGTTGAGCAGGGTAGCAAGAGCCGACTCAAAGCCGCGGGGTCGCCTTTCGTCACCCGCCCCAACCTGCGTATAACCCAACAGCCAAAGACAAATCCGGCGACTACCTGGTAAGTAGCGCGTTCAATCAACTGCATTGCTATCAATCATCATATTCTCGCTCCACACCGCTACCCCGACTTCTGCCTCCGACTCTCCACAAAATCTACATACTCAAAGAAGCTCTTCTTATACCGCCTCACCTGCGTCGTCCGATTGACCGTCTGGATCCCAAAATGCTGCTTGTAATCCCCAAACTCCCAGTTGTCCGCCCAGCTCCACGCAAACACGCCAATCCAGTCGACGCCATCCTCCCACAGCGCCTTCAGGCCCTCGCTGAGATATGACTGGTAGTACAGACTGCGCGGGCTGTCGAACTCCTGATCGGACTGCTTCTTATCATCCTCGCCGAAGACGGGGAAGCCGAACTCGGTCACGGCGACGGGTGCGCGGAACGTATTGTACAGGTAATTGAGGTACGTGCGGAAGTAGGTGGGGGTGATGTAGACGTAGGATTGGGAGGCGTAGCCGATGTTCCAGCCGGTGGTTGTAGTAGTGGACTGGGTGACGCAGTAGGGGCGGAGCGGGTGCGAGATGTTTGCTGCGCAGTCGGCGATGGTGTCGTTGGGAGGCGGGGAGACGACGGTGGCTGTGTAGGGTTGGATCGAGAAGAAGTCTGCCGTGCCGTTGATGTAGGACAGGTCCTCTGCTGTGAGGGGCACGTAGTCTGATACTGAGTCTTTGAAGGCGTCGGGGTAGTCTTGGCCAAGGAAGATCGGGTTGCCAAAGGTCGCGAGCTGGAAGGCGTTGAAGTGGGTTGCGGCGTCCACATCGGAGGCGTTGGAAGGGTCGCGCGGAACGCCAAAGTTGTCGTTCAGAGTCATCGAAATCTTTCCCGTGCCCTTAATTTCGGACTTGTAAAAGTGGTAGAGGCGGGCATGCGCTTTGATGACAGCGTCGATGGAGTGGCCGTTCCTGGCGCCCAGAAGAGGCTCGTTAAATGTCCACCAGATTGGCACACGATCCGCAAAGTGCGTCATTACGATCTTGCCGTAATTTACAAAGGCGTCTTCAAAGGACACGTTCTTGTAGGATAGGTGGTATCCCGAGTCTGTGTAGCCGACGCCTCCTGTGCCTGGTTCAATAAGGATGGAACTGACGTTGGGGTAGAACTCAATAGGAGTATCAGTATGGTGGAGCACAATAGCTGGAAGCATGCCTTTGTCGAGAACGAGATTGATCAGATCGTCATAGTGCGATAACCCCTGCTGGTTGACTGGCGTGTCTGGCAGCACAAACGGCAGAATGCGACTCCATGGGATAGAAAATCGGTAGTAGCGTATGCCCATGGCAGCGATGCGTTCGATATCCTGCTTGTAGAGATAGTAATTCTCATTGGCGACGAAATTGTCGGCCCGCCCTGGTGAGAAGAGACTGAGAGCATCCATGTGCACAGGCGTCCTTCCCTCATCTGCTACAGCACCTTCGATCTGGACCGCTGAAGCAGCCACACCGAGCAAGAAATCTTCAGGGAAAGTGTAGCATGTCTCTGGGCCGAACGGCTCCGGCGGTGGAAGGACCAGCTCGCTTGTCGGAACTGGCGTTGGCTCCACGGTTGTTGAGTAAATTCCCCGCGTAAAGTTGACCCAGGGTATCGCGGTCCATAGAGCGGTCCATGAAGCGTTGCCGTAGGGCACCCCAACATCCGTCGGAGTAGCATTGGAAGCTGGATCCCAGTTACCCCATTGTGTAGTGGTGAGATTTGGAACCAGGCTGCTCAACTGAGAGTAGTTTGGTGCAAATGTTGTGGTGGCAGTCGGTACAGGTCTTGAGGTGGCTGTCCTTTCCGTTTCTGTTTGCGTGAAGCTGAATTCACGGAAAGAGTGCGAAGGGATGGCCGTCGCATAAGAACCGTTGCGAGAGCATTGCGGAAGCGATGCAGACCCGTCCACAGGTAGATAGACTTGCTGAGCAAGTGCCACTGCGCCGCTGCTAAGCAGTACGTGAAGCTTCATTCTGGGGTGGAGGCGCAATGGCTCTCCCAGTGCGTCATGGGATGAAGTTATTTATCGAAATTAGCTTTGCGGCTATACTGTTTGCTTCCAAGATCGGGAAGTGGGCACGGGAAAAGAGCGCACGGTAAACATGACACTACACAAACATACGATGATGCAATGTGACCTTTCACGTGGATACCCGGGAGGACATTCTTGTTTGAGGTATTCTCCGATCGAATTTGTGGGGTTTGATGCGGGGATTGTTGAACTTGAGCCTCGGTCTGCGGGGTAAAATTGAAGCGACGGAAAACCGGACCCTTGAGAGCAGGTTTCTCTGTTCTCAGACGATTGGAATATAATGGCGAGCTACGTCGTTAGACTATTCGCAACATGAACTTGTGCATAGACCGAGACGTTCAATCCTACGGACAGGAACAATTTCCGCTATCCACATTTTGATATTCGGTTGGAAGCAGGATCACAATTTCGGACGCTCAGCTAACCCCTTTGCAATTCCGCGGGAGATCCAGTCAGAGATAGCCATGTTAGTAATCATCGGATTGACACCGCTGGCAGACGGGAATACCGACGCATCCGCAACATACAGACCCTTCGTGCCCCAAACCAGGCCCGTAGGATCCACGACTCCCTCCTTTTCCTTTGCACTCATACGACTGGTGCCCATTTGATGTGCAGACACATACATTGTCTCAGGGCTTGGGAGGCCTTTGGCCCTAAGCCCACTAAGCCAGTCCTGGAATTTCGGATCGTTGACCCCTTCGCTCGTGGGCGTGGCAGGATCGCGTACAAAGGAATTGTGGCCTGGAATCATAGGGAATATCTCGGTTGCGCCTTGAACATACTGGATTTTGGCCAGGGCAATAATACCTTCAAGCAGATGGGCTTTGTCGAAATTGGAAGTCGTGTATTTGACGCGGACACGTCCATCGTGGGGATCGGGGTATACTTGACCTGGATGTTTTTCGCGGGCGATCGCAAAGTATCCAGCCATGTGCCTCATGCGTGCAGCGTTCAGTTTGTAATCTAGGCCACCCTTCCAGCTCATGAAGGTGAGCCATGCGGACGGGGTCATGTTGGTCGCTTCGATCTTGACTCCGTGGCCTCTGCCGTCCAGGTTCTCAAACTCATTAACAACCGAGGTAAGACAATCGCCTTCCCAAGGTACAATGTCTTCGTTGTAAATGCCGCCGAGGAAGATCACGGGGTGTAGATACAGGTTGCGTCCGATGTGGTGGTTTTTGAGCCCAGACCGCAGGAGTAGCAAGGGCGACTGCATCGTACCAGCGGAAATAATAACGCGTTTGGCCTTGATGATAACTTTGCGTCTGGTAACCGGCTCCCCAGCGATACCGCCATTGATATCTCTTGAAACCCAGGTGCCCTTTACACCTGTGGCAACCTGTTGTCCACCTCGTTTTGCAAAGATGATCTTCTCGGCGTGGAAGCCCTCGACAAACTTTGCACCGGCGCGAGCTGCATCGGGTAGCCAGCTAACAACGGGGCCTTGCTTCTCGCAGGAGCCACAGCCAAAGGTACATTGACCGCAGTAATGTCGCTTCCCTCCGCTATTCTGGGGAACAGCCTTAGCCGAATAACCTAGCTTGCGCGCGCCTTCGAGCAGTAGCCGGTTTATATTGCTGTGTTCGATGTAGTCGGTCGAAACCCCCATCCGTTGGCACACGCGGTCGAGCGAATCTTGAAACTCGGCAGAAGTGAAGAATGGAAGCCCACGGTCAGCCCACTCTTTCCGAACATATGCCTGTGTTTGGAGAGACGCAGACCAGTTCACCGTTCCACCGCCTCCAAAGGTCTGACCCGCGACGACAGCCAATGTACTGTCGTCTGATTGGATGCCGCCACCGTGCATGAATAAGTTGTTCCATCCGTACTGGTCGCGCATAGGGAAGTGCTCCGGAGTCCAATGGTGTGCCTTCTCAACAACAATCACACGATGTCCAGCTTCAGCCAGATTCTTTGCGCAAACTCCGCCTCCACACCCACTACCTACAATAACGACATCTGTCTCGATGACTTCCGGTTTCTCTCCAGGAGGAAACTGGATGAACTCGTAATCAAAACCTTTTCCTGGAATCATGCCAATTGGTACACGTGGGTACCCGAGGAAGCGGGGCAACGTTTCGCTGGTTTTCAGCCAAGTCTGCTTTGACAGAGCGCCCATGGATCGAACAAGCTGCCGGAGAAGAGGCAAACGTGCCGTCGCCCATGATTGAAGTATTGTTTCTCGCACATGTATAGGCTGCTCGCTGAAGGGCGTGACCTTGCCTGTGAGGACTAGTGATCCAGCGCGGGTGTTGAGTATGTTCAAGATCATTGAGAGATCCTTCTTGTTCGATTGAGGTAAAGTGAGCGCTATCACTCTTCGAAGCTCCTCTCTGAACACGGGATCCGATGCAGGATTGTCGTCAAGCAAGGCTTTGGCGGCCTCATCGCCATTAGGCTCGGGCGTGAGGCCCCGAAGCTTGCTTATGTGTGCCGAGTACTCATTGTCTGTCACCGCAATCTCAGTCCTGCTTCGAGCGATTGAGGCTGGCTTCACAGTGGGTATGATAGTCTCGGCGATGGCGAGGAGTGTCTTCCATTGCGGTGGAGTCAATGGATCGCCTGCTGGGATAGGCGGCAAAGTGGAGGCTTTGGGGGACACGGTTGCGGTTGGGAGCGTTTCAGACATGGCGGCTTGGGAATTGGTAAGGTAATGATTGAGCCTGCCGGCTCGTGTAATGGACTGTTCACGCCGATGGTTGCATCAAGATAACACAGAGAATTGGCCACACAGTGTACGTCTGTTGCTTTGTGCTGGGGCGCGGGTCAGCTCCAACGCGGAGGAAACGCGGAGTGCATGAGAGCCTAGGTTGATTTGGTGCATGTGCGTGAGTCGTGCGCTTCAACCTCGGCACTCCATCTCACGACTCCATCTCACGGGACAGCGCCACCTCGTGGCTTGTGCCTGCGCCACGCTCACGTGGCGCTGTTAACGCCGGGATATCTCCTCGGATTTCTTCTGACAGCGTCCAGGCCGCGTCGGCTCTGGATTGGGCTCCACCCCAGTGCTGCACTCTGGGCACGAGACCCTTTTCTCGTTCTCGCCGGCGGTTCCAAGCGGCTCAAGCCAGCCAGGCCATGGTTTGAGACTCACGTCGCGCTGGCCGCCGAGCAGCAGCCGCACGAGCAGCGACGCAAATGCGTTCGAGGCTCGATTCGACACCACTGACGTACGTCTCTGCGAATGTTGTGGTGAGGCAGAGGGGCATCCGATGGCGGGAGCTTTGCCAATACGAATTACCAAGGAAAGCGACGCGAGTGGTCAGAGATAAGCCTGTGTCCCGATTCGGACATGGGCGGCACCAAGGCCGTTGCCAAAACCTGCGGGATCGCGGCCGTGTCACAGTTTAGGACGCTACTACAGCGAGGCGCACGTTGCAACGGCGGCTGCAGAGCTGCGCGCGGTGCAGACAACGGTATCCGCGAGCTGCTGTGCTCTCGTGGACGCTGTGCGCCCGCAAAAAAGCGCAGCGGCGGAGGACGAGCAAGCGGCCGGCGTAGAGATGACAGTGGAGCGATCCGCGATATGAGCTGGGATCATCCTGCTGCGCGGATGCTTGCAGCGAGGCTAGCCGCTAGCACGGTCGGTCGAAGGCGTTGGACCCTCGCCTTCACCAGGCCGGTACGGGCAGCACGACGTCGTTCTTAATTCACTCGGTCGCTCCCATTCCAGACGTGACCCCTCCATACCGCTCGCTGCAGCACCCTCACCGACAACACCCACTCCGTGTGCCTACCAACGCCTCCCGCACCGCACCAACAGGCGACCAGTCCACTCGTCGTGCTGCAGATACAGATCAAACCCGGGCCGCCTGTCGTGCACCCATCCTTATCTCTGCTCGACCACCAATTGCCGTCGACCGCAAACACGCGCAGAGCCGCAGGCTTGCTCAGAATAACTTCTGCAACGTGCCAGCGTCGCGCTGTTCTCCAGGCCTTTGACTTGTCGTCGCCGTCTTCCTTCATCACCCCCCGCCGACGCTCGCACCTCGACCCACGCGAACACCAGAACAAACGCCTGTCGCAAGTTCACCCAGCCTCCAACCACAACTCGCACTCTCGCCGCTCGAGCCCATACCCCTTGTCTCGGCCTTGCTCTTTGCTGCCACCCATCCTTATCCGGCCGCCTCATGTCAACCCAGTTCTCAGGCACGGCCGTCGCTGTGCAGCACAACCCGTTCCAGCACGCATACAAGAAGTCCGCGCTTTACAGCCAGATGGATTCAGGCTCGAATACCCCAATGAATGTGTCGCCCACCTCGCCGCGCACCATGGGCCACCTGCCTGCATATCCCCAGCATGCACCGGCGCTTCGCCCGCTGAAGACACCCGGCTACATCCCCGCAGCGCTGCGTAGGACCGAGAAGCCTGGTGGGCGGTCGCCGCCAACCGCCGACTCTGCCAGCGATACACCAAACACCACCTGGGGTTCTTCTGGACAGTCGCCCGGCGAGATTACTCCCATCTCCCGTATCGCGACCGAGGACATGCGCTCCATCTACGACGACACCCCGCTGTCTCCGGTGGCTGGGCCCATTACGCGCAACCACTGGCAGGTACGTTGATTTGTTTTCCACTTGTTGCTCTGTTATTATTGTTAGCACCCACTCCCCTCCACTTTTGTCGCGTGCCTTTCCGTGCGCGAGCCGCTGTTACGTACATGGTTCCGGCGCGGGCCCTCTAGCGTGGCAACGGTTCCCAGCGCCTCGCCGAATACCGACGCGAGCTGCAGCAAGCCCATCTTCGTCCCTCAACAACTCTTGACATTCGCATCGAGCCCTGACGTCGCTGCCATGCCCGCTCGTCGGATGAGGTGTGATGCCACGAGGTGGTTGAGGCGGCTGCCGTGCACTTTTCTTAGTTTTCCTTTGTCTCACCCGCCACGAGTCCCCCCCACACTACGCTTTGGCGAATGCAGGGTCGCCTGTCTCCGGCCTGCCTCGGCCATCTCCCATCCTTAGCCCGTTCCTTTGACATTTGGCGCCTCATTCATACCTCCCGGCCCAATCGGATAGAGCTGACGGAATCGTTCTAGCCTGACAGTTCGACTGTTGTCTGCACCGCTTCGTGCTGCCAGCAGCCGTTTGGTCTCTTCATGCGTCGCCATCACTGTCGCAAGTGCGGCGGCATCTTCTGCTACCAGCACATCCAGAAGCAGGTTCGACTCAACGAGCACGCTTTGTTCCATCCTGAGGGCGAGTTGCACAAGGCCTGCGATCGTTGCCACACGCAGTTCCGCGAGTGGGAGCAGATGCGCTCCAGCCGCACCAACAGCGAGAGCTCTGGCAGCATCGACAGCCCCGCCGCCGTGCAGATCGAGCAAGCGCCGCAGGCGAAGCGCCCAGAGTGTGCCCCCAAGGCTAGCTTCCTGTCGCAGAGCTTCGGCGGCGGCACCTGGAACTGGAGCACCTTCTAGTTCACGACTGCCTCGACGAGTCTCTTTCTGGCCATTCGTGCCTTCTTTCTCAACATGATGATATCCCGGACGGCCTATCGCCTACATAAGGGCACACGGTCGTCCACAATTCTTTCCAGCTCTTTCAGCTTCTGCACGAAGCATCTGCATAATTGCATGGTATCCTGGCGCACAGCATTATCCGGCGGGTGGGCATTTTCAGCGATTAGTATTCCTTTGGTTCGCCCATAGACTCGCCGCGTTCTTGCGAACGCGTGCTGCTCCGGCCAACGAGATATCCAACCTAATGATTGTTTCTTCTAGCCCTGGTCAGTCGATCGGCTATACGACCTGGCGACGAGGGATTCGAGCTGCGGCTCCAGCGTAATGGCGTTTTAATGGACTGGCGTATGGAGCATTGACGATTTCTTTTCCTGACTGCGTTCGATGACATTGTAGAGTGCTCTAGCACATTGCAAGGCAATGACTTGCACGTGGATTGGAGGGGCTGTACGAGTATAGTCGTTGCGTGGTGGTTAGTGGAATCAAGTTCTTTATGATATAAATTTGCCGTTTGCAGGTGGTGACTCGGTGGCTAGTGATGGCGTGATGCAATGGGGCCCGTGATGGGGTTCCGACGGCTCTCGGAGTGAAGGCGCGACAAAGTGGGGACTGGGAGGGCAGCCGCACTTGAGCAAACACTCGGTCGAAAACAAAGAGTAGCGGCAGCATCGCTCATATATGCTGAAAGCACATCGGGGGGCACAGCTTCTAGAGCTAAGAAACACACCATTCATGAAACATCACAGGCTCCAGAAGAATTCGCTCGTGGTCCACTCAGCTGCACTCAGCCCTATTTAAGATCGCTGGCGGGAAGGATGGCGCTCCCCGATTGGTCGGACCCTGGCTCCTGGGATCCAAAATTCTAGCACAACATTCTGAGAAGGGATGACCTCTTTTCATATCCACAATCACATCACGCGTGTGCCTTCACCGCTTGCCTGGGTCAACGTCCCGGCCTGACCCGCAACGTAGCGAGTTGGCAGCCATTCATTCGCTCTTCGTGCGCGCGGCGGGCAGCGGTGCCCCCGCTGTTCTGAAAGTTGCGACTACGACTACTTCAGGTTCTTACAGACGCTTTTTCGGTACTAGCACCGCGGGCATGGCATCTGGCGTGCCAACTTCGAAGATGGAGGGCAGCAGTGGTGCGGACCAGCCCACGCAAAGGACCAAGCTGCGCGGGAGGGCTTTCTACGAAAGTATAGGTAGCCCCAAGCTTGTGCTTGCGCCTATGGTGGAGCAGTCAGAATTCGTACGCCACCCAGACAAATATCACCTTCCACGTGCAGAAAGGCAACTAATAATGCATTCCAGGCCTGGCGCATGCTCTCACGCTCCTTCCTTCCTGCCTCGGAGCAGTCCAACCTCCTTGCGTACACGCCTATGTTCCACTCCAAAATGTTTCTCGAGGGCCCCAAGTACCGCGACTCGCATTTCCAGCCGCTCAAGTCAGCCATTCCTTCGCCTCCTGACGCATACCATATCTCGCAGCTGCCTGACTCAGAGCGACATCTCGACGGAAACCCGGCGTTCGACCGCCCGCTCACGGTGCAATTCTGCTCCAACGACCCCGACGACCTGCTTGGCGCTGCGAAACACGTCGCTCCGTTCTGCGATGCAGTCGATCTCAACTTAGGATGTCCGCAGGGTATCGCGAGGAGAGGAAACTACGGGGCATTCTTGCAGGAAACTCCAGAGTTGATTGCAAGGATGATAAAGAAGTTGGACCAGGAGCTGGATGTGCCCATCACAGCCAAGTTCAGGATTCTTGAGACGAAGGAGAAGACACTGGCATACGCAAAGACGATACTAGACGCTGGGGCGAACATACTTACCGTACACGGCCGGCGGCGCGAACAAAAGGGACACAACACCGGATTGGCAGATTGGAAAATGATTCGTTATCTAAGGGAGAATCTGCCAAAGGATACGGTCATATTCGCGAATGGCAACATCTTGCAGCATGATGATATTGCGAAGTGTCTGGAAGCGACGGGTGCCGACGGTGTTATGACTGCTGAAGGAAACCTGTACGATCCGACGATATTCGCGAAACCCCCTCCTGTAGGCGAGGAAGGCCGTGAATACTGGCGTGGACGAGATGGGAAGGGCGGTTACAGAGTCGATGCCGTGTTCCGTCGTTACATGGACATCATCCACAAGTATGCGCTTGGGCAGGAACCACCAGCGCGTGGTCCGCTCTTCCATCCCAATGATCCTGAAGAGCCGCCATCGCCGCCGCGGGATGAAGACGACGGACCACCACGCAAGAGACAAAAACAGAACAAGACCGAAAAAGGCCAACTGAAGAACCCGAATCTCACGGCTATGCAGGCACATTTGTTCCATCTCTTGCGCCCGCTCGTATCACAGCATCACAATGTCAGGGACGCATTGGCAAAGTGTCGGATGGGCGACATCGATGCCTACGAGAACGTGCTCAAACTCACGGAGAAAGCTGTCAAGGAGGGCATTCAAGCTTACGAACGGGAGCACGCCAATGGGCAAATTACAAATGGCGCAGACACCAGCAAAGCCGAGTCTGCACCCGAAAACGCACAAGATGCCCCCCAGCAGGAAGAGCTAGACCCATACGAGTCCTCGCTCGCCACTGTCGCCCGATGCAAACGTCCCTTCTGGGTGTGTCAGCCTTATGTGCGCCCGCTTCCGAAAGAGGCTATTGAGAAGGGATCAATGCAGCTCAGCAAGAAGGAAAAGAAGAGGCTGGAGGATGAAGAGGCGGCGGCTAAGGCGGTCGGGTTACAGCCAGAGGGCAGGATTGAGAAGGAGCCCTTGGAGAAGACAACGGCAAACGGACACACGGCTGAAGGGGTGCCAGCCCCGGTTGGAGAAACGCAGCAGGAGGAGGTTGAGATACCGAAGGAGGGCGTGGTGTGTGGATGAGAAAATTGGCTCGAGGCTCGCCCGACTTTACAGCACCTGCGGAACCACCCACCTCAGAACCAAGATACAAACAGCTCGACCTGAAGTCGATACCACGAATGATACAGCTATTGCAACATTGATTTACCTTCATCTTCACGAATTGCCGGGAGCTCGTTCCCTCTTCGACTGGAAAATCTTAAAAACGCGCCTCCCACGACAATCGCGAAATTTCCACCTCTTCCGTCTTCTGTATCCTCGTCCACTGCTGTGCTTTCTTTGAGTGCACGTCATTCTCGCCCTAACGCGTCGACAATGGCGCCCTTCAAGCCAAGTACCGAAGACTTCTACTTCGAACTGGGCATAATTCAGATTGCTACGCAAGCTGAAATCAAGTTGGCGTACCGTAAGCTTGCCCTGCTAGGCCACCCGGACAAGACGGGATGTGTCAAGGATGATGCCGACTTCAAGAGTGTACGTTGTTGTGTGCGCACAGACTCACCCAGACTGATTGAGGCGCGTAGGTCTATAAAGCGTAAGAAAAACCTCGCAATGCAGAAGAGCGCGAGTAATATGACAAGGAATACACCAAGTGGCTGAGGGATACCTGGATGACATACCCGCATATTCTGACCAGGAAGCCGTGACACAGAAAGAAGCCGAGGAAGCGAAGGCTCAGCAAGAGGCTGAAGAAGCGAAGGTATGGAATGCAGCTTGGACGCGCGCTAAGACGCCAAGATGAAAGAGCTCGGGCGTCAGTACAGTTCCTTCCAACGTTACGTTGATATCGTGCGGCAGGAAAACGAGACACATGATCGATGCATGGATGAGACGGGTGCTAAAGTCAACCGATGGGCCCAATGTGGATGCGAGGGATGTCAGGCCCGCCGCCAGCGACTCGAGAAGGAGAAGGTTCACTCTATTCATTGGTCTTCTGATGAGCAATGCTGGTATACGAGTCCATTCACCAGATCAACCCTCCTCCTAAAGGACTAACCGATCACGAGAAGGTCTTGCTGCGTGCCTACTTGCAAGCGCGGCGAGAGAAGCAGGTCGAGAGAAAGCGAGACGAAGAGAAGCGCGAAGAAGAGGGTAAGCAGCGGCGCGGAAAGAAGGAGCAGCAGCGCAAGGAGCATCAAGAAGTGGACAGGCTTAAACGCGAGGAACCAGAGCAACTGCGCAAAGAGCGCGAGGAGCGCGTCAAAAAGGCCGCAGAGGCGAAGCGCAAGGAGAGCGGAAGCTCAAGGAGAAGTAGGCAACGGAGTGTAGCGGTGAAGTTGCACATTGCACCCAAGCGCGCAACGAGAAAGCTGCCCGGCTGAAATTAACAAAGGAACGCATCAAGACGAAGCAAGATGCGGCGATGACTCGAGCGAAAGGTGCCCAACCCAGTGTGGACAAGGTTGGAACGTGCATTGGCTGGAAGAAAAAGAGGAACAAGAAGAATATGGGTGCCAGTGATTGCTTGTTCTGTGGGGGGCGAATGAAGACATTCTTCTTCCTGCTGCCGGATGGCGTGGCGGATGCTTGCAGCCCATGCAAGAAGGCGCTCAATCATATCGCACTTCCCTCAAAGGATAAGGAGGAGTAGGAGGAGGAGGCTGCTGAGGAAGATGGCAAGGACAGTTCTGTATGGCTGGACGAAATCTAGCAGCCAGATGTACACAGTCTAATAATAGCATCTGTCGTTTAAGTCCCCATTCATGTTCCTCGATCCATTTTCAACACCACCAGACTGAACTCTATAATTTCCGAACGCTACAACTTCCTCATGCGTACTATATTCCGTGTGTACTTGTGACGCTCGATGCGAGCCAACCAATATCATTGACATCGTCCAGACTCCTGGCATGTCAACCGCGACTGCGGTGCGATGAGCTCCTGCGGCTGAAATGAGGACAGCATCAGATTCTCGGCTTTCACAGTATGTATATGGACGCCCAAGCAGCAACATTTCCGACGAGCGCAAAAAGGATCGAGGCGACCTGGGATGCGGCATGAGGACTGGGACATTGGGGATCTCTTGTCGGCCAATTGCGGTTGGGTTAAGGTTGCCAATCTTTACTTAGCCGCACATTACACCCGTGGGTGCTTTGCTAGTAGTGAATTTGCGGAGTGCAAAGCGTGCTAAGGGAGCTGTGGGTACGGTTCAAGGGCGTGATTATACACTCGTCTTTGCCTACTAATCGACGTCGAACAGAATTCATCTCTGAACACTCAATCTTTATATCACCTGTATTGTTGCTTGTGGTAGACGAGCGCAATCAGTAATGAGAGAATCTAGGCTTCAGCATACGAGCCGGCTGGCAAGCTGAGGTGGTTTTCTGTGGTTGAAGTGAGGTTTGAGGAAGTCCGGACAGCGACGGCATCGAGGGTCTCGTGGTGGCTTCAATGACGGTCATGTGGGCGTTTCTCAGGAACTTCTGAGCCCCTTTGGACCAAGGTACATACCATTTGGAACCGAGTAGAGGTCAACCCTGGATATCCCCTCGTGCGATGGTAGGCCTTCGCGTTACTAGCGGGACTAGGGACTGCAGCAAACATCAAGTGAAGCCGGGCTCGCTCGCAAGGGCTGGGCTAATGAGGGAATGCGCATCTGCCAATCGTCCACCAACACTCAGTCCACCACAGTTCACCAAAGGTTACCACGTTCCGGGCATGCAAGTCCACGGCATCGCCGCACCACTACCTGACCACGTCCTTTCTCCGCGTCGGTACCGCAAAGCCGCAGTCTTTAGTTCCATTCCACGGGCTTGGCAGCCGTAACTCAACCCCAGCTCCCGTCGCACGTGAAGCCGCGCGCGTGGCCGTTTCCGTCGCGCGACTACCTTTTGCACTGGCGCCGGATACATCGACGGGTCTCGGGAACGCGATTATTGGCTGACAGCTATAATCTCCAATTCCTAATAATAGACGCGATCCGACTCCGAAATTTGCGAAGCGGAGGGCATTTGGTTGAGCTTGAAGATAGTGTGCACGAGGCAAAGAGGGCCAATCAGCGAGGGATGTGAGGAGGGCTTAACGCCTGCACGTGCGAGGCTGCTGCACCGCAACCATGCACTGCGTCTGCGGAGGCTCTCCTTGCTTCTGTTTGCAGGAGTCTCACGCGGCTGTTTTTGAGTGACGGCGCCCTGGTTCTGGGAAACGGTTCCAAGCGAGGAGTGCGCATGTCTCATCGTGGGTGCACTGAGTCCCAAGTACACGAGGACATTGTCAAGCTCGTTGCGGTTCGTGTACGGGAAGGGGAGCGACGAGATGGAAATGATGTCCATTATTAGCAGCAAGATTATTCTGAACTCCACCAGCTGCACTATTGGCAATATTCGAGATGTCTCGATTTTCTTCGAGTAAAGCTTGGTCCTTTATAATTGTGATAGCGTAGTGATGTATACATTTGAGAGAATGAAATGCCATAGCAATATTACCGTATCCGATACCCAGATGCGCTTGACCATACAAGCCGTAGAGCTGACTGTTGCAGCCCGTGAGAAAAAGATCCAACAACGCCGCCTAAGCCCATCCTAACCATGACTAGAGGACCAGGTAATCGCTCAAAAAGCACAGTAGCCACATCGCCGCTCACGCATGCCATCGACTGTTGTCGCCAGTTACACAGAGATGTCGCCCTCAGAGTACCCACCGGGATAGTACCCATTTCGCCACTCGTGCCAGTCTGCACACCCGCCGTTCACGTTGTCCAAGCCGGCGGTGATGTCAGTTGCTCGCTCGACGAACTGGATGCCGAAGCCTTGTGAGAGATGGAATGGGATGTGACAGTGCATGAGCCACAAGCCCGGGTTGTCCGACTCGAATGCAAGCACGAGATATCCCTTTATGGGCAGAGTCGCTGTGTCGCGTCGAGGAGGGTTGTCCATATGCAGGGTCGAGATGTCACCTTCCCAAGTCTTGCCCGATTCCTGGGCAAGGACATAGAAGTCATGTCCGTGGAGATGGATTGGGTGCGGGACCGCGGCGAGGTTGGCAGGATCTTGTTGGATTACCCAGTACTGGAACTTGTTTGCCTGGCCGATGGCGTACGTATTTTCGGGCTTGGTAAAGTTGCCGCCGTTGTGAGAGATCTGTTGAATTGAAGGGTTGCTGATGTTGATGTGCATAGGCGAGTCACCTATCAGCCACTGTACGAGGTTTGCGCCTTCGACGATGGTGTTGCTGAACTTGACTTCCATCTCTTGGGGCGTTGTTTGAGGCACTTTGGTCTTGACCCAAGGTACAAGATTCTTCTCGTCATTGCAGCCTGTTGACAGCTGCGATGTTGCTTCCGAATCGGGGTTTTCTTCATCTGCACCCTCGTAGCGGAAGATGCTTCGGATTTGGCCTTGCATGAGATTCGGACCGTCACAGGCTCCGCCACCTGTGTCGACACGAAGCCAGTAGTTACCGACAGTTTGATTCGCATTGATAACAACGTCATAGCGTTGGCCTGTATGTTGGTCAACGGAAATGCTCCGAGTTATGATGCGCGGTTTTGGCGGGCCTAGCACAGAATTGAGGCTGTAAAAATATGAACTTACCAGCCGCTATCGTGAGTGAATTCGCACTATAAGGCACGATCGGGTTGAAGTCCGCTGCAATCACTGTGAAGGGATGTCCGTCGAGAGCAACGTTGACCCAATTATTAATGCCGTTGTTCATAAGACGCAGGAGATGCGTCTTTCCTTTTTGCAGCGTGGTGACGGCGTAGTTCCCACCATAATCTGAGACCATCGTCCCATTAACGAGCATGTTATCTGCAGTCGGCGGGCCATTGGCGTGGAGTGTAGCTGCATTGACGGCGAATCTGATCACTAGTAAGCGGAGAGACTCCCGAGGCCAGGCAATGCTCTTACACAGGAGTATGGAACCAATCCGTAATCGGAAGAGGTCCAAGGTCAATATCCCAATTCTTTGTTGAGGGTCCATGAATCACGATGGGTCCTGAGACGCCCTCGCTGTACTGCACTGAATAGTGACTGTGCCACCAAGATGAACCGTACTGCGTAGCCTTGAATCGGTAGGTCCTCGAACCGCCTGGCGGAATGGGACACTCTGTCACACCAGCAGTACCGTCCGCATCGTTTGTACCCAGCTGTCTCAAGCCATGCCAGTGAATGCCTGTGCCATTTGATTTGAGATTGTTGGTTACCGTGACTTCAACGTTGTCTCCCCAAGTAGCGTATAGCGTCTGAGGGCTATTAGCAAGCTTCGTTGCCAGTGTCATTCTCATTTATCTTACCGGTCCCGGGTACTGCCCATTCACCAACAACATAACCCTCTCGTAGCCATCTGGACTACCAGTAGTGTTGCTGACTTCCCAAGTGTACTGGCCTTGTCAACTTCATTCTATTCTCTGCGCGAATTGTACAGCTCACTTTGACTGTGTTCCCGGTGTCGGGCCATTTCGCATCCATGTCGGTTTCGATGTCGAAATCCCCCCAACATGCCCTGGACTGTGGACTATTCTGGCAGGAATAGTTGCGCACGGTGTTTGAAGTTTGGGGAGACCTTTTCAAGAGGCCCATGAAAGTATCGGCTTTTGGCAGAGCGAACGCAAGAACCGAAGGACATATGATGGCCAAAAATAGGGCCACATATGCCACTCTTGGTGATATGAACCACATCGTGAAGGCAGTGAGCACAAATGAGGGTAATTGAGGTTGTGTCGAATGCGTAGCGTGTTCAAGGACCTTAAAACGAATGCAAGGGTGGCGTCCAGGAGGACGAGCAGTCAATACGAAAGAGACGGTTGCAGCATCTTTGAGACCAGAAGGGTGGGGTGGCTATATACGCCGTCCTTCTCGCTTCTTCGAGGCTGGCTGGCATGGTGAAAGCGAAGCTAGAGCCTAGGGCTGGGCGTTGCGCGGGACACCGATCGGATCAAGCAATACCGTTGGCTGTCAGCCTAGCTTGACACCTGCGTGCAACCTTTTCCGCTGTGAGCCCGTGAACGAAAGTGGAATGGCGGGTGGAAGGTCGTGCTCCCGTCAGACTGTTCCTCGGGCGACAGCGGCTGGTATCAATGAAGCGTGATGCCCAGAACCCCTGACAGTTGGTCAGAACAGGTTAGTAGGGTTGTTGCGGTAGCTTTACTCCAGTGTAGAGATCTGAGGCTAGTTTGGCAGCGAAAGACTACTGCGATCACATTGCAGGTTACCGGTCCAGAATGGCACATCAGGCCACAGGCTGAACGATCGTGCAGCATTGGGCCGTATGGTGACGATAGGGCAATCTCAGACGCATTATGCACCTAGGAGCTCGTGCTGCTGTTCGTCAAGCGATCAAATTCGTTGGCAATGGCGCTGATGCGCTGGGTGTTGTTGTGTGAAGTCGGAGATACAGCAGCTCCTCCCGCATTTAGCTAAGCCTCTTCCGGCAGAGGGGAACAGCACCGATCTGGGACACTTGAACGCGCCCGCGTTAGCGTGACCGGAGTTGACTCGGGGAGCCGGTCGATCCAACACCAATCGCTATCTTACCGTAAAGCACTCATAGGGCGACGAAGCAAAATTGCCGCTACAGCCTGCTTTAACAAAGGGCCTCTGCCGGTTGTTACCGCGACGACCCAAGATCGTGACGTTCTCGTCACCGGAGCAGGGACTGGACAGGCAAAGACTGCGGTGTAATCTGCCGCTCCACGCAAGACATTAACTTGGATCTGGGCGAGAACTGAATGCAGACGCCTCTAGTAACCGCTCTGCCGAGGAGACATCACGATGATCGTCACACTGTCGCTGCCCTGTTTGTCAATGTAGTACTACTGGACATCCCTGCAAGCATGTGCATGAGGACTTCCGATGAAAGCTGTAAGCGAAGGACGCCTCCGAAATGAAAGGCTGAACACAAGCAGGCCTTCAAAAGAATTTGGGTCTTATCCAGGCACTTGGCTGAGGACAAAGTCACCAAAACCTAGCCCGAGGTCTGAGGTGGCGTATTTTTCTGCGACTACATGGTCAGTAAGTCGACATAACTGCCACATTAAGGGCAAAACCTACCGTACATGCAATAGCAAGGACAGCGTTCCACAGCCACGAAAGTGTATGCATGCCAAGAGCTCGAAGCAACAGAATCCAATAAGATGGTATCTTGTACGAGGTCTTGACTCTCGACAGAGGTAGCGATGCTCCACAGCGTCTCTACGCCACACCTGGCCCTGAGATATCTTCATAGTCGGAGCCCAACCGCTCCAGTCAGCCAGTTGTCGGTGATGCGCGTGGCGTAGAAGGCCAGCTCAAAACCGTTGAGCCAGCCTTCGCGGCAAACCCGATTGCTTCGAGAGGGCTGGATTCAGGAAGCTTGATTAAGGTTGCATAATACTAACGGCCGCTAAGATGTACTACAAGAGAAAAAATATTGACGCAGTGAGAAGCTTGTCCAGACTACCGGAGGAAGTGTTCCGGCAGTGGTCATTGGGTCCGTCAGCAACACTGCCGTAGCAACTGCGCTGTGATTAATTGGGATGTCGATGGTGTACATCAATTGAGGACATTCCTGCTTTAACAATATCGCGAGCTATTCGAGCCCCTGAGCTAAGAGTACGTCCCGCGGTACGTGTAGGCGCGGTGTGCCCGAATCTCTCAGTCAACGTACCAGGGCCTCTTTTCTATGGTCGATCATCGTGTCGCCCCTCTAGATTTTTCGCCACCGACAATCTTTTGTGAGAAGTATAGAACCACCTGGGTATGCACCAGTACAACGATTAAAGCTACCAAAAATAAGTCATGTGTTCATCAATCTAGCCAATTCGCTTCCCAAAGCAGCCCAAACGTCCTGCCTTGAACATTACAGTCGCGTATCGCCACCAGCCATCAAATCGCAAGATCGTACCTATGGTACATTCATCTACCGGCAAAAGCAACCGCGTATCTCCTGATACGATTAGCAATGCAAACCGAGCTGTAGAGTAACATCGGTGCCGTTGAGCAACATGTGAGTGCCTTAGTAAGCCTTTGTTCTTTTCTGCTTCCCATGTGCGGAGCTCGTGGCCCCGCAAACCCTTATCGGACCGCACGTGCGCCTCACAACATTGCCACGATACAGTGCTACCATCCTGAAAGCATGTATATGCAGAACAATTCGATGCCTGGGAAGCATGGGATTACATGATATAGTCAAGGCTAATTACCTCCCCCACGCTCCAAGGAGGTGAGTGACTCAGGATCCTGTTGTTGCGTGGAACAATTCCTGGATTCAATCGCAGACTCCACGTAATAGCGTTCTGTGCCTATCACCTTAGCATCCGATGATCGGAGAATCGCAAGAGCTGGGACAAAGCTCAATGTCGAAATGCGAACGTGCAATTCCCCATCAGCCGAGCCCTCGCGATGTAGCCTGAGTTCTATCGAGGTGACGCGAAAGTCTACTAACACATGAGCAGGTATTCAAGACTGACCTCTAGTGCGCATCCCATATCGAAGCATTGCCGCCCTCTCCGTACCTTCTTTCCGCCTCCGCTTCCTACTGTCTTACCTTTCTCTCGCGTCGTTCTTTCCCATGTTGCCTGTTTGGTTGCTATTTCCGGTATTGTGCCTCTCTGTGAGTTTGCAATTCTCTTCTGCTTTCCTCCACCTGCTCTGCTTGCTCCATCGCAATGCGGTCACGCCTGGACTTCTCCTCTTTCCAATCTATCACAGGATTCCAGCTCAGCATTGTTACTTTTGGGAGAATGGCTGTATTGGTTAGGTTTGTTTGAGACTCAGGTATGACGGTAGAGATGTAGTGGGTATAGTGGCTTCTGAGGGGCCTCAAGCATGCTTATCTATATCGATGCGACGGGCAAATCTTCATAAAGCTATCCCATTGCAACGTTGGTTCGGCGGCTTAATCTTCGCGGCGACTCGATTACGTGACTGCTTGTATGCTGGAAGCTGTGACCGACAGTCGCCCTACGTGGACGTTGACTCGCCTTTGACTCGCATCGTGAAATGCGGGACACATTTGCGAGGCACTCCGTGTGTAGGCAAATAGAGACTTTTGATTGCGATCTATAGCGGCCGTAGCATGGGAAACGGCCATGCGTCAAATCTATCACTCCTTCCCAATTTACCATTGCTCATTCCTGCCTGGAAGCGACCGCCTTGCGGCAAGCCCAGAATCTGGAATCGGAGTTACAAGAAAGAAATGTCGTGTCGTAGTACGTTTTCTTGCCATATAGGGGGTATTGGGATATCTCTCGTCGTTGCTGAAGATGAAACATGAGAACAAAAGAAATGTCGGAGTCGCCAGAGCGCTGTTTGGGGTACGCTGTTGAGATCAAGGGTATCCGTAACCAAACCCGGGCCACAGCGCAGGTGGAGGAGTGGCTATGTAGATTGGCCTAGATTTCGGACAAGTTAAAACCTTTCGATCAAGTGCGCCTCATCGGGAGAAAAGGCAGAGAAAACAAGGAAGGATATGCAATGCAGAGCAACGGGGATGATGCATTACAACCTTCCGTTGTCAATCTTCAGCCTCTTCCACATGCCTACATGCTCGATGCCTTCCTCCACCCAATGCGGCTCTTTTGCTATCTGCACTTCGCCGTTTTCACTCCTAAGTTCCTCTTTGAATCCGAAATGTTTCTCCCAGTAGTTCTTGAGGTTGGCTTGAGCGTGAATCATAACGAGGCCTTGCCATGTGGCGGCGTCGTGAGTTGCCTGGCCGCGCAAATTGGCAAGCTCCATAGTCGTGGGTGAGGGTGGCTGATAGATAGTGTCGGGATGCTTCGCGGCGTAGTCGATGGCCGTGTTTATGAGCAACTTTGCGAGGCCGAGCTTACGGTAGGGCGCGAGAACAGCTAGGCGGCCCAGCTTGACGTACGGCTCGGTGGGGTGCTTCTTCTCGGATGCAGTGGTGCCTCCAGGTGGGTCTGCATCCGAATGCTTGTCTGGGCTCTCAAGATATTTGTTTGGTCCATGCGGCGCGGGGATAAGCCGCACAGTACCTACGGGTAGGCGCGAAGCCGACGCACTTGCCCTTCTGGTGTCCTCTTCTTTGGTTGTTGAGCCCTCGGCGCGCATGTGCTTAGGTGGTGTGCTTGCGGTGGAAGCTACGGATGCATAAACCACCCAGTGCCAGCTTCGTGCGTCGTCTTCGTCGAACTCAGCTTCCAGGGGTACACCCTGCTCGCCATAGACTTCTTCACGTACCGACATGGCATCGCGGAAGACTTGTGGTATCGAGGCGGGCTGCCGAGAGTGTGGCTTGGTATTATCGTACTCGGTGAGGTCATTCTTGGGCGGGGCAAGCATGGAGAGAAACTCTGTGCCTCCGTTGCCGTTGCCGTTGGCGGCAAAACCGAAGCCTGAAGTGACGGTGGTCATCGTGGTGGACGGCGGGTGCTTTGATCGTCCGTGGGTTGTCGAGGCTCGGGGGTGCGTGGGTAGAGGTGAAATTTATGGCGTCGCCTACGTTGACTTGGGCGTAGGCGTCAAGGCAATGGCGTGATGGCGATTGCAAACTGCAGGTGCGACGTGGTGCTCCTTCCCCTCTTTTACCTCACTTGCGCGACGCACTTTTTTCAGGTCTCAGACTAGAACAAATCCGAATACGCTGTCCTCTTGGTCATTGGGAGTCACAGCCTGAGCGCTAGCGCGTTTCGTCCTTTATACCGGTACGATGAGCAGGGCGATCCGTGAGGGTACCATGTTTTATGGTGCGCTGCGTGCATGTGTCACAGGCTGAGGGTCCTCGATGACGTCGCCTGCCAAGCGCTAGCGGGAGCGGGTAGGCACGGTCTTTGCACACCATGCAAACCCTGCAGCAGTCATGGCCGAGATTACCGGTCCTATCACAGACAATCAAAATGGGTAAAAAGTATACTATCCACTCGGGACGGCAGCATTTGAGCTCCATCGAGATGAGGCCCGCCAGCCACAGAGTAGCTACAGCGCAACGGCGTCGTGAAATACTAATCTCCAGATCAGCAGGTTTTGGGCTGTTCAATGGCGCACCCTACATCCTTCAGCGGTGTGAGCAGGCCAGGCGACCTGTCAACATGTACTATGTTAGGTCGGACTCTCTAACTATCCTAGAACGAAGTGCCTCCATGAATCTGTAACCGGATACTATCACCTGATAACGCAAGGTCAATACTCAGGCTCATGCGACAGTTGAGGCCGAAAACTGGGTCCAGAATTCACTCAAAATGAAATCTTGCGCCAGAAAATGGCGAGATGAGGCATCGGTTACCTGGGCGGAGAATTTGTATTACATAATCCAATTGTGCCACACGGTATATTCACGTAACGAAACTCTCCACAGTGGCTGACACAAAAAATTGAGGTTCAGCACACCTCATACGTAGTAACTCACTGTATAATTCTGTTATAAATCTATTATCTAATAGTCTATCCCGTACTTCCATAGCTACGAAATCAAGCTTTTTTATCAGCCACTGTGCTCTGTCGCCCGTGGCTAAGCCCTCACAACCATTGTCACGATCGTCGAAGAGGCGGACCAGTATCCAAAGAAGATCGATGAGTCTTTGAAGCTGTGCGATCGCGAACGACTTGGACAGGGTGCCTGAGCGTGTGTGTGAGACAAGCATGACAAAGCCGCTTTTGCATGTATGAAGATGGTATCTACGCGTATAATTCCTATCTATAAAAAAAAAAAAAAAAAAAAAAAAAAAAAAAAAGAGTGGACTTCGATGGGTATTCCGAATGTTTGCAGACCAATTTCGCTTATAATCATTCCTGTCGATACCTTCCATAAACGCGATCTGGTTTCAAAAGATGAAAGGAATTGCCAAATTCAACACTGAGCATGTCAGGCATACGGTTTAGGCACACTGAAACACCGACGTTCGAACGAGTAGTGCAGGGCCAATACACCCTGGTTCACACTCGACCGTTCGAGTCTAGCTCTCGGATGGGTGAGAGACCGTAGATACCTCTTCCACCACAGGATTGGCGGAAGAGGATAACTCCAGAGCGTCACCACCGGTCAACATGTCCTGAGGAGCGACAGAAGCGAGTGAGAGTCGATCCAATCCGCGCGAGTTACGAATCGTATTTGCAAGTACTGAGTCCAAAGAATCACGTTGCGTACGAGCGTGGCGGGATTGCTGCCAGGACAATCGAGTGCGGAACAAAGACGCTGGACGTGGCGAGCGGGAGCGACCTGCTTGCTGTGAGGACCGCGGGCTTGAGGGATCCTCCTGGTACTCAACGGCGGTATCTGCCTCTGATATTCTGGTCGCACTGATTGTCAGTGGCCCGGTATGATTGAAGAAGGCATCTGGAGGGAGTGCGTCAAACTGACTACCCATTTGATCAAGAGAATAGCGCTGAAAGGTTGGTGTGGTGGCTGAACGATGTGGTAGCAGAATGTAATCGCCAATGGAAGAGGTCGAGTGTCGTCGCTTGCAGTCACGCTGGAGGGCAGAACGCGACCTTGATCGCTTATAGGCCGTGATACGCTCTCGAATCCATGTATCACGCTGCTTTGGCGTCATATTGCGAATGGTCTCCTTGTCGACGGATTTCAGGTCCTCGATGATCTGCCCAGTCATCTTTGCAGCTCCGCTATTATCATCTCCGACATGCCTGGACGGTCTCTCATTCTCCGATGACACCGACGCAACTATGTCAGGTGACGTGATCTGTCTTTGCATACCCGTTTCAGTGTTTGGTTCCTTCCCATCGCGTTCTGCCGTTAGCTTAAATCTTCTCGACTTGTGGTATAGCGCCTTGTAGTGAACTTGTTTTAAGACGCCGAAAGCCTTTGTGAGCTTGCGTTTGATGACCCTGAGCGCCGTTGAGCCATTCTTTGGCGGGCCGGGCGTAGAGATTTCTGCTACAGGCCCGTCACCCAGCACTTGCGTCGGTCTCGCTTCGACATCATCATCGGGCAAAGCGTTGGTACGATAGTCCCGAAGACTTCTTCGTTCAGAATTCACAGACGCATCGGAAAAATTGCGAGCGTATAGTGCCGAAGAGCTGCGAGATGGTAACGGCGAAGGATCTTCAGGAACGTTGGCCAAGGCTGTTGGTAAGGCGATTGAGGCTGCCGATCGCACCATGCTGAATAGAGTGTAGCGAAAGTTGATTTCCCCGTAATCTAACTCCGTTGTAACGGTACTGAGCAGAGATATCTGCGTGCTGTTAAGCCCACCGATGGTAAGCCATTTTTGACCGCAGTGGTCGCAAATGACGTGGCTCGCTTCGCAGATGCCTTCAACGACGTGTATCTGAATCGTAGCAGCCTTGTGGTGGTGACCACACCGAGCACAGTTACCATGGATGGTAATTGGCCATCTGCCCGAGGGAAGCGAGGGCTGCTTATCACTGCTCATGGTCGACATAGTATCGTGCCGGGTGGAAGTCGATGAGAACGGGAAGGTCTCGGGAGGCACGTCCATGCTGACAGGATCCCAGCAAAAGGCTTTGACGGCCTACAACCCGTCCTGTTGAGGTTCCTGGATTCTTCGCCGTTAAGCTGGCCCTGGGCCGTTGTAAGGACGGAAATATGGCTCAAGCAACTGGATGCATTGGATATCCTGAAGTTAATATGATGCAAAGTTGGGGGTAGACCTTGAAACGAGAAGCGAGATATAGATGTTCTTGGATGGAAATGCTAGCGAGCAAAGAATAGTTGATTATACATACAAGGCTACGAGTTGTGCAGGGCGATAAGAGCCATTTATTGGAATGATGATATCGTTGTGCATTGTCGGAGGCCTGCTCCCAAAAGTAGGTGCCTTAAACAAGGCATCGAACGCCACATCAGGAGGCCGGCAACTTTGCATCGTGGTGTGCTCAGTGTGGCGCAGTCGTGCTCTCACGAACCGCGCCACCCCAAGTCCGATTGTTGAGCGCGACATGCGCCATACAAGCAAATGAGCGATGGACATGCGACAGCGGACGATCACCCGGGGAAGAATCTCAATGCATTGTTTTCGGGGACATGAAGCGCATAGCCTCGTCGCTGCGATATGTATCACGGGGTTTGTCGCATGGGTCAGGATAGGGTTGCAAAATACAGCAGAACAGGGTCAATACTCCGGCACAGAGCAAGAATGAGGAGATCATATGGATTGCAATCAGACAGCGCACGTTGGCAGGCGAGAGGAGGTCCAAGTTCGCGACGAGAAAAGGGCGAACTCGGTTAGCGCGCCTTCCCAGGATGCCGAGCCACTAGCGCCGACCGGCGCACACACAACTTTCGAAATCGCCCTCTTTCCCTCGAACTCGCTAAAGCAAACGACAACACCCATCGACGAGCCCCCCGACAAGCCGCCATCATGTGTGAGTACGCCCTTCACCAGAGCTCTCTCGCGCTGTACGATGATTTAGTGCTCGCCACCTGCGGTCGCCGCATGGTCTCAGAAAGCGAGCGCCAGACGCATCGTCATGCATCCGCTCTTCGATGCACAGATGGACTGACATTATCGTAGCGCTCGTCACCGGAGAGAAGTCGAAGTATGTAAAACTTTACCACGAACCCTGCGCCTTCGCAAGTCCATAACCATCTCCGCGAGAACGCATCACGACCCAGCAACACTAGACTTCGTCCGCAGCGCGCACGGTGGAAGCACAGCAGCAAGGTTAGCCGGAGGGCTGTGACGGCTTGAAGAGTGGGAACATCTGTTGCAGCATGCCTACCTTGTTAGGATATGCGGTGGTCACGCTGTCGGGGAGCCTTGCTGTCTGAAGCCATATTGTGTGAGCTGTGGATACGTGCAGTTGCGTCGGGCGTTGTGGTCCTCTAAGGCTATTGGATTTCCTGAGCTTTGCATGGGTTTTTGAGGACGATGCTGACCCGCCGCAGCTTCCAGTACATCATCCGTTTGTTGAACACGAACGTCGATGGAAAGCAGAAGGTCATGTACGCCATGACCAAGATCAAGGGTGTCGGTCGCCGGTACTCCAACTTGGTCTGCAAGAAGGCCGATGTCGACCTCGGCAAGCGTGCCGGTGACCTCACCTCCGAAGAGCTTGAGCGTATCGTCACCATCCTCCAGAACCCCCTCCAGTGTACGTACCACCACCACTTGTGCTAAGCGAGCAAGCATTGACAACCCACAGACAAGATCCCCACCTGGTTCCTCAACAGGCAGCGCGACATTGTCGACGGCAAGAACTCCCAAATCCTCGCCAACGGTGTCGACTCCAAGCTCCGTGAGGATCTTGAGCGCTTGAAGAAGATCCGTGCTCACCGTGGTCTCCGACACTACTGGGGCCTCCGTGTGCGTGGTCAGCACTCCAAGACGACTGGTCGCCGCGGTCGCACTGTCGGTGTCTCCAAGAAGAAGGGATAAATGTTTTCGCTTTCGCTGGGCAGCTGGGGCTTTGTGTGGTGCGGGAACAAGGCTTCTTCGGGTGGGGAGGTGCACTCACGGTGTTACAAAGGGCATTCATTGGCTTTCACGCTACTTCATGCGCTTCGGATGATATGAAATGGCATGAGGAATTCTAGCGGTTAGGGTAAACAGCCTGTACCAAAAATCACACAATCTACCTGGTTCTTCAAACACAACTGGGCATCTCTCATCATGTGAAGCATACACGGTGACCGCATTTTTGTCCAGACGAACCCGTATCCTGCTGGAGTTGTACTTGGGTTGCCAGGCCTCTTCCGAATGCTCACGACAATCTTTTATAACATTTGTGCTCCAGCATCCACACAGTGCGGAGCGCAATTCTCTCCCAAGAGGCATGCCTTCGCTCTCGTGCACTTCAGCCATGAGATCAGCTTACCGTCGTCCGTGAGCTTTGACAAGCAGATGATGTACGAGCGAGCCTAAAATCATCATGTAGCCTCTCCCTCGAAATCTCAAGCGTAAGGAAAACACACACCAGATGTTGTTCTCGGAGTCACCCACCTTAGCGCCGCATGCTGGTAGCAGCCTATCGAAAGGAATCACTTCTCATTGGAAACCGCATCTTGATGGCCCGCGGTCCTCTAGTCATGCTTGGATGAGGATGATAGTAACGTCTAGCTCTGGATATTTGGAGGCCAAACACTATGGCGTACTATTTGCAACGAGAGCTAGGTTCGGCTAATTGACTCGCGGAGGGAGAGTTCTCAGAGACAGATGTACTTCTAGGTTTTTCCAGGAGGTAGATCGATGAGAGAATGGGTTGATGCCGCGCCATAATACTGGGAGCGTTGACACATAAGATGCATACACAGCCATGAGGGTTGCTACTCTCTCACTCAGACCCCCCACGTGCACTTTCCTCCGACTTAGATATATACATGCAGCCTTGTGTAACGCGTCTTCCACTTCCAGCGCCAAGACGCAGCAATGCATGCGCTGACGAGGCTGAGAACATCGCACGCTGGTTTGACTTCTTATCGCCCGCACTCAGCCTGCTTCATACTTCACAATCTTTCGAGCAGATCCAACAAGCCCAGCTATAGGATGGCGCCCAACACAGAAAAGAGCCCGGCGAACTACGTTGACCTTTCAATTTATGTGAATGGCGAACGCCTCTCCCCGGAAACATCTACTCCACAGAGATCTGCTCGGGCTTTGCAGCAAGATGAACCATTCTTCTTAAGGAATGCAAAGGAGCAGGACTTCACAGAAGTAGAGTTGAGACTGCATCGGTTGAGGGACTTCACTGTCGTGAGGCAGTTGGGTGAAGGAAGAAGCGGCAAAGTAGAAGAGGTCGTTGACGAGAGGAGCGGCAAGAGAATGGCACGAAAACGCTTTTTTGTCCCTGATTTTCGCGGGAAAAGGGCCGTCGCACAGATCAACCAGATCAAAGGCGAGATTCTCAGCCTCAAACGACTCTCTCACCCGCATATTGTTCGATTTGTGAGCTGCCACCAGCAGAAAGAGAACGCGAAACATCTCAATGTATATCTGCTCATGCAACCCGTTGGAGAACACGATTTGCAGACGTTCATGGCCCTTGTTGACACACTCGAGCCAGCGGTGTTTGACAAGAGCTGGATCAAGCAGTGGTTCATGTGTCTTCTATCAGCGCTCGCCTACATGCACTCGCAACACGTTCACCACGACGATATCAAGCCGAGCAACATCATATGTCGGAGAGGCCGGGTATACTTTACCGACTTCAGTTCGTCCCGGCGGGTAGAATCAGGCGAGGAAACCTCCACAACAAGCCCAGCAATCGCAACTCGACTCTTCGCTGCTCCCGAGTCCTTCCGCAGCGACGAAAATGAGCCTTTGTCTCATGGCTCGAAGACGGACGTTTATGCCCTTGGCCTTGTCTTTGTGGAACTTCTTGTGGTCCTCGGGAGCGGCACGATTGCTGCTTTCCGCAACGAGATGTTCCAAGACTATACACACTTCATGAGGCAATACCACCGCGTTACACATAAATTCAGGAGTGCTCTTGAGGGTGGATGGGACACTGAGAGCCGTAGATTCTACGAGCGTTTCTGCGAGCCCATGCTGCAAAAGCGTCGTAATGGTCGACCAAGCGCGAGATATCTGTTCGCAAAACTCAAGCAACAGCCAAGAGCTATTGGTGTCATGAGGTGTTGCTGTAGGATCCAGAATGAACGACAGAGTTGGACGGAAAATGAGTCTGAAGTGGATGTCGAAGATGGGACCAATGAAAAAGATACTGGGAGCGAGAATACTGGAACGAGTGATAAGTTAACTAAAGCAGAGAGCGACTCGGACTCGGATTGGGTGTATCTTAAATTTCGTGACCTCTTTTAGTACTCTCATATCTCATAGTCACATGCAAGGCCATTTGCGCACACGCTGAACGACTAATGTATTCATGATTGACGATATTAACCCCAATCATAGAACGCTTGGAGCTCGAACCAGGGAATGTCGTTTGGTCGACTTCTCATGTTGCGATCAAAAAGCAGTCTGATGGCTGTATTTGTTTATTCTTATGGGCTTCCATAGTAACCAAAGAGTCCAATCTCGGTACTGTACATTTGAAGCAACAGCATGTCCTAACGCCCCCAATGCATCCTATACTAACTGAAGATAGCCTCGATCAGTATCAAACCCAGATACGGTCATTCAATCTGCTCACGCCGCCACTAAGTACATCAGGTGGGTCATTTGAGTCGCTTTACGCCCAAAATTCACCAGACAACCACCTGGACAGCATATCAGCCGAGGACTCCGGCTGGTCGTATGGCACCATGTGGCCCCCAGCATGCAGCCTCATGAAGGTGAAGTTGCCGCTCGACTTGACCTGGCCAGTCTTCTTGCCATCACCTCCGAGCTTGAGGTCCTTAAACTCAGCCTTGACGTAGTCCTTCTGGCCGGGCCACTCAAGAGCTTCGGTCCAGGCCTTGTTGCCAAGCCAGTTGCAAATGTAGTCGGCGTCGCCAGCGTAGATGAGCACGGGGATCTGCTCAAGGATACCGGGAACGAGACGGTGGTAAGGCTTCATCCAGTCACCCTGGAGGAGGAAGTCGCGGTTGATATTGAAGTTGCAGCTGTCGTAGGAGTTGACCTCAGCACCAACGGCCTTCATGACCTCCTTCTTGTTGAGGTAAGAGCTGATCCAATCAATCTCATCGTAGCAGAGATCGTTGTCACCGCAAGGACGGCGGACATCGTAGACGTTCTGACCAGTGCGCTGGTACGGGCCAATCATAGCGTTGTTGCAATAGATTGAGGCGGGCACACAGCTCCAAACAGACTCGGAGTTGTAGCAGTTCTCAATGAGGCTAGCGCAGCGGGGGTAGGCATTGTCCATAGACTGGCACTGGCTCTCATCGAGGACAGCGGGCCAGCCACCTTCACCGCAGGCCATAGGACGGTAGTACTCGTACTGAGTCAGACCATCAGTGAGACCGTTACCGATGAGGATGGACTGCAGATTGATGTTGCGCTTCTTGTGTGAAAGAATCTCAGAAGCAAAAACGGGAATATAGTGGCCAGCGTAGGATTCACCCGAAATGTGGAAGCTCTGGTGGGAATACTCGGGGAACTGCTTGAAGAAGAGCGTGAGCAGAGCGTAGATGTCCTTGCCAGCGGCAACCGTGTTGCTGACGGAGCCGCTGCTGTATGAGTAGCCGACGTTGACGGGCTGGTCAATGAAGATGACCGAGGCGTTTGCGTTCCACGAGAAGTCGTTGAACTTAACCTTGCCGTCCTTCTGGACAGACGAGGGGCCGAGCTCCATGAAGAGACCCATGAGCGAAGAGCAACCAGGGCCACCGTTGAGCCATAGTACTACGGGGTCGTTCTCTGGGTCGTTGCGGGACTCGAAGAACCCTGCGTGTTGTTAGCATATGCGATCTGGCTGGGCCATGCAGGTACTCACAGTAGAAGAGATGCTTGTCCTCCTCATTGTCGTCAAGATAGCCGCTGTATTGCTTGACCTTGTCGACGCCCAGGACGCTCGGGTCGACCTTCTTAACGCGCAGGTCGAAGTTCTCGAGCTTGCCGTCGATCTCACGCTCCTTGTCGCCCTGAGCGTTCTCGACCCACACGCTCTGGATATCAGCGCCTTTGACGATGTGGTCCCACTCGCTGTCCTCTCGGCGCGTGTGTGGCTTCGGCATGGAGAGGAAGGAGGCCTGGTTGAACTGCTCGGGGAACATGAGTGCTACCTCATCCCACACGCGGCGGGCCTCGCCAGTGAGCGATTTGAGCGACTCCTCCAGGTTCTGGAGAGGCTTCATCCATGACTCTGTGTTGAGGTGCTTCAGCTGTTCAGGAAGCTTGAAAACCTGCTGCTGCGGCGCGACAGCGGCCGAGGCAGCTCCAGCGAGGAGCGCAGAGGCGGCGACCTTCATGGTGGTCAACGAATGCGAGAGCTTCCCGAGCTCTGGCGCTTGTGTGTGAGGGGTTGGGGTAGAGAGAAGCTCAAAAACGGACACAGAGAGGGATCGACGGAATCAATGAACAGCGCTGGGCTGAAGAGAGATGGGATGGAGGAGGGAGCTCCGGGGGCGATGCGGGCGTATCTGCGGAGGTGAGGCGCCGTCTCCAGGCAACGGATGACGCATACGGCAGCTTATCAGGTGGCTGGAGCTCCATGGCCTGGGCGGCTAGCTCATCACGAGGCCCTCCGCGTTTCGAGCACTGACTGGCGCGGAGGGGCCAGCGCACCGAGTGACCGAGGCAACCTCATTCACGCTGCAAATGGCGGTGCATTCCAGTTGCCAGTATTCTGGTGCCTGCAGCGGATCGCATTCCCGTTAACCAAGGCTGCATTGCCATGTCCCCGTGGGCTGTGCTTGCCAGTCGTACCTGCATCGGCTGAAGGAGGACTAGCGGGACTTGGCGCTGTCAGCCCTGCCATGGTTCGTCACTGGCCGGCTGAATCATTGTGAGCAAGCAAGCTTGCGGGCAACTTTTATACCACTTCACCACTCCCCGCAGCCCAACACCACGTCGGACCTCACAAGATACTAAACTCACCATGCCTGTCGGGATAAAAACCCCTTCGAATCAGATCAAGCTCACCAACCTTGCTTTGGTGCGCATGAAAAAAGGTATGGCTGCCCCGCCACTGCACCCCGCAGTACATGGGACTGACGAAATACAGGCAAAAAACGCTTCGAGGTCGCATGCTACAAGAACAAGATCCAGGACTGGAAGAACAAGATCGAGACCGACATCGACAACGTCATACAGCTCGAGGGTGTTTTCATCAACGTCAACAAGGGTGAAAAGGCCTCCAAGGCCGATCTTGAGAAGGCATGGCCGGGCATGAAGAACAAGGAGATTGTGGAGGACATCCTGGAACACGGAGAATACCAGGTCGGCGAGAAGGAGCGCAGCGCAGAGCTCGAACGGATAAAGAATGAAGTGATCAACATTGTCGCCTCAAAGCTCGTCGAGCCGAAATCGAAGCGCGTCTACACGACCGGTCTAATCGAGAAGTCGCTCGACCAGCTGAGCCAACAGACCTCTGTACAACAGCAAGGCGACAAGGCAAACGGCGCATCGGCAGAAGACGGAGACGATAAAGAAAAGGCACTGCCTAAGTGGAGAGGTGTCGTGGCTACCAAAGATGCCAAGTCGCAGGCCAACCATGCTATCAAGTGCCTCATGGCCCACCAACCTATCCCTGTCACACGCATACAAATGAGGCTGCGGATTGTCTGCCCGACCGCAGTCACCAAACAAGCAGTGAAGTCGACGGGGAAGCCTGCAGAGAAAGGAAAGAAAGGAAAGGCTGCAGCAGATGAAGAGCAGCAGGCCCTCAAGAGCGTAAAGGACACGATATTGAGCTACATCGAGAAGGTGGAAACCGACGAGACAGAGGGCGCCGAGTGGGAGGCAGTTGGTCTTGTCGAGCCAGGCAGTTACAAGAGCTTGAACGAGTTCATCGAGACCCACACCAAGGGCCGCGGCAGGGTGGAGGTACTGGATCAGTCCGTCGGCGTCGACGTCTGAGCGAGCTGTCACTACAATGTCAATAGGAGTGATTTGGTCGTCTCCGCACCAACGACCAAGGCATCAAAGGATTTAAGGTCTCAACACAGCGCTACCGACAGCGCTCTGCAACTGCGCCGCATCAGCAAGGCCGTTCGCCCAACTCCGCCGCGATTTCCGCACAAGAGTCGCATAGCATCCCAGAGCGTGAGTTCTAGCGCACTATGCACATTGGCCTAATGCAGCGGCCGTCGCATTCACCAGTCACGCGCGCTCGGGAAGCGCTTCCCTTGTGGCGACGAGCATTGCGCACAGAAGGCCCGCCTAAAGAAGCTTGCAGAGCAAAATTCACAAGCACAATTGAATGTCCCCTGGGTCATGTACTCTCTTTCCAATCGTCGTCTTTGCCTCCCATCTATTCGTCGACTCCCGTGCATCAGTGTACTTCCTCATTCGTCACCCCACCCATTCCCACATATACCCCTGCCCGTTCCAACCCGCACGACTGGTTCCACGACGTCCTGCAGCTTTTGCTGATTTTCACTCTCTTCTGCTCATGCATGGTAGGAGCTATGACCACTTACACATTGCCCTCACAGAGTGCATCATAGCCAGTCATCGCCTGACAGGTGGTGAGGCATGCAAGGAGCTGCATGTCTAGCGCGGCAAATCTATCGCGGTGCTCAGGCTATGGGACTTGCGATGTCAACGGCCTGCGTGATACCCACACTGATGCAAGCATCTGCTCGGTGGTACACTATGCATTCTTCAAAGTGTGATCGTTACTGCCGTTTCCCCGTCCACCCGCCCGCTTAGGCGCCCTCGGCTTCTGGTGCTACAGTCTTCACGTTCCGGCTGGCTATGAAGGAATTTCGCGTGGAGTTGACCAGTGGTGCCTATACGGGTTTCAGTCTGATACTGTGTTCTCGGTCGTGGTGTAACTGAGAACGTTCACTGAGAAATACCATAGATGTTCAATGTCATGATGGGAATTCACTATATCGTATCTACGTGCATCAGTGCCAATTCCTATGAACATTAATCGTTACTCGTGATGATGTACCAGTCATCCACATCCTTCCCGTCGTTGAGTCGTGAGGTCGTTAGTCATATCCAGTAAATGCAGGAGACAAAAATTGGACAGGAAGGCAGCAAAGATAACGAGATGCGAGAAGAAAGGAAATCAGCGCAACATGCGAGCCCAAACCCACCAAACGCCAAAGGAAATAAAGCACTAAGCACCACTCACGCACGTTCCCGTTGCCGTTCCGTCCTGGCAAAAACTCCGTACCGTCTTGCTTGTAACCTATCCTAGACCATGCCCGATGTCTTCCCGGTACTCAATCGATAGTAACACCATATGCAATGCAATCATCCCGTCGCCTTATCGCCCAGGTGCAATGTTGCTCAGTCCCACCATCTTCTCCCGACTCTTCCATTGTTACTCAGAATACCCAGCACCTCCGCACTACTCGTCTTGAAGCCCCAGATCCTCTCAATGGGCTCCGCAATCATCATCCAGTCAAAGCCACGGATGTCATACATGTCGAGCACTACGCGTACCAGCCAGGGGTCATACATCGGCACGGTCGGATCCTGGTATATTGACAGTGCCAGCGAGGAAGAAAGGATCTCTGGCGGAGCAGGCATGATATCTGGCTTAGTGTTTACGTGGGCAGGGCGCGCCCTACGCTGGGGGCGCGCGTGCGTTGTGGCCGGCACAGGGGACGGCGCGGTCGGTGACCCGGAGAACAGACCGAATGCCTCGTTGTCTGAGGTCGGGGAGCTGGAAGCCGATGACGAGGCGCTGGACAGCATACTCTCGTCGCTCATCTTGGTGTGTAGAACAATTGGCTTGCGAGCTGTTATGGCGTGTTCCGTGGCGCCCAGGGCATCGTACCTTGGGAGCGGCTTCGAGATTGCGCTCGTGGACTTGGAATAGGGCGAGTCGTCGATGGGGGTGACGGAGATGCGGGACGAGGGCGAGTCGAAGGACTGCGAGCGGTGGATCCGGATCTTAGGCGATGGTGTGCGCGGCAGGGCGACGAACCGCGTTGGTGCTGCCATTGTGTCGCCTTCCAATGCGGTCTTATATGTCCCGATGCAGACCCGCAGCAATGGTCAAGATGATGAACAATGCTGCTCACACACGCAGCGCGCTTCGCTTCTTTCGCCCAGAAAAAGCGAGGCCTAAGTCAATCAATATTACACGCGAGCAACGCCTCGAGTTCAAACTCGGAGGCAACACAAACTAAAGGAAAGGGGTTCGGAAGCTGGACAGCGGGTTCGATGGGTTCACAGTCGGGCTTATATGGGGCGACATTGCCTGCGCTGGCCCTGCATGCAGCATGTTGCGCCAGGGATTACCGCCATGGGGGTCGTTGTACGACGGGATCGGAACTGTTGGTGGAAATTGGAGGGTGGGGTAGGCTTGTGGGGAAGAAGGAAGTGGTGGGAGTGGTGAGAGGTGACGGGAGGCGCATGGGCAGTGGAAGGGTCCTACCGTAGGGGCGTGGGAGACAACGCATGGTGCATCACATCTGTGAGGATTGTCGGTCGGGAAGAGGGATTGAGTGAGGAGGGGCGCATCCGAGTGGCGCGGTGCGCTCGCTGTGCGACGTTGGTCAACGTTGCGGCTGTATGATCTCTCGTATGCAGTATCATGCTTGCTGTATACTGTACCATACTTCAGCACGGCGCGTTCATGCCTTCAATGCCACGTTCGAAACAAAAGCAACGTAGCCCTCTTGCGCCGTTAGCGGACCGACCCGAACGAAATTGCTGGAATGTCTGTCATGAGACCACGCGCTGATGAACGGGCCAGACATGCGACCGTACTTGTTCACTCGAGACTGGAGCGAAGCAGTACATATCTGCAGGGGTGTACGTGGATGTACCGAGAGCCCGCATATGCGGCCGCCGCTGCATTGGCAAATAGGAAAAGTTTTGGGGGCAGTCCTTCACGGCATGGAGTGACAATCTTTTCCAGAATAGCAGGGAGTGCGGCGCATCCTCACACTTACCATCATTTCACGCATTTGCCCCCTCGCTCGCGCGGGCATTATGTATCACGTGACACGACTAGTCTCTTGGCTCATAACGCACTGCCATATAATCACGCCTCCCGCCGCCCTCACTTCGCCCTGCCGGTGTTTCTCGAACGCTACTGATTGTCTTTTTGTGCAGTGCTTCGCATTCACTTCCATCTCATCTTCGTCTTTCGGTTCGACTATCTCCCGCCTGCAAATTATTCTATTCTCTTTGCAATCGGATCGAGCAGTGCCAGGACGGTAGGTTGCGACGCATCGATCCGAGCTGACCATTCAGTCGTACGGTGCGTCGTGGCCTTGGACGGCAGAGTTTTATGTCTCCAGTCCACGCCGCTTTCTTGTTGAAACAGAGGGGCTGGCAGGTAGAGGGCTGATAGGCAAAGTCTATGTCGCCAGTCCATGCTGCTTCTTCTTGAGGCAGCGGTCATTTCACCAGTCCACTCCGTCTCTTTGTCAAGACGGAGTTCTATGTTTGGACAAAACCGCGATGACTACTCTAGCAAGGCAGCTAGAGTGGTGCGACTCTAGCACGCGTGGCTCGCCGGCGAGCAAACACTGAGACGTGCCTTCGCGAGCAGTCAGGTCGATCTACCGGTGTCGGCCTGCGTGCTATACGCAGTTAAGACGTATACCAGTTATTTTGGGTGACATTCCGGTTGAACACACTCGCCTTTTCTTCATCGAGTGCATTACCTGCTAGGCTTGCCTCGAGGAAGTCACCTTTGGGCCGTGTGCGATGTTATCAAGGAAGATGTCACCGGGCCACGCACCGCTACCATCAAAGACATCCTAAAGTTCCACTTTCGCTCTTCTACGATAGAAGGCTCTGCCTACATAAGTGTTGCGACCGGAGTCCATCTGTTGCACGACAAAGAATGATAGGGCCTCAATGCGTTCCGTTGCTGCTCTCAAGCATGACTTCGGTGCTTTCTTCCATTGAAATAGGGTAGATATTCCTATGCAACATTCACCCATAGCTAATGTACGTGAAGAGTCAGCAGCAAACAACATCAGCCCAGGGACAATCGAACCCTGGCAAATATCAAATTGCGCCTTCTAGCTCGAAATTGCGACTATTATCATTATTTGTTCGAACTCGCACGTCGTTTGCCAGTCATCGGGCTTGATATACACTTTTGACTATACACCGGCGGGACGACAAAACCGATTAGGATCGGCATTGCCAAGGCAGACCAATCGGTGCCCCTGTCAATCTCTTTGTCGAAGCCAAGTCTGCAGTGCGTCCATCGAGACCACCGGAATGACATGCGCAGGTACCATTCCAGGCTCCTGGACCGCGGGAAAATTACACCCAGGTCCGTTTTCTGTATACACAACTTTCACCTACACACGTCTGCCGCGGCACACAATGATCGCGTGCTAGATGCCGAGCCCGCCGTTCTCGGCCCTTTCCGCGAATGGCAAAACCACCGCCTACCCCAAACACCGCGGCACAAACACTACTTATCTATAGGTGTAAATGGCTGCGGTGCTCGGGGTATTACAGGGTCTAGTTTTATGCTTATATTGACTTCTTAAGCGAGAAAGTGCCGGCGTCTTGAATCACTCGCATGTTCCGTTACCAGATGAGGCAGGTACGACTTAATCTTCCGCCTACGGTTCTGTAACACCGTAGCCGTATAACCGCCGTCAAGACCGCATGAGCTATACGATCAGTGACCTTCCCCTTTAGCCATGCCCAGATATTTAGTATACACGCTTCACCGACAATCGGCAGGAGATGGCTTGGTGCAAAGAATTGGAGGACCCGGCTAATGAATAGTCACAAAGCGCGCTTGAAGATGTCATTCAGGTTTCAATGTCCAAAAGTGCTAATAGGAGTAGACTTCTATGGAAGAACACCAGATTGGCCAATGAGGAGACTCCGCAAGAACCTATCCTAACATGAGTCGGGGCAGAAAGGGCCGATGCAGCATCGTGCTCAAGACAATAGGTACTACTATACCTTCCCTTCCGAGATGAGCTCAGCATTGGCAACGGCGGAGAGCGACATTCGGCAGCGTAATAAACTGATGGCGGACATCAACCTTCTGGGTATCAGCCATGTATAAAGATGTCGTGTGGTACACCCCTAGAAGAGTATCCACGGATCTCTACAGTCGTTCACCGTCTCTCTTTCTAAGATGCTCAACGTCGGCCGTCTCGCTTTCCTTTGTGAGTCAAAGAATTTAGTATCTATCGTGCAAGTCTGACAACAACCTAGTTGGAGCTCTGCTCCCTTCTGCGCTCGCTGCTCCCGTGACCAAGAAGAGCGATTTGATTGAAGGAAAATACATCGTCACCTTGAAACCAGAGGCCGAAGTCCAGGTCCAAGTCAGCTGGGTGAACGACGTGCACAAGCGCAGCTTTTCCAAGCGTGACACAGCCGGTGTTGAACACACATACGACATCAAGACTTTCAAGGGATACGCTGGCGAGTTCGACGAGAACACTCTTGCCGAGATCAAGGCCAACCCAAATGTGTGTACTTTTCATTGTTCCACGGCCACGCCTCGCTATATTAGGGATACTTAACTGACAATCCTACAGGTCGCGGCAGTTGAGCCCGACCAGCTTGTCTACCTCCCCTTCAAGGTAGAGCAGGTTTTTGACAAGCGCGCTCTTACTACGCAGACCGGCGCTCCCTGGGGTCTTGGTGCGATCTCCCACAAGACAGGCTCCTCCACCAGCTACGTGTATGACAGCACCGCTGGCCAGGACACATATGCCTACGTTGTTGACAGTGGTATAATCACAACCCACACTGAATTCGGTGGTCGTGCCTCGCTCGGTTACAACGCTGTTGGTGGCCAGCACACCGATACCCTTGGACACGGCACTCATGTCGCTGGTACCATTGGTGGCTCTACTTACGGTGTAGCCAAGAAAACGAACCTCATCTCCGTCAAGGTGTTCCAGGGCGCAACTGGTTCGCAATCAACCATTCTGGCTGGTTTTGACTGGGCTGTGAATGACATCGTCAGCAAGAATCGTGCTTCCAAGTCTGTCATCAACATGTCTCTTGGTGGCGGTGCCTCCACTGCCTGGACCAACGCCATCGCTGCCTCGTACCAGCAAGGTGTGCTCTCCGTTGTGGCCGCCGGCAACGGTGATCAGAATGGCAACCCGCTCCCTGTCTCGGGCCAGTCGCCCGCCAACGCCCCCAACGCAATCACTGTCTCCGCGGCTGACTCCTCCTTCCGTGTTGCCTCCTTCGCAAACTACGGTGCCGGCGTTGACGTCTTTGCCCCTGGTGTCAACGTCTTGTCTTCCTACATCGGCGGAAACTCGGCGACTGCCAGCCTTTCGGGTACGAGCATGGCTACTCCTCACACTGCAGGACTTGCAGTCTACCTCATGGCTCTTGAGGGCCTGGCCAGCCCGGCTGCCGTTACCAACCGTATCAAGGCTCTTGCTGTGACTGGCAAGGTCACTGGATCTCTGAGCGGCAGCCCGAACGTTTTCATCTACAACGGCAACGGCGCTTAGATAGCTTGCACTCTTAAATGAGATGTGAGACATGGTGTCGGCGTGTAAATGGGGTTTTTCGGGGAACTGAAGAGCGCCTGTTGATCCGTCACTGTCGGTGAGGCCGCCACGACTGTAATGTGTTACTTAGTATATGAGATGCAATGAAGAACATCATTTTGAAACAACGAATTACTACTGAGTTATCACAGTCGAGCATGAACTCCTTTAGCATCGCAGAGTGTAACGTACTTCCATACCGAGCGATGTACTTCCACTTCCTTGACGCTATGTTACCGGCTCGAATTATACACTACAGATTTGCCAGAGGTTGTTGCGGCACAACGAAGATTACGGCCGCAACGCACCTCGGCAACATCACGTGCTCGTACGAGAGCCCAAGGACGTAAGCGGGGTTGCAATGGCTCGCAAAGAAGCCCATTGGTCCGCCTAAGCCGCTTAGACCACCACTTCGCATTCGTCTAAATGCTGCAGGGATCGGGATATGAAGCCGTCGCGCCTTCATCCTCTTTTGGCCATCGTGCTTGTTCTTTCCAGCTGCGTAGCGCCTGCAAACTGTGATATGGGATGCGAGAGTCGCGGAGCGCGGGGTAACCGGCCAGCTCGAGGACGGTTACGTACGTGTCGGCATAGTATATGTTCAGTGATATTTCATTCACTATTCGACTCCTCTGTCTTCATAGACAACACTTGCCTTATCTAGAGCTGCCTACCTTAAGAGAATCTATATCAGATATTCTGACACTTTGATCTCACTTTTCAGGGGTCTTGCGTTAGAGAATCAAGTATTTTTACAATGGAGTCCTGGCCGAATGATGCAGGGGTATTTGAACATGGCTTTTCGCTGTAGCTATGCATATGCTGACCTTTGCAGTTTGACACGGACTATGAGGAGCACAATCCTGTCGAGCTCACTGTTAAGGGAAAGATTCCGCATTACGTTGCGGGCGTCCTCTATAGAACCGGGCCTCTAGGTTTCAAAGCGCAGACAAACCAGAACAACACCTGGGCAGCTAACCATTGGTTCGACGGCTTCTCATGCGTCCATCGCTTCGAAATCATATTTCCCGATAATTCCGATACGCCAATGGTGTGTTACAACTCTCGACGCACAGTCGACGAATTGTTAGAAGTTGTGCGTAAGACTGGCAAACTAGATGGGGTCACATTTGGAAAGAAGCGTGATCTCTGTGAGGGCTTCTTCCACAAAGTCATGAGCATGTTCAAACCAGCGACAAGCCCTCAAAATGTCGGGGTCACGATCTCGATCAACGTGCCAAGCAGGCAGAAGGGTACCCAGCCAACAATGGCCATCAATGGACACTCCAACGTGATCGAGACACTGCATCTCAAAACAGATGCATCGATTATGAACAAGATCGACCCCGAAACCTTAGAACCGAAGGGTGTCTGTCGCCAAAGCATTCTCCATCCCAGCTTGACTGGCCAACTCTCGGCAGCACACGCGGAAACTGATCCAGCCACAGGCGATTTCTTCAATTACAATCTAGACTTGGGTCGCAAAGCCACATATCGTGTCTTTCGCACTTCGTCCTCGACTGGGAAAACTGAGGTCCTTGCTACATTCACGGCGAAACCGGCCTACGTGCACTCGTTCTTCCTTACGGAGCACTATGTTGTACTCTGTATTTGGAATAGCCACATCAGCTGGAGCGGGCTATCAATTCTATACCACAAAAACATTCTCGATGCCATCGCACCGTTCGATAAGTCCTCAAAAGCAAAATGGTACGTCGTCGACCGTGCAGGACGGGGTCTTGTCGCGATCTATGAATCGGACCCATTCTTCTGTTTCCACACCATAAACGCGTGGGAGCAACCGTCAGCCAATGACGCCAAGAAAACAGACATAATCTGTGAGCTGTCTTTATACGAGAATCTCGACGTTGTACACCGGTTTTACTACGACAATCTTATGAGTACGCACGAATCCTCCAAAGCCTACGCTGGTCAGAAGCGTCGCTCGTGCCTAGCTCGCCACGCACAGTTCCGTCTCCCAGTTGTCGAATCAGGCAACATATCCTCGAAGCCTCGTCCTGCTGACGTCCTCTTCAAGTCCGACCCCATGGTCGCGCAGGAACTACCAACTATCAATCCATCTTACGCCACGCGAAAGCACCGGTACACGTACGGTACAGCTGACCGCCTGAAGTCGACCTTCGTGGACGGTATCGTCAAATTTGACAACGTGACGCAAACGGCGATCTTCTGGGATACAGAGGCGCACACACCTGGTGAACCAATCTTTGTGGCCGATCCAGAAGGAATAGAAGAGGATGATGGTGTCTTGCTGAGTGTAGTGCTCGATGGAGTGGAAGAAAGGAGCTATTTGTTGGTGCTGCGAGCAAAAGACCTGATAGAGCTAGGCAGAGCGGAGATGAGGGGCCCGATGGCCTTCGGGTTTCACGGGGCATACAAGGCACTTCGCAAAGACTAGAGCTGGTTTTCGGAATGACTTTGAGTCTTGCTGCTGTACATCCCTATGTTAGGTTTTTATTCGTTCGTTTCTTCTATTTCTCTCTCGTTATATTTGTCTCTTGTCCCTAGCATTTCAATAACAACCATTTGTGTGTCGTGTCACGACCAGTCATACAAAATCGCCGAATCATGCCTGGTAAAGATTGTGAAATGACTGTTCTCGGCTTTCACTTTGTTCCAGGTTCAGACCGCTTACGATGCACGAGCCACAAATCCTGGTTGGAGATCGTGGGGGCGCAAGCGGCATATTTACACGATGTTCGGCTAGCCGTGTTTCTGACAAGTTACACTCCACAGCAAGCTCGATCACCGACACGAAAGTTGTTGCAGACTCGGTCTTTGTGATCACCGTCTGTCGCCACCCGCTAAAAGCGGGTCCGACCGTGTTCTATAGGTCTGGGTACCTGCCCGCCGTACGACGGGCGTGATTCGAGCACATCGCCCAAGAGCCACCCATACTACCACTATACTACCTTTTGGGAACATGTCAGGAAAAGAGGCTGTGGGAATCTCACAACAGAGGTTTACAGATGGAAGTGGTGCATCCATTATCGTAAAAGATGAGGGAGGAAGAAGTAAGGCTGGCGACGAGGAAATCTTAGAGGTGTCGTCGCAGGGGACAAGGTGGCGCAATGTCCTTGCCGGTCGCCAATCCCGTGCTATTGGAGGTTCGTCTGCTGTTGCAGCCACCACAGCTGTGGACGGTGTGAGAAGAACAGGGAACGAGATTGTACCTACAAGCATAGGTGCGTGTATTTGATCCTTTCACACCCAAACGCCTATGGCGGGCGCCTTACGTCTCTTTGCCTTCACATCACCTAATATATGAGCTCAGAAGTCCCGCCCGCAACTCCAGCCTCGACCAAACTTTCACACCGGCGCTGCCGTTTGCCGCCGTTGGTAATCATTATGCTCTTCTGTGTGGTAGTTACAGGCCTTGGTCTGCTAGCGCTGATAAATACTGCTCATGGCCAAAGTCCTTCTGCCAGCAAGTTCGAAGTTCCCGCGCCTGCCTCTTCGTTGCCATGGAAGGTGGCCCATAGCCGTTCCTTCCTCATCGACTCTTCAAGGAAGGATCCATATAACAACACCGAGGACCGCAAGGTGGCATATTCGATATTCATGCCGGTCTTCGCTGAGGCCTGCAGCGAGTCTATTGACAACGGTTACATGCCCACCCTTACTGCTGAGGCCAGCAATCTCCAATTCTTTGACGACGAGAGCGCAGGCATATTCGATGCACTGCACTTCAACAGCTGCTCCAAAAATACAGACAAGTATAACGCCGATCACTTCCCTCTCCTTATTTTCGAGCCCGCTGTTGGAACAAGTCGATTCATGTACAATCAGCTCGCCCGCCAATTCAGTGCGAACGGAGCTCACGTTGTTACCATCGATCACCCCTACGATGCAAACATCGTCGAATTTCCCGGCTCGGATCCCATTCGAAATGGCGGGTCCGTCAGCCTTGATCCTTTTCAGGTTAACAAGCCTGTGAATGGCACCGAAACGAAAAAGGCAATTGACACGCGCATTGCCGATGTCGATTCTGTGATCAAAGAATTGGAGAAGGCCAATACACTTCCGAGACTTTTTCCCGCATTTACTTTCACGGACGGCAACACGAAGGTACCCACGCAGCGCCTCTTCATGGTCGGTCATGGTCTCGGTGGCTCTGTTGCGACCTCCATGGGATTTTATGACAAACGCGTCGAATGGACTATAAACCTTTCCGGCTCAACGCCTGTCCTCGCGGAGGATGTTTATCCATACACCATTTTCTTCGGCCGCGAAAACTACAGGAGTGAAAACGACACTGCTTGGCAGGAGACTATGAAGCACATTGCCGGGCCCCAGGTAGAGTGGACCTATCATAAGGCGGAACAATTCGACTTCAGCGATCTTCCTCTTGTGTCCCACCTTGTTAATCCAAGCAAGAAGCCTAAAGGCCTTGGGGTGCCCTATCAGGACATGGACCCCAACGACCCAACCGCCACATTCCGAGCCCTGAGCTGCTTCCTTGAAGGCTATTTTCGCGATACTTTGATTCCGGGGTGGTTTGTCGAACCGAGGCTGCCAGGACAAAGCCACGACGCCATTCAAAAATGCCTTGGTTGGTTTGGTGGCGCCATGAAGCCACATGTCATGGACAGCAGCTGAACATTAGACAAGTGGTGATAGGTCTCATACGATAATCTTCGCTGTCTGGAGGTGCCGCATTCAGGTTCCTCTTGCGGTTGGACCACTGCATTCCCTCATTCTGTTGGGCTCTGAATCCAAGGGGCAGGCTATACAATGCTGAACATAGCATATACTATATGAAGGAAGCCTGAATGAGTCGTATTCAGATATAATTTGGGGTTGCATCCCTTGTCGTTAGCCTGTAGAGTCTGGTTTGCAACTCCTAAATACAAGGACCCTCGATGTGGTTGTGCAAACCTGTCACGATGTGACGGAGTTCTAATTCCCGCTAAGTAGTGGGTCCTGAATGAATTCAACATGCAATATCTGCACAGCTTTATATCAGATGCAGTATGCTCGTAAGCGGTGGCATGACCAAGATAGACACCTTAACAACTTCGATCATGCTCACCAATAGATGGGAAATACGCTTTGCCACCGCATGTAGACAGTAATCGAGTCCAGTATCACGGAAGCAACAGCAAATCAATCACCAGACGCGTCAACTCTTGAGGTATAACAAGATAACCTAACTTGAGTTCCATGTGCAGTATGGTGTTGATGTTCACATGTGCGCACAGATGCCCCAGTGAGTCAAGCAAAACCATATCCCAAAAGGCACTAGTCCCTTTCAGCCCTATGCGGAGCGAAAGTTGCATCACCGAGCCCTTCGATTCTGAGCGCAACCACCCAACCGCGCTGTGTCCACCGCTCGAGCCATTTTCCAATGTTTATCAGGACCTCATAAAGCCGTGCCCGGCACTCCACGAAGTCACATCTGAACTTTTCTCCTAAAAACTTCCAATCGAGAAACCCCGCCATCCACCCACAATGGGTATCCTTCTCTCCACCGTCCAGCGCACGCTGAACCTCCTCCTCCCGTTCACCCACCCGGGAACTCCCCTCGTTCAAGACCTTATCCACACTGCCGTCCTAATCACAACACTCTACTACGCGCCCCAAATAGCAGACTACTACAACGCCCACTACCGTCCCTCCTCTCCTCACACCCCACGAAACGAAGGCGACACAGCCCCAATCGACGGCCAAGTCGATGGCCCCCCAGCAGACATACCAGATGCCCCTCTGGACGACGCCTGGGTCCTCCAAGACGACGGTGACAACGAAGACGCCGGGCTCGAGCCCCCACCCCTCGCACCAACACCGCCGCCAGGCCAGCTGCACAACCCCCCGCCCGAGGACGGCGTGTGGCAGAACGACTTCGCGCCCGGGGATCCCGGGCCCGCGAACGACCGCCCACAAGCGACCCGCGCGAACCGCGTCATCGGCGCGAAGAAGGCGAAGTCCCTCGCTCGCCGCGACCAGCGCAGGGCATACCACGAGTTCCACAGGAGCCAGGCGGAGCAGCGGAAGTTAGCGGAGGAGGCGGGGAGGGAGGAGCGCGAGGCGGCGCTTGCGCAGGAGAAGGCGCGGCGTGCGGAGGTGGAGGCCCAACTTGCGGAGGAGAAGCGCGAGAGGCTGGCTTGGGAAAGGGAGCAGAAAAGGAAGGAGGCGGAGGAGGAGCATCAGCGGCGCGAGCGTGTGGTGGAGAAGGTCCGGGAGGAGATTGTGCGGAAGGGGGCGGTTGATCTTGTGGATGTTGCGATTGAGGAGGGGAAGGATAAGGTGTGGGTTGAGCGGTTGGTGCGGGCGAGCGGGATGCTGAGCCAGATGGAGAAGGGAGGGGCGAAGGTCATGATCACAGGTGAGGGGTGGCTCGTCAAGATCGATGCTGAGCTTATGCGGACGGTGTACGAGGAGGCTGCGTCGTTCGGGAACTCAAGGGATGGCAAGGTCAGTTTCGCGAACTTTGGCGGGATCTTGGAGAAAGCCGTTAGGGCGAGGGCGTTGGCGGCAGTTTGAGGGTGGACTTCTTGGAGACGAGCATAAACCGGCGTTTGCGATCCATTTACATGATGCAGACGGATCGGCCATTATACCCCAACTAGGCTAAGGAATGCTATGAACATCATCTACACTGAGTTGCCCCTTTGCAAAATCCGTACAAAGTGTGTAAATCAAAGGTAAGTCTGAAACTACAGTCCTGGGATGACAGCTTTGAAACGAAGCATGAGCCATAACATTGTCCGGCAAGTCAATACCATCACGCACACATCACGTCGTGCCAGAGAATGGAAACGGTGGTGTATCGAAATGTTCATTTTTGTCATGCAACCATGAAAGAGGTGTTATTCGCCTAGAAGACCCGATACGTGCCAAAGCCTTTCATATTCATACCGACCAGGCAAATCGCCCAGACCAGCCACATGAAGAACTCCTTGCCGCTCGGTTTGAAACCACCATTGACATCCATGCACTCCAAGTCCCTCGTCCATAAAGAAACCCTTTACCGGTTGCTCTTCGCCACACGCTCCAACTCGTCCTTCTTCTTGATGGCGTACGAGTTGCTGCTTCCCTTGGCAGCGTTGATGAGCTCTTCGGCCAAGCACTCAGCGATGCTCTTGATGTTGCGGAAGGAAGCCTCGCGGGCACCGATGGTGAGGAGAGCGATGGCCTGGTTGACGCGGCGGAGAGGGGACACATCGACGGCCTGGCGACGGACGGTACCGGCGGAACCGATACGGGTGGAGTCTTCGCGGGGTCCGCAGTTAACGATGGCGTCAACGGCGACCTGGATGGGGTTCTGGTCGGTCATGATGTGGATCTGGGAAGGGTCAGCGCGGTTCGAGGGACCGTTCACGCCGGATTGTTAGAGGCAATAGAGCGCGCATGGGGAGACGTACGATCTCGAAAGCGTGAGCGACAATGCGCACAGCCATGAGCTTCTTTCCGTTGTTGCGGCCGTTCATCATGAGCGAGTTGGTGAGGCGCTCAATGATGGGGCACTGGGCCTTCCTGAATCGCTTGACAGCATATCGGCCGGCCGAGTGTGAGATGTAGACGGGGGAGCGGATCTGGATGTAGTCGCTGTTCACAAATTGTTAGCCTACGTTCGCTCCCGCGATGCGCCCTCGTATGCTACGCATAGCACCCAAAACGACATCCTCCAGTATATGGACTCAGGGATTGCGTACGTAAGAGAGATGTCCCGGATCTCGACGTCCTCGTAGCTCCACTTGTTGAACAGCTTGATGCTGCCAATCTCCTCGGTGACCTCCTTGGGAAGGATGGGGTAGCCGGAGGGGCTCTCGACCTCGACTTCGCCGTCAGACATGATTGCGATGTGCTGGGGATCGACTGGTTTCGCGGGTTGGTGAGGGTGTCGTCGAGGAATCGTCGTTCGCGAGGTCGAAGATCAGAATGTTCTGTTCGAGATGTGTGGGTGGGCTAACTAACTAAGCGAGCCAGTTGTGGACTTGGCGCGCACGGCCCTCCACCGCCGAAGAAGGCGCGATGGCTGCAACACCAAGTGTTAAAATTCTATCGTCGGACAAAAATTTCCCTCACGAGAGCAGTAATGCGTTTGAACCATTTACGATGATAGCATGAGCCTGGTCGCCAGCAAAGAGGCACAATTCGCGTTTGTATGATATATCGCCCTTAGGGTGGGAAACGTCACTCGTTGGCGCGCGTTCTCTAACTTCACTTCTCCCATTATTCAAAATGCTTGTGGTCACATAAACTCAACCACACTTCGATGTAACAATGTACTCCTCCAGCGCAACCAGTGGTATATAGCCGAACCAGACAGGAACCATTGTAGCGTGAAAGAACCAAACGCCGATGGGAAAACAACCGTGAGGAAGAAGTGACCGCATCTCCAAACTCCTTCAATGCCGCTTTCCAAGCCTTGCGAAATAAGAGCTCGCGTCCATACAATCTTACACTAGCAAAGCAACAGTTACCGAAGACGTCTCCCGCGTCGGATCCCGTCATCGTCGCGCTCTCGAGACCGGCGCACTGATATCTCTACGCTCCTTCACGCCTTCCATCATCTGCTTTCGCGGCGTCTCTTGGCCCATGGCCATGCTTCTAGCACGCCCACGGCGTTCTCTGATCGCCTGCAGGGCAGCTTCCCTGTCAATGGGGAGCTTGTTCAGATTAAGCTCGCCGAGCACAGGGGTACGAGCGTTCATAGGAGCGTGGGCAATCGTTGAGGGTGTCAAAGGCTCAGCCCCTGACTTGACAGCCGGTGTCATAGGAGAAAAGTGCAATGGGACGCGTGTTGTCGTCGTGATGGTACGGGTGAGGTACGGAGTTACCGGAGCATCTGAAGCTTCCTGCGAGTGGTCCTCAGACTCGTTGTCTTCGATAACTTCCTCATCGTCCTCATCGCTGTCCATTACTGCATCCTCGTGGATGACAATACCAGTCGACTTTGACTTCATCTGCTCAGTCTGGATACTAGCGCGAGACTGAGGTTGACGAGCATTGGGAACCCAGGGTGAAGCCAATCCAGCGACTGTAGTCGGCTCGAGTCGGGGCTTCTCTGATGAGACGACTTTTGTTGAGCTTGCAGCCTTAGCAGGTGACGGAACAGAGCGGAAGGTGCCTGTGGTGGGTGAGAATGCCACAGGTGGCTCCGGTGTTGTGTTGTCAGGGCGCTTGACGATGACTGTGTCGAGAGTCTGGTCCACGGATTCCGCGCTATGTTCATCGCCCTGTATCTCGTCTGCCGGTGGAGTGATAGGTCGTTTGGCTACCATCACGTCAGGTTTGATGACGTCTTCCATGTGCTCATCGCCATGGTCACTTGGTGGAGGGGTCAGGGCAGGGACTGAGGCTTTGATTGCCTCAATCGCAGCGGCATAGCTGTTGTCGTGGATATAGTCCGATCCTTTCGAATCGGCAATGCGGCATGAGCAGCAACGGAATTGACACTCCATCTTCATGAAGTCAATTTGCTCTTGTGCGCGCTCACGGAGGCGCTTCTCCGTGGCAAGGTCTTGCTGTACGAGCATGAGCTCTACGGCTGCCCTGCTCGGCGCTACATTCTCCTTGTCCTCCTCGTCTTGTGCAAAAGTCTGTTGTTTCCGCGGCGATCGAACTGAAGAGCCAAAGTCGTCGTACTCCTCTGTGGTGGCTGACGGGAGCGGAATCTGACCTTCAGCGGCGATGCGCAACACCTCCTCCTCTTTCAAGCTGGTCTTGAGCGCGTCGCGCTCTCCCTCAACTAGGCTTAGCTTGTCCTTCAGGGTATTGATTTCCTCGCTCAACTGGGTTTCGATGGTGTTTGCTCTAACGTCCAAGTTGTAGCACTCGTTCTTGTAATTCTCAGCTTCTTTCTGGTAGAATCGGAGATCGGACTCCATGCGGGCCAGTGTCCTCTCAAGCCCTTCGTTCTTGCCCTTGAGGATGGCAACCTGAGGCTTGACATGAGCAGCGTCGTCCTTAGCATCCTGCATAGCTTTCTTGTAGACATGCCCCTTAGCCATGGCTACTTCGTTGTTGCGTTTCAACTTTTCCTGCGAAATTGTCAGCTATGTCGGCATATCACCTAGAGCTTGCTTACTATCTTCGCATTCAATTGCTCCCTTTCCTCTTCCTTATTCCTGAACGCGTTTTCCCATTTAGAGATCGCGTCGCGCTGATCCTTGCGGCACTTTTCATAAACATCACGTGAGACGCAGTTGTCGTGTTCCTTTGCCGTCCTCTTCTTCTCCTCGTCGAGCTCCTCAGCGCGGACTCTGTAGCGCTCCAACATCTGGATCTTGCGCTCCATCTTGGTAATCTCGGCGGCGTGTTTTGTCTTCTCTTTCTGCAGAGCTACCATGTATTTAGCCTGAGCTTCTTTGAAGTCCTTAACGTCGAGATTCTCAAACATGGCGGCGAGACCCTGCACCGAGACGTCCGAGTCGTTGCGGCGATGCTTGCGCAAAGGCGATGTGCGTAGGTCGGGCAGCGATGGCGACTGTGCTGAAGGAGGTCCATATGGGGATCTGGTGCCGGCCGCGCGCTCTGGGCTCACAGGAAAGAGGGGCATAGGCGGCGACATTGGAAACTTGGAGGGCGATTTGGAGGTTGATGGCGGGGAGACGCCGCTCGGGCTTTCGGTGAGTTTCGCCAACTTGACGGTTGTGGGGTGATCTGCTGCAACGTGCAGAAATGTTGCGTGTCTTGTGTGTCGGTCTTGGGCGGGGTGGAAGTGTATGCGATGTACATGCGAAGTAGCGCGGTGCGTGCTTGAACGATAAACAAAGCTAACCGAGGCACCCCTGCCCTAGCAACCATGCACAGCTCCCGCACCAACGTCATCCTGTTCACGGGCGACCAACACCGGAACACCGGACCAGCTTGACGAACCACCTAATTTCTTTCGCTGATACGCTGAAGACGATACTGAACTGGCCTACTGAATGAATGAGATGACTCGCAGCCGCGCACGACTCTTCTTGATCCTGCGAAGTGCTGACGTGGATGAGCTTTGACTGGACAAACTGATGATCGTGCGGGAGAAGATCACTTACATATCTCAAGTAGCTGCGTGACTATTTGAACCCTTTAGAACTCGCAGGCGCAAGACTCCGTAATCGCCGTGGCCCTGCGCCCCAACGTTGAAGGTATCGGGAACAGACACCAGGGTATACGACAAAGCAAACGACTCGTCGAACTCTTGTTGTGTAGGGACTTTGTGGCTAATTTTCGTTATGTTGACTTGCGTACTCTCCACTAGTCATACGAGAGTAATAATGCTTGGCTCTATGGAGCCCAGGTGTTCGAGAAAAAGCTTGTCATTCTCCACGGTGACCATATCTGGTATGGCTCTTTTGTTGGAATGGCTCTCCTGGTGTCTGACAAACCTGGATATACCTTTTCCAAGGAGACCGCATGTGCTGACCTTCTCAAATACGCCTTTGGACGGTGTTCCTAGCAGAAGTAATGCATTATGATTAAGAATGAAGGATTGTTCTGCGTCATTATCAGGCAACAAATGCAGTAGAGGCACAATCACTGCGTCTTCGCACGAAGACGGCGTGTCGACGTTCTTGTCTAGCTGGTCCCAATGGAACAAGTTGACGATGTATCTGGAATTTGACCCGATAACATCTGAGTTATCTCTCTTTGGTGTGCGTGAAGTCTTTGGTAGGCTTTCGGATGATTGTTGACTGACAGGCTTCCCAGAACTAGATCAGTGTCACGTATACGGATTATGGGCACACTGAGTTTAGGCTGAGCCTGCTCGATCTCTCCAAGTACAGCTGGACCTTTAGTCGAACTCGGTATATGCATGATCTTGGTGCAGCCCAGGTACCTAGGTAGCCGCCTTTCCCATGTGTATGGCCATTTGACTGGATATCTGTGGGATGCCCAAGACCAGGTGGGCCGGCGATCCTTGAGAACTAAGCCAGAAACATCGTGGAAAGCTTTTGGCACGAACGACTTGTGAGCAACCATTCAGTCCTTCGCAGGAGCTAAACCAGATCTTGAGGGCTTGGAAGGATGCATGCGAATCTGGAGAACCTGGGAGTAACATGAATGTACTCTTTCGATCAAGGCTCACTAAGGCGATGTATTCTTATGCTCTTCTTGCTGATGCGGCTGCCTAGAATCACACACAAGGATTTGTGGATCGTGCTTAGACGGTGAAACTCCATTGTCGACGGGAAAAAGTTGCTGTATTTCATCTTTCGAGTTATCAGCTTCTGAATCACCACAGTCGAGGGAGGCTGACCTTTCCAAGACATTAGGCAACGATGGTGGGTGATTCGACCCGCGACAGAAAAGACAACATAACTATCCTCGCTAATACTCGCCCTCTGGCTCAGCTGATTAGGATACATCTCTTCATACCTATCGAGGCACGTAGCCAACAGACGCTTCCATAAACATTTTTAAACGGCGGCTTGCCTGATGTCTGGAATAGGGAAGTAAGCACGCCTATATGCACCTTGTTTGCGTAGACAGTGTTCACAAGCATGTTCCATAAGATCTGAGTAAGTCACTATGCTCTTAGAATGTTCCGCCATTGCGAGAGGGTCTTTGTTTGTTGTATGAGGCATCGCAAAGTAGCAGCGTCAGGAGAGCGTCGCTTCCGCCTCGGGATCTCGAATCAATCCTAGGGAGCCTCGTTTGTCAGCCTGGCCGTGTGCGACTTCTTACAGCTGCCTGTCAAAATAGAACTCGGTACCAACCATTGGCCTAGCAAAGGTACTGCAAGCTCAGAGAATGCACCGTGAAACTAACTTTTGAATGAATTATTGCCTTCTCAAAGCTGTATGCAGTCTATCTATATCCACAGTCATCGACGATCAGGCTCGTCGTACAGCTCAAGCAGATCGTCCACCCAACCACGATAACCCTCTCCAACAGTCCTCGTAGCACTCAAGCGTCGAGCACCAACACCTCTATTACCGTCTATGCTACAGCCCTCATCCTAGCCGCTCATACCAATCTCAATATCCTGCTTCATACGCGTGATGTTCGGATCGTACCACGCGACACAGACAACAAGCGTAAGCGCCATCATCAGGAAGTCGTACAAATACAGCGGCCACTCGTGCGTGACAAGATAACCGTCCTACCAACTTGTCAGACTCATTTCGGAATAGTTGGAGAGGGAAGGCGAAACATACCCGTCCAAGCGCATACTCTATCACACGGCACAAATTACGAATGGTGATCAGCGCGCTCGCCGCATACAGCAACCAAATATATCTTGTCCACGGCACATCTGCGCTCCTCGAGGTCGGTTTAGTACTCAACCGCCTATGCCACGTTGCCGCGACCGCGACGAAAAACCCAAAGATGAGAATCTGCAGGACCAGGCCGCCGAGAATGACGTTCTCCCCGCGCTTGACGCCTTTGTTGTCACTGGCTTGGACAAGCATGCCCGCGCCGCCGGACTGCACGAAGAAGCAGAGGATGTCGCCCGTGACGAAGATCTTGGTGACCCAGGTGGCGCGGACGAGCGAGTAGGTTGCGCTGTTGGTGCGATGGATGAGGCGGCCGAGGATCATGTAGATGGAGGCGGCGAAGAGGATGGGCGCGATGAGGATGAGGACTGATTGGATGATGTAAGGGGTTTTGTTGTCCAGGTTTGTGTGGGCGGCTGCACGAGCTGCGTAGCCGATTGTCTCGAACTGTGGGAATGTTTAGCGACTACTGCGTTGCTGTCAAGCAGAATTCGTGTGGTACTTACGATGCCGCCAATAACGAACGGGATGCAGAACCATGTTCGATTTTTGAAAAGGCGGAAACAATGCAATAATGTAAGGATGCAAAAGACAATGCACGCGATAGCTCCGCCCGCAGTTGACGGTGTGTAGGACCAAAGTTTATATTTAATCTTGCCGGAGTCTGGCATGGTACCAATCCACTGTTGATAGGTCGCTGTGGAAAAGCTGTGATCGGTTGACTTGGACGTCCGAATATTCGTACCCAATGATGATAGGATCAAAGGAATGTTATAATCGTTTCTTTCCTTTGCAGAGTGAGCGAGCGAGCTGACGGACGAAACCAGATAATGGTGAATGTGAGCAGAGCGTGTGATCGAACCTGGAGATCCAGTTCACGTTGTAGGCTATCTTTAGGGGCAGGCCCATCTTACTTATAAGTTATTGCGTACTGGTTCGTACTCTGCGTTATACAAACTGTTTGTCTCTTCGTAGGAGTCGGATTGGAGGAGTGATATACGAGTAGCGGTTTATACGATAAGCGAGTACGAGAGTACGCGAATACGCGAATTGGTGAAAAGCGCGCAATGCCTCAGCCCATTCCCGCAAGAGCCTTTCTTGCGAACCTACGTAGCAATGTGAGTTTACAATACAGCGCTAGGTTCCTCATTTGAGAGCCAATGTAAAGTCGATCTTGGACTCCTCGTATTTGGCTGCTGGGTGCGGAAAGCATCGCTCAGGTACGAAGGTATGTCAACGTCGTACCTCTGCAAATCAATAGCAGTCTAGGTGCCTTATGATGAGCTCCCGGATCTTACATCTACAGGTCCGCTAAGTTTTTCATTTGTCTAGCTGTTCGTACGCAAGCTTCTATGACCCCTGTAACCATTGGATGATCCACCCTGCACAGCAGTATGGCGCCTCTAGTCATCTAGCACAAAGATTAGCGCAAACTCGTCGCCTGAAACAGCAATTAACGTACTTTCAGTCATTCGCACGCCCGACGACTCGGGGCCGTTCGTAAGCAGGTGTACAGCATGGGATGGGATGTCCCGAATGACTCACGGGAGCTCAGTTTATGCTGCTGGCCCGCCAACAACTTCAGAATCGGATGCTCCCACCTGCTGTTCGCAAGCCCTCCAAAAATAGTTATAGCGCAGGCGTACTCAGGTAGACGTTGGCTGGGAGATTGGTGTACGACAGGCGCGTATCTGCTCTTTCGGCCAATCGAGCCAGCTTTTCCATTCTATCGGAACGAATGCATCTGCAACAGCGAGTATCATTTCATCCATGCCTTCTAAGAACCAGTAATGCCGGCCCCTTCCCAGAAGGACACCATAGTGCGCGAAAATGATCAGCGCCCCTGGCTGCTTCTCGGAGAGCAGCTCGACAAACCGAGATGGAACGAAATGGATCCAGAGCCGCAGTAGTGAGTCCGATGGAGGTTCCGCCGACTTGCTTATTACGTCGAAGAGCAGATCCAGTCGACCGATGGCCTCCTTGTAGGCTTCATTAATCTCAGGAGGGTAGACGTGGTGTATGACCTCTGAGAATTTGCGAAGCTGAACGAGTTGCGTCTCCTGCGGCGCCTCAGCGTTTTTCCAGTCAACCGAATGGACATCCTTGGGTATGATGCGGCCCAAGTCAGAATGTAGCATGCTTTCGTAAAGACCGCTTGCTTGTATGAGTGGTCCCACCATCCTAGTTACAATGAGGTTCGAAAAGATGCTTTCGAAAACATCTTCAAAATCTGTCAAGCTGGCAGATATAGCGCACGTATAGGGGAAAAGTAAAGCGTTAAAGATAAGCACCACTTGAAGGTTTGACGCCGAGATGTCTTTTACTTCGGCTCGAAACTGGGCGAGGGCGATCTGGTGGTGGCGTCTGGCTTTGAGTATGTAGTCGACTCGCCGGGGTGGTTCCAACCTGCTAAGATGAAGTGCAGTAAGAGATAAGATCGCATGAAGGACATAGGGATTATCGAAAGCGACCTTTGGTATATAGCTCGAAAAAACATCGGCCGCATCTGGTGCGTGTGCAAGCGTGCTCGCCGTGACGGTGATGAAATGATGCAACAGCCGCAGGTGAACAATGTCGGCGATCATCTCTTGATTTTCCATGCCGTCGTGATTTGACCTGTTCACGACGGCACTGTGCGCGGGGGAAGGTGTATTCAGCGCAGCGGGCGATAGTGCGACCTCTCGATGGTCGGAAACACCCGCCCTCTTCAGCCGAGGGTATTCGCAAGTCGAGCCATACTTTTCACAATTCGAGCAGATTGGTTTTTGCTCATCGCACTGTGTAATCAGCTTTCAATGCTGTTATAAGGCGCTGGCCAGGCGAGAAATACCTTAACATGTCTTGCTTTGCAAGAGGTACACCCGCTACGCGACTTTCTGTGCGGTTTGCGAGTCTTCGTTGCATTCATGTCACCTGACGGCATCGTGACGCATCATATTGAGGCAACTTCTGATGGATGAAGCGCGAGTCGCATCACTGGGGACTAGGAAAGTGCAGATGCACGAGCTCCACTCATGGTCCGTGCACGCCATCGCTCTTTCTGGGTTAGCGAAACTTCACTTGTTTATAACGGACTGTAGTAGACGCTCTGTTATTTGGATGTGGCAAATCACATCAGGGGTTGTGGTTTTTGAGATCTCTCGAAACATGTTTCAATTTCCATTTAAGGTAATCACATGCCCAGTTTTCCAATGTTGCAGGGGGTCTCTTGTTATGCTCGTGGTGGATGCTGAACCGACACGGACGAAGTACGGTGGATTCTATATCAATCGTCCTCCACCAATAACGCGCAATCTCAGAGAACTGGACTCCAAATAGCAAACGGCAGAATATACCATATTTCGAGTTTATACAGTGTTAATTCAACGGTCTGGGAGAGGTAATCCCAAATCTGTACTCGCTCGTATTTTCGACTGATCGCGTAGAGACTAACTCTATGATGTGCTCCCTGATGAGAGATCATACTTATGCTCCGGAACTTGACATCGAGCTCCCCTCCTCGGAGACTGGATCGAAGGGAAACCCGTCAGCGGACCGATATTCCAGGTAGCTGCCAGAGATAGGGTCAGCAACCTCGTAGGTGGGCACAACCTGTGGCTGCGGGACATGTTGCGCATTTCCTGGTACCAATACGCCTTGTAGTCCCGTCTGCGACTCCGACCTTCGTGTGAGGTCCCTTCCGGCTTGCGCGTACCGCGCATACACTATCTCCGCACGGTAGACGCATTCATAGCAAAAGATGACATCGCCCTGCTGGTTGTTGCCAGGGAAGATTCTGCTCTTGCACTCTGGGGTATCGGAGCAATTTGCTGCGCAAGGTCGCGCCGGCTGAGCCCACACCTGGTGGCCGCAGCGCAAGATATGGGTCAGCTTCCAGTCGTAGCCGAGTTTGTCGGGGTTGTAGAAAGGTCTGCAGAGCTGATTAACGATCTCTTCGCTAGCGAGACCACAGAAGTGCTCAATGACGGGGCGAGTGAAGGCAAGTGCACGCCTGACGTCGCGTGGGACGACGAAATAGCTACCAGCTGGAAGGCCGTGGCAGATCTCGCAGTAGATGTTGTCGCGAGACTGGTGTTGAGTGATCGCCGGGAGAACAGGATCCGTTGTGCTCTTGAGCGTCGTAGAGCTGGTCAGGACTTGTTCGCATGATTGATCAGCGCGAAGGTCGGCATTCTGCGCCGTGGCGTTGTCGGTTTGCTGCTTGATCCAGTGAGCCACGTGCAGACAGTTCAGGCCACACCGATTGTCGGAACTTCCAGTCAGAGGGCTGTCAATGGCAACAAGGTGACCGCAGGTCAGCATGTGAATAGGCAAGATGTACCCATCTGCGTGGACGGCGCATGGCTCGGCTTTTGCAGCCTCGTACGCGTGGTAAGGGTAACCGGTTGGGTGTTTCTGGACCTCCGTGTAATTGTCTCGGGTATCGAGCTGGAGCGTGCTCGAAGCATCTAGGTGCTCGTATTTGGCCGCCTCCATTTCATTCATAGCTGATCTATCGAGGTTAGGGTGTATTGGGGCGAGGTTGTCGTGGACTGCGCGAGTCTATATAGGGAAAGCGCGGCCAGCGGGGGTGAATGCACGTGGCGAGCGAGGCCCAGCGTCACCGTATTGTAACCTGCGGCTTCACCACCAGTCCTGTAGCATGCCCGAAAGCTATGAGCTCATCTGCAGTGCCTTCACATGCTTTGGTACCCTGTGTTGACCTAGCATGACCAATGAGTGCACAGTTCGACGCGGTATTATTGACACTTCTAGTGTATGTGCGCATACCGCCAGCGCCTCGAAAAGAGCTTCGGCATAGTTACTGCACTCCGTCTCCACGCTTAGCAATTGAGTAATCAATCAACAAGTCCTTTAGCAGTAGTCACGCCTCTTCTTTAGTGGGATATGCCCTCCTCATGCCTCCAACGTTCTAGCTCTTTCAGGTCCAGTAACCCTGCGCAGCACAAAAAATACCACAGTGGCCCATGGGATGTGCATATCATCGTCTCAACAACAAGGAGTCGTCTTCAGGGCTCACGAGGGCCATGCGAGCTTCAAGACAGGATATGGCCGCCGCTAGGTATCTGGAGCGGACAACGCATCGGATGCAAGGGTAGAGAAAGGATGCAGGAGATGGTTCGGACAAGAAGACGAAGAAGCAGAAGAGGCCGAAGAAAAGAAGAAGAAGAAGAACGACGTGTATCTGCGACTGGTGGTGCGATGACGTGGAGTCAGTGTGCAACCGTCGCAACACATGGCGCATGCAGGGATGGCGGCGAAGCGCTGGGCTGGGCGTGTGATAGGCAGGCTCTGGCTGGGGCTTAACTGACGGCACGCCTTCTTGCATCGCCCGTTCTTTGGACAGACAGCATTCGTGCGCATGCCCATGGAGACGCGGCTGCCTTGTCCTTGTGAAGCAGCAGGAATAGCCGCGGGGTGGAGCCCACCGTCCAGTCGCATGTGCGCGCGTTTCTGAGGTACCCTACTCCACTTTGGCCGCTATCGACGACGTCCGACCCGCCCGCCAGCCATGTTGCCGGGCGGTCTGGCAGACGACGACACAGCACAGCGCCTGCCCGCGTCGCGATGCCAGGCCAGCACTGCGGGACAGTCAATTGACATGCTGCCAGGCACCCCGAGACACCACGCACCGCCCCCCTCGAGCACCCCTCCGCCGACCAAAGCTGCCACAGCCGCTGCCGACCTGCCGCGTCCCTCGTCCCCGTCCCCGCCGGCGCACCGCCAGCAGCCCCATGCCAGCGCGTCCACGGGCTCTGACACGACCACCAGCGCAGAGCTGTCCGAGCTGACTTCGTCGTCGTCGTCGCGCGACTCGATCCCTACGCTGGACCCGGCTGCGGAGCTGCGCCGCCGTGAAACAACGCCCCAGAAGCCGGGCAAGAACCCCAGACGCGCCAAAACACACAAGACGAACAAATGGACTAGCAACGGCGCCGGGTCCTCGGATAGCACAGGTTCAGAACGCAAGACGTCGGTGCCGCAGGTGCCCCGCCACACCGCCCAGAGCGCTGCTTCGTCGCCCCAGAGCGCGCGCTCGCTGCAGAGACAGCAGTCGCACACCCACGCCGCCGTGCAGCAAGGACGCGCCATGGCCACCACGTACGGGGGCCCGGCGGGCGACTCGCGGCGGGGGGTCGCCTCTCCCAGGCCCAAGGGCCGCGGTATGCTTGGGCCTTGATACCGTGCATGCATCCACAGCTAACGCGCACTTCTCAGAAGCGAAGAACACCTTCTGCCGCAATGTCACCATCTACGGCCACTGCCGCTACGAGAACAGTGAGTGCTCGCTGGCTCCGTCGTCATCGTGTCGTAACCTCGTCAGCCTGTCCGTATATCCACGATTCCACCAAGCTGGGTCAAAACGAAAACAAAATGAAGCGCTTCAACGTAGACTCTCCCTCCTTCACCCCGCTGCAAGCCAGCACCAACGGAGCTCTCACCCCCTCGTCGCGGAGCGCCGCAATCTCCCCCAAAGCTGCAAATGCCGCCATATTCACCCCCAAGTCGCAGCGTTCAGGTAGGTGGAACCGTCTCCTGCACCTACCTTGATCACTAAGCCGTCCAGCTGCAAGCACGCCTAGCCTGCAGACGAAGGAGCCTGCCGTGGAATGGCATCCGCAGCAACAGGACTTCACCGAGTTTGTGCCCGGCCAGACATTTGACAATCAGATGGTAGGTCTTGTTTCGTTTCACCTACACACCTGCCCCACGGTTTTTGGATGCATAGTTTGGATCATGCGAAAACACTGCATATGCTAAGCGGACAGGTGGACCCCAACGCGCAGGCGCAAGCCTTGAGCTACGACCCCTTTACTGCATCTTCTGCTATATCTGCCATTACAAGCTCTGGCCACCAAACTGGCGCCATCAATCCCTATGCTCAGGACCCTTCCCTCTCTGGCGCATCGTATTTCCAGAACGCGGGTGGATTTCAGTCATCACCCGCTTACCACCTCTATTGGCCGGTCGGTCCTCAGCCAACGGGCCTGCTGGCGTACCAGCGCACCGCCCATGACTTTTTCATCCCAGACTCTGTGCGCGAGGATCTACAAAAGAAAGCAGAGATATCCAGACAGGTCGCGTCAAATTCTTCAATACCTCCTATAGAACAGTTCCATTCTCTCTTCTGCTTGGACACGTCGCCGCAGAAGAACCAGTCGATATTTGGCTATACGAACTGGGTGTACAAAGCCGTTTCCAGTAAGGATGGAAACATGTACGCCCTGCGTCGCTTGGAAAACTTCCGACTCACCAACGAGACCGCCATACGCTCTGCCCAAGCTTGGAAGCGAATACTGAATGGCAGTGTGGTCACAATCCACGAAGCCTTCACAACGCGGGCATTCGGAGACAGCTCGCTCATTATTGTGACCGATTACCACCCAAATTCGAAGACGCTTGCCGAAGAACACTTCAAACAGGTGCCAATGCAGCGCTATCACGGCAGGCAGGCGGCATCCTCACATGTACCTGAGCAGGTGCTTTGGGGCTACTTGGTACAAATCGCATCCGCACTCAAGGCAATCCATGGTTCTGGCCTGGCTGCGAGATTGATTACGCCCTCAAAGATCATATTAACATCCAAAAATCGGATTCGACTCAATGCCTGTGGAATCCTGGACGTTGTGCAACATGAAACCGCCCGACCTCTTCCAGAGATGCAAGCAGACGATCTCCTTCAACTCGGTCGGTTAATCCTTTGCATTGCAAATGGAAACTTGTCTGCACATTTGAATATGCAGAAGTCTATGGACTACATCACACGGAGCTATACCGCCCGTTTGAAAGAGTGTATACAATGGCTGGTTAGCCCACAAGCAAGCACCAGTGCGCCTTCTTCGCCGACAACACCCGGAACCGTTCACAAGGATATTGACACGTTCTTGGGCGGCATTGCAGACCAGATGGCGACAGTCTTTGATAGCGAGCTACATGCGCAGGACACGCTGACCAACACTCTTGCTCGCGAGCTCGAGTCGTCACGCATTGCGCGTTTACTCATCAAGCTGAACTTTGTCAATGAACGTCCGGAGCTCGACGCATCACAGCACGTACCTGGCAGCACAGCACCGACTGCCTCATCCCTTTGGGCGGAGACCGGGGACCGATATTATCTCAAGCTCTTCCGCGATTACGTTTTCCACCAGGTCGATGCGAACGGCCATCCTGTAACAAATCTGGCGCATGTTCTCGACTGCCTAAACAAACTAGATGCCGGGACGGAAGAGAAGATTATGCTGGTCAGCCGCGACGAACAGAATGTGCTCATTGTCAGTTATAGAGAGTTGAAACGTGGACTAGAATCCAGCTTCCAGGATTTGATTCGAGCGGGACGGCAGTCGGGGAAATAGGGACTCGTCGACTCGAGTCCGCTGAGCGCAAGGTCTTGGTCAAGGCCGGGTTCGAGCGGATAAAGATGGAAAGTGAGCAAAAGAGAGATTGCATCGCGAGTTACCGAATTGCGATTACTTGCTTATGTTGTCTTGATGGGGGTTGAGTAGGAATAGCGCGAAAACGACCAAGCTATAAATATGATTATTCTTTACTTCACACGCCGGCATGTATCCAAACTGATCAGGCCTCATGTTGGGCGATTCCTAGCAACGTTTGGGGTGCAGGCTTGGGCTTTGGGTGTGAAAGTTATCCTCACAAAAGCAAACGCAAGCACGGAAGATTTAACTTCAGTATTCCCCTGAAGCGACTGCCCCAGTAAGTATCCGCTGGTGATATATGCCAGGGTAACGGCATGTTGCTAGATATGTGGGTCAAGCGACCAGCGTCGCTCTCGCAATTTACCCGGTATACCGGTCCGTATCCCTCTATTTTAATTGACCTGCTCTCCATTAATCAGTGCGACAGGGACGAGAAATGACGACAGAACACATGGCACCTCGCGCCTTACAGATCCTACCCCGTGGGGTTCTACGTTACACAGCGCTGGATCGGTGAGGCGTTATAGCAGCTAGGCAGGGAACGAGGAGCAACTCAAGCCTTCCTCGACGAACGGCGACGGCTGCCATGCACGGAACTCTGGACTTTTGTTTAGCCTTTTTGCGGAGTCAGGCGGGGTTTCCACGTCGATTTCTTTGGTGCTCTGCGATTCCAGCAAGCCATCCTGCCGGCAAGGCGAAGTCTGGAGCCGAATCGAATATACCCTTAGCCGAGCATAGATTAATATCGCCACACCCGTTGGTTAACGGTCACGCCGGACTACACATATCATATCAGGGTTCTGATCTTCCGATAGGCCAACTGTTCACCGGACTATACCTCACTCGTGGAAGACCTCATCCGAATTGCGCGTCAAGTGACTTTGCATCGCACGGGCTCCCTCATCTCGCAACCCAGTACCGGCTTGCCGCTGAGCTAGCCAATATACGAGAACAGTCGAGATGGTGTGGACGTTTGGGCAGCTACCACAAGCAAGGACAAGGGAGTTTGCGTGCTATATAACAGCGTCCAAAACCCGGGTCGAAAGACGTCTGTCTCGTCAGTGCAGTGCATATCCCTTCCTTCTCCTACTATATCCCGTATCTCTAGATCACCTTTCCATCTACTCCACGCGCGCCGAGCCCAGCCATGCGTTCTGCCGTACTTCTAGCTGCGCTTCCCGCGCTCGTGTCTGCACACGGACACGTCGAGCAGGTCAAGGCTGATGGAGTCCTGTACCAGGGGTGGAACGCGGCATTCCAGTACCAGAACCCTGTTCCTAAGACCGTGGGATGGAAGGCGGATAACCTGGACAACGGGTTTGTGAGCCCGGACGCTTTCGCTACGAGTGCGATTGTGTGCCACAAGCAGGGAGCCAGCAACGGTGCCTACGTGAACGTCAAGGCAGGATCTACAGCGACTTTCTACTGGGACACCTGGCCAGTCACCCATAAGGGGTAAGCCTCCCCTTACATCTATTTTCCATCTTTCACGGAGACGATGAGCTAACGAGCTAGGCCTGTTATTGACTACATCGCTGCGTGCAACGGTGACTGCGGCGCCGTAGCTTCCACCTCTCTGTCGTGGACCAAGCTCGACCAGAAGGGCTGGCTCTCGGGCTCGAACCCCGGAACCTGGGCCACCGACAATCTCATCGCCGCAAACAACACCTGGACCATCACCATCCCGTCCAACCTCGCTTCCGGAAACTACGTCGTGCGCCACGAGATCATCGCTCTGCACGCTGCTGGTTCGACCAACGGCGCCCAGGCGTACCCTCAGTGCGTCAACTTTGCGGTCACTGGAAGCGGCAGTGCGAAGCCGCAGGGCGGAGTGCCGGCCACGAGCTTCTACAAGGCTTCTGGTGAGTTTCCGCGTTGATGAGGTCAATAGAGAATGTGGACTGACGCGTTTTAGACCCGGGAATTTTGTTCAACTTGTACACTGCTTTCACTTCTTACACGATCCCCGGACCTGCGCTAGGTAAGATCGCGAAGAGGGAGCACGCGAGAGAGTTCAACTAGACTTGGAGGCGTCACTAAGGGATGGCCCGACTGTAGTCTTTGTATATAGTGTGAGATAGGGAATCTAATGCATCGCATCTGAGTTGAAGTCCCAATAGCTCCTTGCGGGCACCGATATATGTCACTGCATAAGTGTACTCTTATCGTAGACTCAAGATCTGGAAACAGATACAACCATCGGCATGAGTCATTCGAAGAACGTAAATCGGAAAGAACCACCAATGTCCCATCAAGACTGCTAGACCGCATTGGTCGACCTTCGTACAACGTCCACCATGCCTTCCCAAGAGGGTAAGCGCCCGTTGACCACTCCCGTCCATCTTCTTTCTTCCTATTGGCTATGTATACAAAACCTTTGGTATATCCACAACAAGAAAACCAACGGCGAACGAAACATCCCTTCAGTGGGTTTTGTTGTACGACATGACGAGCAGTTGGACTCTACCATCCTGGTGTACTTCAAACTGTTTCAAAACTTTCTAAAGCACCTTGTACGAAATGCAGTGTATGCCTTTCGTATAAGAGCCTTTGTTCGTATTCAATGTCGGAATAACTCAGCCAAGTCCCAGTCGTAAAGGATGCGCTCCCTCCTTCCATTGTTGGCCGTGGCCCTGAGTGCGTATGCCCACCTTGGCATACAACAGCGAAGCAGCTGCCCATACTCTGCTTCTGCTGCAGAGAAACGCTCAGCATGTCCTTATGCCAGAGAGCTCCCTGATCACGCCATACCCCGACATGCGTTTCGCCGAGCGGAAAAGAAAAGTGGTGCTTTCTTCATGAATCGCATTGCTCCTGGAACATCGGAGTTATACATCGCGAATGCTGACGGCAGCAACGAGCGGAAGGTGCTGGGCAATGAATCGACATTTGACTATCAAGCCAGCTTCTCGCCTGACGGACAGTGGATCACCTTCACCACCGAGCGTAACGGAGACGGAAACTCTGTGAGTATTGCCTCGTATGTGGATTAGTGAAGCAAGCTAATATTCGGCAGGATATTTATCGCGTGCGACCAGATGGCACTGGCTTGGAGCAAATCATCGCCACTTCGTCCTACGAGGCCCAGGGCGTTCTCAGCCCGGACAGCAACAAGATCGCATACGTCTCTACCGCGAACAATTACAAAGCGAATGTGTGGATCAAAGACCTCAAAACAGGCGAAGAGAAGAACCTCACCAACACAGCCTTGGTCGCAGGAAATTCAAGCTTACCCGAAGGCTACTTCAGGCCTGCATGGTCACCGGACGGCGAGTGGCTCGCTTTCTCATCTGCCCGCAACACCCAATGGCGCGGCCATGGCAATGGCACTGGCTGGGAACACACCCAGGAACTATCGATATACATTATCCGCCCTGATGGTAGCGGTTTCAGACAGCTTGCCACGAAAACCAACTACTGTTTGGGATCGCCTAAGTTTTCTCCCGATGGCAAGCGCGTGATCTTTTACGAGATCACCACCGAAGCTACTTGGGACTCTCATCGTCCGGAGGCGGTCAGTGGCGTGACTGGGCAGCTTGTCTCGGTCGATTTCGAGACTGGCCAAGATAGAATCGAGCACACGTCCGGCCCTGGGCTGAAAATGAACCCGCAGTGGGTTACTAACGATGTGGTCGGGTACCTGGTGAAGACTCCCGCTAACGAGGGTCTGAACTATACAGCGTATACGACCATTGGTGACAGCACGAATGGAAATGGTACGTACTCCCAAGTTAAGGCATCACTACGCTCGCCATCGTGGTCACCCGATGGCACACAGGTAGTGTATGAGAAAGTGGACTTCAAAGCCGTACGACCAATGGGTAAGCAGCTGTACAGCTGGGACGCCGATTGGGAGTATCGCTTTACGGACGTCTTCCCCCAGCTATCTCTCCAAGGCCGCCTCGCTATCACACAGAAGCAGCTCGGTAACTCTAGCGTTGTCACAATGAAGCTCGATGCTACGGACTTAGTGGATGCCTTCGACGTCTACGATCACTTGAACGATACCTCATCCATTGGTAAAGGTCTGACAGGTGCCTTTCAGCCATCCTGGTCACCCGACGGCCGTTCTCTCGTGGTCGGGCTGGGATCATGGTTCCAATCTCGTGCCACGGGGACCGGCGTGTTATGGCAGTTCAGTGCCAATGGTTCTGCCGCCGAGCAGCTCACCCTCGAAAACGAAGCCAACAGTGGCTTCCCCAGCTACGCGCCCGACGGCAAATCCATTGTGTACCGCGTTTTTGGCAAGGAATACGGTCTTCGAATCATGGATCTTGCCACCCGCTCTGTTCGCATCCTCACAAACGGCACTGCAGACGTCTACGACAACACACCCATGTGGTCGCCGGACGGCGAACGCATTGTCTTTGCGCGCCGTCGCTCCTACACCAACTTCGACGTTGCGACTATCCGACCTGACGGCACCGACTTGCGAATCTTGACAAGTAGCGGCGGTAACGACGCACACGCTGTTTGGAGCCACGACGGAAGAATAATGTATAGCACGGCCGAGTACGGGTTCCGCGATGAGTGCGCAACTTATGATCAGACATTTCAGCCGTACGGACAGATTGCGATCATGGATGCGGATGGGCAGAACAAGAGATTGGTTACAGATTCGATGTGGGAGGATTCTATGCCCCTTTTTGTGGGCAATGAATTCTTAGGATAGAATCAGTCGGACATTGACGAAAAGTGTGGTAAGCGCGACCAATGCGCGATTCGCATCCCGTCACTGGCCTAGGAAGTGAAACAAGATCAAGTGTAGTGAGATGAAGATAATTTTGGGTCTGTCGAATTGATAATCACTATAGTGCCTGGTCAACAACTATAGTTCTGTGTCACCCCAGATGGGCATTGCAGCACCCGGACATTTGAAAGCTACCGGAAAAAGAAATACCGGTTCTCATACGTTCGTGCCCTCATTGGAGGAGCGACACAGCCTTGTGTATCGATAGAATGGCGTCACTTTAGGGTAGAACAGGTTGCGAAAGAGGAAAGGGAAGGAAGAAGGTCCGTAGTTCGACGCCACGGAAAGTGGGGATGTGGCTGTGATCGTGGCTGCAATATTGACCCGTCATGTCTCAATTTCCTTCGCTTCCTCCAATACCCACTTCTCCGGCACCGCGTTTAGTGTTTTTGGGGCCCTCGTCGTGTTCTGTTGCCATCCACGGATCTTGCACGCACTGCGTTCGACGTGCTTGGCGTTCCAACGAACCGCAAGGGAGCATCACACAGAACTGCTGCATTTCGTCATGTAAACACCTGATCGGAAACCCAACCAAGCATCGTTCATCAGCCCTGCATGCTTTCTAACCCACTCATCCCTTCGGTCCCTCAAAACCGCGAATTACACCAGGCACCGCTCGCAGGACGTAGGAATGCGCAGCGTACCCTGCATGGCGTCCTACACAATCAATATAAACTCGAAACGATAGCGCCTATCGACACACGAGTAGGGTTCTACGTATCGGATTGTGCGGGCCAATCAGCACGCTGCTCACAACCCATCGGAAGCTGAGCGGGCTGACAGGCATGCATGTCTGTGCTCCTCACCGGCATTCGATTGCTTTTCTTAGAACAAAACGCGCAGATGCGTACAACACGCATCGTGATGGGAAAAGACCCTTTATGTGGTGACCGCTGGAAGGCCGAATGTTCGCGGGATGCCCACGTTTCTTGAGCGACATTGACGGCTGTGACAACGCGGCCCGTTTTTCCCCATTTCTGAATATACAGCGCCTTGCCGCTTCCATGGTGCAGGAACCATAGCCTTGCCACTGCGACGTACTAATCACCCCTCACACTCGTTCAAGATGAACCCCCTCGAGGAGGATGTCTATACCGACTTCGTTCGACCAGAGAACATGGTGGGCGTGGAATCAAGTAAATCGCCGCCAACACTCTCGAGACAGCCTGCGACATCTGCCCGCCGATATCGCTTGAGCCTTTCTCCCTTAGACAGCCTTCAAGCCGAATTCAAAAGGTACAACAGTACAGAGTCAAGTGGAAGTCTGCGGCTATCACAGCCCTCAAACCAGCGTGTCCTTGTGAGTGCAGCCTCTCATATCCAAGATACAAGTTTTGTCAAATTTCAAGAGCTTGGTGCCTACAAGGTCTGCTTCCACTTCAGGATAGACGATGCGATGTTTGAGCATATCACGGACTACTGTGTGGCTTGTGTGCCATAATTGCAAAAGAATTCCACTGCACCTAATATATCGATCACACAAGATCAGGAGCTCTGCTGGCTATGTCATTTTGATCTCTCGGCCAAGGCTGACAATGCACAGAGTCTCTCACACTCGACCGGACCAGAACGCACTCTAAGTCGCAAACAAGCACGCCAATTCGCGTTGCCCTCGAATCCAGGTGCCTTCACAAGCTTGGCAGACGTTGACGAGCTCCCGGATTCGATATCAGACGTGCCTGATTGGGACTTCATCCTCAAGAACTCGGAAGCCGTGGAACGTCCTCGGAATAGCGACTGCCCAAGCTTGACCACCGGCAGCACCATAAGCAGTCGAAACTCGTCAACAAGGTCCGCAAGGTCAATCAAATGGGACTCCCTGGAGACACAAGACAAGGGCATGTGCCCGTACCCTGGTTGTGGCCGAGTTCTGCGGGATCTACCGGCACATCTACTTACCCATCAGGCGGAACGACCAGAGAAGTGCCCTATCAGCGACTGCGAGTACCACGTCAAGGGCTTCGCCCGGGCGTACGACCGAGTTCGGCACACCCTTAGCCACTTCAAGGAGACCATGGTGTGCGGGTTCTGTCCCACCAACATCTTTGCAGCGGAGAGGACCTTCAATCGCTGCGACGCCTTTCTCAGACATCTCGTCACTACTCATGGAGTCGAACAGACTCCAGCTGGACGAAAGGACGACGTGTACGGCGGCGAGAGTAGACTACAAAAACATGTGACGAGCCAGAAGGTCGCAACGTGTGGACTGTGTTCTGAACCTTTTGATGCTCAGGGGTTCTACGAACACCTGAGAGGATGTGCCCTTCGTCAGGTCACGAGAAGCTGCACTGTTGCACAGTTGGTCGAAGGCAGTCAAGAAACTGTACGCGTGCCAAGGGAAAGTCGTCCTGAGAACGCCCTCGTTGCGACCGCATCGTATGCATCTCTCCATATTCCTCGCACGCCGGAGCAGCTATACGGTGCATTTGCACGCCCGCGATCCCCTCTTGCTTCAATCGAAGGCTCGGACTCTCCAGCTGCGCCCGCATCTCGGGACACGGAGAGCAAAGAGATCGCCGAGCTCACCGCTTCCTCGCGCTGCCTGTCCCTCACATCGTCGCAGGATGAAGCCGTGAAGTCTTCCGACGAGGAAACGGACTGGACCGAGGACACGGGCTCGCCAGACAGCGTCACCGATGCGGATTCGCTCCGACCCATGCTGTCTCCCGTCAAGCAACAGCTAGTCGAGCGCCTCATGAGCGAGTTTCACCGCATATTCGATAAGTTGGTTCGTACGTACCATGGCGCTGGGAGTGCGCGGAGTGCGGGGTCGGGGTACTACACTGGGTCGAGCGGATCGTCGACATATTCCAGCTCGTCGTTCGTTTCCCGCAAGCGGAGCCTGAGCGGTGGAAGCTCGCCCCCGCCCAACGACAACGGGGACGATTCGAATAAGCGGAGACGGCCTGATCCGAAGCTTAGTGCTGGCAAGCAGAGTGTGCCTGAATTGCGGTTCGCGTGTCCGTACTACAAGCGGAACCCGGGGCGCCATCAGACCTTTACGTCGTGTCGAGATCCGGGGTTCATCACCGTTGCTCGACTCAAGTAAGCCAGACCTAGACGATGGTGATTTTGGTCCATTTTCTAACACGTGTGCAGGGAACATCTGTATCGTCGCCATCTCCTCCCGATACAATGCAACCGCTGCTGCTCCACCTTTGCCAACGAGCCCACCCTCCGCGAACACCAACGCGACCCCCACGGCTGCGATATCAAAGATCAGGTGCCGCTCGAAGGCTTCGACAAGGACCAGGAGCGGAAGCTGAAGAGCAAGAAGCGCAGCCTCGTGTATCAGAGCGAGGAGGACAAATGGAAAGGCGTGTATCGCATTCTGTTCCCCGATGATAACGACGTGGACATGCCATCACCTTGTAAGTATTGCTAAGATCCTACTGGACAACTCCCTTCTGACCAGCTTCCAAGATATCGAATACCAACCCTGCACGAACGGCGGCCCCACAGGAGAGCCCTCCAACATCTCCCGCTTCCAGGAATTCTCTCGCCTCGAGCTACCGCGCCTAGTCCGCAGGACGCTCGAAGTTACCGTCGAAGAAGAAGCCCAGCCGCTGGAAGACCGACTCAAGGAGCGCCTCGTGGACATTGTGCGCGACTGCCAAACCCAACTCATCTCCCTCTTCCAGTCCACCATGGCCTCGAGCGAGACCTCGCCCGCGCTCTCCCTCTCGCAGCTCCGCCTGCCAGAAAGCGAGAAGACTGTCGATGCGCCGCCAAACTCCTCACTCGCTGCAACGGCGGTTGTCCCGGTGCAAAACACACAGCACCAACAGCAACCCGGCCAAGCAGCGCCCTTCCAGAACTTCGATTCCTTCCCACCGCCAGACACCGCGGATTACATTCCCATCCCCACGCAGTACCCCGAGCACGAGCACGCCGTCGCAAAACACGAGGCATCCCCGCCCGTCGACGGCGGCGGCAACACGCCCGACTCGGGCTACGACTCCACGTGGAATGCAGCGCCGCTGCCGCCGCACGAGACGTACCTGCACCAGACCCAGGGCAACTTCACGCAGACACTGCCGTTTGCGCATGCGCCGCGGATGCCTCCGCATCAGCACCAGCACCAGCATCCAGTCCAGCAGCAGCCTGCGTACACCGCCGGAACCATGTTCGTGGAGTCCGAGTATGTTGATCTTGGGGGGTATTATGGGCTGTTTCAGAGCCGGAATGCGGGGTTCGATGCGGGCTTGATGGAGCCGGTGTGGGCGTATCTGGATGGGGTGGGCGGCGATGGGAGTGGGGGTGGGATGGGGCAGGTGAATGGACACGGAAGGGGGAACGGGGCGGTGATGTAATGGAATGGTCGCTGAATGACTCGATAATACAAGCGCGCTAGCAGCGTCGTCTCTTTCCTGTGTATGAAGTGTGGTACGCTTGACCGTGTGAGGATGCCACCTGAAGTATGTACGCCGGGATCTACCCTATGCGCGACAGCAGTGGAGCAAGGCAGGTTGTTGTGTTGGCAAACCAGTGAGCGATGACTCCCAGAAGTGCACAAGTTTAGAGATGGATGGAAAAGATGACCCCGCAGAGCCCCGCGAGGAGCTTCTGAAACTGTATACGAGTGGCAGAAGCGGGTGGCTACAGCACATGGAAGGGCTGCATGTTGCGACCTTGGTTGCCTCGCTTTGGAAGAATCTCGAGATGATGTCCTTTTGCTTTGGCTGCCCCTTAACCGGTTTACGGCGAGGTCACAGACGCCGTACTCGCTCATGAGACAAAGTGCATGATGGCCTTATGAGTTGAAGGCGCCCTGTGGTTGTGCTCATATATCGAAAGAGAGTGCACAACGTATTTTGATATCAAAGGACCAAAACCAAGTTTCCAGAGCATGGACGAATCGATGACTTCCTGTTGCGTGATGAGTACACGGCCATTAGTTTTATGAGTGCACTCTGCAAATCGAGCAGACGAGGTACGGTACAGTCCATAATGCTGGAAGTATATGGGATGTGAAACGCGGTACGATCTGTCCCCCTCGGCCCGCGTTCCTTCAGACGTTCTGACGTGTCGCGCGTTGAGGTGTTCTAGAAGAATGTGAGACGATGACACTGATCATCAGCTTCGTGAGGCATCCCGGCTGCGAGACCTTTGTACGATCATGTGGCATGGCCATTTGAGGTTTACTAGCAGGTCAGGACGATTCTAGATGGGTTCGCAGGACCCTGCAGAGCTGAGCGTACGTATGCTAGCATCTGTGCGTTTTGAATCTTCTATTGGGTTGGAAACATCACTGGCATTGGGGAGGGACATGGTCCGTTCATCGACTCCTGCACGCCATCGTGATGCTTGCTCAAGCGTCGTAGGGATACGCCGTTTGCGCCACAATGCATGCCACACCAGCCGCCGTGGTGGTTCACCCTGATCGTCCGATGTGAAGCCGAAGGAAGGTGGCCCCAATGATTGGGCCAATGAGGCGAGTAACCCCTGAGCGTGGAGATAGCATGAGCACTCCAGGGGGTGAGAACTAGGGGAGACTTGTGCTGGTTCACCCGGATTGGAAACACGGTCCATGCCTCGAAGTTTTCGGATTTTCCGGGACTTTCATGCAGACATCACTCGCGACGGACGTGACGCAGGGAAGGTGCCTGTTTGGGCGAGCTTTTCTTTCGTCTCTTCGTTTCCTTCTTTTCCGGGACACGACTTTGAGAAGACATCGATCGAGGGGACCGACCTCAACTATGTCGGTCGGATCGGGTGGAGCCAGCGACAACGGGAGGGAAGACATGGCGTAATTACGATTGTCCCGAACTGCTAATCTCAACTGGTTCGAGCATGCTTTCATAGCTCGGACGACGTCGGGAGGGCCCGAGCATTTGCAATTATATTGATGCGCAGCGTGCGGAAGCATTCGAAGTTAGAAACGCCGAGTCTTGCCGTGTACGAATGTACGAACCCACTTACCAAATTCCTGGTCTTCTTGAAGGTCTGGCCGACGAAATGCATTGAGGCTCCCTAGGGACGCAGCAAGCTAGGACGACCGACCGGAAAAGCTCCGGCAACCGCAGGTATCAAGAAGCTTTGACAGTTGACAGTTGCGACGCGTGGAAAACTGCAGGCGCAGCTTCAGCCTCGCCCTTTTGGGTAAGCCCTCAAGCCTTTTTTCTATTCGAAATGGATGTGAGAAAAACATTGGGAGGCGAAGCAAGTGCATGAACTCCGGGTCGATAGCAAGGTCAGACATCAGCCTTCAACGTGCGGGTGGGATATGATTGGGGGTGCTCGTGATTGTGGCGTAGCTTCGAAAGAAACTCAATGGTTCTGTTATTGTTGTTGACATTGGGGCTCGAAGTAGCTACAGTGACTGGGTGTCTAAGCATTACAACATTGACGTATGTACGGCCTTTTTTGCGATTTGCCTACTGAGCATGTAGTGGTGAGAAGAGAATGTTGACACTGACACCCGCCTTCTGTTCACCTGTGATCAGACTACCGGAAACGTAATCGTGTGCCGCGCCCTTTTGTTGTCTTTCGCTTCACTTTACTGTGCAGATAACACAGTGCATTTTTCATTAGCTTCCTAACGGGACGACAAGAGAAAAGCCGATTGCGGAACCCATGAAGCTGCCTAGAGTAAAAGTTGAGTTCGCAGACTGTGTTGCGTGGCGCAGAACGGCCTGAACTGTCGAGCTCTGGCAGCATTTTCCATTCGTCTGCGGAAGCATGCCGGCAGGTCAGTGTGGCTTCGGGACAACATCGGAGAGCCAAAACAGGAGAGGGGCCGAGAGTATGACCGACAAGTCGGCAGTTTTTGACTAGACTTGACAGCGCTTCATCATCGTACACGGGTGTTTCAAAGGCTCCGACGCTCGAGGGCCCACTACGAGGTCCCGGGGAAGGGGAACTGAGACAGCAGCCGTAGTGTAACAAACGGCTGGATGAGGGAGCAGCGTCAAGAAAACGCAGGCACTAGGGAAATGAAAATGTCGTCGGATGGTGGAGAGAGGTCAGACAAGCGTGGTGTTCATGGTGCCTCGCAGTGCAGGAAAGAACTATGGATCCAACCGGGTGGAGTGTCGGTGGGTGAGGGCCATCAGATGATGTGAGAAGCTGCTTTGATGCACGCATCTCACTGCTGCTCAATTCCACAACTCGATTGCACAGGCCGTGGGCTGAGACGGCGACCGTAGTGCAACTCGGTCTCTGCATACACTGCACAGCACACGGTGGTTCGGATTTGAGCAGGTACATCCGGTCTACGGCCGGCCACGTTCAGCTCTCACGAAGAGACAGGTCCAGCGGCAGCAAAGCGTGCATGCGAGGGCTTCCTATACGGACGAATATTGTCAGCCATCGCAAGCGGTTCCTCTTGAGGGAGGCGTTCGCGAGCACAGCCTCCCTGCGCTGGTGCTGTGGTTGGCTCGTCGCTGGATGGCATCGGTGTCGGCGGCTTGCGACCGGCCGACTCCTGCAGGCGACGTAATCCATTCCTGCCTAGAGACTGCCAACGGGCGAACGCTGCCGCCCAGCTCTTGTCGCTGGCGGCGGCGTCGTCGTCGCAGCGGGGGCGAAGGCAACCGGTGTCGATGTGCACACTGCTGCGTTGCCGCGTGCGGCGGTCGAGCTGGATCGTGATGGCAGGCATGAAATGCACAGGCAAATAGATTACACTGTACATAGCGCCGGAATTTCCGTACAAAGGCACGAGCCCTCGAGGGCATCCTGGCGATCAGGGGCGCCCAAAGAAGCGCCGTGGCCGGGCGCTTGGCCTGGCTGGGGGACCCCATGTCACTAATGTACTGCACCGCCTCAGCCTGAAACGCCCCCGACCAAAAGCCCTCGGGCACCCACGCGCTGCGGCTCTGGCCATTCTTCATCTTCAGCACCGCATCTTCACTCCCATCGCGACATCGTAGCCGTCCCGTCCTTCGACCTTCCATCCGAACTCACCCACCCAGGCACGCCCGCTGCAGCAGTCTCGAGTACGTGAAGGAGCCAAGCCACCCCGACGGATTCGGCGCATTAACCGGGAAAAGAAGCGAGCTGACGACGACTTTCAGACGCCTAACCGCCTTGGTGGCCCAGACGGCTCCCAACTCCAGCACCTCGCAACAACCCACTTGACGCACCACGACCCTCCCCATCGTCGCCCGCAACTCCCACCGACCCGAGAGCCTCACCCACGCACCACACCATGGCGACAGCCGTCCACCATGCCGTGACCATGCCGTCGAATTTCGGAAACGCCAACCAGTGCTTCGATCCGGACACAGATTCGCTCTTCGACTTCAGCCAGTTGCCCTCGCCCACACCCCCCACCATCTCGAGACAGCCCTCGAGTGCGCAATCCGCCATTACCAGCCCAGCCAACACAGTCCTCGACGGCGACGACATGCAGACGCCCGCGAAACCCAGCCACGAGTACGAGCGCTTCAAGCAGCAAACCGGCCTCCCGACCGGCTCCATCGCTGGCATCAACCCCTCCTACAGCACGGGCTACTCCATGTACTCGTCCACAGGCATCGACGAAATGAGCTTGATGGGCGAATCTTCCATGATGGGAGGCTGGAACAGTGGACTCGCCATGGACATGGACCTCTCCATGTCGTCGCAACCCGCCTTCTTCTACCCGTCCAATGATGCGTCGCAGTCGTCCGACTTCGTGGACCCCAGCGCTATCACGCAAGAGGAGGTGCAGAACGTCCGGGTGTGGCCCGGCATGCACCAGCAGCAAGCCCAGCAGCAGGCACTGGCAAAGGCCCAAGCACAGGCCCAGCAACAAAGGGCTCAGCAGCTGATGCAGCAAAGGCAACAGCAAGCTGGCCAGCAACAGAGCCGCCAACAGCACTCCCGGAATACCTCAAGCAGCCCGTTGAGCGATGCGCGAACCGAAGAGACGATCGCTCGTGTCGTGAACCAGATTCGCCAGCAGAGTCAGAACAATGCTCTTGCCGGCGCCAACGGCCAGAACGATCTCCTGCCTCACATTATTCGTGCGAAGAAAGACGAAGAGGACATGGACGAGGACGAGCGACTGCTTGCCTCCGAGGAAGGCAAGAAGCTGAGCTCCAAGGAGCGCCGACAGCTTCGCAACAAGGTTTCTGCTCGCGCTTTCCGATCGCGCAGGAAGGGTAAGTTTGACTAGCATTGCTACCGAGATGACATCGGCTAACTTCAAGCAGAGTACATTGGCCAGCTCGAAGGCGAGATTGGCGCAAAGACCAACGAGTGCAACGAGCTTCGCACTCAGAACCGTGCTCTTATGGAGGAGAATGCTCGGTCCAGGGCGTTCATTGAGCGTCTCCTACGTCACCAGGCATTCACTCCCTTCCTCGAGGAGCTCTCTCGCGACGAGGGCCTCGAGGCAAAGCCAGCGATGCAAACACTGTCTGGTTCAACCACGCCTACCCCAGCTCCCGTTCGCCAAAACCAGCAGTTCGGCGCCATGTCGCAACCCCAGGTCGGCATGACCCTTGTGCCTGAGGCGCCTCTCGACATGTCCATGCTCAACCTCAACTCAAACAGCTGGGCCATTAACAACGGTAGCTCCTCGTTCAGCTACCAGCAACCGCAGGTCTTTGCTGTGACTGAGCTTCCCGCCGGCCCTACCAACCCCCTCGACATGGACGTCATCTCTGGCAAGGGTTACAGCTCCATCTTCGCTGCCGAGGACGATGCCTCCGACAAGCAAGCCAAGGCCGACTACCCCGTTGTTGAGCGGGCCATGCCCGCTGTGAAGCCCTCCGTGGTTGAGGCCGAGCAGGATGAAGACCCGGAGTTTGACCTCTACAACTCTGCCCCTGTTTCCACCTCTACCGCTACTGCCCACACCGTCGACGAGCACGAGTCTCTCTTCGGTGACATAACCTCCGAGAAGGTTTTTGCGCACTTCCAGCTCCAAATCTCCGACGAGGTTGCCGATGAGCTCAAGATGGCCCGCTTTCAGAGACAGTGCGCTAGGATGGAAGCAGTTTTCGAGCGAGTTGTTGCTTTAACATCGCATCTCGATTCCTGAGTATGACGTTTAGCTCTTCTCTTCTGCCATCCAGGCCTTGAGCACGGGCTCTGCGCTTCGGGCTCCCGGTTGCAAACCGACACGGGATTCTTTGGACACCTGATTTTGAGGTGTGAAACTACGTATTGCGAGCTGCATTGCCGCCATGCCTACATGGCACTCAGTTTGAATCTATGACTCACGATTTCCTTTGTTCCTCGCTGGCCAGAACGGCTTCAGCCCAAGCTGGCATTTTACTTAGTATTATTAGGAGGGGCATTTGGGAGTATTCGCTGTATATTGGTTTAGATAGGCGGCCACGGCCGATTTGTGAATGATATATATATCACATAATTTGGACAATGCGTCTTGTCTATCGCGTGATGCTGTTCCTTTCTCACTTCAATCGCGTGCTTTTGCACAGTATCTAAGAGCGCTGTTCGGAGAGCAGCAGGGGCGGTCGATCGGCAACTAGTGACAAGGTTTCTCCGACATGCCAAAAAAAGTGTTGTTGCTCTCAAAGTGACTCGACGACTCGTTGAACACATTATACTCGCCCGTCGCCTGTACATGTACCTCTCTCCCCGTCGCTCCTTTTAACGTGGCCACATTGGCGCCCATCGCGATCGCCCTCCGGCGCTTTACGACCGTTACGACCCTTCTCCATCCCGCACGCAACTTTGGTAGCTGTAGCGCTCGCTCCGCCAAAGACCAGTCCAAGTTACACCTTCTATTCAAACTCTCGACGAGACACGACAACGGCACCGAGCCTGTCCGCGGATTTGCGCCCGACCGACCCGTGGGGCCGCCGGAATCTGGTGCGCGACTGCGAGTCTACGAACAGCCTCCAGCACCCCCCACACCGCGGACCAGCTTTCTGAAGAGCCTAGGACTCTCCGATGACACTCATTTCCACGCGCCCGGATTGCCAGCTCTTCTAGAGCCCCTCAGACCACCGCGACGAGACAACAGAATACCGCAGCCAGATTCGCACGACGGCGCGCCCATCGTTCGTCGCGACTCCAGCAAGATGGCCTCCACGGTCCAGATGATAACGTCGCCCACCGCCGACACACCGGGTACGACGCTTATACTGCAGACGCAGAAACAACACTACATCTTTGGCACCCATGCAGAGGGTACACAGCGGGCAATGGTCGAACAAGGCTTGCGCATGACCAAAGTCCAGAACTTCTTCATGACGGGCAAGATGGACTGGCACAACGCAGGTGGACTGATTGGCATGACGCTGACGCTGGCTGATTCAGCGACGACTGCCTACGACACCGTCATGGAGCTTCATCGCAAGAGCAAGAACGCCAAAAGGCTTGCCGAGCCTCCACGGCCCAAGATAAACGTGTACGGCCCGCCCAACTTGAAGCACGCGCTGAACACCTGCCGCCGCTACATCTTCCGAAAAGGAATCCCGGTGATTGCAACCGAGTACAAGGAAGTGCCGCCACGCAAGGATGACCAAGGCGCTATCTTGCCGTCGTGGCAAGACGAAGCAATCCAGGTCTGGGCTTTGTGCGTGTCTCCTGCACGGAGAGACACAGACCCGCACCGTGAACGGCAGTTGGCTCAGCTGCAGGAGGGCTTCGAACAATTAAACAGCTTCGAGGAACATCGTGCACCCGAGAACGAGTCTGCTGACGAGAGAGAGGCAAGATATGATCGCATCAGATCAGCCGTCTTGAATATGATGTTCAACTCAAAGTGGAACCTGGACACATTGGTGGAGCGCCATATCTCAGAAGTCGAGCCACCTGCTGCGATATTTGTTCGCAATCCAGAGACCAACCGCATCGAACAATACCGTGGGCCAAAGCCTGGTAGTGGAGAGCCTCTCCCAGACATCACAGTTCTCACAAGGACTCCATGGCCAGGTGCTACTGTGAACAATCTTCCCCCTACCACACCCAAGCAAGAGTCGCTTTCGTACATTGTGCGCTCGCAACCAACACGGGGCACATTTGATCCAAAACGCGCAAAAGAGCTTGGTCTAAAATCTGGACCACAGTTTGGTAAGCTGAGCAAGGGCCAAAGCGTAGAGAACGACAAGGGAGAAACCATTACCCCGGATATGGTCATTGGACCGGACAAACCAGGGAACGGTTTCGCTATTTTGGATGTTCCTTCCGTCGATTATCTGGAAACCTTACTTCAGAGAGAAGAGTTAGCGTCGGAGGCTGTTATGAAAGACATCAAGATCATCTACTGGGTTCTTGGACCCGGTGTTTCTGGGCATCCTTCTTTGCAGCAGTTCATGGAACGTTTCAGTCAACTGGAACACGTCGTTTCGTCGGTGGACGATTGCGCGAACCGTCTTTCCTTCGATTCCGTCGCAGCTCAGACCATCCGTCTTTCAGCCATCGACCCCGCCCGATACCGTGTTCCCCAGCACGACCTCAAGACTCTTCCGCAGCGAAGCCTCTACGGTCTAGGATCGCCCGGCAGGATCAACAGTCTCCCAAATGTCACACCAGCCGAAAGGGGGATGAAACATTCTCTGATGCCGAACTTCAAGCGGAAAGTCGAGGCATTAACGGATGACGAGCAATTCCGTAGAAAAGAAGAACAAGAGACGCCTGGGGTGCTCGAGCTGGAAGTACGAGCCCAAATGGATGAAGAGGTTCTGAGATTGGCGGAGGAGGCCCAGCAAGCGGTAACGGACGACCATGAGGCGCTGGATAGATGGCGGAAGCTCGTCGCTCGGCCTGATACCGAGGTGATTACTCTTGGAACGGGTTCCGCCTGTCCTTCGAAATACCGCAATGTGTCTGCGACACTTGTGAGGGTACCAGGCGTCGGCAACTATCTATTCGATGCCGGCGAAGGTACCATGGGTCAGCTCCAGCGGGTCTTTGGCACAGACGAGCTGGTCGATATCCTCAGAAACCTCCGCATGATTTGGATAAGCCATCTTCACGCTGACCATCACCTCGGCACTGCTTCGGTGATCCGCGAATGGTACAGGGCCAAGCACAACAGCGTCCCAAAGCATGACCATCCCTCAGACTCCGCCTCGCTTGCAGCCGATGCCTCTTCATACGGCCTCTCGCTCGTCTCCCACGAGGGCATGATCAAATGGCTCAGCGAATACTCCCTCGTGGAAGACTTTGGCTACAGCCGCATCCTGCCCCTCGAGATCTCGTCCGTCCGCCGCTTCGAAGATACCGGCTCCCGCCTCACCTACACCTCAATGACGGCCTCGGGCCAGCTCGGCCGGCGCATCCTCCTCCACCCGCGCGACTACCCCGCCGTTCTCGGCCTCACCGACCTGCAAGCCTGCAAAGTCCAGCACTGCTACGGCGCCATGGCCGTCTCCCTAACCTTCCCGCGGTCCCCTTCCGACCCGCCCTCCCTCAACCCCCTCAAGGTTTCCTACTCGGGCGACTGTCGCCCCGCGCACACCTTCACTCTCATCGGGCGCAACTCCACGGTTCTCATCCACGAAGCCACCTTCGACGACGAACTTCAGGGCGACGCCATAGCCAAGAAACACTCGACGACGTCCGAGGCGCTGGCGATTGGGGCCCAGATGGATGCCACCGCCGTCGTGCTCACGCACTTCTCCCAGCGCTACCAGAAGATCCCCGTGCTGCAGACCGTGCAGGACGGCGAGGCCGACGACCTGCCCTCGATGGACGACGCAGACGTGCAGCAGGACCCCGACGTGCCCGCCGCCGCTTCCGCGCTGCCCTCCGACTCGGCGCGCCCGCCGCCCTCGGCCGTCTCGTCGCGCCGCGAGAAGGTCATCAAGGTCCACGCGCGCAACATGAAGGTCGGCATCGCGTTCGACTACATGCGCGTCCAGATCGGCGCGCTCGCGCAGATGGAGAAGTTCAACGCGGCGCTGACCCGGCTGCTGGCCGCAGACGAAGAGGCCGAGGGGGTGCCCGTTGCGGAGACCGACGGCGAGCCTGTTGTCAACGGCAACGGGAAGAAGACGAGCGAGGACGAGGCGGGCGGGGGAAGGAAGAAGAAGAGCAGGCGGCACAACTAGGGTGGAGGTGAGGGAGCTTGTACGATTACCTCTGTACGAGCTGAGACGGGGAAGTCGAAGGCACATGCATTGGGTAGGTGGAATCGGAACAAGATACAATGCAATACACTACACTGCTACTTGAAACGTTCACCATTGCTGTGCGGAATTCATACGGCTCCAGCGGGAGTCGCAATGGCACGGGGTATTCTACATGTCTATTCTGTACAGCAAGCCGCGCTGTGCATATAACTATGCACACATTCTCTTCTCGTACAAGTCTATGCTATCCTATCCTACAGACGCCCTGGAAGTCCCAATCCAAATGCTAGACCCGCTTTCTCATCTCACCTGCGCCCAGCACTCTGAGCGCCATTCATCGTCCACTGCTGGTGCGGCACCTCGGGCTCGTCAGAGAGGTACCCCTCGTGCTCGGCGTTGACAAACTCATTGTCCATCTCCTGCGGCTGCTGGTAGGGCGTCTGCTCGTATGGCGCTTGCTCATACCCGCTCTGGCCGTACTGCTGTTGCTCATAGCCACCTTGATAATTTTGCTGGTCTTGGGGCTGGTACTGGTCGTACGACTGCTGCTCGTACTGCGCTTGCTCATGTTGTGGCTGCGCCGGTTCGTAGCCAGCATCGCCTTGCGTGGTCTGCGCACGCACCGGCGCCTTGAAGTGATCACCAGCCAGCTCCTCTAGCAGGTCTGGAGCAAGCGCGTTTATAGCGTAGAAGAATTGGTCGCGATCAACCTGATGCGTCGTCGTTGCCCCGTCCTTCACAACACCCGTGCTCTCCTTCACGTCGCGGACAATGCCCCTCGCGCGCTCCCATTCTCCCGCGTTGTATAGTGCCTTGACGACTTCAACCAGGGCACGATAGCTCGGCCTCTTGCCATGCGCGCTCATTTTCGTGAGCACGGTCATCATGGGCGCAATCTCGCCAATTCCTGCATATCCCTCAACGATGCGATCAAAGAGAAACCTATCCGTTGGCGCTGCGGGCGGGCCCAAGATGCGTGTCACGAGGCTGTCAACTTCCTTGATGGCCGGCGGATCTTGTTGGAAATAGTGTGTGACCAGCGAGGTGTAAATCTGCGGCGAGACGAGGAAACCGCGACTCATCATATGGTCTATGACTGCGCGCACGCCCGTGTAGTTGCTAAAGTACTTTAGTAGGCGATCTACGGCGATCTGGTACACATATGTATTCGGCTTCAAGCCGCCCTGATCAAGCTGGTCGAAGAGACCAATGACACGATCGGCCTGCTCCTGGTGAGAGAGGGTGTCGAATTTCTGATTGTCGAAAGCTGCACGGAGGAGCATGGTGTGTGTTGCAAGATCACCCTCTAGGCCTTCCGTCTCCATTTGGCGGAGTAGCTTAAAGGCGGTTGGAAAGTCGTTACCACCCAGGTAGAGCTTGATCAAAGCGTTGTAGGTGCGAGTGTCAGGCTTGATGGAAAAGTTGCCAGCCCACTGCAAAATTCTCTGTACGTATGACACTTTTGATTCGAAGGTCAAGCCATGGCCCCGCCTTCCCTGAACACTTCCTTTGGTGGGCAATTGGACGATGCCGTCAACTGCACCGTTGATCACTCCAATGTCTGGTTTTGTGAAGGTGTTGACCAGATTTGCATTTGACACAGGTTTTCTGGGTCCTTTTCTATTTGCTGGATTTTTCGAGTCCTTGATCGCAGCTTCAGCTGAAAGCCATCGCTTGCCCATTTCGTCTAGTATGGCCAAACCTGCATCAATTTGAACGTGGGTACCAATGGTTGAATGGACCCGCGTTGTCCAAGAGTATTGGTCAGGCTCGACACCAGCGCGTATCATTCTATCCCAGACGGCGTTCATGCCGGCTAAGTCTTTCGCCTTCGCGCAGCCCATCAGCATTGCGTTCCAGGTCTCCAAATTTGGGCTGACACCATTCGCAATCATGTGGTTCCAGATCTTGACGGTTTGGTCCGGCTGGAACAGCGTCATGGTACCAGACAGAAAAGCGTTATAAATCGGTCGCGGAATTTGCGACTTTCCCACCACGAATGATCTGTACATTTTCTGCGCCTCACCCCAAAGCTTCTCTACCTCACGCGCATTGGCCTGCATCATCACTTGCCTGCCGATGCGCTTGAGGAAGGACGCTTGCAGATGGGAGGCCCGTTCCTCTGGAGTTGCTCCAGGGTCGACGCCAAGTATGGTTGATGCTAGACTAGGGGCCGAATCCATCTGAGCAGCGATGGACCGTTGATACTCCTTGCCTAAGCTCCTTAACATGGGATGAAATTCGGCGTGCTTGAAGGCGCTCTCGATGTTTGACCCAGCCAAAGTGGATGCTAACAAGCGAAGGAATGGTTCGTTCTGTTGTCGGAGCGTCTCCGAGATGGCATGCGGAGGCTCCGTCTCAGCATGAAAATAGTTGAAGATGCTTATGGCCGAGTAGTGCAACTCGGGAGTGCTGTCGTGTGTAGGACAGAAATGCTGCAGGCGTTTCCCGAAGTATTTGCCGGCTTCCCCGAAACTGACCTGACCATCCGGGATCGCCTTCCACTCGGTGCTGATGGACTCGAGAGGATCTTTTGCTTGCTGTTTTCCGTAGCGCTGGAAGAACAACCTCCAAAGTGACAGCAGCTCGCCCAGCGTCGCTTCCGTGTCGGACTCGTTTGGGTCTTCCGGGGCTCCGCGTTGGCCGGGTGGTGCCATTGACCGCATGAACTGGTATGTCAGGATTGCTATCACCTGGCCCCAAACGCGCGGCGGTGCTATGTCGAGTTGCTCGAATCGGAAGAGGACTTGGGTCGGTGTTGGGACTGCTTTGTTTCCTTTGCCGAATTCCAGGGCGGTGGCCAGCGCAAGCTGCTTGAACAGCTTGCCGCCTGAAAGAAGGGGGACATCGCTGAGCGGTGGGTCGGTCAGAGCGGGCACGTCTCGCGAGGTGAAGCTTCTGTTGAAAGCGTCCCAGGCTGTCTCTACGCTCCCCTTCTTCAAGGCTGTGTTGATTGTTTGCACGGCAGATGACGAGGACGAGGAAGGGCGGGACGCCTTGCTGTTCCTGCCATCGCCATGGTCCATGGTCCAGAATCGGCTGGGCGCAACGTCAGGCTGCGCGGCGCGAGTATAACGGCCCACTGGTGCAGTTCCATCGCCATGTGGGCTTGGCTTGTCGTCGACCCTGTGGTAGCGAAACAAGGGCGCTTCTGGATCACGTCTCCCGTATGCTATCCCAGGCTCTTGTGGCTGCGCCCGCGGCGCCGTAGTGTCCTCGCTCGGGGCGGCTTCAGGCGGTTGTTGCGCCTCGTCGGCGGGCTGTGAGGCTTTGGGGGGTTTGCGGAACGAGACGATGGTGGCTCGGGACAGCAATTGCGGGTGGCGCGGCGGGGCGAGTCGTCGCGGCAGCTGCAGGCGGCATTGCTGGCAGACATACGAGCGCATCATGGCGCCTGAGGGACCAGCAAGGCAAGGCGGGCGGGTCGGATGGCTGCTGTCTCTTTTTCGCGTACTCGGTCGCGCCTGCGATGCGCCCATGTCTGATGCGCTAGCTGCGAAGGGAAATGCCGCCCCGGCCAGCGCTCCCACGTGCGGCGCCAGTGACGCATCAACGCGACCGCGACCGCGACTCTATCCTGTGTTCTGCCTGAGCATCTGTTGCTGTTGGCCAAGGGAGGCCTTGTTGTGGTCTCGTCCTTGCATCCATCATGACGACCTTCGTTCCGCGTGCGCCCTATACAAAGGAGGAGCTCGCGCAGCTCTATCCCCAGGAACTCGAGCTACGGCTAGTGCAAGTCGTGAGTATATTCAACAGGACCCAATTGATGCAGCAGTCGCATTTTTGCGTAGACGCTGACCCAAAGCTAGCTACTCCGCCATGGTTCGTATCACAGTCTGTGGGAAGAAATAGACACAGTCCCTGCACGGGAGCCACCACTGACCAATGCGTACAGGAGAACGCAGCCCCGTGTCACCCAGGTTCCAGAATGTAATGGCACTCCTCATACACATTGACACTGCTAATTTCAATATGTAGACGGGTTTGCGGCCATGTATGCTTACAGAATCAAAGGCGAAAACAAGTGACTGATTTGTTTCCACAAAGATTGGCCTTACTGCAATTCCGCCCGCCAGTTTTCCAGCGTTGTAATGTCAACTACAGACTGGTCAAAGTGGGACCAATTGAAGTACCGACGAAGGCTGGAGACCTTTGGTCTCGACGATGGACCCGGTACGCCTCCCGACCGGATGGCTACGTCCAAGTACTGATGTAGAGCAGTAATCGCGTCTGGTCCGGACGGAGAGTTTGATGGTATATGGTAGGATTGGCTATTTCCCTGAGCCCTATACTATGTGCTTGAGTATCGGACCGAGTACTGCGGCTTTACATATATTGCCGTTGGTGTTCAAACTTTTCACGTAGTATGCCGTGTGTATATGCGCTGACCCTGACCGCTGCAGCCAACCCGGAGAGCTCACAGACAAAGGCCGCGAAACCACTCTTGCCCTTGGACAGCGTCTCCGCCATCTATATGTAGACCAGCTCCGCTTCATGCCGAAGCTCATCTCAGACTCGGACATGATTTACCTACGCGCAACCCCCATTCCGCGAGCACTAGAATCCGTCCAGCAAGCATTCTACGGCTTCTATCCACCAAGCGCAAGAACAGCCGACTTCCCCGCACCGACCATCATCACCAGGACGCCCGCTGACGAGACTCTCTTCCCCAACGACGGCAACTGCAGGCGCTTTGCCCATCTCAGCCGCGCGTTTGCCAACCGTGCGGCCGAGCGCTGGAACGAGACCGAGGACGTGCAGTACCTCTCCAAGCTGTTCACCAAGTGGATGCCAGGAAACCAGCCCGTTGCTGTGGACTCTCACCCCCGGCTTTCGGGTATCATGGACACGATCAATGCCACGGATGCCCACGGCCCCCAGACCAAGCTCCCCAAGGAGTTCTACGACCGCAAAGCCCGCGCCATTATCGACAAGATCGGCGTAGAGGAGTGGTTCGAAGGATACAAGGAGAGCACCGAATACCGCATGCTCGGCATCGGCGGCTTGATGGGCGACATCACGAGCCGCATGACGGGCAGTGTCGAGCGAAACGGCAACGACGGGCTAGTCGAGGTTGGCGGCAACGACGGTGACCTGGGCCATGGCAGAGGAGGCGAGACGGACATCAGGCTCGCACTATCCGGTTGCCACGACACCACGCTCGCTGCCTGCCTGACCAGCCTAGGCGCTTTCGAAGGCGAGAAGTGGCCCCCGTTCACGAGCCACATCGCCTTCGAGCTGTTCCGCAAGAAGGCCGCTACCCCCGCAACGCAGCGTCTCTCCGACGCGCCGGCTTCGGCGGGTACGCTTGCCGGCTCGCAGGAGAAGCCGCAGAGCTGGTGGACGTCGCTGTTCAGCAGCAAGAAGGCACCAGACCTGCCCGTCAAGCCTCAGGGCATCGCGCGAAAACCGTTGAGGGAGCTCACGCCGGAGCAGCGCAACAAGTTGAGGGACTACTACGTCCGCATCCGGTACAACGACAAGATCATGCAGGTGCCTGGGTGCAAGCCGGCAGGGAAACATCTGGATGGTGACGATACGTTCTGCACACTGGTAAGTGCAAGGCTTCTGTTTAACGTGACCAAGAGAATCCTGACCACACTATAGGAAGCCTTCAAGGGCATCGTCGACAAGTACACGCCGAGTGACTGGAAGCACGCGTGTGCCTCCAACGTCAACACACCGTCGTTCCCGAAGGAGATCGAGCGAGCTGGATACGAGTAGACACGCCGGAGACTAGCCCAGATAGACAACCCGCGCAACACTTTGGGTACATCAGGAACCCCCGCCAAGAGTACGGATCCCGTTCCATTCAACCCGGTAGACTACCCATCCACACACCGCGCGTGCTCCGTGCCATCATACTAACACTTCCATGCGGTCCGTCCACTTGCATCTCCCCCCCTTACCCTCCCTCGTCCCATTAACCCTCCATACCCTTGCCCCTCCCCAACCACGCCACCAAAGCCCGATCAACCTCCGTAACCCCCTGCTCCTATTCTCCGCGCGCGCCTCCAACGCACCTTGATCCCCCGGCTCCACAGCAGCCTGGCCCCCCTTCTCAAAGGTAGACTTCTTCGGCACGCGCACGGTGGCGAGGGCAGTAGTGACCTTCCTAGCCATGACCTCTTGGGATTCCCACGCCACCAGGTCCAACGAAGAACGTGTCGAGCTGGTGTCGGCAGATCCGCGTGTACGTGCGGCTCAAGGCTCGTGCTGTGTTTGGTGCCCGTATTCCATCAAGCGGTTCCGAGCATCGAGACGCGGGATGCTGCGCTGAGCGTGGGAGGCCGTGCTGGTCTGTGGCTTTGTATGCCCGTGTGCAGGTGCGCGGTCCGTTTGTAGACGCTGGTCTGGCCACAGACACGGCGGTGTCGTAGAAGAGAGCATGCGGAGAGCGCAAATAGCACGTGCTCTTTCTGCCATGTGCTTGTGTCGTCTGTGAAGCGGTGCCTCGTTCGTTCACGCTCGAGCGCCCACCCCATACCTTCGCAATGCTACGTCTGATGGTCGGACCTAGCGCGGATCATGATCAACGGTGGTAATGTGGATGAACCTGGAATGATGTGGACGTTGCAAGAGCATCCGAACAGACATTTGTTCGATTACAATGTTTCATGTGCGCATTCATGTAGTCTCAGATGATTATATCTCTCAATCCAATTTGAGCAGGGAGAACTGCTTCTCCGCATGGAAGCACCCGGACACTTTTAGAACAAGCTTTCCGAAAAAAGTTCCCACAAAGTCATGGGACGGCATACAAACACATCCGTGCCACTCGGCTCATCCAACGTCCCAAGAAAGAAGCCACAGTAACGCCGTCGCTGATGGATGTGCCTAGAAATGATTACAGTACAGAGGAGAAGAGAACTCCGTCCCTAAGAAAGGATGTCCAAACGATCCTTCACCGCGCCGTAGGAACGGGAGTGGCTCGAGGCCGATCTTCCATCTTCTTCGCATCCGTGTCGGAGCTGCGCATGCGTGCTATGATCTGCACAAGCGCCTTCCGTTCTTTGCCGTCCAGCTCGAGAACATGCACGATGTCACGAAGCTGGATCTTCTCCCCTTCGTCACCCTTCTCCAGGTTGCCACCCTGGAACTTTCGCTTGGTGGCCAACAAGCCACGATCCGTCTGCGCTGCTGCGGGCGTAGATGTGCCGCTCGCGCTCCCAACCGTAACTGGATTACCTCTGGGCGTCGATGCGCCAGAACCGCCCCCGCTGCCAAGGTCCATCCACGAGTACTTCTTCTTGCCCTTCTTCATCCCAAGGGCCATAGCAGCGGTCTCGTTGGCTCGTTTGTGAACGGCTTCCTCGGTATTGCCCGCTTTGTTGATTCGATCACGTTCCTTCTTAGTGATTGGCTTGTCTGGGAACGATGTTGGCGTGGCGATAAGCGTATCTTGCGAAGCTGAGTTGCCTTGTAGTCGTTTCTGGCGCTTGGCGATCCGAGCTTTTTCGAACTTCTCGTCGTCTTGCATTCTACGCTTGAGGGAGTCGACGATAGGATTGGCAGTGAATTGTATGGTTGCTTGCGGTGCCGGAGACACATCGCCGGGAGGCGTGGGCAGCCGTGCCGACGGACTGGAAGCGTTCTCTGTTGCTTCCCACGCAGTCTTTGAGATGTTCGGTACGACGGCTTCCGTGCGCTGAGTATCTCCGCTGGCGGCAGCGACGTCAGCGAGGCTGGGAGGGACAACTCCTTGAGAGGTGTTTCGGCGGCCTTGTGCCAGTGCGAATGCGTCTTCAATGACTGTGCGTACGCGCTCCTCTGCAGCGAGTGATACTAGGGAAACGAGGTCCACCAGTGGCGCTCCATTGTTAAGCAGGCTGGTAGCCTGAAGTTCTACAATTGACTCGCCATTAGAGGAAGGTCCCAGCTCTTTACGAGTAACATTTTGAACAGCACTGGGGATTTTATCAAACAAACCTTCCAAATCCAATTTGATGCCGTGTTCGTAAACTTTTTTGGACATGCGTTGGCGCACACCGGCGGCGAGAAGAAAAGGGTCAGTCAGCGGGTGTGAGGCTGCTTCGTTGTGTATACGCGCAACGTTTGCATGCTTTCGGCGCAACTCGTCCTCCTGTTCCTCCTTCGTCTTGGGTTGGCTCAACGGTCCGGCTCCCTGGAAGGCGCCGTGGTTGGACTGCTGGGACCAGTTGAAGCTACCGTGCGGGGACATGGTCGACGCAGAGCTTTGCGACTGGTAGTTGCCGCGCAACAGCTCCTCCTCCTCTCGCTGCAAATCAATGCCAGAGCCTGTTATGACGTCGGCAAGCGTGTTGGGGTTCGAGTCCTTGGCAGTGCTCTTCTCCAGCTCGTCCTCCTTCTGCGCCTTGCTCGCGGGCACCTTTGGGGGCAACATGGCCCCAGAGAACGGCGGCCGCGAGTCGCCTGCCATGTGCGGCGGCTGGTATGGTTGCGGCTGATGGAACGAGGGGGTCGCGGGCTGCGACGCGGCGGGCGACTGGGGCAACGAGAGGTACTGGGTCCCGGGCGGCGAGGCAGCGTAGGGCGAGGTGTGGGCCGAGTACTGGGGGTTGGAGTTGGAGAAGGGCGAGTTGTACTGGGAGCTGTAGGGCGACATGGGCTGCGGCTGCGGCGACAGACGCTGGCGCTTTGCGGCAGGCGGGAGGCTCGTGGGGGACATGGCGCCGGGCGACGGCTGGTAGGGCTGCTGCGGCGAGAAGGGGCGCTGCTGGGCTGGCATGGCTCCCTGGGTCTGCAGCGGCGGCATGCCGTGCATGTTCTGCTGGTACTGGTTGTAGTGCGGGTGCGCCATGGCGGGCAGCGAGCGCGGCGCTCGTTCGCTGTCGCGGTCTGGCGGCGCTCCTATCGACGGCTCATCCGCTGGCGGGCGCGAGCGTGGGCAGCGGCTGGAAAGAGCGACGGTGCTATCGCGGGATCGGGAGCGGGCTCTCGGTGGGCGGTGCCGGGGCGCGGTGTTGCGGGCGCCTGCGTGTTTTGGCGGAGAAGCAAGAGCAGTCGCAGACGAGGGAAGTCGCGAGCGCACGGGCCTCGGCTAATTGCCGGCGTCGCGAACAATGGACGGCAGGCGCCTGCCAGTGACCCTCACCTGCGTCCCTCGCCCATCGACCCTGCTCGCCGTCACCGACGCTTCCACCGAGAGGACGCGATAGAAGCGTCTGCGCTGCTCGGCCTATGATCGCTGACCTGTAGAACCCTTTCTGCGCCGCGGACCGTGCCATCGCCCACGACGCGCCGCGTGCAGCGCCATAGCCCGCCGATTCCTGTGGCATTCAGACGCCCCTAACCACACAGAACAGCGCCCACCATGGCGGCAAAGCGCAAGGCGGCCGCGATGGCGCCCGTCGATGAGGACCCAGTAGATCCTTCCGATGAGCTCATGTTCCTGTGTCTCGGGGGCGGCAACGAAGTCGGGCGGTCGTGCCATATCATACAGTACAAGGGCAAGACGGTCATGGTGCGTGGCATCCCTTGACGACATGTGTTTGGCATTGCTGACGCAGGGTAGCTCGACGCTGGTATGCACCCCGCGCATGAGGGACTGTCGGCCATGCCCTTCTACGATGAGTTCGACCTGAGCACTGTAGACGTTCTCCTGATATCACAGTAAGTACCTCGGTTTTGTACGCGACCATGTTGGCATTTGGAGGACAAGCGCGGCGCATCACTGCAGTCGGACATTGCGGATACCAGGCTTCATGTATACGAGAACCAATGGAATATATTTGCATCGTACTGTTCGACTCGGTGATGTGCCTCTCCCACCATCATCCGCTCGCATGTACATAGTATCTGCATCAGCGAGACGACCGCTACAGACTGCTAACACCGCAAAGTTTCCACGTCGACCACGCCGCCTCGTTGCCGTATGTACTTGCAAAGACGAACTTCAGCGGTCGTGTTATGATGACCCATCCCACCAAAGCCATTTACAAGTGGCTGATCTCAGACTCCGTGCGAGTGGGCAACATGTCCAGCTCAGCAGAGAACAAGATCCAAATGTACACCGAGCAGGACCACACAAACACCTTTCCCATGATCGAAGCCATCGATTTCTACACAACACACACCGTTGCTGGCATACGGATAACGCCGTACCCAGCAGGCCATGTCTTGGGCGCAGCAATGTTCCAGATCGAGATTGCAGGCCTGAAGATCCTCTTCACCGGCGACTACTCCCGAGAAGACGACCGGCATCTGGTGTCCGCTTCAATACCCAAAGATGTCAAGATTGACGTCTTGATCACCGAATCCACCTTCGGTATCTCGACACATACTCCACGCGTCCAGAGGGAAGCCCAACTCATGAAGTCAATCACTGACATCCTCAACCGCGGCGGTCGAGCCCTCCTCCCCGTGTTTGCCCTTGGCCGTGCTCAAGAGTTACTCCTGATTCTGGATGAGTACTGGGCTAAGCACCCAGAGTACCAGAAGATCCCCATTTACTACAATTCCAGCCTGGCACGCAAATGTATGGTTGTCTACCAGACGTACGTGTCAGCCATGAACGACAACATCAAGCGCCTCTTCCGCGAGCGAATGGCCGAAGCCGAAGCAGCAGGCGATGTGAGCAAAGGTGGGCCGTGGGATTTCCGCTTTGTGCGCAGTCTAAAGTCGCTCGAGCGCTTCGACGATGTGGGGGGCTGCGTTATGTTGGCGTCCCCGGGTATGATGCAGTCTGGCACCTCGCGCGAGCTGCTTGAGAAGTGGGCTCCCGATCCGAGGAACGGTGTAGTCATTACCGGTTACTCCGTCGAGGGCACCATGGCGAAGGAAATTGTGAAGGAGCCTGACGAGATTCCTTGCATCACCCAGCGAGGCAATCAGCAGCGCCGTCTAGGCGGAAATGAAAACGAACAGAAGAAGATTCCGCGCCGATGCACAGTCCAGGAATTCAGTTTTGCTGCTCACGTCGACGGCAAAGAGAACATGGAGTTCGTGGCAGAGGTCAACGCGCCTGTCGTCGTAAGTACAAGTACCGTTTGCTGGTTTCCCGTAGTGGCCATAGCTAATCGGTCCATGCCCTTGTAGATCCTAGTCCACGGCGAGAAAGGTAACATGAATCGCCTCAAGTCCAAACTCCTCGGGTTCAACGCGCACCGCAAAGACCCCGTCAAGATCCTCTCTCCCGCAAACTGCGAAGAAGTCCGCATTCCCTTCAGAACTGATAAAATTGCCAAGGTCGTCGGCAAGCTCGCATCCATCTCACCACCCGTACCTCGAATAAAGGGCGAAGGCGAAGAGAACGGTGACCTGGACGAGCAGCCTAGTCTAATCAGCGGTGTCCTCATCCAGCACGAGACAGACTTCAAGCTCTCCTTCATGGCGCCAGAAGATCTGAAGGAGTACGCCGGTCTGACCACCACGACCATCGTGTGTCGACAGCACATGCGGCTGTCGGCAGCAGGCGTGGATCTGATCCGGTGGGTGCTCGAGGGCGCATTCGGCGCTATCAAGGAAGAAGAGATCACCGACGAGGCAGTCAACGGCAAGGAGGTCAACGGGAACGGCAACGGCGTCAAAGAGCACGCAGACGAAGAGATCAGCCGCTCGAGCACAAAGTACGTCGTCATGGACTGCGTGAGCGTGCTGTGCCGGCCGGGCGGCCTCGTCGAGGTCGAATGGGAGGGCAACGTGATCAACGACGGCATCGCCGACGCCGTGCTCGCGGCGCTGTGCACGGTGGAGAGCTCGCCAGCGGCCGTGAAGCGTGAGTTACCTTTCCTCGCTCTTCCCCTAGCGCATGCTAACTTGACCGCCAGAATCCTCCCGCCAACACGCCCACTCTCCCTCCCCCTCCGAGCCCAACGACGACCTCAAACTCTCCCACCGCCCGCACCCCCACCGCACCGCCGACCCCTCCACCCGCCTCTCCCGCCTCTTTCTCATCCTCGAAAACCAATTTGGCCCCGACGCCCTCACCCCGCTCTCCCTGCCCCGCACATCCGCCTCGCTCCCGCCACTCACCATCCCTGCCACCCCCACCCCCGACACCAACGCCACCCCCAACGGCACCTCGGGCATCACAGAACCCTACTCCGTCGCCGCCGCGCCTGCCGTGACGCCCAGCACCTCGCTCTCCCCCGAGGACAAGGCCGAGCTGCGGCGCCTGCACAACCTCGGCATTCCCGTGCCGGGCATCGAGATCCGCTTCGACAAGTACGCGGCGCGCGTGTGGCTCGAGGACTTGGACGTCGAGTGCGCGCAGAAGACGCTCAAGGCGCGGATCAAGGCCGTGGTCGAGCGCGGCGTGGAGACGGTCAGCGGGTTATGGGCGTGAGGGGGTGTGGTGGTGTGGTATGCCATGGTCTGGTGCGGAGAGGAAATGACGTCGAGGGAGTGTAAGATGGACGGGATTATATGATAGTTTTGAGATTGGCTGATCTGGGATGTTGGCTCGTACGATCACCCTGGTTGGTGGGTTTGAAAGACAGCGGATTCGGCGAAGCTTTGGGTTTCTTCGTGGGTTTGCTCTGCCGCTTACACATGTACCTGTAGAATGAATGCTTCAAAGCTTGACATGCACTGCAAACCACGATTGTTCAGGTCACCGAGCAGCACATCATTTCGACAGACTCAGTCGATTTGTTATTCTACATACTTTTCCAGGCTTCAATCACTATAGAGAAAGCTTCTCAGTCTCAAAGGCGAGCTGGGACAGGTTGCAATGCCCTTGAAATGTACGAACATTCCTCAGTCGCCGTTGCCCTCGGCCGCAATTTGTGCATCGGCGACGTCGAGCTGGTACAAGGCAAAAGAGCAAAGTGAAGTGTTGGTGTGAGGGACCTTGGAAAGAAATACAAAAATGTGGTGGCCACATGTTGGGGTCGGTTTTGGGTAGAGTATCCTAATTAGTTGCTGAAGCCGGTGCTTTTTTCGGAAGACGCTGTACGATGCCTCCACCTCATAATGGTGTCATGGGAGGGACATTTGGGTCAACATCCTCGCCTGTCTCGTGTTGGTAGATAATGAGGTCGACGCTGAGATGTTCAGCATCGTTTTTGAATGTAAATGCGGACAAAGACTTACATTTTGCCATATTTGTAGCCCATCTTGAACAAGTGGCCAGCTTTGCGGAACTTGAACTTCCTCATGAATTCGGTGACCCAAACCACGTCGTCACCCGCCTCATGATAAACGTGACAGTTGATGACCTTGACGACGCGAGCCGGACCATTCTTGAGATACTCGCCACGATTGACCCAGTTGTAGCCACCTCTTACAGGATAGCTAGGGTTGACGATCGAAAGGAGACGGTCGAAAAGACACTTGGCTATGTTTTGGCGGGCGAAGTCTGGATGGACGTAGCATTCGAGCTCGAACGTGTAGCGACACATGCTGCCTTTGTCGACGAAGTCATCAATGTACGCAATACCGACAATGTGCTCATTGACGAAAGCTTGAGGGCCCTTGAGGTGAGAACCCTTGAGCACAGCAACAATGTATGGGAGGCCTTCGTCAGTAATGTTTCGAATTCGCTCTACGATATCCTTGGTAGCTCGGGGTAGGTGCTCGTGCGTATGAAATGAGTTCGTGACGTAATAATTGTAGAGCTCCTAGTCAACGATTCAGTCGCTGCAAGTGCGGAAAAGAGTACATAGACTGGCATGACTTACTTGAATACCTTTGGCATCAGCCGCAACAACAGGTCGCAAGTATATATTGCTTATAGGGCGATAGCCAGGGTCACGAGGGGGGAGCTCTTGGTTCTGGTTCTGGTTCTTCTTGGCCAGCTTTGCCTGATGCCTTCTCTTGCGGATTTGATTCTTCTCATGAATATGCCTCAGATATTGTGTTGCTGACTGCCCCGCGGCCTGCTTGTGATTCTCTTCGTCGTTCATGTCGAGCTCTGCCTTGGCTGGGTGTTGCATCGGGTTGAGAAAGTTGGTAGTGTTGTCAAGATAATCATCCCAAAAAGGGCGATGTTCGGTAATGTCGATATCACTGAGTGGTGCAGGAGCACGATGAGCAAATGCCTTCCAAAAGTCCTGCGGTGGGTCGCCTTCGATCTTGGTAGCAATCCAGCTCCGGGGGACAATCTCGTAATTGATCGTTTGTTGAGCAACTTCTTCGCCATCGATCAAGACAACGCCTCCTTCGACCTATGCATCGAATTAGCGAAGTGGATCATGAACAACAAACTTCGGTTAGACATGTTGTCTGAGTCGTGCTGTCACATAGTGCGAGTACTTCCCTTGACACCTTCGAACTCAACCGACCGGAGAAGGTCGCTCTGATTCTCGATGCAGCGCTTATCATGACCGTTGATCCACTTCTCGATGCCTGCGCCGAAATGACGATCAGTGAATGCATGGCGGGCTGACCAAGTTTCCGGCGGCGGAAGCCAGTCACCGTTCCAGTCAACAAGCTTCCTCACATCGTAGTCGGGATCGCCGTTGCATTCCGACTTGCACTCCACACCACCGTCCTCTTCGTCATCAGGGATTGGCTTTATGTCGCGATTCTTCGGCCAGACGTGGCGCTTGCCCCTCTTCCAAGGGTTGGGCCCTCCCGTCGGAGGCTCCGGCTTCGGGTCGTCGTTGCCCCACGCTGCGTTCGTCGGCTCGTAGTAGCCCCATACTCCATTTCCTTGCGCCTGCTGCTCTGCAGGAGAGGCAGGGGGAGAAAGCGGTGCCTCCGGGCGAGTTTCGACAGTCAAGCTGTAGCTATATCAGTCGGACCAAAAGAAATCCTGCCTTCGCTAGGGCGGATCAATGTAGGTAGACTCACAGTTGTGGTTGCGTAAAATGCACCTCTGAGGGATCGGCGCCCTCCAACTTCAGTACCTTCATCTCTGGGGTGGGGTTTGCTGTGTCTGCATGCAGGGCGTCACCATTGCTCTGCTTCTTACGCAGATGAGGAGGAACGTAGCGGGAAGCCATCTTTTTTCCGTTTCTGCCGCCTTTGTGAGGTCCTTTGTGGGGTTTGGATTGTTCAGCGTTGGGCGACGGAGTATCGTGAGTCGAGTCTGAGGGGGCTGGCGTTGAAGGAGCGAACTGGTGAAGGTGAGACGCTAAACGGACAGGTGGGTCGGCATCATGGGTATAGTCTGCTATTGTGTCGTGGTGGATGTCAAGCTTCTGCCACTTGCTTTTCTTTCCTGACTTCTAGGGGCCGTTAGTGAACGGTGCAGCCGCACATGACAGAGGAGCACAATCTGAGGGCCTGACTACTCGCTCATCTGGGCGTACGTACCTTGAACGCTTTCGACATCTGCTCGTGCTGCCAGGTCGGCTGCTCTGTGGCACGCCCCTTGGGCTGGGCCATGTTTTGTTGCGATGATTGGCCGCTCTCCTCGAACTGGGGTGGTGGTTGTGCATAAAGCATCTCGCGGGAAACCCTTGCCAAGTGTGCCATGGTAGCGACTTCCTCTATCAGCGGGTCTAACGGAATACGTGGGGCCCGTACACCCAGGGAATTTGCGAGCATACAATTGACTTGTGACTGTGCAAGGGAGGACGTCGAAGGTATGAGAGGAAGAGGGGTAGAGGAAGGTCGAAATGTGGTCTTTGTAAGCACACGGTTGCTGCCTGGGTCACGCTTTGGGGGCAGGTGAGAGAGTCCGTTTGAAGGGGGGCAGAAAGCAAGTACTGCGGTCTATCATTTTCTTTTACACGTGCCATTGCTCTGTAGCAAACCTAGCGCAGCATGGCTTGAGGATGAATGAGAGGTTTGTGTACCCTATCCCGGTCAAGATTCGTAGTATGCTTCTGCATGGCCTGTAGGACGGTCCACAGGCTACACATGACATCCATGAGTGAATCAGTAGACGATTCACGCTGCGTAGATCCCCTTGTATGAACATTGCCGACATGGTGTATGTTCGTTCGTAATCCGCATGTGGAAGGTTTAGCCGACGTCGGAGAACTCCACTCGACTTCCGATTCTGCCTGAAGGCTGGTTACCACAACACACAACAGCGCAAAGATGCTTTCAATCTTGCGGAAAGCGCGTCTGAAGGACAAAGAGATGAGAATCTTGATGCTGTACGAATTCCAGCTCTTGCAAATTAGAAGACGTTGCTTCTAACTTGAACTAGGGGTCTGGACAATGCAGGAAAGACTACCATCGTTAAGAAAATCATGAATGAGGACGTGAACAGTGTCAGCCCGACGCTAGGCTTCATCATCAAGACAATTGAGTACGACGGGTAAGACTGGTTCATGAATGGGCAGGACCGAATGCTGACGGATGAAGCTACAAACTGAATATTTGTATGGCGCCTACCAGCAGCAACTTGGTCTCAGAAAGCTGACGTCCCAGGGGATGTGGGCGGCCAAAAGACGCTGCGGACGTATTGGAAGAACTACTTTGAGAAAACCGACACGCTCATCTGGGTGGTTGATGCTACCGACCGCGAGCGAATCGACGACTGTCGGCGTGAGCTGGAGGGGCTGCTCCAGGAAGAGGTGCGTGGTACGGCAAGGAGAAGCACATTCCACACTGACACATGCAGCGGCTCATGGGAGCGAGCTTGCTCGTGTTCAAGAACAAGAGCGACGTGTCGGGATCCATGACAGAAGACGAGGTTCGGCAGGTATGTGCGGTGCAACACAGAAGCGGCCGGTTGTCAGGCCAATAACGCGGTGCAGGGTCTCCGGCTCGACGCCATCAAGACGCACAAATGGACCATCATGGCGTGCAGCGCCATGACGGGCACGAACCTGCAGGAAGGGCTGCGGTGGGTGGTGCAGGACGCGAAAAGCAGGCTGTTTCTGTACTGAGCCAGGCGGATGGCGTGGGCGCTGGCGAACGTGTTGGGCGGCTGCAAGGGGCAACCCGTGCAGTTCCCTGGTTGAAAAGTGGGCAGCGCGCCGCCGTGACAAGCGCGGCAACGGTCTCGGGCGCCGTCAGCTGGGAACTCGGGGGCAGCAAAACAAACAAGTAGACACACGCCGCTTCTTGACTTTGCCCTCACCCACGCGCGTGCTGGTGCTGTGCAGTGAGCCTTCGTCTGCCTGCTCGCGTCCCTCGTCGATCTGCGTTTCGTCAAATTCGAAACGACCAGGGTGCGCCGGCCAAGACGCAGCGAACCGAGCGTTCGTGTAACTCGACGTCCGTGTGTTTAGGACCAATTCGCCCCAGCACTACGTTCATTTGCAGCAGCTGTTCGCATGCGAGGATCCGCGGTGGGCGCTCGTCGGAATCGCTGTTTATCCCAAGCTCCCGAAAATGTCGAACCAGGACGAGGTCGATCCTCGCCAGTTCCTCGAGCGCATGCGCACGCTGTCTGACCTGCGAGACCACGAGGACGCCGAGCGGGTCAAGAAGCTCGAAGAAGAGCTTATACAGGGCCGGAGCGAACGACTCGCGCGCAGAGCAGGTATGCCCCCGTCTCCTGAGAGCTGTCGGCGAGCCCCATGGCAAGGCCTAATCAAAACAACAGAACGCGCTCGCTCGCTGTCTCCCGACAAGCCCACCACGCCCCAATCGCACCGCTCCCTCGCCGACGCTCCTCGGAGTGTGCAAGACAAGCTCGCTGACACGCCCACGCCCGCCATGGAGCCGCCGTCCCAGGAGAGCGCCCGCGAAGAGTCCCTTCAGCAGCTGACGGGCTCGCCCGCACAGCTCGTCGATGACACGGAACCGAAAAAGCCCGCCCCGAGCGCGGCTGCACTGGGCCGCTCAGGAACGCTGTCGTGGCAGCAACGGAGGCCGCAGTCGGCCAGCATGCGGAGGCCAATCTCGGTGGCCCTGGGCTCTCCAGACAGGGCGACAGCTGGCTCACCACGCACCTCGGAGCCGCCCTCTCCAGAACGACCCGCCTCGCGCACGCAGATAGCGCAGTCGCTGAGCGCCAAAGACCCTTCTTGGTTCAAACAAACAGCAGATCGAGGGATTGGATCTGCCGCGTACAGGAAGAATCAGGAGGACAACGTCTCTGAGGCGGGGTCTATATCCGGGAGGAAACAGCTACCCGGCATGACGCGCGACTCGACAGCGGAGCTTGAAGCAGCATCCCCGCCCCTGGAGAGTGCTCGTTCGAGCGGTTCAGTCCGCAGCAGCGCTCTCCTCGGTAACCGCATCTCCGCCACCGCATCGCTATCTGGCCCTGATGCAGAGTCGACCTCCAAGCCCAAATCGCCGCTTCCTGTGCTCGATGCGCAGAAGTTTGCGCCTCCGTCAGAGGGCGGGTCTTCCGTGGACGGAGGTGATCGCGGTTCGGTTCGTGGCCTGGCAATGTCGCCGACGCAAGGGCGCATCTCTCCTGATCGCCCCGCATCTCCCACCAAAGGCATGGGCGGTTTCGTTCAGAGCGCCATCATGAAGCGTAGCGACAGTGTGAGCAAGAGGTGGAGCTCTCAAGCACCACCAAGCTTGAGCCGACAAAATTCCACTCTGAGCAACAGAGGAAGCACCTATGGCACGCTGCCTCCACCGGCCTCAAGACCGAGCACCCTGAGCCGAGACAACTCAACCGAGCCTTCGTCTCGACCAAGCTCTAGCGCTGGTCTCGCAAGCATCACCAAAGACGCCGCGGAAAGCCCAAACAAACCGGACTTCGTCAAGCCCGCGCTACCTCGCCACAGCCGTAGCAAGTCTGTTGCGTCTACGTTCAGCGAAGGTCAGCCGCAGCAGGATGAGACTTCACCTCCAAGTCCATCGAAGCGCTGGAGCCCGACAAAGTCCAGCTGGCTAGAAAGCGCACTCAACAAGCCAGAGTCTCCGAAACCCCAGCAACCGCCTCCGCAGCAGCCCGCCTGGATGAGTGAGCTGAGTCGCATCAAACAGCAGCGCGGCAGTGTAGATTTTGGCAAAGTGAGCCCATTGCAGAGCCCGCCTGCTGATTTTGCAACAACTTCTGGTAGATCATCGCCAATCAAGGAGGTTCAACTGAGACCTGTGAGCCTGCGTACTAGATCAGAATCTCCTTCGAAGAAAGAAGAGCCAACTCCACTTCATAAAACGATAAAGCCATTGCAAAGCCTGCAAAGCTTGCGTGAGAAGCCTGACTCACCAAAGAAAGAGGAGCCAGCACCCATCGAAGACGCAAAATCAGTGCTGCCATCTCCGAAACCAAAACCTGTGGTAGGTGTAAAGCCATTGATGCCTGCCGACGAGAGTAATTCTGCAGCGGACGAATCTGTACCCCTGAGTGCAGAGCCCGAGACACCGAAAAGCCCTCCTACTACAACAGCTACAAAACCTGCAATATCTTCATCTCGTTTCGCAAAAGGTACTGCTCTTTCACCTGCTGCCGTAAAACCGAAGCCTGACACACCGCCAAAAAAAGACTTCCGTGCAACCTTGAAGTCACGCCAACCTGTTGGAAGCAACTCAAAGAGTGAGGAAGTCAACGAGTTGCAGAACGTTTTCGGGAAATTGAGACGAACGGAGACGAAGAACTATGTTGCGCCGGATGTGTTGAAAAATAATATCCTCTCAGGAAAGAATGCTTTGAATGTGACAGGCGGACCAAAGCCTTCCGTACGCCGAGACGAATTCCGAGACAGCCTGGTGTCGACAAAAGCCGCTATGTTAGCGAAAGCTCAAGAGGAAGGGTCTGCTGCTCACAAAAGGACAGATAGCACCGCCTCCGCCAAAGACGCCCCAACACCCGAAGCCATAGCAGCCCGAAAGAACCTGGGGAGGTCGGACAGCTTTTCCAAGCCTCTGCCTCCGAAAGAGACAGGTTTTACACCAGAGGCAATCGCCCGGAGGAAGAGTCTCAGGACAAGCAGGCCGGTGGTTACTGAAAAATCCGGGCAGCCGATTGCTCCGCTCGTGAACAAGGAAACACCCCTTTTAAAGTCTAGCAAACTTGCAGACCGATTCAACCCGGCTTTGGCAAACATGTTGGCGCGAGGACCGCCACCTATGGCCGGATCTGGAGGTACTGCCAAGGAAGACGTAGAAGAAACTCTGAGCAAGCCAGCTCAGGAGGAAAAGACCGGCCCCGCTCCAGAGTTGACTCACATGACCAAGGGAAGGGCCCGAGGACCGAAGAGGCGAGCACCAGGTGCGAAGCAGAGTGAGACGAAGTCAACGGACACTCCGCAGAAAGCGAACATAGAAAAGGTAGCTCCAGTCGCCACGGTTCCGTTGGTCAAAACCGAACATGTTTTGCCCAGCTCTGAGCCCCCTAACAATGCCCCAGTGGACCGAACGCCTGCCAGAAATTCATTGAAGGACAAGCCAGTCACACCGGCAAAATCTCCAGATCTGTCCAAGAGACTTTCAAAGTCGCCAACGCCGGAACCGCCAAAGAAACCCGCGTCTCTGGAACTGAAGCGGGAGGTGTCCTCTGAGCCTCAAGCTACTTCACAAAAATCGCCTTTCGTGCCAGTCGCGCAGTCTCCTAAACCTGTACCATCGCCATCGTACTCTGTCAAGCCGAGCTCGGTGTTCCAATCACGACCACTGCCAACGCCCCTGCCTCAGTCAGAGAGTCAGGCTTTGAAAGAGATTGCACCTCCCAACACCGGTAGTGCTAGGAAGGAAGAGCAATCGCCGGACAAGCCATCCTTCTCTGTAAAGAATGCCACAGCTCTTTGGGGCAGTCAATCGACTTCGTCATCGCCCGTCTCGACCAAGCCGAAGTCACCTATCAAGCTTCCGACGAGAGCAGACGAACAAGCTGCAACAGAGAACGTCGGTCTAAGCAGCCCTGCTGAGACACCGGAGCCTACACAGCCTAAAATGCTCGCAACAAAGCCAAAACCGGCCGGTCTCGGTTTGGGCGGACTGGGCAGTCTGGGGGGTTTAGTTGCAGCACGATCGAGAGAATCGACACCCCCGAAGCCGTACCCGTCTAAGGTCTCACCCATATCGCCACCCGTGATGGGCACCAGGCCTCAGTCTGAGCCTTTCAAAGAGTCTCCTGCACCCGAGAAACCTGCCGGGGTATTCACCGAGTTCTTCGACGAACAACCAGTTACCACAGGAGTTTTGCCCGAGAACATCGATACGGTCCGTATCCTGAAGACTCCACCGTACGACTTGAGCCCTAATGGAAAAATCAGGACCATCCGAAAGCAGATCCATGAAGTGACAGGGGACGGAAAGATTACCGCTATTCACGCACACGATGAACATGTCTTGTTCCAGGACTGCATTTACCTATGCATTCACACCTTCAGCAATGCCAGCGGCTCCAAGGCTACCGAGGTCTATCTCTGGGCAGGTAATGGGGTAGCTGAATCTACCATTGAGGATGTTCAGCTCTTTGCCAAGAACTATGCCAAACAAAACCAGGGGACCTTGGTTTCGATACGACAAGGAAAGGAAACGCCGAATTTTCTTGACGCGCTTGGGGGCATCATCATCACGCGACGAGGAGCATTCCCGCCGGCCAAAGAGTATATGCTTTGCGGCCGTCGGCATCTAGGTCGCCTTGTATTCGATGAAGTCGATTATGTTCTCAAGAGCCTCTGTTCGGGATACACTTATATCATCGCTACTTCACGTGGAAAGGTCTATCTCTGGAAAGGTCGAGGATGTTGTGCAGAGGAGTTAGCAGGTGCACGTCTGATGGGCATGGATCTAGCACCAGGAGGCGACTTCCTCGAGGTTGAGGAAGGTTCGGAACCAGCCGAGATGATCCAGGTTTTCCCTCCTACCATCGGCAAAGGACCTGCCATTCCCCGATCGGCGGACCACTGGCGGTACAAAGCTTCCTCGGAGCGATACCAAACGCGGCTCTTCAAGATCGAGCAACAGCAGTCTTCGGGATGGGGGAGTCTCCAGGTGAGCTCTTACCTTCCAGCCATGCTACGTCGGCCGTCGTGGCAGTTTAACAGAAGGATGTCCACTGAACGGGAACAGACGCCAAGTCCTCCCAAGTCTCCGCTTCCGCCGGGAATGAGCACTAAGATCGTGGAACTTATGCCGTTTTGCCAGCGGGATCTGGAGCCTGAGCATATATACGTCCTCGATGCCTACTTTGAGATGTACATGTAAGTTGTCCTCGTGTCGCTACGTTGACCCAGACTAATTCAATGTAGTATCGTTGGTCCCCTCTCCCGCTCGCAACATCACGCTTTCTCTACCGCTTTGATGTTCGCGCAAGAATATGTCATACTAGCGGTGACTGAGGAAGACCGCCCGATCAAACCTCCCACGACGATCTTACTCGAAGGCGTCCCGCGGGACATGCGAGCCGTCTTCCGCCATTGGGATGACTCAATAGTGCCTGCTGCCGGCCTCATGAACGGCAAGCTCGGCCGCGGCAAGAGTCTACGGATCGTCAGCATGGAGAAGGCAATTGAAGCGACGCGGCGACGATGAGACTTGTTATATACACTCGATGGGCGTTCTGGGCGACTGGCATGGTGATCTGGGATCGATCTTGACGACTTGCATACGCTGTTTATGTTAATGATTGAGGGATGGGGGTTAGACGGAGGCCCAGAGCTATACTTCTTCCTTGTGTTAATGGACTCAGATACGGTGTCTTTTCTGTAAATACGTTGCATGCATGGATGGAAGAAAGCCGAGCAGCGGGCCGGCTTTGGCGAAAATCACTTCTATGAACCATATGGTATACTTCATCGTCGTTCCATTCCGTGATATACATGCAGGTATGCTTGCTGCGTCGGGTGACCGGCGAGTCGAGATCAGCAACCCAATGATTGCCGCTCGAATCAATGCTCCAAAATCCTTCCGCCGTGGGCGCATGTCACAAGCTTTCGTCATCCAGATCGAACCTTGCCTTCCAGAACCGTCGTCAAATCCCTCCCAAGCCCATCCTCCTATTCTCTCTGGTCAAACAAAGCGAACATCACACTAGCCCCCAGCCGCCGAATCGTCCGATTCCCGTGCGTGGAGACCCTAGCACGTGGCACAGTATACGTCCACGGCCCCGTCTCCTCCTCGTCTCCATGTACCTGGGCGACGCTGCTGCGCGGCGAAGACTGGCTGGACGCTGGAGACGTGTGGGCCACGGAGAAGGTCGGGGTCACGGGCGTTATGGGGGCGCTGAGCGTTGCGGGGAGGTGGTGAGTGGAATCTCCGGGTCTGAGAACACACTTCCCGTCGAGGGTTGCGAGAGATGGCGTGGCTGTGGTTTCAATCCCCGTTTCGGAAGCGGTGGTTGTGGTAGTGGTATGTGAGGGGATGTCGGTGGTCTTCTTAGACTCTTCCAGGGCTTCGGGGTCTTTCTTAGACTCCGCAAGAGCTCGGAGGTCGGCCTTCTTTGTCTCGATCAGATTGTAGGTCTCCTGCTTCATAGCTTGTACCGAGGCGATGATTCTGTCGATTTGTTCGCTGGTGGTCGACTTGGCTGGAGACTGCGAGGAGCTCGTGGACGAATTTGAAGCGTCAAGGGCGCTATCGTTACGGCATGGGCCTGGGTGTGGCTGTGAGGGAGATGATGCGGAAGACGACGGGGAAGGCTCAGTGATGAAGATGGGCTGAGATGGCTCGGTGCCGGGAGGCGAGGAACCGCGTGTTCTTCGTACCACGGCGAGGGTTGCGGTTTTTAGCCATTCTGAGATCGCAGTGTAACTGTGGGTGCAGATTAATCGGAGACTTGGCCGGATTCGAGGAAGCTCGGGGTTCCAAGTGCGTGTGAGTGTCCAGCTCAGGTGTATTAGCAGCTGTGAGGTGGTGCTTCGGGGACTTTGTACCAGTGGTCTGGTACGGCTTCCTTGAGTGAAATTACGGTTACGGTAAGTGTGCTAGGGCTCGAGTATAAAGCTCAGTGCCACAAAGCGGATACATAATGTAGGCAACTGAGGTGAAAGGACTGTAATGGTCGAGCCGGAACGGGCGGTGAAACTTCTGCACAATGAGTGTCTTCAGGGTCCTATAGCGCTCACTGCCCAGGTGTGTGCGCGTAGAGTATTGATAAGAATCAAAGAATTGCGGATCGCGAAACATGTATGAAGGCGATGTACATGTGACAGTTGAAAGGCATTCCAAAGCATGAAGAGCATAGTGGAGAGATGCTACAAGACTCGAACAAAGAATCAGCAATAACGGAACGAAAGAATCTGAAAAGGAGCGACGGTGCAGCCTTGTGGATATCTGCATGGCAACGGCATCCTGACGATGAAGGCAAATCGTGATAGTCGCGATGACGCCCGAAGTACAAATGACACAAGCATTCAAGGAGCGAAACAGATTCAAACTGAAGCCCCCCCCCCCAATCCTATCATAGCTACCGGTATTAGATCGAACCCGTGTTGTCTTTGTTTGAAGAACTCGAACACTCTCAAAGAACTTGCAACACTGAGTGACCTGTCTATATTTTCAACTCCTTCCATATAATTAAGATCAGACTTTTTCATTTCGGGGTCAGGAGCACCCGCATGCTCTGCTATAGACACATGTGAGACCCAAGGCAATCATAGATCCGGTCTGTGGAATCACTGTTCTATCCCGCTCAGCAGCAGTTGACCCATGGGAGATTTTTTGTAAGAAGCACGGTAGGTGACAGTAAAAACTTGGCTTTCCATGCCTGGGACTTCAGGTTAGATTATTAAATTATACTTTCACAACAGTATGATACAGCAAATTTCTACAAGGGAAGGTATAATTTTTTGTGGGAGCCACTGTGAAGAACGATGATTAACGCTGGGTTGCAAGTTCTTACGTTTGTTAGCCCATCGCAGTCAAGCTCCTTCTACATCAGGGCAGCTTCATCGCCTTCCGGAAGTACCCAATGCGGGAAAGTCCATCAGCGTTCGACATCTCAAAATATTTGCCTACTTCGGCGACTAACTATCGTCCAGCTTCTCCTCTAATGCTTAAGTATCTCCTAGGTTCTGCATACATGGCGTGACGCGTACCTAACAATGCACTGGTGAGCTGCACCCATAATGCACAGCATAATCGTACACTTACACAGTGATCATAAATATGCGTATTTTTGGTTTATAGGTTCTATACTAGTCTCACAATCTAAGTTGCCTTCCCAAGTTCGTATTTGTCTCCTCGCTTGTTCGTATTGCCAACAATTGTCGAACGAATAATGACGCACCTCAACAAGCTAACATGTCTCCACCTGGCGGCAGGACATCTGACCATGCGCCTGCCGACATGTCTCCACCAAAAAGGCCCCACCATATTCCGCCCGTGGATACTTCCGATCGCACATCCATCTCGCCTCCAGCATACCGGTCCACGCGTCCCCACTCCCCTGCTGAAGCAAACTACCGATCTGAAACTTGACCTGCCGCAAGATACGGATCGGCCGCACCACGAACGCATATTCATGCACGGGACGGCAAATTAATTGTTTTGAGTGGAGACGGGAAAATGTGATAACGTTCAAACACGAGGAAGCCATAGGGCGGTGTTCGTGGAACACGATAGAGTTCGACGACAGGTCGTGGTTCCTGTCACTAGGGCTGAAGGCTGCAGAAGGAGAGCGGATGCCTGTTGTGAAACCAGAAAGGATCGTTCAAGATCGGCAAAGCATGGGCAATAAAAGAAGGTGCTGTTCCGTACGAGTCTCTCATGCCGCTGCCTTATGCGATAGCGCAGGAGGTGTAGTCACTTAGCCTGAGCTTCGAGAACCAGACAATTCAGAGCTGGCATTGCTAGGATCTTCGTTGCAGTATAATTCCCCGCTTAAGGGCCGACGATGTACAGAGTATGGCTGCTTCTACATGCTCCACCTACAATGGGACATTGGGAATCCGATATCGAGATCACGATGTGTTGAGGCGTGGATGGAGTGAGTGGTGAAACAACAAGACGCCATTATTCGGGGTATTCCTGGCCTATCTACCCTGGAGTAAACACCGTGAAACGCCAAAGCACATAAAGAAAGCGAGGAGAAATGAAAGTGCCAATAATGGCGAGCCCAAGCACGAATTCGTGTATTTCATTCTTCAAACGGTCCAGCTCATGTCAAATGAGTGAGAAGTAGAATGTACAACGATGGCGTGATATAAACAAGTGTGATGTAGAGCCGGAGCCGCCAGCGGACAGTGGACTGTACCGAATTAGCCGATCACCGGGCCACGGCCAGCCTGAAAGCTGGTTGAAAGGTGTGATAAGGAATGTGTTGTGCCAAATTGCCGATAGGAATATATCTGTGCTCCGCTGTCCCATCTATGGTGAACGTGAGTTGTTCGACATCTCTGCGTCCACGTACCGCGGCCAGGTGTTCGTAAAGACAAGGTATTTGATGCTTTCGAACGCAGGGTCGAAGACGTCCTCGGTGAACTGACTGGGTACAAGGCTTCTCGTGCTCGAAGTACTCGATACACTCGTGCCGCTGACGTTCGATTCCATACTGGCCGGACGATCTAGGGTATTTTCCCAAGGACATACGACGTTGTCCCCAACGGGGCTTGCGCTGCGATTTGCTGGCATGTACGGATCATATTCCATACCCTCGAACTGCTCCTGCAGTTTCTTGAAGATCTTATATTCGATATTGATAGGTGTTTCTGCGGTGAACGGGTTGACAAGGGTGAAGAAAATGAGCGACGCTTCGGTATGCATCTGGCGTCTTTGGGCGGTTGTGACAGTGCGCAGGGCGGACCATTTCTTTTTAAAGTTTCGTACCTCGCGAAGGAAGATGGTGTTTTCGGCAGTAAATTCGCGCGACGCAGTCCACTCAATCAGCGACTCAATATTGTGCTCGATACTGGCCTCGAGCGCTTGCATGCTAGCCTTGGGCTTCAGTTCCTTGCTCAATAATGAGGCTGGTGACTTTTCGGAGATGTTCGAAGGAGTGGAAGTGAGCGAGTCCGTGTCGGTCGACATAGAGAGCGATCGCCGCTGCGTGGTTCTATTCTTGGCGGCATCCCGCAAAGGTATCAGGATGAGGACTTGCTGACATACGACTAGGGAAGGAAGAAACCTATCGGAAAATATTAGTGATGCGCTCGACTGCATAGCCGCCCGGCCCCCAAATGAAACAAAATCGTATTCGTTGTTCTCCGGCATAATAATGGCTTCCCGCGATCGCCACTTGCGGACGACAAGGCGTGTGCAATGATGCCCGGGAATACAAGAATACTTCGGAATGGCACTCAGCCGAGTTAAGGTGTAGACTCACCAGCCTGCTGCAGGGAAGAACTTATTAATCGCCCGCATTCCGGGAAAATCTCCTTGGGTGAAAGCAATCCACAGAGGGGTGCCGGGTAAACTTGATCAATTGTCAGCTCATGTAGGTACAGAAATAGAGCAACCACGTACCCCGCGAAGATCGCGAGCCTTGTCTGCCACGCCCAGGAGTGAACATCGTTCACATTGCGTATCTTCCAGAGAATCCAGGGTCCGACGATCGCAGTCCAAAACAGTTGAACAAGAATAGATGGGACCCTGTGATTATCAGCTACCGGAATGTTCAACGTTCCATGAAGAGATCTTACCACTCGGCTCCTTGGCGGCACTGTCGCGAGCCTACAATAGGACCGAAGGAGCCATACGAAGCGTGGAAGCGCCTAGAGCCAAAAAAGAGGCCTATTGCTGGAAGTAGCTGTTGCCGTTAGCAGCTGGCACACAATGAAGTTATAGTCGTATGTCAAGATCTGGATCGTATACCCAGGCCTCTACTTGTGACCGCACTGGAAGGGAGGGCTATACCGAGATGACAAGTCCGATGACGGTGCCAACATACACCTTTGCTGCAGCGTCAAGATTCAGCCAGGCTTCAAAGAGACCCTTTGGTGTCCAAGAGAGTCTCTTCTTGCGCGCACCGGCGAGAAAATCCGCCTTCATCCGGCGCTGGCTCTCGTAGGCGGTGAGAACTCTAGCATTGCAAGCTGCAGGTGGTTAGATATGTTTACTTATAGTCAAGCGGAAGCATACCTTGGAAGATTGCCATCCCTAACGGGAGGAAGATGGACATAACCCAAAATTCAGCTGAACAAGGCCAGTGCCCGTTCAGTGGATAGACGAGCAGCACCAAGACCAAGTAGACATGGAGCATCGACACCGAAGTAAATACAACATCGAGGCCCCGAATTCGGACACAGAATGCTGAGCGTTGGCGATACAGGAAGAAGAGTTCAACAGCGAGAACAATGGTGTAGAGTATGGCTGCGACCACGTAAATGATTCCAGCAGCGTCAAAGTTGGGAGCGCCTCCATCGAGTGAACGTGTTCGGATTGGAGACATATTGAGCATACTGATGTGCCCCAGGCACGATCGAGGAAGAGAGTTTTAAGGTGTCGACATGCAGGCTCGGCATTCATAAAGACAGAAGAAACACCCAGACAAAAATATCAAGACAGAAAATACCGAGATATTGAACGGGCTTGTCACATGAGTGGAAGTGGAGGGGATGCTTGCTAGAAGAGCGGCTCGGTGTACGAAGCTGATGGGGCTAGGTGTCTGGACGTATGCACGGAGGAGGGATCAGGACGGTAAAAAAAGACAAAGCAGACAAGTATAGCAGCATCGCAGGCGGCAAGGGAGCATTCGGCTGCTGCCGAGCAGATGCGTACCTTGTGTCACATATCCAGGTCCATTTACGCCAGGCGCGAGATCAGGGAGGGCGCTGAACGCGTGAACGGGCGCGCGCACGGCGAGGACGTGTCACAAAAACGCCACGGGGCCACAAGCTGCTACGTTGCCATCCCAATAACGGGCGCAGATATGCAGCCGCAAAGGGATGGCCTATTGAAGCGATTGTGAGCTCTGCGGTGGGGGTTGAAGTTGGGGTGTGCTCGGGATCCGCGGTTGCCCTACGGTCGGTGCTCTCATCGGCTGATGTGCGATGAGGCGGATCGAGTTTCGTACCAGGAACCCTAGCACGAACACCGCTGACAGCACCGCGAGCACCAATTGGCCGGCCTGCCGGCTTTTCTGACGCCTGTATCGATGCGATTGCTGCTCGGATTGCATGCTGCTGGCAACTGCGCTCTACACATCCACCACCACCACAATACGCCTCTTGGCTCCTCCGCCTACTCCAAGCGGGAACTATGCGCATCGCCCACGATATCCACCAGATCGGTGCGGGGATGACCGTGCCATGGACCTGTTTCAGCACCGAGAGTGATTCTTCCGTCCTGATCGACAGGTTCATGCAGTTTCCTCCTTCTCGCCAACAATCCCGCACCAGGCTGGCGGGACGTTCGCATTGCTGACTACTACTGTCACTGACATCAAGAGTTTCAAGTCACACCTTCTGGAAGGCTCTGAGCTGAATTCCATCTCCTAGACCGGCTGCTGCCACGTACCTGAAAGCCTCGTTCATGCGGATACAACGTCCTCTTTCGTCACTATCGCTACCCCAGACTCAAAGTCGGTAGCGTGCCTTTCTTGGAAAAGAACCCAGACATGACCACAATTGAAGCTATGACTTGTGCTCGTTTGAGACATGCAGTCTTGGTCGCCAGTAACGTGGACAGCTTGAGGGTTGCCTCTTCCTAACACTGTACGACCCCATTTCAGAAGAACTGTATTGATAAAGTATGCACGGTCCCGTGCACGCAGCTGTGTGGCCACTTCTTCACGTGCGTTTAGAGCCAACAGTATCCGGCACAAGTGACCTGTGTCACATTAACCGCGCCGCATTCTCGCTTCAGACAACTCCACCGACACCATGGCGATCCGATCATCGTCCCACCACATCCTGGCAGGGATCATATCAGCGTTCGGCTTTCGACGTGCCCACTCGTCAAGATATCCATTATAAGAAGCATGCATCATCTAGCCGGGAACGGCGATGGTGAGGGGAAGACGACCAGGCAATTGCCTGCAAGATTGACGTCAAGAAAAGCTCAGTCGTTGGACCTGTTTACGGTCTAATACCCTAATTGGTGGATCACATCGTATTACGCCGTGGTATCGGTAGCCTTTTCGGCGCGCGTAAGCACTCTCTTTGCACTCCGGATCCATTTATTCTCGTAAGACGGGTTGCATCGTTGTACCGCACCGCTCGTCATGAGCGGAGGCAGAAACATGCGTACTATCGCCGACTACCGCCGTGGCACTGCTTTAGGCGACAGCCCGGACCCTCTCCATCTACAAGCATCTTTCTCTGTACTCACGATAGGAGCTCGAAACCGAGACGGATCTGCTAGTCTGAGCGCTCGAAGCGACCAGTCTTCCTGAAAATTCATAACTGGGCGTCTGTGTTTGATGGCAATGCTCGTGCATTAAAACTCTCTTTACACTTGGTACTTCCTTGCCAAAATAATAGCCATGGTTAGCTACGGATTGATCGAAGTTCAGTCGCTGGCCCAGGTTCCTTGAGTAGACTTGCTTCAGAACACGTCCTGGAGCTACGAATGCTCTCATACCTGTGGCCACGAGAACGGTGTGTCCGATGTCATGGCCGGCAAAAACCTTCGCATCACTGGCATTCGTACTGCGACCCCGCACGGATGATTTGGATTGCTCAGTCTCCGCTCGGAGAGGTGCATGCGGAAGAACGGCAACGTCGAGTAACATGAGCGGCGAACTGCTACCCACATCGCACTTTATTGCTCAGTACAAGGGCACCGGCAGCTCTTCATGGAAGGTGTTGTTGGTCTTTTTCCGGAAGTCCAACAGAGGTTGCACAGGCTGTTCGCCTGAGCTAGTGCTGCACGAACTCGGAAGGTTCGTACAGGATTCAGTGCGATGGTCGCTAATCTTGGGGGCCTATTTGAAAAGCACACACATTAAGCCAATTGGGTGCTGGATCACCTGTCGAAAAAGTTCGGATAAACTGATTGAAACAAGGGTCCCATTTGCCAAAACGGCCAGTCACTGTCAGCCATGCAATATATACTAGCCTGGTGACTTCTTCTACGGGACGGTTGTCCCCGCAATCGCTGTCTCCCCGCAGTCGCACATCGCTAGCTGTTGCCGTTTTCAGAACGCAAGGAGATTGCAAAATCAGTGACAATAGTCGTACGCCCGTTGGGCTTCTTCAGAGCTGTCTTTGTAAAGGATTGCAAATCGAAAATGCCAGGCTAAACGCAGAAGGATGCGACGGCTGTGTGCCTGTGGTTGTGGAGCATGCCATCCACTCCAATTGGCCCTCTTTGAAAGAGATGGCAGTACATATAGTACAGGATGATCGTCCTTAATTAACATTTTGGTGGCGATCATCAAGCTCATTTGTGACAAGCTCCGCAACACCTTTATGATGGGCATTTCTTTGATATTCCAATTACTGTTAGCGTCCAGCGCTGCCGCCATTGATATTCCTACTACGCCCACATGGCCATCGGGACGCTGTACCGACAAATCTCTTACCATTCCCTCGTGGACAATCAAAGATTACGTGGTCAAGGGAGGCGTTGCTACTTTTCAAGTAGAAAACAGAGCTTCTGCTTCCACTGACTGCTGCTCCTTCATAACATGCTCCCCTGGTAAAGAAAAGTGTGATGGTTCCGCCGGAAGTTCTGGAAAGACGGTCACGTGGAAAAAGGGAGCCGACGGAATCAACGTAATCAGTGTTACCGAGGTCTGGTATTGCAGTGATGAGGGCGACAGGTAAAAGCGTAGCCGTCTTCCTTGATAGCCGAGTTGATAATTCCGCAGAACAATCTTTACGGCATCAGGGAGCACCAAGATCACCTCATGTGATGGTGACGATTGCCTTTCTCCGATAACATACCTCGCTCAAGGTGGCCTTACTCTGCCAGTCCCTCTCACCCCAGCACAGCCACTTCCACCAGCCGGCTACGATGCACCGACCTGCGCAAAAGTCGGAGAGGATCAGTGGGATGTATCCGGAGGTAAGTGCCTTTTTTTATTGTCTGAGTCCCTTCAACAGACGCTGATCTTTATTTACTAGTCGAATACAAGAACTACACAAAGAGTCAATGCAAGCAGTGGTATATTCCAGAGGAAATTTGTCGCGACAACAACGCCCAAGACTTTGTATCTAAAGGCCAATACCTTAGCCTCAACGTTACCAACAATGCGATATCTCATACAGTGGGGTGCGGTTTCACGCCTTCGTACAACAACTATGACCTACCCTCCGTCCTGCGATGCACTGGCGGCAACTTTAACGAAATTACGCTTGATGTTTCGTGGTCCGGAGCGGCACCTAATTTCAACTTGAAGGTCGAGCAACTATGGTACTGTCTCGATAACCCAAAAGCAAACGTCAACCCGTAAGCACCCTTCCCTTGTTGCCAAAGCAGAGTTTTATAGCTATACAGCCTCTGAAATCTTGCGTAGGACCGTGATCGTTGCATCTGGCAGCTCTGCCATACCCCTCAGATGTACCTCGACTCCAGGCATCACAGGCACCGCAGACGACATCGTTACCATCTGTACTGATACCGCATCTTCTCACTCGATCGACGGAAAGCAGATAGCGAAACAGAAGCTTCCACCATACTCCCTTATCACTGCGTATCCGGTTCATGGTGGCTGTACCTTCGACAGTATCATCAATCCCACCTTCTACTACCGAGGGATGTTCTTTGAGACCAACCCATATCCTCAAAACAATCCGGATAGCGCAACGCTGAAGAGGTTCACTGCTGGGTTGACTGGTCCGGGTTTCAAGGACTTCTTTTTCTACCAAAACAAGGCCATCTCAGGCCAAGGTATAAAGACTACGTATGCCCCACAACATCAATGCTTGGAATACGGCTGACAGTACATAGGTACACCTGCGCCGTTTATTACGATGGCAAGCCGAAAGATCAGCATTATAACTGCACATACGCTCTCAATCCACACACCAAGGTCATTACCCAGGAGAAGACTTGGGAGTGTGGTGATAAGAACCCTAAACAGCCGTGGGTACCACTGTCCAACTAGTGTCTGCTTTTTAAGCTAAAGAAATTTAGGCTGTACTTTACCGGTTCTGGCGAATTTGACTGGAGTGTTGACCCGTCTTCGGACTGTTATAATTCAGCGACTGCGTCAAACCCATCGACATACTGCTATTGGTATGACGACATGGCGACGCTCCAGCCTGGTGTTCCTTATGACATCCCAAAGGTCCGAGCAAGCCTGGTAAATGTCCTGCCGCCAGATCTTGGACAGCCAGCCGTGAAGAGTGTGGCCACAAGTTCTGCCTCTGACACTCTGAGGGTCAACAAGGAGTGGAAGTTCGTCACCCAAGCTAAGTAAGGGATGTATGCAAAGTGTCGTGTTCGTTCCAGATCTTGATTTTGAATGATGTTATCCATAGTATCTTACATGAAATAAAAGAGACACCGTTGCCATCTTGTGAAGGCAAGGGCGTCAATAGCTGTACTAAAACGAGTGGGTATCATGTTCTCAACATCTCTTATCGCGCCCGGGTGACGCACATTTATCGTGTACCCATAGTTCTGGCCGCCGAAGCCGTTACACGTGAGGAATTCTTTCCTGAGAATGCATTCACTTCTTGTTCAGCGGTACTGTTCTCACTCCTTGACCTGCCGTGATCACAACGGCTCTACCCACCCCAACACGAGCCTGTTCAGTGCTGATTCTACCATCCCAAGGCTCATGTATGTCTAGGGAGCGCATCGAATCCTTCGAAACCCTTGCACCGCGGGTCTCCTTCGTGGCAATGGATGTTAGGGCTATCACGCTCTCGGTGTCGCCACTCCTTATAGTCGCTGACTTCCACGGCATGGTGGGGTCTTGCTTAGTCGACTTCCCGTATTTGTCACGCACATCGGTATATATTTTGCGGAAGAGCGGACGAAGAATGGCAGCAGATGCAGCGATGATGCCCGTGCCGGGTTCAGCAGTCGCCCATATTGTGGCTTTGATCGAGGTAGCTGGCGACTGGTAAGTTGTCTGCTCATTGTGCGTGTACAACTACAAGTCAGAAGCAAGGAGACCACATCATATAGACGACAGGAAACACAATACAGTCTCCAGTTCTGGATGTTGATTTGAGATAGAAACTTACTGGATACACTATTTTCGAACAGTAAGCCCTTCAAATACACCATGCGCATGATAGATGATATAGAGCCGACAGCAGCAAAAGACATGACTATGCCCACTGAGATCTTTGAACGGCGATCCATTGTGCTGTCCATCAGGATGACGATGGGTATAAGCGTGAAAATCCAGTCGGCTACGACGTTGATGATGCCATAGATATAGCCTGTAGTCAAAACGAACCAGACCGGGGCACAGTGCTTTGCGCGAGCGCCGATAAAACTGTCCGCGAGTTTTGTTGGACTTCCACAAACGAAGAGGGTAACGAAGAAGTAAAAAATGCCGAAGACACCCGAGATTGCAAGGATCACATGGAAGAGGCGGGTTTGCCAGGGTTTGGTGAGCAATCGCAGGAAGAAAAGACCTAGTGAGATCTTGAGGAATGTTGTTGTGAGGATGTAAAAGACCTTGCTCAATTGGACGTACTGCCCTTCATCAGCAGCGGTGATATATACTTGAGGAGTTGACTTACAACGAGGCTTTGCAGCAATTCCATCTCAGTGAACTGCCGGTGCGCTCTACTCCGCAAGGTGATCGTCAATATGAAGGCGCAATAGCACGTGAACAAGCACTAATAACCATGAGAAGAACACTTGTACATCGCTGGGATGACATACCAGCGCAATGAGCATCGTAGCATCGTCCCACCCAGGAGATTTGGTAATGCCTAAACGCACCCACATCCGGAGGGCAACCGTTGTCCATGCTAAGAAGAGGAGCATAATAACCACAGCAAAGATTAACACCCCTAGCTCGTAAAATTCGTTCGAATGCGCCATAATTTGCAGGACCAATAATGTATTTCGCACCTGCAACGAAGATTTGAGAATTGATATGATGGCTCATGCTATAAACATATGCAACGATGGATCCAGGGACCACACCCCCACGGAAGCTGTCAAGCCGTATTTGCTTCTAGCAACCCACAGCACAAATAGCCAGACCTGAGTAGCTTCATAGCTTCAGGCGATCGGACTTGATTGGTCGTTGTGGCGGCCAAGAAACTATAATTTTCCCCATGCGTGCGTTCAAACAAGTATCGTCAATGAATCACATGGGTTTGGTCTATGGTCCGGCATCGCTTGTTTACGACCTCTGCAGACGCGGGTGAAATCACGATCCTGGCTGGATCGAGAAACGAGTATGACACTGTGCGTGCTACTGGACAATGGACATTGTGCGAAGGTTGCTTTTCTGAATATTCGTGGTAACAAGGAGATGGAGATGTTTAGTATTTTGTTTCAATGCGGCGAATAAGCAGTGATGATCTCTTGAAGGCTGCATCGCCAGAGAAAGATGAGCTTCGATACTCACGAGTTCCTCCGACATGCGAACGTCTCGAGAAGGACGCTGTTAGTCGTTTAACAACGGCAATCGGCAGCTTGAAGGGTTCCATCTTGTGTCTACTGTTGCGCTTTCTAAAGAAAGAACCGTGGGTGTAGTGATGCACGATGTGTCTGAAGGCATTGACGTTTCGGCACTATTCCCAGAAACACCTTCATGACGTTTCAAAAGACGTTTGGCAACGTTCGGAACGTGGTGTTTCCCTGTTTCACACGTGCTGGATGAAAAAAAAATCAAAAAAAAATCAGAGCACGGATCATGTCGTCCCAGTTCCCAAGTTTGTAGGGTCGTGGATTGTGATGTCGTTACGGAGGTAATGAGAGGCATTACACTGCCAAGCCCTTTATCGATATCGTCTCGGAGAAAGGTTATTCCGAGTTATTGATGAGTTTTCTTGTTCATCGCTCGCTTGTGTCTTCCATCATCAAATGTCTACGTTCGCACCGTGCATGCGATTTCAATGCCATCGACTTCAGTGCCCATGCTCATATTGGGCTTCCACGAAGCTTTGAGTACACTGGGTACCGTCGCCAGTGGGTTGCGTCGTGGTGCGCCATGAACGCTTCATCGAACACCAAGCAATGATGCCGCAAACTAATCACACTGTACTCCAGCGCATAGGGCTTCCATGGAACTGTCAGGTATGTACGCATTGTGCAGTCCTTTCTCTTTTATGATTATTACACACAGCAATATCACAGACCTGTACCGCAATAAACCATGTGGATGCACGCTTGGAGACCTTATGATAGAATCCTTTCCGAGATTTTGAGCTATCTTTGTCGGTGAACTGGACGCTGACATTTTCCAAGATAGATGCCAAATAAACGTCTGTCCCCCTAGGTCCAACTCTTCGGCGAAAGCAATCGAAGCCACAATGTCGACTGATACGGCGCCGTCTCGTCGCTTTGTCGGCCTCATTGTTCGTAGACCTTGTGTAGGCTCGGCTCGATGGCACTACTCTCGGTGTAGCATTGTGCCACACGCCATGGTCCATTGTTTAATCCTAAATATATCACTCGCTTGTTATGAATGGCTGTTACTGCACAAGGATCTCTGTGACTGTTGCATGAGGCGTTGTGACCTAACATTTATCTCCCATTGGGCTACTACACAATTGTATAAGAGTCTGCAATTCGTCATACTGCTCCACCATCGCCTCACGAAGAACGCTTTAACAGTGCTGAAGAGGAAGACCCAAGCCCAAAACGCTAACACTTTGCTAGTGCTCTAGCGGAGAACAGACGAACATTGCTCCACTATTGGATCAACATGGCTAACTGTTCTTCTCAACAGCTTTCTTCTTCCTCATCGTCGTCGAAGGCTCGACGCTCGACTAGGCTGTCTGTACGGAACTCGATCGTTGGAACGCCTGGCAGGGCGCGGCAGGCTAGCGTTCGTCGTGCTAGCAATCGTATCGACCCGAACTTGGATTTTCCCGACTTGGACTTGGTTGACTGGGGCGAGTTCGCTGAGGATTCTGATGACGACGCGGCGCAAAACCGGACCAATGTGGCCCACGAGGGCTTCGGGAACCATAATTATGCGACCGGACAAACCCCTAATGTTGTGCCTACAGGCCATGCTCCGATCAAGTTTTACCACAACCCGAACGTTGCGGTGCCGGGCACTCCGCATGTTTCGTTTCCGCCTGCGAACCGACAGATGGGTCCGCCGGTGGGTTTACCGATGGGCTTTAAGCAGGAGAAGGCCCCTTTCGTGATCAATGGCAAGACGGTGATGTTATCACAAGAGCAGGTGGACGCATTGAGTGCTGTTGCTGGCCTCGCTCCGCAGCCGTTGCTAACGGATGGGAAGCGCACTTCTGTGCCTAAGTCTCCGGGGATTCGGAAGCGTAACAGCCAATTCCGCCCACAAGCTGCATACAGCGATCCGTTCGCTGGCTCAGAGCACATCGATCCGCAAGATCTTCAATTCGGTGTTTTCAGCAACATCAACTACACTCCTTTCCCCGAGCCAACCGCCTACCCAGAAGGTTACGCTGACGCTCGTCAACTGCTACCGCAGTCGCCCTACTACCAGAGCACGCAATGGCAAGGCGCTCCTTCGCCTGGTGGTAGGCACATTCAGTTTCCACAACCCGAGCCTGAATACTTGCAGCTGACAATCCCCCAACAGGTAAGCGGGCCTGTTTATTTTGAGCGAGATCTTATCCCAGATCTTGACTTCGATGAGCCCAATGCTAATCAATACCAGAACCGCGGCCGCCAGTCTGCTTATCCATCCCGCAACAGCTCCCTGGGTTACGGTCGTAGGAATCTTCCCGTGGAATCCAAGAAGAGCGCTCGCCAAGATAAAGCCCGTGCATCTGTGTTGGGTCGTGAGACGAGCCAGCAGTACCAAAAGCCCAAGCTCGCCACATACAATTCCGATGTTCGCATCAACAGGACTACCAAGGGTCTCACGACGCGGACCGCCAAGATCAACAACTATGATCCCCGTAACTTCTACACTTACATGCCCCACCCGCTTGGTACTCTCGAGCAGCCTTGGGGCGCTCCGTGGAAGGCTCAGGGGAGCCCATACTTGCATGAGTACCGGGATTCCTCTTTGAAGGAGCAGGATGGCGGTGAGGAGATCGCAATTTACGAGCTGAAGAACCGTGAAATGAATCCCGATGAAATTCAGGACTTCATACTGGGCTATCCCTACCACCGCAACAAGTTAACTCTTAGGCTCCAGGTCACCCCCGGTGATTCTGGGCGCCGCTATCGGCAAGGCGCTGATAAGTGCCGCTTCAAGGACTGCCCGAATCGTGTGAGTGGTGTACCTGCTACGATCAAGCACGGCTGGTTCCGCATTGCCTTTGACGAACGCGATGACGATGAGTACGATCCATTTGCCGCCAACTGCGGGTTTGTGCATCTGTACTGCATGGAGCGTTTCCTGGACTTCGAATACATTTGCCGCAAGGCTCACGTTGTGGTCGACTTCCGAGTTCAGATGCGGAACGAACCCAAGGGGACTTTTGCTGCTGCGTTCACCACGAAGAACAGGGTCGCGGGGCTGCTTGCCGAGCAATTCATTGTCCACGCTGGCAATGCCTCTCGACAGCTTGGTGACAACTATGGGGTCCGCCAAATGCGTGAATTCCAGAACTACCCTGTTAATATGCCTTACAACGGGCAGATCTGGGACCCAGATTATAACTTTGAGGACACGCTGAGCTACCACATGTTCCTTGTGACGGAGCAGGATCGTCCAGCCGCCCAGATGGCCCAATTTCAGGGTCTTTCGCCTACGGTTCTGAGCGTCCACCGCGGCGACCTGGGCATGGTCGCTGAAGCCAATGCGCGGCAAAAGCAGGCCAAGAAGATGAGCAAGGGTGGGAACAAGAAGAAGGGCAAGAATGCCTCTCCCGTCACTGACAAATACGACGGCAATTCGTCGTTCGACATCGAGGTTCGTAGGCGGATACAGCGGGCCAAGGAGGTGTTGAACCGGAGGGCTCAGGAACCCAAGACTCGTGTGCCTAAGGAGACTGATCACGGTCTTGCAGATATCGACGGAGAAGAGGAAGAGGAGGAGGTCGCCGCTACCCAATACGATCGACAACCCTGGGACCTGCCCGACGACGCGAGCGACATTGAGGAAGGGCACACTTTCCGACAAGGTACCCGCCGCAGCGGGCGCAACAAGGGCAAGCAGCCAGTCTACAGCGACGAGCCTGATATCGGTCCAGCTTATAAGCCCCAGCCTCAGCGGCCGCTCAAACGCAACTTCCAGGAGTACGAGCAATCGCAGAAGAACCACGACCAGTACGTCTACGGCCAGGACCAGCAGTATCTGCAGAACAGCTACGCGCAGAATGGGTTCGCGCAAGGCTACATGGACGGGCCTGCACCGAAGCGCAAGCGGTCCTCGATCGCCCCGCCCCAAGGCTACGCTCGCGCTCATTCGTATCGGCCTAATCTACTCCAGCCCCCTCAGCAGTGGCAAGAGAACGACTACGACTACGAGCTGGACGAGGCCGACCTCTTCGGCGACCTCAACCTCCCCGCCTCACCCAAGCGCAAGCGCCCTTTCACATCCTCCCGCCCCGACGAGCAACAGCAGCACAGCGCGCAGTACCGCACCAAGCGCTTTTCCGACCTCGTCGGCTCCGCGCCCTCGCCCTCGTCCAGCATCATGCGGCACCCGGGCTCGCGCACGCCCTCGGGCAGCAAGCGCAACGCCTCCTTCAACAACCAGCCCGTGAGCCAGCAGAAGACGTTCCACTCCGACGCGCCGCCGCATGAAATGCCGCGCATGGTCAAGGAGCTCGAGCTCGACATTAACACCACGTCGCCGCGGGGCGCGAAGCCGGACGTTTCCTCTGGGCGCACGCTGCGCTCGGGGCGGTCGCTGAGCGGACTGAGCAGTATTAGCCCTGAATCAGTTAGAGCGATGAGGCGGTCTTGTGGCGGTTGAGGCCAGGCATTGGGGACAAAGACTGATACATAGTGGCTGTTGTGCGGCTTTGAGGTCTGTCATTGTATGGTCTTGTGCCTTCGCCGCTCAGACCGCTCCATCAGATTCTTTATAAGTACTTGTTTAGTTAGTCCGATCTGCATGTGTCAAGCTGGTCTCAATCATCGGCACGTAACATATCGTCCTCCCCTGTGTGAAGGAAAACCCTCTGTGCCAACATCGAAAAACCTCAACCCTAACTTATTACTTATATCTACCTATAGTTGGTCTAAGTTTTTACACCTATAGCACTAATATGGAACTAATACTACTTCTCTTTAGTGCTTTCTAAGTGTTGTACTAATATTAATATAAAATAATAATTAAAACCCATTTCACGCCGTTCAGTTCGCTGGGATATATAGGTTAAACGTTTCTCCATAAAGAGAGGCGTGATGGCTTCTTAGCGCAGGGTCATGATCAAGCATACTCAGTATTTTATTTTGAGGACCGTTCCGACGTCTTGGAGCGCTGTCATTTCAAGCCTTCGTCGCGCTTGTCGCGAGATGGTGGGCCGGATGAGGGACCGAGGTCCTCTGCCGACATGACGGCAATAGTACAGGGGCTACAAGGAAATCATGCCTTTGCAATGTGAAACCAAATCTAATGAGAGTACGATACAATGAGCTTCGGCGGGGTCGTGGTTGGAGCTCCGCAGGCGCGCTAGGATCCGTCCGATACGAGTACGGTACGGACTCAGCCCCGCACAGACATCCTGTTCAAACTCAGCCTGCTCAGCTGTCAAGCCAAACACAACCCCAACTCATTGAGCGTATCGTCGCCTTTGGTCTCTCAAATTTCGGCTTCTAGCACTCGGGCTTGAGTACGTTTTATTTCTCCCACCTTAGCGACAGGGTTGGGGTTTCCTTTGCGCTCATTCAACCGCTCGGAATCGCGGAGCCTCAAAGCATATCAGTCCCCTCGATTCGCGACCGATGCATCGCCCTTCGCAAGCTCTCCACTAGAAAGGGCGTGTAAGTGGTGTCATCGAGATTCGGTGTGCGCTTAGAAAGTTTTTCGAGACTAGTACAGTGACTGCACCGTCAGAGCATCATTCAGAACAACTCTGGTCAACATGGCATCGGGTGAAGACGATTATTCTCAGCATCCGGAATGGCGGGTAGTAGGTACTTTGAGTTTCTCGTCACGGAGACCTCATGCTGCACAATTAGGCAGCTTCGAACTTCCACCACCTCCGCCCGTGCACAAATACCCTACTATATCACAGTCGTCACAAGTCCCAACGACCATCGCGAGTGTTGGCAACCTTCTAACGCCACCGAGCTCTCTCTCTGTTCACTCGGCTGGCGCAACAGCGAGCGAATCCTCTGAACCGACCCAACAGCTTCATCCTTTCATTCCCTCGTACTGGACCGGACCTGCGCCCACCGAACAACGAAGTGGAGGCACGACTAGTGCAGAGGACTTCGGCAGTATGGGATCGCGTGGTACTGAGAGACCGCATCTTGTCTCGTATACAAACTCCCAACATCCAATTTATTTACCAGGTTATGAACTAGGTCATGCTCCAGTCTACTCGAATGTCACCAACTCAAACGGCCAGCATGTCGTAGTTGGACTGCCTCCTCCTCACAATCCAGGGCACCATTTCAGTGCAAATCTTGACCATTCATCTTCAAATTACGACAGGCCATTTAGATGTGATCAGTGCCCGCGATCCTTTGACCGTAATGTCGATTTTAAGCGACATAAGAGGATACATCTGGCAGTGAAGCCATATCCATGTACCCACTGTGATAAAAGCTTTTCTCGCCAAGACGCTTTGAAAGTGTGTTACCCTATTGCTTTAAGATTAAACATCAACTGATATTACGAAGCGCCATATACTTGTGAAGGGTTGTGGCAAGGTTCCTGCCAATCCAGACGACGTAAAGCGCGAACATGATTCTTTAAAAGCAATCGAAGATGAACTTACCTCACCTGTACTGGATGAGCCAGCGCTGGCAGATCCAACATCACCACAGTCGGAAGCACATACGCCGGCAAAGAAGACCATAGTCTCGGGTGACACCAAGGCTTTGGGTCGGATTGATGACGACGACCCATACACGTCGTCACAAGAGCCTACAATCTCTAATATCGTAAAAGTCCTAGAACGCATCATTGATGCTGCCGACAAAGCGTCGGTAAAAGATGTTGGGGAATACGTTGAAGCTTGGACCGGTTTTGATCTGTGTGGCACCGAGCTTCTTCGTCGATTGTGTTCACCTGCCAGCTTTCCATCAACAGCATCCCGCACGAAAGCAGTCACCGACTATGTCCATGCTGTTCTGGTCACTGCACAATGGAGAGACTATGTGCGATCTCGCAAACGTGCATTTACATCAAGCTATCCTAAAGAAAGCACACGCTCAAGTGGAACTGTCGACATATTTGGCACACCTGCGGCATCTGCACAAAGTAATTCAAGTCAGACACCACCGCATAATAAAGAACTCCGTTTTACAGGTTTTCCCAACAGCCTGGACAGACTCTGGTTCTCCGAGGTTGTCGATCGTACCGTGGATGCCTTCTTGTACCGTTGGAATAGGGAGCATGAACAATGGGTTCAGTATCGATGGGATGCAGCATGTGCCATCTATTACTGTAGGATCCATCTTGATGGTAAGCGCGCAAGTCCTGTACCAAAACTTTCTCTGACTTGTTTAGATCAACGATGGAAATATCTCGATTGGAGTGGTGTTGAATTGAATACCGTCATCGCGAAGATTCTTGCTTCATCACAAGCCGACGCCGCTGGCGTTGCTGTGCTCCATGGAATCTTCTTAAATGACGACTCTATGGTTACAGAAGAGAGAAGACGACTTCAGAATCGGATTGCACAGCGAAATTACCGCAGAAAATTGAGAGCCAGGCTTTTCGAACTCGAGGCAAGGGCAAAGGCCACTCCACAGACTGGTCTTGATTCAGTGGAAGGCGGTCCTTCTACTGGATTCACAGAGCAAATCGATCCAGAGGTTATGGTGTATCAAGATGCTGACGAACCGGTGAATATGAGCTGCATATGTGAGAGCTCTTCGGATCAGCGATTCATAATTGCTTGTCTCAAATGTGGCACATGGCAACATATTGCTTGCTATTACGAATCTGCAAAGGACTACATGGATGAACATAGATGTGTTCAGTGCGTACCAAGGCTGGTGGAGCCAAAGGTGCCCTCATCGAAACGGCCGGCCAACGTGGCTTTCTCGGTGCACTCAAGCAGCACTGAATACAGATCTAAACGTCACGCGCGTACTCTAGACGCCGAAAGCTCTATTGCGCGTTATGAGAGGGAGGGAAGTGAAACTGCATACACAGATCCAACGACCTACAACGATAATGAATGGCGGGCCGTGCGTTCTACAGCAAGCAAAGAAGCTGTGGCAGTCGTAGCTGAGGCCACGAATGATTTCAATGCCCGGGAGATGGAAAGAGTGAAGGAGATAAATGGTAAAGATGGCAACCGTAATTTCATTATGGAATGCCCATATTCGGCGGCTGCGATTGATCTAGGTCTCCAAAGCACATGCTTTGATCTACAAGCTGGAAGCATGTCCCAGATCTGCATCCATTTGCTTCGCCGCCACGGCATAACCACCAAGTTATGTAACGTATGCACAAAAGCCATTCTGGATCCCACAGTATTTGATCGGTATCATGGACGGAATTGTACGGATCCTCGGCCACAGGTAAGACGTATTGTCGGTGTGCGACAGCAATGGAAAGAATTGTATACGTCCTTGAGGCGAACGATTGATGTCACAGCAGTGGAAGCCTTCCAAGACTCGCTTTCGCACGCAGTCAATACTGGCCTCTCAAGCGCTTCGGATGCCGAAAATGCAACCTCACTCTCAAGGACAACCGATACACTCTCAGGAGAGGAAATACGCAATTTAGATCTTAACCACAGCTCTAGAGCAGACTGTGCGAGTACCGAGATAGTTTGTCAATGCTCGTCAAGCATCGGAGCTTCTACGAACTCTGCCGGGCGGCACGCCTTAGTCGGACTTGCGGCAAGGCTACCTTCTGCCTGGGAAGAGGTTCAAGACAAACTCCCCGATTCCTACAAATGGGATATCGAATATGTCACGACCCATAGTGACGGCGGAGCTGCAAGTGGTTGCTGGACATGCATGCCTTTGGAGGATTGTGAGCCTGAACAGATACCTCTGACAATAGCAGAGGCTCCTGTTGTGCTTCCCGTTGATCATCAGTGGCCGCCAATCGGCGGGGTGCATCCTCCACCGGATCCCAGGCCATCAGCACCAATAGATTGTTGGAACGAGTTGCCCATGGATACCATACGGGATCTTTTCCTTACATTCGAAGGCAGCTTAGGTTTCTATGTTCTTATAAGCGGGCTACTACAAATCATTGTCTCCGAAACCTTCGATACCACTTGGGCTTCTTCGCATTTGCCTCACAAGTACGGCGGCCTGAAGGTCTGCTACATCACCAACACGATGGAGCCTACTATGCTGCAATCTAATGTAGCAACCACGCCCCGGACAGGCGTGTCGTCACAAACGCAGACTTCGCGCTTGATGAGCGCATCCAAGCAAGCTCGATCAGCTCAAACGCTTCAACTTAACGACTTCATCGAGGCTCGAGTGTCATCGACATCCCGCGAGAGATTCGCTGGCCGAATTGGTCTGAAGGTCGAGAAAGACGGCCAGCCATTTCTGGTAATGTCGTCGCACGTGATTACCGAGGCAATCCTCAGCAAGTCTTTCTTCGGTCTGAATCGCGATCCGATGAAGCGGCTGCAAGAGGATTGGAACAAACACACCGAGATTTGGGCGGGAAATGCGAAGGTGTGTACATAAACAAGAAGTATGCGAAGTTTCCAGAGCACTTGAACTAACTGATCAGCAGATTGGAACGATCGCGAAGAGTTTTGATCAGGACGCAGAGTATTACCCCACCGGCTTCAACCACGATGTCACTTTGATAAGACCAAATGCGACGGCTTCTTTTGCAGATGTAAAATCTCCAATAGGCGACCTTGGTTGGTTATGCCGAGATGGCTGGTCATCGCTTCGGCAGCAGCCTTCCGCCATCAGGATCCTGGGACCAACAGAAACAGATCGTGCAGCAAAATGCATCAAATGCAACACTAACTCCGAAGCCATCATCGTCGGTGAAGGAATCTTCTTCAATCAGACCTCTTCTGCCGGCGCTAAACCTGCGAGGAACCACGATCTCTCGACGTGGAAAAGATTTGTATCACGAGCTGTGTTATACCGTGTGAACCCTGACTTCAATCCACCAAACGGCTATAGTGGCATCGCACTATATGCGGATGGGACCAGGGAAGATGGCACGCAGGGTCCCGGCATCGTGGGCTTTCAAAGTTTTGTTCAAAAAAGTGACCATCCGCAAAAGTTCAACATGCCAGAGGGTCCGCACCTGGAACGGAGATTGAAAGAAGGCAGAGTAGCATTCTATGGCGCATTTCAGGTGCCTGACGAGCTTCGCAGGGGTTATAATATTCTGTAGCGCAGCAATGGCATGATTTGCGTACATCTCTCTAGAGGAAAGCGATTCTCGTAAACATACTCATCAGATGAAGGACCCTACCACCTGTGCAACCCCCAGCAAGACCTGGACGACCGTCAAAAATACAACGACTGTAGCAAACCTAGGACCTGTCAGCTTGTATTGATCGGCCGTGATATCCAACGTACAAGAATGTCCAAAATTGCATCGTGTCCCGTCGATCGCGAAAAAGCACCCCCAAGCTCCAAGGCCTGGACGTTTGTAGATGTTGCTCAAGCCGCGCAATGCGGGGCCAAAGGGTAGGAAAATCTTCCGGTGTCCAATCACTCATCGATTGGCTTGTCATCAAGGTTTCCAGGGTTGGGTCGAAATCGCTGTTGTGCAGGTTCGATGCAACTTTACTCTTTCGGCGCGGGGTCACCGGGGCGCGCGTCTTCCAGGCAGTGATACATCGCTGTCGGTAGCGATAGGCGGAACATGACCAGCACCAGCACACCTTCCGAAGACCAACCAACGCGCCGAATTTCGCGTGGAACGGCGCATTAGGCCAGGCGTTGAATAATACAGCGTACGACTCTTCGATCTCCTGTGTAAGTTCGACGGGTATGCCAACTGCTGGAGAAGTAATTGCATCGAATGCGCACGGCAATGAGAACAGCTCCAGAACAAAGCGACCACTGATCTTTGTGAGTAGCATGTGCCGAGACACATTGGGGGTCCACAGGATATCAACAGCACTGAGTACGTTCAGGGTGAAAGCGTTAAGCCGCGTTGCCCTGATGGACAGAGACTCCTGGGCGTTGAGCTCTTCCAACAGCGCGTATGGCGATGTTTCTGAGTCGAATGTCAGCTTCTTCAGTGCATACAACTTTCCGCGTATGACGTACGACAAGGCAAAGCTCTCCCAGAGGAAGGGGAAAGCAGAGTTTGCAGAGGACTTCGATTCGATGCATCTGCTGCATTGAACATCAATGCTATCATCCTCATTGTCGCATCATTCTCAACGCTAATCCGATGGTCCCACTGTCCGCCCGGGAGAAGACCACTGCCTGCGATAAGACCAGCGACAGAATTATCGTAAGGCGCAACCACCACAGACGGTGGCGTAGATGTCGTTGAAGATGGCGTTATCGGCGTTGTAGTCTGCGATATCGTTGCATCTGTGAAGATGCTATATGCTGCCACGACTTTGCGAGACCGGTTTTTGTACTGGAAAGAGCTCAACATCATAGTCCACGTCCCAATGATACACATGACCGTATCTTCAACATGCTCTTTTCGCCTTGGGTCCCCCGCGAGAGTATCCGCAAATACATCCCGAAAGCCTGATAAGGCATATTTTTCTGTAAGTGTCCGCACAGTAGGAACTATTGGTGTCCCATTCGCGACAGCACCCGGCCGAAAGTGTTCGATAACTTCGATGAATAGGTCGATGTAGACCTCTATTGTTTCGCTACCCGCGTACTGCTTCTGAATATAGTTGAGATACGGTTCGGCGGTTGAGTTCGTCGGGTAATCGTTGAAACCCAAGGCGTGGGCGAGCCTGACTCGGTCGCCGATGGATGATTTATTGCTACTGAGCGACATGATTAAAGTCAATGTGGCTGTGAGCTCCTCTGAATCTCTTCTAGTCTGCGCACAGTTGGTGTCCGATCAACCCAGATCTGCTGCGCGCGCTCAAGACTCTGTATATCTGTCGCGGCCCTTTATTGTCGGGGTACGCGACAATCAAGATTAGCAGATGGAGTAACGAGAAGATCAAGGGCCATGGCACCGATGTAACTCGAGAGGTCGTCATTTCGTCTAGGCGCACGCGAGGCTGAGGGCGGTGCTTCAGTTTCAGCTGATGAGGCTGAGGCTCCGGCCACTAAGCTTATTGAAGATACGAAGGCGCTACCAGATCTCCAAGCCCAGACATGGCCTTGTCCGACAATCGTAAATAAACAAGCGGTCGGCTTGGACTTCGTGAAGAATACCTAGGTGACGCATTATATAAACGCAGACACCGGAGCTATGCCCTATGCTTGTGTTTTTCCAAGAAAACAAGACGAAGTTGGAAATTGCATCACCAGTAGTATGGACATATTGTACGCGCCTGCATCTTGGCGTGATATGAATTCTTCAGCCTTCCTCACAACCCTTTCCGGGCTCCCGCATCTTCTTCCCCTCGCAAACTAACCACTATGCTCTTGTTCGCAACTATAGGTTTCGTTGCATACCTAGTCTAGCGATGGAGAAAGAGCGTGCGGAGCTCGCAGCGTACGAGCAAACTCAGGAGCTTGGATGTCCAGTAGGAGTTATGGTTGCTGGTCTTGAGTGTGTTCATGAATTGGATTCGTACCCACGGGACAATAATATACGGAGTTTCCTGTTTGCATGAACCTACTTTTCCTTGTTCGTACGAGGTCTTCCTCCATATGATGCAAACCCCTCCTAGCTACCAGCCTTGCTCGGTTGTTTCAAGTACAATGGCAAGTCAACAACGATCTGTGGGCTTTGTCAGACTGCTGCAGCACCATCACAACCTGTTATATCCACGCCAAACACGCAAGTCAGCAGTCTCATACTTTTGTACACAGAGTCTTACATATTCGAGATATCGGATATCAGAATCCTTACCACATCCTCATCGCTCTCTTGCGAGTAAAAACAAATCACCAATCGTCAATCATGTCATTCGTGTCTTCGCTCTCAAAGTCCATAATCTTCCGCGCTGCCTCGCTCCCCGCAACAGGCAGCATCTCCAGCCCCTGCTTCCTCGCCTCCTCCGGCACCTGGTCAGGATCCAACAGCCCGACCTGGAACAGCACGCTCGCCTGGTCCCAGTAAATGCGCTCGCTCCACACCTTGCCGCCTCGCATCCCGACAATGCTGACGACGACAATCTCAACTTTTCTGCCCGTGGGTTTCACGGAAGGGAGCACCCAGGGCATGTCTATGGTGTGCTTGAACTGGACGTAGAGCTCGTCGACGATGCGATCTGCGCCGATGGTGCGGGAGATGAGGCGCAGGTGGAAGATGGGCAGCTTGTCGGCCATGAAGTATTCGTTGTAGAAGCGGAATATTTCTTCGTGGCCCTGGCCGCCTGTCAGAGTGGCTGTGTAGTTCACGGTGGGAGTGGGTTCAGTGGTGTAGGTTTCCATGATCTTCTTGGCGCTTCTTTTGTGATATTTCTCTGCTATCATATTAGATGGTCCGCGCAAGGAAAGTAGAGGCTGACGACATACGATCCTCGTTTTCCTCCCACACGCGCTCGAGGTCGACTTCGGCACCAAACCCTCGTCGCACCATACTGAGACTTCGGCTCCATGCTAGCGCATCAGCCACGGCGTCGTACTCATCGAGGTCGTGCTCCGCGAACCCCGCATCCACGCCTTCGTAGGTGTAGACTGGGTATGGAATTTTGCTTTGCAGGCCGCCGGTCCCTATCCCCGGCGTGATGCGCTTCTGCACTATCTTCCGCCTCCCTTGTATGCCCAAGACTTCGGGCCTCCGCTGGACGCCAACGGTGTCGCCCTCGCCGGTGCCCTGCGCGAGATGGACCAGAACGCGGAAGGACGACGAGAGGCGGTGTCTGGGATCGGGTATAGAGCTCGGGTAGTAGGCGATCAGCGAGCACAGCTTGGACGTGCTAGTCTTGGGCTCCGAGTACACCTCGAGACAGACGGCAGCTGCGTCACCGAAGGCTTCACCATGAGTCGTCAGCCATGGTTCCACGCGATACTAGGGACCAGCACGACGCGGCGCGTGCTCGATGGCGCGCGCAGGCCGAGGTACAGGAAAGGTGCATATACCTACGATCGCATAGCGCTCGCCGATGCTCATGCCGTCGCCCAGGTGGTGCAGCGTGTTGACGTACGTCTTGCCGCCCTTGCCCATGGGCACGTACTTGACGACGAAGCCTTCGTCGCGCCATGCGCGCAGTGTTTCCACGTCGAAGTCGTCGTCCTCGGCGGTCACGAATAGCGTAGGGGTGCTGTGGCTGAAGGACAGCCAGCCTTGGCTAGTCGTGAGGTAGTTGAGCGCCATATACGGTGGTCTGGTGGCGCGCACGGGCGAGCGAGACGAGTGTGGACCTATTGGCGTGCGCGAACACGATTCAAAGGCAGGCCACGGCGATGCGGCTGTGGTGGAGTCGAGGGTGCGGATAGCGCTGCCTGCGCGGCGGACAGGACGGAAGGAGCGATCTAATTGTCGGGGCGGGCGGTTGCATAGCGGGTGTGATATATGCGGGCGCGGCTGGCATCACAAGAGCAGGATTGCGGTGCTGGTACACCACAGAGGGGTGGGTGGTGGGGTTCTGAATCCACTCCACACCGAGAGCCATGACGTAGCCCGCCGCCAGTGGCTTGCACATGTCGCTTCGGGCCTAGCCAACCACTACTCAGCCCATGCACGAGCTTAGTTCACGCACGGGAGACGTTTAAGCGCATGTCCATGGCTGTAGGCACGGTAACGATCAAAGACGATGAAGCTCCGGCTGTGGAGATGCTTGCAGTAGTGTCCCGGGAATTCTCCTAGCCTGTTTGTGTCGGAAACAGCACCCTGTAATCCATCTCAGCCTGACGATGATGTGGTGCACCAGAGGGCGCAGGTCTTCATAAGAAACCGATAGATGGGCTCTCATACTACTTGATCCGAGAACTATGGTTATGGCTGACAGTAGTCCTGCAAGCCGAATATGGTTTATCCCGGACACGATCAATACTCTGCACGCGAACGCTCCGTCGTCCCCGACATGGAGAGGAAGAGAAAGTTCTCAGCACCATTCGACTTCACATTCGTCTTTCGACTATACCTTTGCTTCAAAGATATCGGCCGCCGTATTCCAGACGTTGGGTACAAGTTGAATCACAGTGCCGGGCAAGAGGTCGAGTACACTGCACGCATATGTTACGGGTGACACACTTCTCGACTATTGTCCTGGCCGAATGTTCATCGCCATATACACTGTATAATTTGTAGGGAGCGCGCGGGTGGCTTTGTATAGAGATGCGGGTGGCTTGTAGCAGCTACTGTACCTCGTCGTCCAGTGCATTGCTTCTCGGCCCTTTGAAGCAGCGGGCAGAGGTATACGGAGTGCAACCTTCTTGCTTAGTATTGTGGGCACTTGATCAATCCGAGAGGTAAGAGGTGAGAGGTGAGAGAAAATTGGCTCACCTGATTGGCGTTTCCGCACTGCTCACAAGCTACGTGCAAACGCTCTTCGACGTCGACCGCCACTTTTATCTTCAAAAAAATCCTTTCTCTCAACGATCTCTTTATCCTTAACTCATATATTCCCTGTTGACTCTACGACTTAAAGAATCCAGCAGCTCCATTGTGGCTTGTTCAGATACTACTGCCTACCTTTCACAGCCCCCGAGCGTCGGCGTATTTTCACCCCACCCGCACCAAAAGAACCACGAAATCAGTGCGGGCTACCACGACGACAGCTGACCCAGCCACCTCTTAGTGACTTCCACTCAGTAATACGATCTTTTCCCAAGGAGACAAAACAGTCACCTCCACCGCAACTCTCTGACACAGCAGCTTTTATCAATTCGAGGTCCACTTGCGCGGATTCTACTGCAATCGGCGCAGGAACAGTACAAATACACATCAACTCACCAGCTAAGCGCGTGTCGCAATATGGCCATGCCTTTGGGCGCCCGTGGAGCACAGTGGTTTGCCAACATGACTGAAGCGGCGGTGGGCCAGCCGGTCGACCCATGGCTTCTCTCTGAGTATCGGTCTGCGCCCGTTAATTCGTACTCCAGCCTGCCTCCCGAGCGCTTCGGCACGACTGAAGCCTTTGCCACATACACCGAGAATAATTACGCACAACATCTCCGTGACGGTTTTCCTGCTCGACAGGAGCCGGAGTTGAACTTTGCGATGACGGAACCTGTTCAATTGCACTTACCAACCGGTGAAGAACTGGCGGCCATACATACGGAGTGGGCATTGGTCGATCCCGAATACGAAGATGCTGAGGGAAGCGACGGGGCCGATGCCGAGGGAGTCGAGGATGATGATGTCGAGGAGGTTGAGGATGACAACATTGGGGTTGGCGAGAACCAAAATACTACGGAAGAACCCAACATCGACTCAGGCTTCCAGAAGCAGATGGAAGGCCAGCCGGCGGTGCAGGCTCAGCCGACTCAGCAGCGCCAGCCGACCTCACAACCGCAGCAGGTCCCGCAGCGCCAGCAAAAGATCTCTATCCGCAAATCTGCTTGGAATCGACAAGCAAAACAAGCCGCAGAGACCAAGAAGCGCGATTCAAAGTCACCCACAATCAAGCGGAAGCGACCAGGTACAACGACCATCGACGAGTTGGCGAAGCAGCATGAAGGAGGCACTCCACCTGAGCGGGCGAAGTTCGATGCTGGATACACCGAGCCGAAGACTTTCTCCTCACCCGTGCCGTTGGCCAAGGGACAGAAGCGTTACACTTCGGCCACCGAGGATCTGGAGAAAGAGCACGGCGATCAACGCCCGCACAAGAAGGCGAAGGTTCACAGCGAGAGCGTACCGAAACCCTCACCGGAGAGCAAGCTTCCAAAGCAGAACCAGAACCAGAACCAGAACCAGAAACAGAAACAGAAGCCCCAGCCTGTGAAATCCATCCAGGAGCAGGCGCAGCTCGCTTCTTCTCCACTTCCCGCTTCCAACCCAGTTCCACGGCCGCACCGCTTCAGCGTACAGATCTCTGACCGCACCGTCACGCTATACGAAAGCTTGAAAATCCCAGGCCTCCATGTCCTGCCCGAGCTCGAGAAGAAGGGCGAGGTCACACCCTGGACCGCCAACCACCTGACACTCCTCTACATCCATAGCTACATCCAGGACAACATCCAGCTCTGCGACCTCATCACCGACGTATGGATCCGCGCCTTCCAGGAGCGGAACCGCAGCAAGTCGCTACCGCAGATGTGGATGCCGAACAAGTCGCACGTGGAGCGCGACCTCAAGATTGTCAAAAAGAACAAGCAACACCATATGAAAGAATACCACCGTATCGGCCTGCCCGACGTCCCGAAGTGGCAGCATAAGCTCCCCCTGCCCACGCTGAGCAACAACGTCACAGACTTCGACCCCAAGCTGCTCAACGCGCTGTACCACCACACGGCCGAGGGAAACGGCGCGCGCATGCTCTGGGCGGATGCGCTCGCGCTGTGCGGCACGCGCGCGGAAGACTGGTTTCTTGCGTGCAAAAAGGAGGGCATTGAGGTGCACCCCGATCTCGTCTTCAACGTCATGTGCGCGACGCTCCGCTCCTGCCGTCGCCGCTTGACCCTGAAGATCGAGGAGGTCGAACAGGACAAGTGGTGTCGCCGGTACCACTTGCACTCCAAGTGGGGCTTGGAGTGCCACCGTCCGACCGCCGACGAGGACGACGAGGACGAGCAGTATGCGCGCCTGCAAGCTGCCGTGTCGGCACACGCCGCTAGCAACAGTGGAGATGGCGAGGTTGACGACGATCTGGGTGCGGATATTCTGCAGGAATTCAACAACCAGGTCGAGGAACGCGGTGACAACGACCTCTACCACCCGCGCACCCCTATTCCCAAGGCCGCTACGGTGGAAGTCGTTGGCAGCGACGGTGATGATAGTTCGGAGGAGGACTAGGTTGCTTTGCAGAATCCTGGGCGTTGCTGAGTTTGGTTATCAAGATGCTTGCATTTGGTCACGCTGACTTGAGCGTCGATGATTACGACAGGAGGTCAATAAGGACCGAACTGGATCGCATCTGGTGGACGTTGCAGTCCTCATCTGTCCTGATGCTTCAATATCAGGGAATGCGTCTATTCAGTTCCAAAAGATGTACAATCGAGATGATTGATAGTTGCAGTTGTCCTGAACCGCTCTCGGATTAGATACGAATGCTTAGACTTTGAAACTGCTGTTGTCCCATCGCGCTCTTGGTTGTACAGTGTTAACTCCGAAGCCAGAAACTAGTCTGTTTGACGCATCCACCCGTGTTGATCAAAGTGACTCACAAACAAGAGTCACCATGGCTTGCGACGCACAACCTTCGTGCATACCACCGAGACGATATCCGACGAGATCTCCGAGTGCACATCTTCCATAGTCCGTCCTTGGTCATCCAATCAAAGCCCGCAACGCCACACTTGCGCCACATCGGCATCATCGGCCTGCCGCAACCCCCGACCTCTAACTTCCGCCCTCACACACCACGACGCGCAAGCCTCGCCTGCCTGGCCAGACGCACACTTCGTACAAGCCGCACGCCATGCATACCCCTCTCTCTTGTTCTCGAATCTTCCGGATGCCCTCGTACAACAGGCCCGATTGGAGTTGATTGCCGGGGTGGCGCACGTTGGCGTTTACGTAGCGGTGGCGAGACGGGTAGGCGTACGTATGCGCCGCACGTGAGAGTTGGTGCCTGCGAGTGTGGTCGAGGGTATATAGTTGCTGTGTATCTTGCTGTGACGTCTTTCTTGCACTACAACATCAACTTCCAAGATGCCTTCCGTCCAATACATGAACAGCCCTGCCGCGAATTTCTGGGACTGGATCGCCAGCCTAGAGCAGGATGGCAACAATCATCCTTGGTTTGCGCAGGGGAACCGAAACCGAAGCAACGAGCACGAGGAGAACGATAACAGCGAGGAAGAGCGTGGAGGGCCTCACCCACCGCCCCCGCCGCCGTTTGGGCCTTGGGGATGGGGAGGTTTTGGTGGCAGGGCCTTCCCACATCGTGGCCCGCCACCTCACCACGGCCACCATGACGAACGCGATGAGAAGGACAACAAGAAAGAACATGGCGTGAGCGAGAAGGAGGGCGATAAAGACATGGAGGACGCAAACGACAACGGAGAGGGCCCATCCGGCAGCGGTTCCGAGAGCGAAGGCCACCGCCGTCGCCACGGCCGCTGTGGCTCTCGTCGGGGTCGACATGGCTGCGGAGGACCTCGAGGCTTCGGTGGTCCTGGTTCTCATCCCGGCCCACACCACGGTCCTCATCACGGTCCTCATCACGGTCCTCCGCACCACGGGCCTCCCCATGGCGGCCCAGGACGTCACGGTCACCATGGCCGACGAGGTGGTTGGGGCCCATGGGGCCGTGGCGGCTTTGGCCCAGCCTTCAACCCCTTTGCGTTCGCAAGCTCCTTCCTGGACCCCGAATCCAACACCAAGGACGAAAACACCGACTTCAGCCCCGAAGCTGACATCTTCGATACCCCCTCCGCGTTCGTAGTGCATGTGTCGCTGCCTGGTGCGAAGAAGGAGGATGTCGGTGTGAACTGGGACCACGAGAAGTCGGAGCTTTCGATCGCTGGTGTGATCTACCGTCCTGGCGACGAGGATTTCCTCAAGACGCTGGCGATGGACGAGCGCAAGGTCGGTCCCTTCGAGCGGAAGGTGAGGCTGGGCACGCGGGCCAACCCTGCCGCTATCGACGCGGACGGCATTACTGCCAAGCTGGAGGATGGCGTGTTGAGAGTCGAGGTGCCGAAGATGGGAGACAGCGACTTTGTGCAGGTGCGCAAGGTGGACATAGAGTAGGCTGGACAAAGGTGGTAAAGTAGTTGGACAGAAGGAGGATATATAAGTATTTCAGGCATCGGAGTAGTATTGGATTTACGCAAGGATCTATAATCAAAACAAAAGAATGAAAAGAAAAAAAAAATTGCTTCGAAAACCTCTTGAGACCTGTGAAAGGACAGCGGATGCGTTGTGACTCTACCAGTAGTGTAACCCGATAGAAATCTGATTATTCGTCAGCGTGGCGCCACAAACATTGCTTCATAACGCGAACAATAAAAGTGCCTCAGAGAGAAGATTATAGTCGTCAACACCACCACATCGTCGCCAACCTCACAAACCCCTTGCTCTACATCGGCCGGCTCAGCGACACCGATGCGTACACACGGACAAGACGTATGCACCTCCACCAAGTTACCCAAGGCTCGCAGCTACATGCCGACTAGGCTTACGCCATGGCCATCGGACCGCTGATCTCACGCCTGGTCGTAGGGCTTGGACTCGGAGCGTAGGTGAGTGTGGGGAGGGACGGGGTTGGTTCGGACTAAGGATGAATTTCGCATCATGGGCTTGTTGGGGAGTTGCGATGTAGACGTACCTTAGGGTCGATTAATTGCGTAGACCTGGCGAGCGGACACGAAAAATTGATGGAGCAGCGACTTGATCGAGCCGCGAGAGAGAAGGGGACAAAGTGAGCACGAGCTGCGAAGTTTGGGAAGGGGCATATCGGGGCTAACCCAAAAAACACTAGCGCAGTTGCTATCTTGGGTGGTCCACGTTAACACCAACAGATCGGAAGATTTCATGATTTGGAAGTGTGCCGGTAAGTTGTCGAGCTTTTGGGAAGATCTCTGGTAGATAACCCAGAATAATAAGTCCATGATCGATTCGCATCTGAGACTATCTAATCGACACACTCAATGTCTCGAAGCTGACACTCGGGTCTACTTACCAAAGTTATGCTCGCTCTGCGACGCTGGCGTCTCGAAGATGACTGTTTAGAAAGAGAATTAGCTGGTAGAGATACTCTTGAACCATTTTGGCTACGACCGTTAGCCAGAGCGAGAAATTTCCACCCCACATCCCTCCTCGTGTGGCACCGGCACAGCCTTGGAGCGATGCTATAAGCTAGGGACTGTGAAAAGCTCGAGCAATTCTCATACTAGGCTGGGATAGATGACCCTGACTCTACTTGCAAGGTAGCAGTCGTATCCTGTTATTTAGGTAAGAGAACAGGCGCCGAAGGCTCAGGAATATCGACAACACCTAAACGCTTTTTATGCAATTTGATCGATACGGCTGAGTAGGACTGGTCCTCTCCTAGAATTTACGGTCGATATGCTCCAGACTGGATGTTGGGTTCGAGGGGTCCATCCCTGTCGGTCAGTTGCTCTTCTGTACGGTTGCGTTTCTCGAGTGGTGCTTCGAGAGTCCAGGGGGATGTTAACACCAGGCATTTGACCAGCTGGGAGCGTCGCAGGGCAGATGATCCTACAAGGTTCGACGAAAAGCTTCGGAGATAAACATCGTATTCTGATGTTCCTGCGTAGTTAGCGACACATTTCGGCACATTGTGGTAATCTTTTGTTGCAGGCTGAACCGAATTTTCTTCTGAACCTAGAGTTCAAAGTGGTACAAGGAGTCACTAGAACAAGCAAGAGAGAACATAAATGAGCGAAACGTTAAGTCATTATACCTTAGAGACTTTTCGAGTCATCGTAGCCTTTCCACTGCACATCTACCCATTATACGGTTGCCGAACGCGTAATGTGTGCATCGTGCGGGACCGACCCTTCTCCCTTCATTGCTTCAGGGTAGACTCCCTAAGGTGGACTAGGAACACTGGAGGCTTGCTACCCATATCCCTCCGCTTAACATCTGCAATTCCTGATGCTTCGACGAGCTCCCTGAGCTTCTCATACCCATAATTACATGCATCGAAATCAGGTGATAGCTTCTTCAGATAGTTGCCAACATCTGCTAGGTTCGCCCAGTTGTCACTGTCACTAACGCTCTTGATCGCCATAACCAGGCCCGTGTGGCCTGATTCATCGAGCGGGCGCTTGGTTGGCGATTTCATCTGTATCATAACGGGTGGAGGCCGGGAAGATTGTGGTCCACTGTATGATGGCTCATCTGGAGGGCAGTTGAGGACATCGAAGTACGTGAACTTATCGCAGGCGTTGATGAAGGCGTTATTGGTCGTGCGCTTTCCGAAGCCGTACACGGTCACGCCCTGCTCACGGATGCGCGCTGCAAGGCGCGTGAAGTCACTGTCGCTGGATACAATGCCTTAGATAGTCAGTGTAAGCTCAGACAGGAGTGATGGGGTAAGGTCTGTCTCAAGCCATTCACTGGTAGACACGGCTTACTTACAGAAACCGGAGAACCGGCCAGTGTAGAGAAGGTCCATTGCGTCGATAATCATAGCGCCGTCGGTTGCGTTCTTGCCTGTGGTATACGCGAACTGCTGCATTGGTGTTATGGAGTGATTTAGTAGGCACTCTTTCCAGCCCTTCAAATGAGGGCTCGTCCAGTCGCCGTAGATGCGTCGCACGCTAGCTGTCCCGATATTCGCGATCTCTGCCATCAGGCCAACGATTATCCTTGGAGAAACATTGTCCCCGTCGATCAGCAAGGCTAAGTTTGAATTGGTAGCAATGATCTTCGCAGAAGTAGGAAAGATTGGTTAGTGTTATGGAGGAACAATCAGGAAAAGGCTCCGGGCGATTTAAATGGTGCTACAAGAGGAAATTCTCGCATTCGCTCCGACCTTGAAATGGTGGTGATGTAGTTATGGGATGAGCATTCGCTTTGGGCCCAAACGCAATGTTTACAGTTTGACAGCGATTTGTTGCGTTCCAGCAACAGATTAGTAATAACGTATTTGTTCCCGTTTAGGCTTAGGCGCTCGACTGGGCATAGACGTCACTGCGTTGCACAGAGAAACATGGCGTAGGTCATGATACTATTGATTCAATACGCAATAATGCCGCTTCAGGGAGACTCGTAGACACTAAAAAACACATCATTAAATCAGAGCCCAACCACTGCAATTGGTAGAGCAGGTGTATTCCCTCCAACATATCTTTAGACTTAACCCCAAGCAAGCCATCGCACTACCGGTAGAGCTTAGCTATACTTTTCCCTCGTCGTCTCGTCAATGTATGTCTCGGCCTATCTCAACAGAGATGCGCGTTCTAGAGAACGGCGTGCCTAAAGACTGTTGTAAAGTGCTCGCCTTAATCTTAGTCTTCAAAATTGAAAGGCTCTGCGAACGCCCAGCTGAGGAAGCCTGAAGTGTATTCGCGATGCTTGTCTGATTGCAAAGCGTCAACAGTGAGATGTTGGGGTTGAAATTGTCTATACAGAGCATCTGCAGAGGTATTGATAACCTGGAAACTGCCTTTCTCGCTCCTCTTGGGCCCTTTCGAATGTGTACGATGACTATTCCAGACTTAGATCATCAGAAGCCTGAAACAATACCGATTTTTGCGATATGATCGTCAAAGCAGCCTCACAAGACCTGTCCACTGCGGCGCGTCTGTTCGTGTTGGTATGGCCAGCTCTATTAAGGGTTTTAGATACTACTGCTCAGATCTGCATGTTTCTCGCTCCATAGAAGGGCTGGAGAGCCGAATGCAAGGATATGCTGAACCAAAAGCTAGCCCTCATCAGGGCTCCGGATAGGTGAGTCGCCATCAAAATCAATTATGCTATATATATTCGCGCTGATACGAGACAGCTTCGCCTCACCAACATCCAATATCCACCCAAGAGCCCAGTTTTCACTTCCAACGCCTATATCTTTGACCCTTTAATATTACCTACAGTTGCAGGAGGCCTGCCTTTCTCCATCCCAAAACCGATCAAGTGTAGGTGGATGTGTCTTACTTACACAGCCACCTCCGTAAGTACTGTTTCGACGGGGTCCTTAGGCAGGGATGTGAGTGCACAAGTAAGACCACGCGGTAGCCCTTAGAGACTTTTAGCGATTTACCGTCTGTTGAAGAGTATGAGGATCCTTGGTCACGTCCATTGACCGGAGTCGACGAGGTATTTCATTCAGGCCTGGATGCGCCCGTTATCGATATCGTCGAGGGCGCGAGTCAGAACAATTCACACATATGTACTGTAATTCGAAAATCCACTCGACTACATGAAACCTCCTGTCAAGAAAGGTGGCCTAGTGTAGGTTTGTTACCCAAAATAGCAGGGCGCAAGTTCGATATCGCATTGCTCATGCTAAGGCAGCCCAAGGCACCAAAAGTCCTGACTGAGCAGGTCAATCCAGACTAGCCAAGGTGTTCAAGAAGCGTTTCATGGTGAGTAGAGGACCGTTTCTCCCTCTTTTGGTTTCCAGTCAAGAGATTGTGTCATCCCGGTTCGAGACCGCTCAGAAAAAGAGGTAACCCCATTTCTCGGCAAAAGGTTTCTTGATCTTCCACGCTTTGGGATCCCAAGGAGCTTTGCCTTGAACGATCTCGAAACTCGGCATCAACGCCAGATCCTTCATGAACTCTTCATCGTCAATGACGCCGCTGAGTGATATTAGCGAGTCACGCATCTTTGGAAATGGAAAGCGATCTATCCAGCGCGGGTGTATCGTGATCAGCTGCAGCTCTGTTGGGTGTAGTGATGCTGGAACTTCCGGACCGACCGGCTCGGATTTCGCAGGCACCACTGTGGAACAGGGAATCCTCAAATACATGCCGTTGATGTACAGTGCACCGTAAAAGGACAACGGATATTCAGGTGTAATTGATGAGGATTCGGATGTCGGAAGGGGATTGGTAAGGACATCCGGGATTGGGATGTTTGCAAGGTGACACGGCAGGAAATCCTCAAAACCAGACGATGGTGAAGCAGATGAAGAATATGGGCTCGTGTCCACATCCGGCATCAACGGCACCATATCGAGAGCACCGGCAGCAGTAGCCAGCCAGCAGTCGGCTCCAGGTCGTAGGAGAGCACTGGGTTCATTCGGTTGGCGCTGCGTGACGACCCCTCTCCGCGTTTCACCTTCCACGCTCTTCCGTTTCGCATGAATCTTTGCTTCGCGAAGCCGTTCACCTATGCCCCCGCCAATTAGCTTTCTGTGCCAATCCATTTAGGTTCCCGATATCCGAACGTGCGGGCAGCTGATAACAATCCTGTCCCTGAAGCGATCAGGTTCTGTTAAGATTGAGGGCTGTATATCATGCCCTGAATAGACTATGAAACAACGTCGTCTTCAATCACATCCAGCCACCAGTGAGATCCGCAGGCGACATCAGGGAAACTTACGTCGTGCTCTTTGTGCTAGTCTGTCTTGAATCTTCTTTCTTTGCTTTGCGTCTTGGACGTTTCGCCAATCGTCTTCGCTTGGGTTTGTTCTGCGTGTCATACTATTTTTGCACACTGCCTCGCTCCAGTTATGGTGTCTAGTATCTCGGGGTGGAATTGAAGCAAGAGGTCAGAAAGTGAAGTGCAATATTGCTTACCAATATTGCTCCCAAAAGGAAGTAGCGGGTGAGCGTTAGCGCACGTTGGGTTAGCTCCACAGTGTGACAACCTCCGTGCCCACTCGCTCAAGAACACACCAACACCGCACAAGAAGCGACACCTAAGACTATATCGGTACACCAGCCTATCTGATAGTATCGTGAGATCTGAGAATCCTTCCTCCAATCTCCTCGAAACAGTCTCCGCCCAGTCTTGGCCTACTCTGGGCCTACTCTGGTTCGTTAGACACACACCCAGGCGTTGAAACGGCCAGACAGTTTCTGAACTCTCCAGGATCGCAGCGCCAATGCGATGGAAAGTAAAGTCTGCCAGAGAATTCGCAGCCACGCGAGAGATTTTAAATCCGAGGAACACACCCACTCTTTAAGGTTGTCCAACCATCTACCCGTTCCCGGCATTGGACGACACTGCTGTCATGGTATTGCGAAGTCCCCATCGCCTCATCCAAACTGGGACATCCTTTCTGGGGCCGCGGACAACCTCAAGGATGAGACTGGGGATCATACGCCGCTAGGCCTCAAGCACACCTGAAACACGGCGCTATCATCACGTGACCGCAAATGTTGCACATCTCGAGCCCCTCGCCGCCCCAAACGGGCAGTCAAACGCCCAGACGGTGGAGCTTTCGCAGGGATCATGCCAACACCTGGGCTGGCGTCACCACAGAACATGTAACCGTCGGGGCGCAGCTTTCGAAACTCTCAACGCATAAGGACTTGTGGCGAGACCTTGTGATCTGACAGAACGCGCGAATGGCTATATAGAAGCGGGCTTCTGCGGATCATGCGTTTGGTGCTCTGTCGACAAGAACATCGCCTCCTCAAGACCTACGCACCTCACGCCGCCTATACATTCGTTACCCTGGGACAATATCTGACTCTGACAATGCGGTCCCTCTTCGTCGCCGTCGCAGCCGTCGCAGCCGTGTGCGCTTCATGTACGCCAGCATCACCAATGGCGGGTGCAATGACAAAGCCAATGCCGGCGCCTGCACCTCCCGCCGCGCCTGCCGGTCCTACCGTTGGCCAGGAAGCAGCAGTTACCGTGTCGAGCGTGGGATCATGTCCAGTACGTCTCCCAGTACTCTTTACGCATGATAGAGGACAGTTATGCTAATACGCATGCAGCAAGACTGCTGGAACGAAGGCGCAGTACAGGCCGGTTGCGACCCGAATGCAGATGATAGCTGCTTGTGTGGCCCCTTCTTCGACGCCGTCACTACGTGCGTGTCGCAGACATGCAGCATAGGCGATAGTCTACGTGAGTATCTGTCTACACCCACAAAGGATCCTACTGACTTTCTTTGCAGAGGTTCTCAACACTCTGGAACCGCTATGCTAGTTGCACCTCGTAGTGAATTGGAATGAGAGACGAACGACAGTACAGATGATGACCAGAGAGGTCAGAGAACGGCCTTGCGATTAGATACCCTAGATGACCGATTGGAATGCATTTCTCCCTTGTTGGCCAAGTCAGCGAAGCTTTTCGTTCTCGAGTGATCTGTGCGACGCAGATGTCAAGCATAGCCTTCCTGATGATCGAGTTGTGGTCCCAAGGCTTTGGGATGGAACCGGATTGAAGAAGGCTTGCTCAGAGCCATCGAGAGGCAATGCTGCTCACAATTGCCAGACTCTTGAGTACATGGGAACATCTGACGTACGCCATTGCGCCACCAATCTAAAGACTCGGAGCAGTTCACGTCACCCCAGGCCATGCGAGCCATCGCCCAACGTACGGATACTTCCATGCTGAAGAAGAATCAGGGAAACGGAAAGATCGACCAAGGCGAGATCGTGAAGCGTAAGCTGGATGTCATTCTGTTCAACGCCGACAACAAGAGAAGCATAATTTTCTACCAATCTACAACCCATTCTATTCCCATCGGCCCCAGCCCCGCCTAACAACTCGGTCCGTTTTTCGATTCGGCCTGCAGCGCTTCATAGTTCTTCTTCTCGTGGTCCATGATGGCCTGCACCTTCTTCGCACTGGCACTTGTGGTATCAAACCTATATCCAACCCACTCCTTGACCAGTCGCCGCGCAAGCTCGATCCCAATCACGCGCTCCCCCATGCACAGCACCTGCGCGTCGTTTGACAAGATGGCGCGCTCGACGCTGAAACTATCGTGCGCGGTGACGGCGCGGATGCCGGGCACTTTGTTCGCGGAGATGGCGACACCGAGGCCGGTGCCGCAGATGAGGATGGCGCGGTCGGCTTTGCCCTGCGCGACGAGCTGCGCGGCATCGACGGCGATGTGGGGGTACGCCGTCTTATCCGTGTTCTCGGGGACGCCGACGTCGGTGACGGAGGCGATGCGCTTGTCCGCCTCGAGGTCCTTGATGATGGCTTTCTTGTACGAGACACCCGCGTCGTCGCAGCCGATGGCGATGCGGAGGGGCTGCTGGTCTGCCATTTCGCGGATGTGCAAAGGGACGGGTAGATGCGGGTCGGCGAGATGGGAAAAATCACAGCTCGCTCGTGTCGTACGTGTCTTCTATCTTGCCGGCGGGCCTCTTGACTTTAACCGTCTTTGTACCGGTGCCCTTCTCCGATTTATGGATCTCGGTGTGCACTTCGCCTTCTACGCTGTGCACTTTCTTCCCAGTGCCGTCGATGACGCCTTCGACCGTGCGATTGATCACCTGCTCAAACGGCTTCGTGATGATAGACAGATCCGTGTGTCCAACAGTAGGCCCGGAGCTCTCGAGGACCTTGACCTTGTCCTTGCCTTCCTTGTTATGATCTTCGACGCGTTGGTAAATGTGGTCTGCGTTGGAGTCGAGGTTGAGTGAGAAGAGGGCGCGTTTGGGAGCCATTGTTGGGGGGGCCTCTGTGTATTATATGAGGTCAGGATGAATGGCAAACCTGTGGTGGGGCAGTCGTTGCGCGAGCACTTCCAAAGTGCGGAGGGATGGCTAGATCAGGGAAGCCGGCCCGCACCCCGCATCCCTCTGCCTCGTCACGTGGAGTATCGACTGGTTCTCGACGCGAAGCACCTCGCCTCGAGGCATGTGGATTCTAGTGTACGCTTGGTACAACGCTCAAAGACTGATCATGCACAACAAACATATAGTACATAGAACCTGTTCCCAGACCGGCCTCTTTGGGTACATCCATATATCGTTATACCTAACCAGGTGTAAACGAACAAACCCCCGCTCTGTTGCATCGAAAAACGCCCTGCTAATAGCTAACCGCGGAATCGAACCTAGATCATATGCTCGATATGCTCGAGACAGAGCAGATAGCTGCCAATGCGAAAAATGTACCTGGTATATTACTGCAAGCCTGCGTGGTATAGTGCGTTCTGGAACGTCTCTGCGCCCTCGCCATTGCCGTTGAAGCCAAAGAAGTTGAACCTTTAACGCACGAAAGTCAGCACTGCGTCGATGTTACTGTATAGGGAAAGTGGGTCGTTGATAGCTGTAGAAGTCGGAATAGGCGTTGCTGTCGGAAGAATTCTGAAGGAAGACATACCAGTCTTCCACGTTCAACGTTGTGGGCACAATGGGGTTCTGTCGTCCATTGCTGCTATTGCTCCAGTTATCGTCGGCTGAAGCATTTTGCTGATTCTGCTGCATAATGTCCATCTGCTGATGCCATGCTTGGGGGTTGTTATGGTCAAAGCCTGGCATCGACGCGCCCCCTTGCATTGGCTGCTGGGATGGCATGGATTGCTGGCTCGGGTCGTTGCTCGCCGGATGCATCGCCATCGTCTGTGGTCGCGACAATGCAGGGTCGACAAGACTATGATTTTGCGATGGCGACTGCTGCTGGATGCTGAGGTTCGACTCTGCAGGAAAGAGCTGATCAGGTTGGAAGTTCTGCCACAGCTCCTGGGAAATATTGGGAGATTGGCGTGTAACCAAGAAAAAATCTGGAGGAGTGCCAGGGTATGAGTACGACGGATTGAATGGCGTTGTAGGTCGTGTTCCAGATCGCGATGGACCCATGAAGGCATCATTGTTCTGGCGTGACATCTGTGGTGACCCATGTGTGATTTGTGGCATTTGTGGCACTTGCGGCAGATCTCGAGAAGGTGTTACAGCAGGTGTCTGTGGCCTCGAACGCTCATAGGACACCTGCGGGGCTGGAGGGCCATTGACTTGTGGGAAGCCTCCGAAGTCCATATCGTCAAACTTCCGCTTCTGCGCGGCTTCCTGTGCGGGCTTTGGAGGTGGCTGAGGCATTGAGGGTTTATTCTTCTGATGTCGCTTGCCGGCAGCTTTCTGCAAGCGCTCCTCCAGATGCTTGTTGCCCAGGATGGATTCGAACAGAGTATGCACCATCTTCGCCACAAGCCACACCTTCGAAACCTCCTTCAGCGCGTCCATGCATATTTGCAGCCGTTGCTCCGTAGCTGATACGATCGACTTGTTCGAGGAGCGCATTTGATAGACGTGCATGATCAAGGCGGAGAATAAGCTGTATACTATGAATGCGGGGGTGTACCGGATTTCGTCGTGCGCGCGAAGGTTTTCAACGATGGAGGTGATCATGGCAGCTGCTTGATAGGCGATTGTTCGAGAAGGATATGCGTGTTCGTCGAATCCGTTGGTATTGTTCGCTTTCGGGGAGCCAGCCGGTGGCATATGGGCTCGATGTAACAGGCAGAGCGTGGTGCTGTTGAATGTCAGTCTCGAAATATGAGCAAGAAGCGGTCTACATACTAGTAGTTCGAGTGCAGCAACGCCGCCCAGAAATGGTGCCGTGATTTGTCCCATTGCACATCAGGGGGACAATTCTGCAGCCAGTCCGCGAGAGCCATATCGCTGTGGGTCAGATCGAGAGCGTTTCGTCTGAACTTGGAAGCGACGGAGTATTGCTGTGAGAGGACCAGGCCCATGATCTCGCAGAGCTTTACGTAGTTGATGAAGAAGTGAACGTGTACAGGATCGGGCGGATACTCTGCGGGTCGGTCTGGCTCGTCCTCGATGAAGTCGTCCTCGGTAATCATCTCAACGTCCGAGTCTTCGGGATTGATGGCAACAGGGCGTCCAAGCGCCACGGCTACTGAGCGGTCCCGCGAGAAGAGCGACCACCATATGCGTTTCCAGAGCCGCTTGTCGGACTTGCTGAGCTGCGAGCCTTCAACGCTCCGATGCATACCCGAGCCCTGGGCTATAACGATGCCAACTCTGCTCCAGTAGAATACATTCTTGGTGACATCCTCGGGCCCTTCCCAGTACCAGCCCATCAAAATGGTAGACTGCACTATGGTCACTCTATCATCTTCGTAGTTGGCATCGAAAAGAGCCTTTGCGCGTTTGTAGAAGGTCATGGCTGCGGGCGTGGTCGAGCCATTCGCGTCCATGAGCTGGGGATTGGTGCAGACACGCGACCCCGCCAGCAGGATAGCTTGTAGCAGCAGCAAAGAGGGCGGATTCTTTGGGTCCCTGTATTGTCGCATGAACCTGCTCCTGTTTATGACTGGCACCACAGGAGCAACCCATTTGAAGAAGGCATCGACCAATTCGTCGCACAGCGCTCGCGGGGGAAGCAGGAACGCACCCCGTTGGTGGAGTATCTCGATTTCCATGTTGTCCAGCTCGTTCACGCGGGCCTTGGCTCCGCGCACATTCTCGGGCAGCGGGTAGTGCACCGTGTCGGTGGTCCCATAGCGGTCGTGGACCAGCAGGGAGAGGTTGGAGGACTCGCCCAAGTATGCGACGCGGCCGGCGTCTTTGATGGGCGCGCGCGCGAACTTGGGCTTCATGAACTGCACGTAGGTGCCATTGTGGGCGGCCTGCTGGGCGGCATAGGCCGGGGAGACGGTGGTGGAGGGGGTGCCGTCGGGCGAGTTGTACACGGTGGTCTTGTCGCGCTGCTGCTCGCCAGGCGTGGCGCTGCTCGGTGCGGGGGAGCGGTCGTCCTCGCCGAATTCACTGCGCGCGTGTTAGGTGGCTCCTTGCTGGCCGCACGGGGCCCTACCTCTGCGAATCCTGCGTCTTCACCGCGGCCGTCTTCTTGCGCTTGGGCGTGGGGATGCGGCACTCGATGGAAAAGGCGGTGCAGTTGGTGCAGGGCACCCCGAGGCTGGCGGCGTCGCAGCGCACCTGCAGACGTCAGCTCACATTGGGCCAGGCGGGCGTGCTGGTCGGCCGCTTCTGCGATTACTCACTTTCCGGGCATGGCAGGCTGCGTGTTGTTAGCACTCTTGATTATGGCGATGCTGCTCGGTGCCTCGGCACCTCGCTGGCCTCGGCTCGCCTGCTCGCTCGCTCGTTCGCGCAGGAACAGCGACGCGCCTGGAGCAGCCGTGGCCCAGCGGCGCGGATGCGGTAAGAGGTATGGGACTTACTCTCGCAGGCCCTGCTTGCGCGCTGTCGCCGGAAGGACGGGTGGCCCGGCGTCTGCGAGTGCGGTTGCGCGTTTGTGTTCCTGCTGCTGGTGAGCACCGCTCCGTCTGCCGTGGATGCGCCCGCACTGGCGGGGACGTACGGAGGGAGGCCTGGCTGCGCGGCCAGCGCTGGCGGCGGCGGGGCGGGCGCCGACGTCGCCATGAAGCTGTGCTCCGACGACATGCTTCCGGGAGTCTCTGGCGGGTTCGTGGTGGGTTCGGCGGTGCGCTGGCTGTGGCTGTCTGCACCTGGCCCACCGCGAGAATGGACGCCAAGGCAGCGGCCACTAGCTGCTCCCCAGAACTCAGAGCTCGTCTGACCAGGCACCGCGAAGCCTGCACCCGCTGCCTCCTCTTTGTCCAGCCGGTAGAAGTCTGCAAACATGCCCGCGACCGCCGTTGTCATCGTCATCGTGGAGATGCTCATTGTCCGCAACTGTCCATGCCTCAGCGGCCCTCGCTCATGCCCCGTGGGTGCTGTGCTCGACTGCTTCTCTTGGAGTCTCTCCCGAAGTGATTAGCAGATACGAGGTCGATCTCAGGAAGACTGCGCTGCGAATAGCCCAATCTGGCGCCTTCTTCATGCTCGCATCACATCTACTATATAGTCCACACGCAGACTGGCCGCTGAAAGAGGGCCATTCTACCCAAGATGCGACTGTGGCATGCCATTTCTGCGCCTCAAGCAGTGCATGGTTTCTCCGCGAAGACCACCCTCCGGTGATTGGTGGACAGCCACGTCACCATCGCACTGAGGTTTCACTTGTTTCCCTCCATCATGCCTTCATGAGGCGCAGCCCCCACTACCTAATTCTGAACACCGCTACGAACCCGCAATTTCCACACTGTAGTATTCCATTTCGTACGGACATTTCCTTTGCTAAGGCTGAGTGCATGCTCTGGTGCGGAAAGTTCCAAAGGTCTCATGTAGGGGTAAGGGGTGCCTCGACGTCGATGATAATTTGCAGTTCATTTTTAGATGTTTCACCGACACCCAAACGCGTCTCTCGCGCCTTTTCAAGACGCTTGGGTCTCCGACCGCTAGCACGCCGATGCCAGTCTTAGTCCTCCGTATCTTCCTCGTATCCCTAATTAGGACGACTAGTCTACAAATCCGTGTTCAGTCAGCGCGCACCGTATCCCACTGTGGGCAAGCACGGGCTCCGAGCGCTTTCGACTGCATCATTGCTTGTTGCCTTGAGAGTCGTTACGAGGCCTGCGCGATTTTGATTTTTTTTTTTTCTTCCTCTCGCGATGGTCCAAGGTTGGCGCCTAGAGCGAGGTTCCCTCCCGTCGGCGCTTGAAAGCCTCGAGTTTGACCCGCTTGTTGTCGGGGCTGATATACTTGAGGTGCACATCTCCAACCGTCTCGTTCTCGACCTGATTTTCGGTTGCAAAGAGATAGTCATCATGCTCCTTGGGGTCCAAAACGATTTCCAGTTGTTTGACCTGACAGAAGTGAGTATACGAATCGATACTTTACATGCACCCAGCTAACGTACCTCCACCTCAAAGATGAGCTTCATCCAACTCTCGATTCTTCCTTGGGTCCTGGGAATGTCGAACGTCAAGTGAGTCGTTTGACGAACAATTCTGGTCGCTTCAAGTCCAGTTTCCTCCTTTAATTCACGCACCGCTGCATGTAGTAGCGATTTATCAGGTTCATCGACTTTCCCACCGGGGATTTCCTACAAATTGTCAATGGATGTCCAGGCAAAAGTGCTTTGTAACATGCGTGTACCCCAGATGCCAGATGCCAAGAGGCATTCCTGGGGTACCTGATGAAGGAGAACAACGTACCCAAAAATCCGGAAAAGCTGTCTCCGACGAAGCTCGCTTGACGAGTAGCAATTCTCCTTTCTCGTTGAACACTACAATCCCAGTGCATACCGCGTTGAAGTCGGGATTCTGTTCGAGGTACTCTTTCTCGGTGACTTTGTATTTCTGCAGCGATTGGTCATAATCGAAAGACGCAACAGCAGCGGGCGCGGCCATGATGCTCTCGTTAGAGGGAGCTAGAGCTAGAGCACTTGTCTCCATGTTAGACGTAGGTCGGACGCTTCTTCTAGTTGGCTGGTGCCTGTTGCTGAGCGGTCAACAATCACACAAGTGCGGTTGCCTTGTACTATAGATGGCGCAAGGCGGAATTGTTTTCTTTGCGCACGGCTGCCAAGAGGCGATGAGTCTGCCACCCGCGGGCAAATGATCTTGTATTCACGCGCACTTACCATCCACTAACCGGTCAACTTTTACCCAAAGCGGATGTCACCATGCGACAACTTCAACTTCATTCGAGCAGGAGTGGCCATTCGGCCCGACAACGACACTCGACCTCGAAGAATGATCTGTGCAAACTGACAGCACTTTTTGCTGCTCGGTTCGATTAATACCGTCAACAAGACCAAGGCTTGACTTTGTGGTGGTGACTGCAAGATGATCGTGGTATGATAAGGAAGATATTTCTCCGCAAAGTAGTGGGTTTCGTCCGCCTCCACGTTCAGGGTCCAGCGAGTGCCGGCGCTTTTGCTGCGGCCAGCTAGCCTCTGCGAGGCTAGATCAGGCTACCATCTCAACACCGACACATGGTCAGAAAGAGGTGTTCTGGGTCCATCAATCGGTCAAACACTGGAGAGTCCGTGAACGAACCTTGGACAGCCCTCGCGCACTCAAGCACGAGCGGCATACGCATCGCACGGCGCCGCCTCACATTCACCTTTTCGAAAAAGCATTGAGCCTGCATGGATTAAATTTGATAGAAGTGGGGACACATACGCTTCCAGAAATGTTGACAAGATGCCGACATTCTCGATTTCAGAGATGGTGGACAGCCTCCGCAATCGCGCGCCTAATTCACCGCCTTCAAAGTGCACATCAACGGCTTCTTCTCCCAGATAATATAGCAATTCTGGTCTCCCCAGTTCCTGCTCTCCTCGCAAAGCTCCAGGTCGAATGTGTAGAGGACCCTCGTCATGATTAGACGCATCTCATGGTACGCCATGCTACGGATAGTCAGCACGCCGCCAATTATCATCGAGGGTCTTGAGACTTACTTCTTGCCGATGCAGTCTCGCGGCCCAACATGGAAGGGCTGCACAGCATGGCGCTTGTCACTTTCGAAGCGCGGGTCCCCAAGCCAGCGCTCTGGGACGAAGGAGAGCGGGTCTTTGAAGTTGCTGGCTGATGTGGACATTGCTAGATGTGGTGCGCTCACCATGTACTGCCATCTAACTGTTAGCTCATCACATGACTGATGTAGAGTGGGAAATGATTACGCCTGGTGGAATGTAGTGTCCGCAGATAGTGGAACCCTGGGGCGCCGACACTCGAGGCCTCCCCATAGCCACAGGTGGGTACAATCGCAGCGCTTCCTTGATACAAGCATTCAAGTACGGCAGTGTAGCGCACTTCTCAATGGTCATCTCCTCTGGTCCTGAGAAAGCTTTTCGTATCTCCGTAGAAAGTTCTCGCATGGTGCGTGGATGATCCAGCAGCAATGCCGTTAGACCCGATACCAGTGTCGCCGTAGTCTCAGTCCCCGCGAGCATGAAGAGGCCCGCATTGTTGTCCATCTCCGCTCGTGAAAGCCCTTTCTCTGCCGACTTGCTCAAGACCAGGTCCCAGATGTCTACGCCCTCGTGCTCGCGGCCCTTCTCGAGCCTTTTGGCCACACGTTCCTCGGCGAAGCTGTGGTGTTCGTATTGCTTCTTCACCATGACAGATTGAGGGATGAGTGATTTGAACGTCTTCTCCACAAGCGGATAGTCGGCTAGAACGCTGAGCCGGGTCCCTGCTTTGATGCCCCTGAAGATAGCGGTGACCCACGGGTCGTACTTCGCTTTGGACAGCATTTGCAGAGGCTCGCCGAAGGTCAAGTCGCCCATGATGTCGAATGTAGTAAAGTTGTACATTTTGACCATGTCGAACTTGCGGTCCGGATCCTCCTCTATGCCTTCGCGTAGTTTTTCCGCGAGGAGGTTGATGTACTTCAGGAAGAGGGGTTCCTGTTGCTTGAGCGCGCGGTCGGAGAAAGCAGGATTGAACAAGCGGCGCATGCGGGTGTGATCGGCGTCTGGTGCAATAATGAGGGAAGTAGCTCCGTTGATGTATTTTCCATGACGGCTCCAGGGTTTGTGTGGGCCCGATACACCCTTGCTCCCATGGCCGTATATGTCTTTCCATGCGTCGGGATCGATGAAACTGACCTCTTCTGGAGAGATGCGGACCACGGTGCCGTACTGTTGGTGAAGACGAGCCACGCGTCTGTGCTGTTCGCCATTCCATGTAGCGAGCACGGCAGGTATGTGGCTCACTGCGTGGAACTTGGGACCGGGGAACTTGCTCAGAGGGTGGAGATAAAGTCGATAGATGGTCCGAAAGACGAAATAGCCGATCAACTAGTATAGTTAGCAGCAGAGAGATTAAGATTTCGTTCGCAACTCACAGTAGCAAGCGTCAAGGTAATCAATACTCCCCCCGAAGCATTGCGGAAGAGTTTGAATAACAAGGTAGATGTGTCGTCTAGAGTGGAAGACATCATTTAGTGGTGACAAATGCCGTAGAGTCTGGGGGACGATATGAAATGAGCGCTTGACACGCGCGGTTTTATAACATAGGTATGCACTGCTCGCCTGGCGAGTCGGAGCCGGAATTGTTCGCTGCGGCTAGGTGAGTTACGCAGTCCCGAAAGGCCGGTCATCCAAGTTAAAGACAAGGTCTGTTCTGCGGCAGGATCATTGTGACCCTTGGATATATAACCTTGGATTACGAAGTCCCTGTCAGAATATCGCAAAAGTGGGACTAGCGGTTTCGTACGTCATTTTATATACAATGTAGTCTTATTGAAAGGTTGTGCACCATTTCTTCACACTGCAAGTTACACGGCACATTAGCTCTAGTTTGGCTTTGAAGCACCCAGGACATGACTCAAGGTAGTTGAGCATGCCTGTATCAAGATCGCAACGGTCGTGCACATAACTCGATCACTAGCAGAGTATGCTGTGCCGTTTAATCGCTTCCTAGTACGGTTTACGTTACATCGAATGGTCGGACACGGGATTCCGTATATTTTGTGGCTCTGCGCAGCACCCCGAACACTATCTCCGCGATTTAGCGTCATGCACGCGGTCGCAACTGCAGTGTGGATTAACTGCAAGGTCAAGGCCCACGAACAGTGCGTTATTTGCTGCAGTGATATAAGGTAACAAGAGCTAGTGCGCAACAAGCTCGGTTGCCCGGCACGACTACAGTTCGATAAGTACGTTCGAGGACTGGTACGACAACATTGGCAAAGGATACACCGACGCGATAATACCCGTTATTCTCAGTCGGCTCCATGCACTCAGAGAACTGCGATTCGTTCCATGCAACAAGAACTTCTGGTTTTGCCACTTTTTGCAAGAGATGACAGCTGCTTGCATTGCACTGAGGCTCCAATTCGTCACAGGAAGTTGTTTTCCAACAACTCAGAGAGGTGCAAATCTCAGACCGGCGTCCGGAAATCTCTATTCCTTCGTCTATGTGCTGGGAATGGGCTGCCTTACTCGCACACACTCCGCGCCTAGAGTACTTCTCGATACATATGTTGGGAGCCGGATCGTCCAATGAATTCACGTATTTCCCGAGTGACCTGAATGTACCTGGTTGGTTACATCCCACCCAGACACCCAAGTCGAACCTGGAGACACTGGTGTTTTTCCTCTTCCGGCGTAGACGCCGACATTATCAACACCATACTCAGCAACTGCAGGGCTTTGGAATGCTTTGTCTACGGACCGAGACAAGCCCTTCGAACGAAAGGTACGTTCCGAGGGGTATAAAGAACGCACTCGCCAAGCAGAGTTTAGTAATTGATAATCAAGGTAGTCAAAGGACTGTAATTCTATGTGAAGCTATTATTGAAACTTGTTTTGACCACTGCTAGACACACGACTGGCTTGTAGGTTCGACACCAGGTGATGTTCTCTTTCCTATTCCGTACCCTTGCAAGATGGGAAAGCTAAAGATTCTCTGGTGTGAGTATGGGGCCTTCCTTGCGAACCCTGTTCAAGCAGATCCCATTCCCAATTTTGATCGATACATCTTGTTTTCCCCCACATTAGAATTTCTACACCTTGAAAGAACTGGCGGACACATGGGAGGCATAGACGAATCGCGTATGCTGGACATTTTGCTAGAGAGGAAGACAAAAGTGCTTCCCAATCAGGCCCAGAACTGCCGTGCCTTTTCCATATACGCCTCGTCGTTACATGTTTCGCCGTACTTCGCCTCAAAAATCGGATGACCCTCAGCACCAACAAAGTATCTAAACTTCGACTCCCCATCATCAACAGCGTTCCACGCAGCCTCTGCCACGTCCGTCGCGCTCTTTGCGCCCTCGGCCTGATCAGACATCGTCATTGCCTTGCCCATCGTTTTCGCGCCGTTCTCGACATACTTCTGCAGAACATCCCTTCTCTCCGGCTCCTCACCGCTCAAATTCGGCTGCTGTCCCATGAGCGTGGCCAGGAGGAGCGGCTCGGCATCTGGGAAGTTGTTGGTACCGAACTTCGTGCCTCTGATTCCACCTACAGGCACAACATTTTTGACAGCGATGCCGTGTGGAGCAAGTTCGTGATACAGCGACTCGGTCAAGCCCTCGTACGCGAACTTGCTCGCGGTGTAGAACGAGAACAGCGGGAGGCCGAAGTGTCCGGATCCAGAGGTTATTCCAATGATGAGGCTTTGTTTTCCAGATTTCGTCGCCGATGAGCGAAGGTGGGGGATAGCGAGGCGGGTAAGCTGTGCCGGGCCGAAGAAGTTGACTTCGAGTTGCTTGCGGAGGTTTTCCTGGGAGAGCAATTCGAAGGCCCCGATGATGTTGATGCCGGCGTTGTTGAGGAGGACATCGATGGTGCCGTAGGCTTTCACTGCAGCGTCGAGAGCTGGGGAGAAAGTGTCCGGGCTACTCAACTCGAGAGCGACAAGGAGGAGTCGTGCAGAGTCTTGGGATCGGAGTGCTTGGAGGTCCTCTGAAGCAGATGGGTTCCGGCTTGCAGCGACGACGTTCCAACCCTTGGAAAAGAAGAGGCGAACGATCTCGAGGCCAATGCCGGAGCTGGAACCGACAACGAAGATGGTTCGGGCCATGATGAAAGCTATGTGCAGGTCTTACGGAGATGCTGAGAGAATGAACTGTCTGTTTAATCTGCATGACCGACCAGATCAGTGATTTATATATCTTCACGTATTTCTATAGCTTGAGATTATACATTCGATAGTCGCATGGTATTTCCTCCGGACGCTTTCGGCCGGATACATGGGCTAATCAACTTAACCGCTTTGGGCGCACTTGGGGGTCGCACCAGCCAGGTGAGCTCAGCACGCGGACTTGCTTACTTCATCCACGACTTTAGGGATAATCAAGTACCCACGGCACTTGTATACCACTTGGAAAACCATCTAGCGTAAACAATGTATCCCGGAAGCGAAGAGCTACGTCAAATCAGGCAGCCTTCAGCACAGGAGACGGCGACAAGAAACGGTACAAGCGAGAAGAGGAAGCAACAGAACAGAGCTGCACAAAAGACGTACCGTATGCGTCAATGATTCGCTTGAATACAGCACATTCTAATGCGATACAGGAGAAAAGCGCAGGCGCAAGCTGCAAGAGCTGGACGAGCTCACCTCCCGATCTGGACTCAGCGCCAATGCACCCCCAGACATGTCGCTAGCCACCCCCCAAAGCAGCACTCCCTTCCCACCCGCAGAAGCCGACACTCTCAACACCACAGAGAATTCCGATTGGCTCTTCGACTTCATCTCCCCAGCCGCCATCAACCTGCCTCCCCCCACCCCATACCCATCCTCATCCCCCACAGCATTAACAACAGCGACTATAACCCGGCGCCTCTCCTTCCCCTCCCTCCCCAGCCCCTCCCTCCGCACCCTCCTCGCCGCCAAAGTCTCCGCCGCTTACACTCCCACCCAAACCCCCCGACCTCCCTTCAATCCCTACGCCAACAATCTATCCCTCTCCACGCTCTCCTTCGCCGCAGGCTTCTTCGCCAACGCGCTCGCCTGCGGTGCCGCAGAGCACATGTACTGCACGGCCTCGGCGCAGTCGTCGTTCTACCGCCCAGGCATCACCGACTCGCCCTACGCCGCCACAATGCTGCTCGCGGTCCAGCGCGCCTTCGACGGCCTGAAGCCCGACCTCCGGCCGACGCCGGTGCAGATCATGACGAGCCACCATCCTGCCATTGACTTCTTCCCGTTTCCGAGTCTACGCCGAAGGCTGATTGAGGGGCTGGCGAGGTCGCCGCCGAGCTTGAGCGAGCAGGAGTTTTGGGAGGATGTGCGGAGTGATGGGATGGTGTGGTGGGGGAATGTCGAGGCGGTCGGGGGTGGGGGTGTGCCGTGGGATGCGCGGAGCTGGGAGGCGAAGGGGTGGTTTTTGGAGAAGTGGGTGGGGGTGCTGGGGGAGGAGGGCGATGAGCTTTGGCGGGCGAGTCGATGGTGGAGGGAGGTGAGGGGGGAGGAGGGGTAGGGTGGTTCGGATGAGATTGTCTAGAACGGGGGTAGTCGTGAGCGGTGGGGTGGCATGCTCGAATATCATGTGTCAATTGAGCTATACATGAGTATTTCAAGCCTTCCGCCTGCCTCTTCCTCTGGCCCGCCCTCTTGTCGCCGCCTTCTGAGGACTCCTGTCTGTGATGTCCGTTGCATCCGTCTCCTCATCACTCCCCGCGAAGAAGTGACTCTTGACCTGCGCAGTACTCTTCCTTGCCGCCTTGCGTTTGGGCACCGATCTGCCCTCTACAGGCGAAGCGGCAGAAGCCTTACGCTTTCCACGCGTGCTCTTTGGAGCTGGGCTGATAGCTTCGGGCTCGTTGCCTAAGGGTTCGGGGTCTGAGGGCTCAGCATTCGGAGAATGGTCCGCAACAGATGCAGGATCGTCCGTTAGAGGTTCGGATAGGCTAGAATTATCTTCCAACTCGACACTGGGTTTGCGGATGATTGAATTGCGAGTGGAGGTGGAAGCGCGTTTCGCACCTCGACCGCGACCGCGACCACGGCCTCGAGATGGTAATGTACCGCGTGTGCGATTACTTGAAGCAGGTATCAGCGGTTCGCCTTCTGAGTCTGAGAGCTCACCGTCAAGGACTTCGGTTCGTTGTTCAAGGGCGGGGTTTTGGTGTAATGACTGCATGGAGATGGGCGTCTGGTACGCGGTATCTGCCGCGGTCGGATTCGCCTCTTCATGATCCTGTCCTATTTCTTCGCCTTCGACGTGAAACGAAGATATTGGTGGTTGCGCATCGTCTTCATCGGATACCATGAAGCCGCCCGCTGTATTCTCCTCTCGCTCAGGCACAACATCGTTCGCTGGCATGAATCCACCGGCAGCATTTGGCTCCTCACGCATAAATCCGCCTTCAAAGTCGCCTTCGTAATTGTGAAAGGCATCCCACTCGGACTGCTCCTTCGGCTGGGCTGATTTCTTGGCCTCTTTGTCTTTCTCTCGCTGCCAAACCTCCACGGCGTCTTGACCGTGATGCCGGTTCACACGCTCCACAATCCTCAAACCGATCACGAATTTCTTCCACAGGCCAAGGACGTGCTTTTCCCTCTTGGCTTCTTCTTTCTCTGCCTTGTCCGCTTCCGCAGCTTCCCACGCATCGATAACCAGGTCCTCGTTCTCAATAGCGACAACCACACCCGTGATGACAGGCACAGCGCGTTGCTTCCCAAACTCGAATCCGGTGCACGCTTCCGCATAGTCGATCTTCAGTTTCTTGCAAATGCGTACGGTGCCCTTGAGAGGAATATGTATTGCGCCCCTTGGAACCATTGTCGGGACATACACATCGATGTTTCCAAAAGCATTGCGCGGGATCTTGCCGTCCACGATGGGGTCAGGAATGATCCAGTCAGTCTGCGCCTCAGAGTACAGACCCTGTTCTACCTTCTGGCCCTCAGTACGCTCGCGCTCTTCGATCTCGCGTTTCCGCTGCACAGTAACGGCGCGCATCGGCACAAACTTCAGCGGCTGCTCGCCCACTTTGACCTCGCGACCTTCCTTGTGCCATGACTCAACGGACTTGCAGGTCACCACATCCTCACGGCGATATACCGGCTCTTGCTTCTCGTTATCGCCTTTGCCTGTGGTGAAGTAGCGGATTATGGGAGCGTCGGGTTTGAGAGCTTCTTCGCGGCGCAGGTGCCGCTCCAAGACATACTTTGCAGAATTTTTGTAGCCCTGGAGAGTTTCTTTTGCGCCCTCGTCCATTGTCTTGGGCTTGACGGGTTTTGGAGGAACGAGGTCGCCTTCGTCTTCTACCTCGTCCCAGGGTTGGCGCTTCGAGTGTGGGCGGGCGTACGGGCGCAAGACTGATTTGAACCAGTTCCACTCTTCCCATCTTTTGACCTTTCCTTTCTTGTTGTGGATAGCGATCTTCTCTACAGGCATCCGGAAGCCTTTTGTTACGCCTGGCCAACGGCGATTCCGTAAATAACGAGTCGTAACGTCCTTTGCGGAGCCGTCAGACGAGAAGGCGATCAAATACGCGAAGACCTGGTGGCCTCGTTCTGCGTTGGCAGGGGTCGATTCGAAGAGGTAGTACTTTCCATCGGCCGGTGTGGCTACCGTTATCTTGGGAAGGACTGATATTGCGACTGGTGTATGGGTGAGATGGGAGATGGCTTCAGTCCAGTATGTTGGATATGGAATGACTCGGCCGTAGAAGCGGTCCTGCCAGGCAGGCGCGTTCTCTGGATCTTTGCTCCCCGGTTCCTCCTCGTCACCGGATGCTACAGATATTGCACTGCTGAGTTCCGAGTCCGATAGGTCGATCGGATTATCCTTGGCACCGTTCGCTCGCAAAGAGCCTGCTTTCTTTGGCGTGGGTTTGGAGTCATTAGTCTCGACATTGTTCGTGTCTTTTCCAAGCTTGCTGAGATCCTTGGGCTTGCCTTCCTCAGCTTTATTAAATCGAAAACCCACAGGTTGCAGGCTCGCTACCATCCGAGCTTCTACTCCAAGAGCGCGAACCAACGACGTAAAGAGTTGTTGCCCGACGTCCCTGCTACCCTCACAGCCTCGGGCTAGTTCCCTGTATGCGGCCAGATTTTCCACCCGCTCTCCAAAGGTATTGGCGTCGCCTTTGTGGTCTTTCCAAGCCTCTGTCTCACTCCTTAGGTTGGCGAGAGAGAGATAGCCGCGCTTCCGTAAGGACGGTGCCGTAATTTTGTATTTACCCTTCCAGTACATGGCCAGATAGTTCAACAATCGCGGCAACGGGTCGCCGGCGGAGAGGTTGGGCGTGTTGGGCTCTAGGCGCTCTGAGGTCGCGCCCCAATCTCGCGCATTTCGATCACTGCCCGCTTTCTTCGCCTTGTCCTTCGACGAGCCAGCTCTTGCTGCAGGTTTCGCCTTCCCAGCCTTGCCCTTGGGGCCTTTCTGCGGGCTCTCATACACATGCACGCCCTTGGTTCCGCTGGGGATCCAGGCGCCCGTCTTCCCGATGCCAGCCGCAACCTTGTCTGTCCAGCCGCCCTTGACAACGCGCTCGGGTCCGTCTGAAATGCCGGCATCTCTCCAGTAGCGATTCACCGCCTTCCAACACCCCGCGTTCAGATGCGCAAGCATGATCCTCTGCACCTCTGGGTCGCATATCCACGCGTTCCGTATTAGGTTGTGAAACATGAGGAACTGCACATGCATGCAGTGCGTGGCAGTCCGGACCTGCCTGTCCCTCTTGCTTGGCCCCTTCTTGCTGCTGTAACTGGCGTGCTCAACGGCCCGAGGCGCATCAATCGTCATACTCAAGTCACCCGAGATGACAGGCTCACGCTCGGCGTCGACATCATGCTTAGTATGGTGTTTTGCGCCGAGGGCATCCTCCCACTCTTCGTCCTCGCTCTCGTCCCCATCGCTGGTCTCGCTCTGGGCCTTGGTGCTGGCGAGCGGGACTTCTTCGAACTCATCTTCGCTGCTTTCGGCCGAGGAAAGCTCGCTGTCGTCGCCACCTCCTATGAACAGCTCCAGCTGCTTCTTCTTCTGCGAAAGGGTGCGCGGCACCGTGGGCGGCGTGTCGGAGCTGGGTGCTGTGCGACGGGGATGCGCGGCGGTGCGCTTCGGTGGCGGTCTTGGCTTCGGCGAGTCTGACCGTAGGCGCTTTCGCGGAATTGAGGGAGGCATGGGGATGCGCTTTTGCTAACGCAGCAAAAGTGCTGAGTATGCTACATCAAGTTGAGGTAAACTGAGCGTGCAGCGTACTGACGTAGTCGTTCCGATGGCGCGGGACTTTAGCGACTTCGTTTATCGCGCAGGGACCAGCCAACCTCTTCTCTACTCCTCTGCTCTCAGCTGCTCGCTTTAAATCTCCCTTTGTCTGGTACATTTCTGGCTTCTGACCTTTTATGAAAATGTTCCTGGAGCGTTCTTTGGCCATCCCGCGCTGTCTACGCCTGCGGGATCGAGGTACACCCCGCCGACGCGTCGCATCGCGAGATCACATGACCAGATAGGATCTCTCACGAGCTCTTGCATGTAGCAGGGTTCTGTACTCCACAATCGGCCCACTTTGGCTCTGAGGACTGTCACGATGCTCATTAACGGTAAACAGCTTCTCTCATGATGGTCCTCCCGTTCCCTCTGCACATTGTAATACCTTCAACGCAGTCATCTTTACAACCGTAAAGTCAGACCTTACTCCGCACACCGCATCTCCCAAGCTCACAGAGCGCACGTCAAAAACACCTCCACTAGTATAATTTGATTTCATCTCAAGATGTACATTCACCCACAGCCCATACTAACAACTTAATTTCGCCACAATGAAATCCTCCTTGTTCACCTCACTAACCCTCTCCTCTCTACTTCCATCCATATGCGCGACAAAAATTGACTTCACTGAATGGCACCCCCCACGACCAGACGACCTCCGCTCCCCCTGCCCCGCCCTCAATGCCCTGGCCAACCACCACATCATGCAACCTCACCGTCTCCATGCTCGTCTCCGCCTTCGATGCCTCCATGAACATATCATCAGACTTCACCACTTTCGTCGCCACCGCCGTGCTGCCGCTCGCGCCCGACGGCGGCGTCAGCAGCACGTTCAGCCTGCAGGTCAGCAGCGTGCATGGCGTGTCCGGGGCGATGGAACACGACGGGAGTTTATCCAGGGAAGACCATGGCATCGCAGGGGACGCGACGACGTTCTTGCCGCGTGTGTTTCGGGAGTTTTTGTCGTATTTTGGAAGTAGTGAGGAGTTCACGCTGCCTCTTGCTGCAGAGCCTCACTGGTGGGTCCTCCGTTCTTACTGACTTCCCCCACGCTCCATCTCCTCACTCTTCGTACGCTCCCTCCATTGCTCACTCGCGCGACAAATCAAAGGGAACGCATCCTCTTCTCCCGCCGCACCTGCCCCTCCTTCGCCTACACAGAGGGCGACCGCCTGAACAGCTACATCCAGTCCGCCATCTACCAGCAGTCTATGAAGGAGCCTGCTTCGGGCACTGTGCCGGTCAGGTGCCTCAAAGTGTGGTTCCAGCAGGAGCGCTTGTCGTGCAGACGGCGGAGAAGGCGGGGTTTGCGACGGGCTGAAGCATGGCGAGATGACGCGCAGCGGTGGAGGATATGTGGGACGGCTGCTGCGATCCGGCCACACGTCCGTGTCATTCAGTGCTAGCTAGAAGCATAAAATTGTACAGCCGTATACACGAACACGTTGTGCTCTATGCACTCTCACACTTGTGATCATCTTGGTACCCACGTTTATGGGCGTGCCCACATATTTCCTGTGTCTAGTTGTCCCCAGCGATGCTCGTCTGTCTTTCGCCTCCTCATCTCACACAATGAGAGTGTTCCGCCACCACGCTCTTTCGCAAGAAGCACGGTATGATCTCACTCACGTGGAAGACTCTTCTTGCTCTTGTGGATCAACACACTATACGCAGCCGCTTCACTTCCTATAGAGCTTTCACCACCGACTAGAGTAGATCACGTTGTTTAGAAAAGGAAGCAAGACCCCGGTCCACCAACAACCTCTATCAGGTAGCAAGAGCGCACAGTACGAGGTATGAAGACAACCTTGGGCAAGTTCAAATTGACAGCACGCAATTCGATTCAACCTCCATTCAGTACACAGTTCGACCTCAGGATTCAAGTCCTGTGTGTCCTTTCGTGTACATGGTCCACACCCTGGCTGCGCTCGCCCCCAAACCTGATCTTGTATGGAAAAGGTGGCAGTAGATACCAAACCCCACGACAAACAGCCGTGTCAGTGGCTTGAAGATCACTGGAAAAAGACCAGATTGACACTCAAGAAGAAAATCTATACCAATCGCAAGGACAATAGATTCTGACCAATGAGGGGCGACTCGAAAAGGTGTCCAAGTAAGAAAAGAGATGGACGAAGAGTCTAGCCTCGTGGGCGTATACATCGAGCGTGATCACAGTTCCCGGGTTTTCGGTACTTCAACATGGCGTCCCATCATAATTATATCCAGGAGCCAAGTGTGATGGGGCGTAGAAGATCATGAGCCGATGCTACCAGGTTGATCGATATTCCGAGGAGAACAGAGCCCGCCACATTCAGAAGAAATCGCAATCTAGCCTGGAGAATCCCGACTTCAAAGAATCCAAGAGCTCCAATATGAAGTGAACGGATGTCGCGAGACCGCAACGCCTCAGGTTTCTAGCGCATGTCTTCATCGATAGTCGACCGCAAAGTCGATTCGCCAGCCGATAACATTGTTCAGGCCAATGGATGCCAGAAAATTGCCAAACGCGTCCTCATCACGATCTGCCCCAGAAGGTGCGCCGAACACGGTTTTCATCCAAGGAGTGGCATGCTTCTCCTTCACGACAAGGATGATGCGGTGCTGGAGCCCATGTGGGGGCGAGTCTCTGGGTGCCAGTCGGACTTGACTGAGGACATTGGTCCGTATCCAACGCAGCCACATCGGATGCTTATTGCCAAGCAATTGGGTCAATCCATCGAACAGTGGGTCTGAAATAGAGGCAACCTGTTCAACTTCCATCGTACGCTGAGGGAATCGAAGCATATGTTTGATCACAGGCAATAAGTCCCGATGCGGCATCTCGATGCGGCGAAGATATATCCTTACGTTACCCTTGGAGGCATAGTAGGCCGTGTCGCTTTTTGGACGCGGCGGGAAGAATGTTCGCAGATATTTGTTCGTATTACAGAGTGGGATGCGGTGAGCATTCATCCACCAAGAATGGAATTCCTTCCGGATCTGGCGACACGATTGTACCAGGCCGAGATACGGGATAGGTGGTGGTGTCTTGGTGCTGAGACGAACTTCGCTGAAAAGCCGCAGCTGGTATTCCTTACGAAAAGAACTTGTTGGGAAAGCCCGATATGTGATGTCGAACGCGAGCTCATACACTCGGTTGCGCAGTTCTACCAATGTCAGCAACCGAAAGGATAATCAAGGAAACGTTACTCACCGGGAGGCAGATTCAAGAACGGGAAAGGTCGTGGAGGAAGCCCCCTTCTAAGACGCAGTAGGCCTCTGCGCGGCCACTTGAAAGGTTGCTCGGAGTCTGGCTCTGGCTCTACATCGTCGCGGCGTCGCTTGCGCTTCCCCGACGCAGCGGCTTCGAGTGCCTTTACTGACGGACGATGGAGCCTGAAAGGCCAATATCAGCACCACTGCAACTATGGGAAGAAGCGCTATAGCGACTTACATGTTCTGGTTTGGTAGAGAAGGTTGAAGGGGAGACCGTCTTGAGATATGTTTCAAAAAGGGTTGGGAAGTGAGGTGTGAAAGCAAAGTAGAAGTCGGCGGGCCAACCTTGGGTGAGAGGTGGAGCGTCGAGTGCGCCTGCCCGTGGTCAGCTTCACACTAGCCGTTTCCAGAATCAGTGCAAACGCATTCACTTCAGACAGATAGCACGAGGCACGTATTGTGCACGTTTAGCTATTTTCCAGGGCTTAAACATATTGTTTCAAGTCTAAAGAGCCACACGATCCCATCAACGACAAGTTACATGGCCAAATGGCCTTTGATAATGCTAGTATGCACCGCTAGTCCGTGCCTTGGCATCTTGACCACTTTGTAGGATGTCGTCCCGCTTGACATTACATTCACACGATGCTACCAACACCATAACGACTCAACACGATCAGACCTACTACATGTACAGCGCTGGCGTAAGATCACTGGACTTGGCGGAACAATCGTCAATAGCCCAAAGTGAGGACCTTGCAGTGCAATTGAGATTATAGAAACAGTATATTTGGTTCTTTGTCGAGCATACTTCAGCAGCTCGATTTGATCCTTCAGCTCACTACCACCTCGTAGTGCCTTTTCATGATACAAATGTGTTTTCGCTTTTGTTGCCCTTGAATAGGCCGAAGCACTTGCGCGTACAAGTGACGATCACCCTTAAATAGAGCATACCTTCAAGCGATTGCGTGACAACACTTTGCAATCTACTTAGAGGTGCTATGCGCTTCAGCGAATAGGCGGACAGTTAGCTCAGGTCGCTGGCGCATCGACGGCGTCCCTCTCAGCGCGAGGAAAGACCTGTTTGAGCGCAGCCTGAAACACGCCCACGTTGTAGTCAATAACAGCCTTCTTCTCTGCAGGGCTGTCATCGCCCATGAGGCAAATCAGGGCGAGATATCTATCGGGTCGTTGGCACCATTCGCAATCTGGGGAGCAGTCCTTCGGCTTTACGTACTTGTTTATCTCCCTCAGGTAGAGATAGTTGTTGCCCTTTCGCTCCATTGTGATGAGACTCTCGGCGTCGTTATTGCCCGTCTCTGTGAGGCTTTCGTCATCGCCGTTTTGCTCACCGCGCGGCCAACCATAGATCTCACTAACATCTATGACGACGTCGATGTAGTCGGAGCATATTTCGTAGCTTCCGATGTCCGTTGGGCTTGTGTCTGTGGCGATGTAAATCTTGCTCATGATATCGAATAAGTATGCCTTCTCGATGTGGCACGTGCTGCACAGGCTGTTGAGCAGCGCCTCGAGGGTAGGGAGCTGTGGGATCAGCTTTTGAATTACTTTAGAAAAAGCTTCGAAGATAGAGTGGTCGTAGATGCTGGTCTGGTAGAAGGAAACTGGCGCGTTCTCGTAGCCGTGATCTGAGAGTTCGTCTTGAACGCGCTGGATGATGTCGCGGAACGTATCGCCCTTATAATCTTCTGAAAGACCATCGACCTTGTGCACAAAGACTTCCACGTTGATGTTGGGATAGGAGTGCTGCAGGTTGAGTATAGTTGTGTTGAGACGCATGATGGCTTCGAGATACTCATCTTGAGCATCGATAACCCAGATGAGCGCTCCGATCTCTTCAAAGATGTTGTCCACATCGAAAGCCGGGTCAAAGTAGTCGAGATGGCCGGGGAAATCCCACACTTGGAAGTCCATAAACGAGCTGACTGCATTAGCACCGTGTAAACAAAATTGCACCGACGTGACTCACTGCATGGATTCCTTCTTGATTCGGGTGGTCGTCTCGAGATACAGCGTCTCGCTAGGCGGCAGCTTGTGGAAGACTACGCTGGATATCGACGACTTGCCGCTTCTGTAGTGGGATCAGCGATGCGGCACGAGGCGTACAGCAAATCTGACGCACCTTCGCTGGCCCATGAGCAACAACCGCGGCTTTCCATCGCCAGCCTTGCTGTTGGGCAGCCGGCCCGTGTGGAAACGGGGCGGCACAGGGTCTGTATGCGGGACTTCGGCATCTGGAAGGTCCTGTAGATATCGCATCAAGGTCAACTGGGCTCCGGGCTTCAAGCGCGAGGGGTCGGCCTGCGAGGGCTCTTCCTGGACGAATTGCGACTCTGAAACAAAGGAATGCTGAGAAGCTGACAAACGCGGATGGGTTGATTCCATGATGATGTGAGGTAGCACAGGGTATCTTCGCTGGAACGAGCAGAAAACAGAGAAGTGAGAGGAAAAGAGAGAACGCAGAGGATGAGTCCGCCGCTGAAACGCCTTCACCGCCGCCGAAATGAAGTGCAACAGAGAGATACCGCGACGTTCCGTTCACCTGGCGGGCATGGCGGTGGTGAAGCGTGGTACTCGTGTCAAACGTGGCAGCGGCGCTGGATTGACAGGTCTGACAAAGCCCACGGATGGCAGCAGCAAGACAGGGTGGCGACAGCAGCGGCGTGGCAGGCAATGATGGGGAGGCCTCGCAGCTTCGAGGTTCTACAAGCGTGGTGGGTGCAGGCCTTTCGCGCCAGGTGCCCGGCTCTCGCGACAAGAGGTCAAGCCATAGCGTGGGTCGCCGCGGCCCGTGGGCGACAGAGGGCTGGGAAAGGAGCGAAGGAGCAGCGGCAGCGCGCAAGAAGAAATATAGAGAGCCTTGGGGCGACGTGAAGCTGCGGAAAGAACAGGAACGGATGCTCACCTCCATGGTATGTAATCGTCTTCTAACTTGTGCACGGCCTGCGATAGTGATGCCCTGGAATGCAGCCCAAGCCAGCAGCACAGCACGCCGCCCCCAGCCCAAGATGCAACCAACAGCCGGCGACGCGCAGAGTACGGCTCTTGGTCGGCGCGCGGGTCAGACAGAGACGAAGGCTCCCAGGATGAGTGCAGATGCACAGCGGAGCGATGCCGCGTGTCTGGGTGCGCGCGACAAGCCTGGCAGGGCGGCCAATGAGTGCGACCGATGATGTCGGTTCCCGGTTGGTGTCGCTTCAGCGAACACCCAGGTATAGAAGAAGAAAACCGGTGCCACGCGGGTCGAGTTGAGGCGAGCTGGGTTGCAGATGAGGCTTGCGGCTTGCAGCGAAACTGAGTCCTATCCAGTCTCCCGGAAGCGCAGTGCTTTCATCACGCCGCGCTTGGACGTTTAGCACTGCATCCGTCCCCAGCCCAGCACCCAAACACCACCACCGGCTGCGAAATCAACAGCCAGGCCGTCTGCTGCCCACCGGGAGATGGACTCGTGGACCGCCCAGCTCCCTGGGAATCGTACAGGCTGTTTGGGACTGTCCGTGCCGCACATCGCACCGCATGCTTCGCTTTTCGCTGCAAGCGGTGTAACCCGGACGATACTCGTGGAGCAGTAGGACCCAGAGATAAGCGGCACACCGCTTCTTCGCCTGACGACAGTGAAGCTGCGGCCGAGATTTACGTATGAGCCAGGACCTACAGCCGGTATGAAGCTGGCTGGAGTATGTATGTCACTTGTAGGTCGCTGGGATGCTCTCTAGTCCTAATTCATGTGCTATCTCCATGGAAGCAAACGAAGGTACGTACGCCATTGGCTGGATAAACCCTATAAAACAAACAGACAGAAGCTTCACGGGGATGGGGAAATCTGAGATACATGCCCCAAAAGTCTAGCACACAGCGCTGGAAAGTCCTTATAGGAAACGACAGGATCCAATTTAAGAAACGGAGGCGGTTATTAAGCAATATACATCGAACTGGGACACAGGAAAAATATTCTTCTCTCAGTGTTTCAAGAGACATGGATATACCTAAGTGTTGCTACTGACATGCAGATGAAATCAGACGTGGAGAGAATGCCTATGGCTTACTACTCTGAATCCTTGGAGATCCGTTGCTCTTCTCACTTCTTCTTCCTGGAGACATTCCGGCCAGCGCCCGGAGTTAAGTCAAGACAGAACACAGTGTACTTGAGTGACTTGACTATGGTCGCGTCTATCGCCCAATCAGATGGCCTTGAAACCGCGGAACCCACGTAATCTCGCCAAAGATTGACCCGCAGCTTTCACCCAGGCGCCGCGGTCCGCATCCACCCAAAGGCCACCATTTCAATTAGGTGACTTCATACCGCGCTCCAGCTTTAATGCTCTCGTAGGACAGCCAGCTCCCCACCACGACCCAAACTGCAAGACTCCACCATGGAAGCACGCAACCGGCGTCCCGCCCCCGCCAAAGACGAACCCGCCGAGCCGATCAAGAAAGTCGCAAGCGAAGTATCATCCTCGGGGATCTCTGTACTGGACATCCTACGTGTAGCAGGCGGGATTTTGCTCTTCAGCAGCGCATTGTCGTACCTGACAACCAGCGGCACGAGCCTGACATGGGGCTACAACCCATGGTGGACACGCGCGCGGGAATGGAAGAACATCTTTGTACATAATGCCCGGCCCACGGCTTCCTTCTCGCATCCCCGCGACTAACACGCGCAGAACGGCCCCGTCTCCCTCACCGACGAAGAGCTCAAAGCCTACGACGGCACCGACCCCTCCAAGCCCATCTACCTCGCCCTCAACGGCACAATCTACGACGTCAGCATCAGCCCCGCGACCTACGGCCCCGGCGGCTCTTACCATTTCTTCGCGGGCAAGGACGCCGCGCGCGCGTTTCTCACAGGCTGCTTCGACACGGACAGCGTGCCCGACCTGCGCGGCGTAGAGCAAATGTACATGCCGCTGGAGCCGTGGGAGAAGCCGCCGCCGGCGGACGCCTCGGACGACGAGAAGCAAAAGCACGCGGCGCTGGAGACGCGGGCGAGGGAGAAGCGCAAGGCGATGAGCAAGGGCGAGTTGAAGAATAGGAGCGCTCAGGAGTTGAGGAAGGCGAGGCAGAGTGTGAGGGATGGGCTGGAGCACTGGCACATGCTGTTCCGGGGAGACAAAGGGAAGGCGTATAGGAAGGTTGGGGAGGTGAAGAGGGAGGAGGGCTGGCTGGCGAAATTGCCTAAGAGGACGCTGTGTGAGAACGCGGAGAAGGGGAGACCAGTCAGGAAGTATGAGGACTAGCGTCTGAGGAATGAGCATTTATATGGGAGTGTTGCAAGCGCAGAAGGGTATTATCTGAACCAAGTGGGATGGTTCGTCGTATCGTGTGTCGATCTTGAAAGAGATACAATCAAAGGCGAGTGAAGCAAGAGCAATCAACAGAGCAGTTTTCAGCGGTATCGTCGTAGATGATGCCGAAGGAGACGCTGTGATCCGTCCGTCATACGAGGTGTGGTCAACAATCACACGACCCCAAGCCCAGGCAGTCAAGCCACAAGGCTGGAACATCACACCGAGCAAGAGAAAGTGGGTTCAGATCTTTTTTTCATTCAATGCATGATCGACTCCATACCTCAGCGGACACTCAGATCTACGCCGAGCCTGCCGCGTCCTCTCATTTCATATCCCACGTGAGCATGCCCAAAGTAAGACCTTCCCTTACGAAAAGACGCCGACCGATAGTGGGTAAGAGGAATGTCGTTGAAAAGTCGAAATTGAAGACCCGAGTCTCTCATCTAGCCACCATTGTTGGTACGAGCTGCTTATGCCTCGCCGGCAACGTCACGGGCTAGAAGTTGTTAGTTGTCGTTCAGGTGTCGTCTATGCACCCTGCCGGGACGGAACGTACTGTAGATGCTCAACTTGGAGTGGCCAACAACCTTCCTGATGGTGCCCTTCTCCTCGAGATCGTTGAGGGCCTGTCGGGCGAGCGAGCCGTTGATCTTGAGACGGTCGACGAGGGTAGCAACGGTGATGAGGCGGTAGGACTGGACGTCCTTGTTGAGCTTGTCAGAGGTCTGCTTGTCGAGGACGACGGCGTGCTGGGCCTTGTCCTTGACTATGGCACTCGTTAGTGGCGATTCTCAATACGCAACATCTCATGTGTGTGCGGGTTCGCGAAGCGCTGCGGAGTCGGGGCGAACGATCGCGATAGTCGTCTGGAAAGCGGGTGAAATCGCCGGAGCCTTGGGCGATGCGCGAGGAGATGCCGTAGGTATATATGCGATTTGAGGGGACGGTGTTCACGTACCCTTGCCCTTTGACCACTTCTTCTTCTGCTTCTTGCCTCCGGTCGGTGCGGGTGCCTAAGAGTGTCAGATCTGCTGCCATATTATTCCCTAGGAATGGCGCCGTCGTAACATACCATATTGTCTGATGTGGTGGATGTGCTGAGACAGTGTCCTGCGGTCAGTCTAGAAAGTCAAAATGGTGTGCGGGTGGAGCGGGCTCGCTTACAGTGCCGCGCCAAGGTAGCCGACTATTGGTCAATGAGCATCACCTGACTGGTGATAAAATTCGAGAAAGTGGCATCAATGTTGTGCTCACTATAATGCCCGAGTCGGTACAGGATTCTTGATGGGCACTGTCTTTGTCATGGAATGTGTGCTGAGCATGCTCATTGCTGTATAATGTCACGTGATCTCGCGCATCGACGCCACTGAACTCTATTACTCAGACATCGTCGCGTCAAACAGACGCGTGGACAACTTAATCGATGAGGTAAGATCGGACCTCACGCCATCATAGTCCTCATTCACATGCAGAAGTACTGGCCGGCGATCGCAACGGCGGTGAAACCGCACAACGTCAACCTCGGCGGAAACATCCCATTACTGAATACCACCTCAGCCCATGCCTTTTTCATACCCGCTCACAGTTATCTTCAATAATTCTTAGTCGACGCCTAGCGCCCCGCTTGATCGCTGCTAGAGTATTCGTAGACCAACTGGGCAGGCGAAGGCCCGTCCACGATCTTTCGATGTGGGACAACCTACATCCTGATGATATTCAGCATTTTATTGTCATGCATTAGCGGGGGTCTTTCCAAGGCCGCAACTGCGGTTGCAGAGACTGCAGTACTCTCAGGCTCGTGGAAGATTCCAGCAAATGTCGCGATAGCCGATGGAGGCTGCACGCTGGAAAGAGCGGATCGCGATGGTGGAGTATTGGCTGTGGAAGGTGTGGTATGGCTCTCGCGCTGTGGTTGGCCAGTCGCAACACCGTCTTCCTCGATCGCAAGCGCGCGATAAGACTAGGGTAACACTCGCAGCATGCTGACCTGAAATTTGAGGCAATGGTCGGCAATCTGCATGCAATCCTCTCGCCTCGCCGCAATTACTATAAGTGAGTTATGTGCGCGTGTCGAGTCCGTCCGGGATTGGGCGGAGAACGGCAAGCACAGGCATTGGCCTGGAGGCATTTCACGGGAGTGTTCATGCAGGAGCGAGGAGGCAGCCAGTCAACCATCCTTTTCCAATTACACTCAACTAAGTAGTGCCCGTATCAAAACAAGACTGCTCCAGGTACGCGCCTGCGTCCTGCGGCCCATCCTAATTTCAGTTGCGCTTTCTCTCTCGGCTAGAAATAAGTAATGGTAAAGGAAACACAGAAGGGAAGGAAGCACGCCACGCCACGCCACGCCAATAAGGGAAAGACAGATGATGGGAGAGAGAGACAGGAAGGATCCTCGACAGAGTTGCTAAAGGAACAGCAAAGACAAAAGAAAAGGCTATGACAGCTCCACGGCAAAGAAAAGTAAAGCGCGTTCGCTCAGCTAGAAGAACCTAAAAATCTTCCTCCTTTGCTTGGTACTTTTGTTTTCCATGCTGTGCAACTGTTTACGCGTGCAGCGACCCTCTGCTAAACACGGCGCAGCCTTCTCTATCTGAGTGCATATGCTCGCTAAGACAGAAGAGACAAGGTCGTCGTTAACCAGAAAACGGACTGGGCTAACAAAACGGTCGACTCGTAAATGCTGTTTTGCTCCAATTCCTAAGTGCTAAGTTGGAAACGTTTCGCCAAGACGCCAGGTCCAAGTGGATGCATAATCATTAGAAAAAATGGGTGTGTGGTTTGGAGAGCTCATGGACCTCCATCTCCTACCACGGTATTAGCAGATGATTGGGATACGGGCAAGTGAATTGCATACCATCTTGAAGGAATTCAGCTCCTCCTTGATCTGCTGGGCAAGCATGGGTGTGAGCCTGTTGCAGGTAGCAATGTCTCCACGGCGGTCGTAGTCAGAAGCGGACCATGCGTCGTAGAACTGAAGACGAGGGCTGAACGAGATGTTACCGCGCGAGCCGTTGGGCGTGTTGGGCAGGCTCCGTGTGCTGGGGTTGGCCAGACGCGGTGGGCGAGTGAAGTAGTCGTTTCGCTCGTTCACAGGTGTGCTGGGGGCGCTCGATTTGGGGGACTCGTTGCGAGCATCTACAGGTCGAACGATCGGTGATGAAGTCTCGGAATTTGTGTCTGTCCCTAGACTGCATCAGTACTGGTTGGAGACAACTTGAAGCAGAGACTACTCACTCTTCAAAATCCCCTTTTTCATCGAGGAGAGCACCTCAGCACGCTCGCGGTCTCCACCGATGATGCTCTTACGAGATAGGGAATCACTCGACGGAGCAACCAAGCTGCTAGTATCGGTACTACGACCTGCATCGATAGAGTTGCGCTCCAGGCGAGGATACCCTGTTCCGCCACCAATCTCGTGGGGGTTCGCATTCACGTTGACCTTCTGGCGCTCAGCCTCAACAGTGACGCGCGAAACCTGTGGCTGCATTATGGGGCCGTCAGCTGCGGGAACTCCAATGACAGATTTGGGTCTGAAGAGGCCCTTGATCGATCGGGTGCCCTTCTTCATGCCGTGACCCATCTTCCTCAGCATAATGGAAGCGGACGAAGCTGTGGAGGATATCGAGATGTTATCGGTAGAACTTGTGAATCCACCCTGTCCGTTGTAGATACCTGCGCCAATTCCGGCTGCCTCTTGCTTTGCTACAATGGCTGCTTGTTCTGCATCCTCTTCACTTTGATACCGATCTTTTTGCAACTTGGCCCTTCCAGCGTTCAGATTGTTCTCGGCGGACGCCCGACGAAGCTCAGCAGCGCTGCCGAACGAAAAGGCTCGGCGCAAGCGAGACTTCATTCCTTTGGTTCCGTCTTTGTCATTCAAAGCTGTGAGTTGCTTGACTGCTGGGCTTGCAGACGACATCTGAGGGGTAGGGTTTGTGGGTTCGGAAGGGGAGATGGGCTGGGACAACGGTGAGGGCGCAATGCGTCGGTTCGGCTCTGGCGCTTTGGCAGCAGGCGCGGAAGCTGTTGCTGGAGGGGCGCGCGACGGGGTAGTTTCATGACGTGACTGCGATAGGTTAGAAGGGCGCAAGCTATAGAAGGATATACGTACAGATGGCCTGTTCGACGCATGGGAAGATGTCGTGCTACCCGAGCTACCCTGTCTCTCGTGGCTCTGACTCGAGCCTGGTCGACGATTTGAGCTGGATGCAGGCCGTGCGTCCAAAGTCGGCCGCGCGACAGTTGAGGCAGCTGTGACAGCAGAAAGTGGTGCCGCAGTGGAAGCCATGGCCTCGATGCTGCTCAGGCTGCGTCTCCTATAACGCTTCGCCTGCTCGCTGGTGGCCCCTCTTTGCATCTGCATATCATCCACGCTGCTGGCGCGATTGTGGCCCGGTCTTGCCGGTGGGATGAGATCGGTGGTGTTCAACTGCAGACCATGGTTGGGTCGCGTGTTTGATGGAGGGACAGTCGCAGTGGCGTTGGGCGACTGCTGGGTTGGCGTGGTCACCGTGGCGCTGGCAGAAGAGTCGGTTCTGCTCGCAGTCCGTCGATACCGACCAGGTGATGGTTTGACGGAAGCATCTGGCATGGACAATGAAAGATCCGGTACAGAAGTGAAGAGATTTGTGGAGGCGGGAAGGTTATCAGCGACTGATTTTCGGAAATCGCCATCCTCTCGGGTAGTGAACGACGGAGCCGCAGAGCGGCTCGAAGAGCCCGATGTGGATACAGTCGAGTCCGAAGATGAGGATGCGTGCGTGGGGTGGCCCAGACGGGCAGGATTCGCAGCCTGCGCTTGCTGCGGCAGAGGCTGCTGTTGCTGTGTCGACGTCGACCGTGTGTCTTGTCGTAGCTGCGGCGTGCTTGAGAAGGCATATGGTGCTATCGGAGCAGAGGTGCCCCGGTACCCAGCCCCCGCCGCCTGAGCGTACGATTGGCTTCGTGGCATCTGTGACGATCGTTGCTGTGTGTGGTGGGCCTGTGCCGAAGGTGTCTGGAAGGCATCGGAGGACGAGTGCAGCATCGTAATCGGAGTGGAGGTCTGAACGATAGGAGCGAGTACCGTAGCCATCGGGTGCTCTCGCAGGACAACTGTAGGTAGCTCGTTGGTGGGCGACAGGTTGGTCAACGGGCTAAGCGACGACCGTGCAACGAGGCTGTCTGCGCGGCAGCGTGTTAGCAAACAGCCATGGGTGGGAGAGGGTGGCGCCGTAATGAACAGAAGCCCAGAAGATTGCGGTTGAAGCAATTGTGGGCCGGGTTCAGGAGCATAGAGCATAGGCCGCGAGGGCACGGCGGACGACGTACCCCTTTCGCTGGACGGAAATGACCGCGCCGAGGCAATTGCAGGACGAACGCCTGCTGTGAAGGAAAATGCGGGTGACTATTAAAACAGTATAGAATGCAACAAGTCGGCGGAAGCGCTGGAGAGGCTGTCGTAGATCGACGGAGCTGGCAGCGTGTACCAAGCCTCCCGAGCAGGACAGTTTAAGCCTGCATTGGGCGAAGAACGGGCGTCGGGGTCACCTGGAGCGCTGGCTGGGTCGACGGAGGCTCGCGGGGGCACACACAAGGGAAAGAATAGAGAAGGGAGGGTTCGGCGGCGTCGCTGGAGGCAGAACGTGGGTTTCGTTTGAGGGCGCGAACCACAAGAAGGGGGTGAACACTGCAAGGTCCCAACGGGGTTTAGGGCGCGCCTGGGCCAAGCGCAGGCTCGATGGCGGCGGGCAGGGGACGGCGGACACGCTCGCACAGATGAAGCAGGACGGTGCACGCGCTGCGGGCTGCTGGAGGGCAATACTAATCTATCACGGGCGGCCGTCAAGTGCCGCAGCAACTGCGAATTGCTTGCTCCCCTCGAGCAGCGCTCAGTGTGCCCTCGATGATGGCGCTATCGCCCGGGCGTGGTGCGCCATCCACGACGCGCTGCAGCGACCTCCATGACCGCAGGCCGCCCGCGCACCCGTGGCGTGGTGTAGCTGTCCCCTCCCGCTGCCGCAATCTGGCGCGCCTCGCTGCGACCAGCATCAGCGTCTTGTGGACGACTCTCGACGGCACACGGCAGGTTGTTCGCGCTGGCCGTCACCGCCTGCATCTGCACGCTGGCCACAGGCCCATTCCGACGTGACGTCCCGTCCGAGCAACGAGAGATTCCGAGCGGCGAGCTGCTGCATGCGTCCCGCCCGCATTCCAGTCGCAAACAAACCAAACGCCTCAAAGAAATCCACACATGAAACTTGCGCCAGGGCTGCGGGTACGCGAGCGGCCGCTCAGCATTTCTTCACGCTGGCCATGACGCACATGCAATCTAGCGTCGAGGCAGAATACGCAGCAATACGGGCGTCGATTGGGTGCTCCGCGCGGCTCGCGGCTGGACGCTGCGGTGGGTCGCATACATACAGCGTCCTGCGGCTGAGCGGTTTGCAGCGCGACAGCGCGTGCGGCCGTCTGCTGAGGCTGGGATGGCACGATGCAGATGCTCCTGACAAGCACCTAGCACACCGACCTGCTCTCTGCCTATCGATACCCCGCCACGGTCCGTCCGAGAGCGGCACAGAACCAGAGCACTTAGCGTCTCGATATTCGCCCCTTCGGCTCCGCTAGCTACAGGAGCGCCATGTCCAGCGCAGGGTTGGGCGTCCAGGGCCCGGCACGCGAATCACAACATCCGCCGGAAGGCGCTTGGCGACGGCGAATATGCTGCGAGGCAGCCAAGGCGTGGGGAAATGAAGTGCGAGCGAGAGATGAGATGCGACAGTTATATTGCCGTCGCTTGATGCCATCGCGACGGCCAGGCGACACGACCCGGCCAGCACGCGCTACGAGGTGGGCCCTCGGGCCCGCCAGAGCTTGCGACAGCGCCAGTCGTAATAATAGCAGGGCGAGTTGGCCGTGCAATATCTGGAGAGCAGACGTCGGCGTCGCACCAGAAAGCTCCAAGCGTGCTCCGTCGCTCCGCTCCTCTGCAGCGGGTCCTACTCGTAGCTGGATGCAAGTGTTTGGACAGCTCGCCATATTATTCCCACGCCACCCGTCCAATAACGCGTCCGCAGAGGGACAGCGACGATCAGCGCTGCGCGGGGCAAGAGCATCCGACGCCGCCTTCCCAGAACGACCATCTTGCACCACCAAGCTCAACTGCGGTCCCGTCTCGCTGCGGGCACATCCCATCCTTCCTGGGACCACGATTATCGCCGCCTGGGCCGCCCGCGTCGCTAGATCGCCCAAGTGCCACCGAGGGCGCCGTCGACCGCCGACTTCCAAGCACCAAGGTCGTGGAACAAAGCCCGCAGATCCATCACGCTGGTTCCCATCCGCATGCCCTGCAACCTCCGCACGAGTTGAGCCTCGTTGCTGCACGCGGGATATTACTGCAGAATGCGCTCGATGCGAGCCTACTGACGTTGCCAGTGGAAGATGGTACTGCGACTTGAAACAGCGCATTTCATCACCAGTTTCTTGCATGTTACCTTCATTGCATTCAACCCTAGCGTGTGAGGGTCGCTAGGATGTCCCGGTGACGTGAAGTGCGCCATCGCGGACAGATCCCGCCATCTATCACTCAGGGTCGCGCCGTTCTCTTTGCACACGGCCCTCGGCACTACACAAATCTGCCGCAGAGGCTCTCATGTACGCAACGCTTACGGCAGGACCTCCACCGCACGCGCTTTTCTCGCAACTGGTCGAGTTTTCGCAACCCCGATCATCCGACGCGTCTATCATCGGACTTGCACATTATCCGTGGCTACACATGGACAAAACTTTCGTCGTTCTAGCACCTCAACGAGTATCTCGCGAGTTCTCATGACCAAGAGTATTTCATCACGGCGCGAGACATCCTGTTCCCAATGCTGTCAGCAGCTTGGCTTCTGGATCCGATCATCTCTGTAACTCCATGTTCTAGCTTGTTCACCCACTCTCAACAAGAAATTACCACCACTCTTTGGAGACCGAGAAGCTCCGTGTCACTGAAAGAGTGGTTCAGAAGTCTGGGCACCTTCCCACAACAAGACGGTGCGGTGACTAATTGACGAGAGCTGAGCTTATGTTTCAGATCTCTCACTGCGCCACGTAACACAGATCTTGCAGCCATACCCCTTCGTTGTTGGAACGAACCGCTGTTCGCCTTGGCATATCAGCTATTCCAATCGGTGACAACGTTGTGGTTCTTGTCTCATAGCTGCCCCTCCGAGATGCACCATCACGCAGTAGCTCACAGCATCGCGTGACTGCAAAGCTGCTTCACCTCGAGCACCCGGAGCCAGACCTCCGAAGTTTAACACACCTCCGAAGTTCAGTTTCTCAACAGTCGAGCTACTGCACAAGAATTCGGGACGCTTGGCCAAGTTGCCGCAGACTACCCCAATAGCAACGGGAAACCCCCGGACGACCCTCCATGATTGGCCGATGTGAGGAAATGCGTACGTTTCATTCCTGCCTAGCCTTCGGTCCTCACGAAGCTCTTGGATAAAATCGTCGGAGGGCTCCAACCACAATGTCTTGGTCATCGAACCACTTCTCAAAAAGCAAGTATACTAAAGTTATCCCCATGTTCGGCACATGGCGACGACCTTAGACGACCAATTGAAGACAGCCAAGTTTTCCTCAACAGAGCACTAACTGAACTCTATAACACTAATCAAGCGAGTTCTTTGTTCCTGAGTGCTGATCTGAGCATGCGGCCTCAACAACCCTTCCAGATAGAAACCTCGCGCCTTCAACCTTCAGGAACTTTTAGGCGAATTTATAGACATTCTCCCTTGCGCGCGACTGTGGAAGAGCAATTACACGATCTCGACTTGCGTCAGAATTCATCATTGGTTCCACACCAGCTGAGACATGCCCACAAGGTTCCACATAGCAGCTCCCTTGGGCGCAACGGCCTGGAAACGACAGCCTTTCTCCACATAACGATACCATTTCCCCGGATCGTCGATTCTGAAGATCTGACGTCATCTGCACGCGTGCGTTTCATCATGTTCGTTCCTCAAATAAGCGTGCGATGCTGTTTTGTGGATCTTCTTGTGGGGTTGTACCGCTGTGCTGATCGTAATAAGTTCGCACGTCAGCAGCGCTTCGAACTGCGAAGCAACCGCACACATGCCATGCACCTGATCCTGGTGTCAAAAGGGTGCTTTGGAGTAGCCTTGGGCACTGGGGCAGTGTTCTCGGGCCCTCGTTTCCATTTGCACTGGGCCTTAGTCAGACGCCCTTGAACGAGCTGCGTTTGATCTGGGTGTTGCAATTAGAACTGGATAGCAATATGTCTGAAGCATTGCGGGCTCATTCAGTGACAGGAGTCTACATTGTCGGTTCGCTCTATGCTAGAGTTTGTTCTCATCACGACTTGCGCTTATGGTATTCACAATTCTGCAACAGGACCACGACGATTACCTCGTTTCTCGATGACTTGTTGGGGCCATAGCTATGTTGAAGCCACCACTTCACTTCCATAGAGATTGTTCATGTTATATTATAATTATTACGTTACATGCGTTCCCCTCGATAATTGAGCTTTAGCTACCATACAGCCCACTCCATGGTGTCACCGGCCTCGAGTGCATCACCGGCGTACCAGGCGGAAACGTATCGAACCCATCCAACTCCGGGCTTGAAGGTAGACTCACATCGTACTGGCTTTGGGCATGTCCAGTAGACTCGGAGTTCGGAGTGCTTGGCGGACTAACATCTGCATACCGCCCAGCGGTCGCCGTACCAGAGCCACTGACTGTCCCATAGATTGACAGCGGGTGTGGCTGTAGCACCCTGGCTGGGCTACGCTCTGGAAATGGGGGTAGACGCCTACTTGGAATGCGCAGCGGGCTGGGGACAAGATTTGGATTCGCGGAAGGTGCCCGAAGGTCGTTCAGAGACACGTTGCTCGCAAAGGACGAGGCGATCGAGGGATAGCGCTCATAGGACGTTGAACTCGCGAACACTATCCCAGATCGCCTTGACCTATCACGAACCAGGGTATCTACAGCCGGGCTTGTCATTGACTGTATCGTAGCTGGCAAGGCACGCTCATCGACATCAGGCTCACAGTGGGGTGGCATGTAATTGGATGGCGGCCGCGGAGCTGGGATCAAAGGTTCTAAGATGTCGACGCCTACAGGTACTGTCCCGGCGCTCGACCGGTCAGCGCCTCGAGCGTCTTCTCCCGAAATGGCTTTTTCCTTGCTAGAAGGGATGTTGTTTCGGAGACGCCATGATCCTGGGCGGAAAGCGTCGACGCCGATCGCTGGGGTTTGGTCAGTGGGAGGATTGACGTTGTGTATAGGATGGCTACTTGCCTGCTGGTACTGGGGGGCATAGGATTCCGAGATGTCGACGCCAACGACACATTCCCTGGGGCCAGTTGCATCTGCAGAAGTGTGAGATACTGGACGGTCCCACCCATTCGCCCCACGATGCCGACGTTGCGGGGAATAGGGCTCAGATATGTCCATGTTGACGATGCTCTTCCTATAGCCAGTCGTTACGGCAGCAGTACGAGACACTGGGCGATGAGAACTATTCATCCCGCGATGGTCGGACATCCCGACGCGGATATCATACGCCTCACGAGCCTGCATTTCCCGAGCTCGCTCCACAAGTACGCGCTTCTCATGGGCTCGCCTCCTCTGTTGCCGCTTGATGTCACGCATCCTACCGCCTAGGTCAAATGCGTCGTCTCTAAGCCTCTGACCGTGGACGCACGCCTCAAGCCACTCCTTCAGAAAGCGAACGCGCCTGGACTTCAGATTCGTCCTGTGTCCCCTAGCACGTCTCCCCATCCGCGCCACCGTCCCAGCCAGCAGCGCAAAGAGAACCTTGCTATCTGCACCAATTCGGGAGAGCATGCACGCCGGGCATTGACTCGGCTCGTAGGCCCACACTGGCACAAAGATACCCTTCTGGTCCACGAATCCAGGAACGAGCGGCTCATGCCCCACGGGCGCACCCTCGCGCGGAGTGAAGCCGGGGACGTACATCTGCGGGACCGGCTCGAGCTGACGCACCCTCATCTCCTCCCAGGCATCCAACTCCCCGCTCATAATGACGGAGTAGACGAAGCTGCCAATGCGAAAGATCTCATGCTGTATCAGGGACATGAGTTCATAGCACAGGCCTTTCTTGAGCTTCTTGTGCAGGTCGCAGAGGTAGCCTGGCTGCACTTTGCCAGTGGCTGAGGAGGGTGCCTTGTGGAAGCCGCTGGCGCGGAGGTGGCGAGGCAGTGATTGTATACGCTCCTGGACCTCTTGCACTGCGGACCCTTCCAGGATACGCGCGAGGAGTGGCATATCTTGGTCCGACAGCATGTAAAAGTGCGAACTTCGTGGGCCACGAGAGTTAGAGTGGGAGTTGAAATACAACCCCGTGAGGGCAGCCGAGCGGGGTGTCATTTCGCTGGTTGTCTCTGTGTTTAGATGTTTGTAGTAGTTGCTGTTGTTTCTATCTGAATGAAGGTCAGGGGCGAGTACTGGGGCAATATATTGAGGTGGAAAGTGTGGGACTGCATTGTGATGTTCTGCACATTGTATCGCTACGCTGATATAAACGCAGTCATTGTGAAGACTGTACCAGTCAACGAGTGCTTTGTCTCGTACATTTCGAGGCTGCGGGCTGAGCTGACGTGGCCAGCCAATGGAGCTGGAGAGCTGGGGACATGGTTCAAGTAGATTTTCAGACATGCCAGACATTGTGGACTTGTATGAGATATTTTGAGACAAGGAGTGGATCAAGCTGCTATGCAAACACAAGCTTTCTTCGACCACGGATAGCTTGGGCAGCGGGTCTGCAACATGGATATCCTAGAAAGCCAGCCGCACCAGCAAACATTCCTGGGAATCTAGACAATGTGTTGAGCGCAGATGTATGTTCGGATATTGGTGATCCTGGACACAAATGTTCGAATTGAATGACCCGGAGAGATCATAGTTAGATCAATACACCTTCATAGTCATTAAAATCATAGAATTCATTGCAACGTTCAGCCTTGGTGGAAACGAAGGATAGCCCGCGGTGGGTGCGGAACACACAACTCGAAAAAGTAAAATCACAACGCCAACCACGCCGACGCTAAGCGCTCCTCTCCCTACGATTTGTCCGCATCATTTCTCACACTTCCCTCCCGCTCGCCGCCCAGCCCTTTCCCGCGGGACCAACCCTCTAAGCGACTCGCAGACCCCACGCACGTGTCCCGCATGTACATCGCGTGAAGACTAGAACGAGCGCTAGGCAGTTTCCAGCACCCCGCTTAGCTAGGCGCATGATGTGATTGAACTTTGTCCATGCAGAAGTTTTCTCAATATAGCCGGCCGTGCGTCACGTCAATTCATCTGTACAGAAAAACTTCAACTTTTTTGGTGAAGCAGATCGATGGCTGGAGTCATGGCCTCGCCCGAGGAGAAGAGACCGCAGGCGACGCCGGATTCGCCACAAGACCCGGAATCAGGCGCGAGCTCGCTTTCGCTGGACAAGGATGTCGCGATAAAGCTCGTGGGCGAGCATGCGCAGGAAATAGATCCGGAGATCGAGAAGAGGGTGCTTCGCAAGATTGATCTGTTTCTCATTCCTGCTATGATTGTCGGTAGGTCATGGACTGTTCTTCGCACGCTTTGTGGAACTAACGACCCCTAGGCTACGGTCTCGTGTACTACGACAAAGCAATATTGGGTTCCGCAGTATTGTTCGGCATGACCAAGGACCTATCTCTGAGCGTGGTTCACCACACCACGCCGCCAACAACCGACACAAAGCGTCTAAGCTGGGCCACGTCCCTCTTCTACTTTGGGATGCTTGCTGGCCTCTACCCTATGACGTTTGCGCTGCAACGCTTCAATCTGGGCCGCATTCTCGGCGGCGTCGTTATCGTGTGGGCTCTCATCTGCATGCTGACTGCCGCGGTGACCACCTGGAGAGGTCTTTATGCGCAGCGCTTCTTCCTTGGCTTCGTCGAGAGCGTCATTCCAACGGGCTTCATGTGCATCGTCAGTGGGTATTACACGCAAGAGGAGCAGGCCTTGCGGCAGAGCTGGTGGTTCTCATCGACGGGGCTTTTCACGATCATTGGCGGCGCGCTGAACTACGGGTTCGCGCAGATTACTGGGGGCGCGCTGAAGAGGTGGCAGTATATTTACATCCTTGCGGGGTGCTTGACGTTCCTCTTTGGCATCTTCTGCTTCTTCATACCGAATTCGCCGGTCGAGGCGTGGTTTCTTACGACGGAGGAGAAGGTAGTCGCGGTCGAGAGGCTGAGGAAGGGGCAGACTGGGGTGCGATGCCAAAAGATCAAGATGGCGCAGGTCAAGGAAGCTCTCCTCGATGTCAAGCTATGGCTTATCTTCGTCATGATGGGATCGGCGTACACTGTCAATGGGGCTGTATCTGGCTTCGGACCCTTGATTGTGTCGACTTTTGGGTGGTCCACACTGGAGTCGATTCTGTGGCAGTTTCCTCTTGGTGGCCTTTGCTTTTTTGCAATCCTGGCATGTGGATGGGCCTCTGCTCGATTTCAGAACATACGGATCATCTTGCTGATCATCAACTGCTTGCCGGTTATCGCAGGTTGCGCAATGATCTGGAAGGGCAGCTGGACATATCATGCTGGCACGCCTGTTGCGGGCTATAGCATCATCGGGACCTTCGGTGCGGTAGTGAGCTTGACAATTGTCATCGGAATGAGGTATGTGATGAGTGGTCCGCGGATCACGACTGCGATACTGACAGATTCGCAGCAACGTGGCAGGAGCTACCAAGAAGAGCGTTATGGCCGGTTCTATTTTTGTCGCCTACTGTGTGGGCAACATAGTTGGTCCGCAGCTCATCAAGAGCGAGACAAAGAAGGATCATTACCCGGAGCTTTGGACCGGTTTGATCATCAGGTGAGTCTATGATGCTGAGCACAGCTCTATGCAAGACGCTGACTTTTCCAGTTACTGCATCACTATCGTGGCTTCGGTCGCTCTTTACGTAGTCCTGTGGAGGGAGAACAAGAAGAGGGAAGGCCATTCGGACAACGAAGAGGAACGAGACCGACTGGCGTTTTTGGACCTGACCGACGGAGAGAACCCATACTTTAGATACGTCCTTTGATAGAGCGGAGGCTTTCCGCCTGTCCACATGAACACGTCATTACCATCACATGTCAGATGGACCTACCGGAAAGCATCGCCAGCTTCAGCTCGGGCTACAGCTACGGGGGGACACAAACTTGCCCGTGGAACGCGTAATGGATGTTTCGTTGCAGCTAGGGATGGTAGACGTGTATGCAGATGCCTGGGATTGGTCGTGACACACACTCGAATATGAGGCGGGGCCGGAACGTTTGCGGCGAGCGGGCCGGAGGGAGGAGACGACGGATGAGGCTGACATGGAACATGGAGGGGGTGATGTGCGAGTGCGGGCGCCAGTCAGCCAAGGCGGCCCCGTCCCGAACGTCTGGTTGACGGCTCGCAGCAATGGCCATTCACGGGCGTTAGTAGTCCGCCTCTTTGGCGTTTCCCTCTGCCCTCCTCCTGCGCTTTGTAGTACCTCAGCTGTGGTCACCTGCCTTTTGCGTGGGTTTTGCGACCAATACCATCCGCCCCGGCAGCAGCGCGTTTTCGCCTGCGTTCTCTCACTCGGCCAGCCCGCGGGCGCCCTGCAATCACTCAACAGCCCCTCCGGAACCCGCCAGGACTGCCCCCAACCATCGTCATGGCCTCCCTGTCCTCGACGCCGCGCTCGCGATCACGCTCCTCCACGTCGAGCGACTCGTCGGACACCACCATGCTCGACGCCCCGCCTGTCCGACCCGTGCGCGCCCGCCCCGCCTCCCACTCGAGCATCGCGCCCATCGCCCTGGACAAAATGCCCGATCCGGCCTTCTCGCTCCTGCTCTCGCTGCCCCGCGAGCTCCGCGACAAGGTGTACACGTTTGCGCTTGTCTCGCAGTTTCCCTTCTGGTGGCCCTCGCCCACGACGCCCAAGCACAATGTCGCCTTGGGCTTGCTCTCCGTGTCGCGCCAGGTGCACGAGGAAGCGGCGCCCGTCTTCTACGCGCAGAACAAGTTCCTATTCACGAACCCCAGCGATTGCACCATGTTCCGTGTCGTCGCCTCGCCCTACGCGGAGAACATCACCTCGGTGTACTTCCGGATACGGGAGAAGGACGTGAAGTTGTGGGCGACCTATCTCGGCAGCAAGGACCCGTCGCGCAGCATGAAGCACGACCTGCCCAAGCTGAAGAGCCTGTGGATTTTTCTGCGCTGCGGCATGATGGGCACACCAGGCGTGATCAACGGAATGGCGGGCAACGGGGGCCTGCCCGCGCTGCTGGCCGCGCAAACCCAGGCTATACACCAGGCCCTAGGAACGCATTTGCCGCAGCAGGTCCACATCAACATGCAGGTGCTGCAGCAGGCCATGCACCAAGCCCATGCAGGCGCGCACGCCCAGCCGATTGCGAACGTCCCTGCCAACGGACAAGCGCCGATGCCTTTTGTGCAGTTTGCGCAGAATGCCCTCCAGCACCACCAGCAGAACCAGAACACGGCAGCACCGCATCCCCACGGCCTGCAGAACAACCCGCCAGCAAATCTGTCGCCTCTGGCCGCCCTTGCTGCTCAGCAGCAGTCGCAACCGCCGCAGAACCCGCCGCAGCAACAGCAACATCCCACTCATGCGCATGGTCACGGCCACGGCCACCACCAGCACGGCTTCTTCACAACCTTTATGCGCTGGGAGCGCGAGATGGGACTCGAGAACTTGTGTCTGTCGCTCCAGGAGACTCGCCCCGCGGAAGCTGACGTCAAGATTGTGTGCATTGTGAAGCTGCCTAGGCCTGAGCTCCAGAGGCTGGTGCGAGTGTATGCCGAGGAGCTGAGTCTGGACAAGAACGGGGACGCCCGGACCAAGTTCCGCCGGGTGCATGGTGTGGACGTGAGCTTGGAGGTCAGTGGATATGACATTGGCGTCTAATGATGATTATGGGTGGCGCTATTCTATGGTTTCTGGCGGCGAAGGAAAAGGTGTGGACGGCCAACAAATATGCACGGCACGTTAATGGCGCATATAGTGTACTTCGGAGTCACGTTCAAATGCATGATACCCTTTGAGACGCTACGGTCCGGGAATGCGTAGAGAGATGATCAATGACGGAGCGTGGTGCAGAAGAGATTCATTGACAACTAATAACAGACATGGCTCAGTGCATCAATGTGCGAATCACGTAAATCCTCGGACACGAAACACAGTGCCAAAAACGGTCGGGGACGTCCGGGGTTCCTACGACTCCAAGTGCTGAATCAGCGCGACATCGACGCCACGCCAGATCGCTCCTTCATGGCGTACCTGCCAGTAAAAGCACGGATCTTCTTCCCATACAAGAATACGGGGATGCCTAGCAAACCAAACAACGCAGTGAGTCCACCATACGTGCCGAACGACCCGTCATATCCAGCATCATCGATGAACTTTGCAACACCATAGCTGACGCCAAAGCTCACGAACCCACGGAAAGCCGTAATGACGACGAGTACAGGGCCGGCGCGAGCAGGATACGAATCCAGCAGGTACGTGATGGCCGCGATATTGGCCCCCACGAACGCGAAATAGTATCCCGCGTTGGCGAAGACGATGGCGAACCAGTGGTACTTTTCTGGATGTGCGCCTGCCTGTCCGTAGATGACGGCTGCGATGACGCCCACCGATATAGGTATTCCGAGAAGCAGGAGCCTGTTTTCGGGCTCGTGGACGCCGCCGTTGCGTCGAGCTCGCCACTTGATGATGAAGTCGGAGCCGTTGCCGAGGAGCGGGAGCGCGACGAAGGCGACGATGATCTGCCCGGCGTTGACGTAGGATGCAGCGCTGTCGGGCCAGTTGTAGGGTGCCTTGGTGACGATGTTACCGTACGTCGTGCCAATCGCAATGTTTACGCCTATCGTGAGTCCATTCAAACAGAACGCCCACAGGACGTTGGGAAACAGCAGGATCTGGAACGTGTTGATGAAGCCGTACCAGCCTTCCAGCCAGTCGGGCTTGCCCACGAAGATGCGCATGTCTGACCAGAACGTGCGCGGGAGATATCGCTCGTAGTCCAGCGCAGGCCTGTCTGCGATCTTGACTGGCGCCGGGGCAGTAGCGCGGGAGCCGTTGCCTTCGCCTCCTTCGTCAGTCGAGAACTGACCGTAGGATTCTAGCGAGCGGGTGTATCTGCTTTCAGGTACCCATGGGATAGAGAGCACAAGGACTGCGGCACAGATACCGGCGCCCACGTTGTACCAGTTTGCGGGACCGATTGCGCCTGCGATGGGCGAGGCACAGATCACGTACACGGCGGCGACCGTGGTCTGGATGGCTGATTGCCACATCAGGGAGGTAGAACGTTCGTGCATGAAGTGGATTTCCTGATAAGCTGTAAGCTGAGGAGCTCAAGATGTCACGCAAAGTACTCACTTGGATCATCATTGGAGCTAGAGCCTCACTCTGGCCAGCAGCGAGCCCTAGAATCATTCTCGCCCCAAGATGCCAATTGTAGTCCTCCGAATACGCCGCCAGGACAGCGCCTCCAATCAAAACGAGCAAAGATCCGAGGTAGACTGGACGACGACCAACTGCCAGCGCCAGTGGCATGCAGATAAGATTGCCGATACCCATAAAGACAGTGGGGTATGTCATCAGTGCCGTGATATCAGCATAGTCGGCGCCCTTCGCAGCATATCCGGGGATGTAGAATGTCAAGAGTCCACCGAAGCCGGACACGAGACCGAGGCTGATACTGGAGACTGCGAGCCATCAGGAGAGTGCGATTTCATTCTCGGGGCGATGGACGCTTACAGATGGAGACGAGCACAATGAATACAATCTTCCTCCACTTTGTCATGTTCAGGGGATCTCGAGGGTCCGCGCTCGGCGCCGGGATCAGAAAGACATCCTCCATGTCTGTGATGGTCACTGTTCCCATGGCTGCGCCCTGCGGGACTGCCTTCGTCGACATCTCTTCGTCGGAGACATTTTCAAACTTCTGGACCGTCGTCTCCATTGGCTTGAGCTCTTTGCTGATACTCATGTTGGCGTTGTCTGCTTGTACTTGAACGGTCGGGAGGTGGAAAAGTTGAGTCGAAGAGAAGCAGAACAACCCGCTCGTCGACTACTCGAAGAGCAACCCGCCGCGTTGTGATAGATGAGAACCGCAACTTCGGGACTGATATATGAAGATATTGAGACGTGCATCTGAGGCAACACGATGATGCCGCGGTGGCCTGCCATCTTCCCACGTATTCCGACGCTGCTTGAGTCAAGTCGATATACGGACGCCATCTCCACATTCCGCGCTCGCTGGGTATTTCACCGACGTCTCACCGGATTTTGGCGTACGTTGGCGTGTGGGGTAGGCAGCGCTATTGGATGCGATGGTCGGAGGGTGAGGGCACTGATCAACGCTTTGAAGGTTGTAGGTTAGCGCGCGGGAAGTGGGAGTGGGCGAAAGGACGAAACCCTAAGTGGTGCGATGGTAGGTTTATGCATGCTGTCCATGGAACTTGCTTTCCTAACTGTGTACATGTTGAGGAGTTAGCCCTGCACCAACATCTGCACATGTGGTTCAGTTCTAGGTCAAACGTTTGCGTGGAGTGCTGCCTGGCTCGTCCTGGGGTAACACAGCGTACTTCAAATATGAAGTCGTAGGACTGTACCACTTATCGTAGGGCAACACGTCGTACTTCATACCTAGGTATCGATGGACGTTCGGATAAAGCGTTCCTTCCCCAGGTTTCGAAATTCCCCGCATTCCAGGTGGTTCCTGCATGCTGGGCTTGTCTCCACCCTACTCCACTTTCCGAGAAACCCCCAATAAGTTTGGCGCACGTCCACCCCTTCCGTGCTTCCGTGCTCCATCCTCACTCCGGAATGTCAGCAGTATCGACAGCGCACCGCAGGCGTCGCCGCACGATTGATTTGCGCGACCCGAGTCAGACTTCATTCGAATGCCAGGTTTGCAATCGACAGTATGACCGTGCAGATCACCTGGAACGGCATTTAGACTCACGTGAGATCACACCGGGGCGAGCTGACGCCAAGTTGCTGAGCCGGGACAGATCGTAACGTGCGACCATTTCGCTGCGAAAACTGTCCAGCGGCCTTCAATCGCAGGGATCTACTCCTACGACATCAGACGAACCACGAAAAGAACGCCGCCAAAGGCCAGATCGGCCACTACATCGCGGACAGAGCAGTGAAAGCTTGCGACGCGTGTGTGCTGTCTAAGGTCAAATGCGAGAATTCGAGACCTTGCCAAAGGTGTGTGAAGAAGGTAAACAAACACCGAATACAACTTGCAGAAGGGAACCATTGCTTGCTTGGCTACTTCATACAATACCCTGTCTGAACTCGAGCTGACTTGGTACCACCCACACCTTAGGGCACCGAATGCACGACAAGGTCGCTCAAGCCCATACCGTCTCCTGCAACAAATTATGGAAGCGAGCAGCATTCTGGGTCTCCTATCACACCGGGTTCTGATACTACTCGACATGAAATACGCGACGCAACTTCGGCCACCACAGAAGTAGCTGCAGCAACGTATGGAAGTGAGCAGCATGTTTCTGGGTCTCCTATCATACCAGATCCTGGCACTACTCGACAAGCCATGGGCGATACAGCCTCGGCTTCGACAGACATTGCAGACGCGCAGGCACTCCTTAGCCTGTGCGACGATGCATACCAGCAAAGACGAGTTCCGGCGTTCTTTGATCAAATAATGGTCCCAGAGCACGACTTTGTAGGGGCGGACCCGGCACTGCCTGCACCTGATCTGACGATGTGGCTACCTGATACGGACTGGGTTGGGGAAATCGATCTGTTCAACAACGATTTTGGTCTTTCGATTGGTCAAACGTTCGAATCCCAGCAAATCTTGGATAACTTCTTCGCTCCAGCCGCTCCAACCGAAACGCCTGATCGTACTTCACGAAGCCGCGCTGCCACCGAACGTGGAGATGAGGCAAGGAGACGATCTGCAATCTTTGAGCAATCACCATGGTATGAATTCATACACCGCACAGTACTAGAACGATTCATGTATTACCTATCCTGAGGTAACATACTGTACTTAGACTTTTAGTGCTGTATCAAGAGCAATGTTAATGACTTTACAGGCTATGGGTACCGACTCGCAACCAGCACGCATTCAGTGAGCACGACGGCGTCACTATCGATGAACAACATATTGATATTGCTACGTCGCCGCATGAGCCGTGCTCATCCATCATCGCCATCTCAGACAGCCTGTCTCAAGGTGCTCGAGATCGTATCTTTCAGCTGGTCTCAAAAACTTCAGCAAGTCGCATTATAATACCATCCTTTCCTTCCGCGGATTGCCTTGACAAGCTGATCAAGTAAGCCGAAGCATGCCCCACCCTTTCTCAACTCACACTGACTTATAACCGCACCTTAGAGTCGGCATCGCCAAGAGAATGGAGACGGACGCTTGGATACATCCCTATACCTTTGACAGTGAAAGCTCTAGGCTAGAATTACTCGTTGCTCTAATAGCTGCGGGTTGCATCTGCTTTGGTCTTCCTTCAGTCAACCGCACAGGTCTTGTACTCCAGGAGATTGTGAGGGTTGCCCTACAAAACCTCACAGAACGAGACAACAGCGCCTTCCGCGATCTGCAGTACCTCCAGGCTTCTATGATTTGGCTAGATATTGGTGCTTTTTGCGGATACCAGCGAAAGATGGAGATCGCTGAGAGCAACTTGCTTCAATTAGTGACGGCAATGCGACGCGCGGGAAGATACGACAAAGTCGCATATTCATCCATACTTCCTAACATTGATGATAATGCAGATGAGAACGAACGCAAGTGGCGCGAGTGGGTCCAGTTTGAGTCCTACAAGCGGCTTGCCTGCCACCTTTTCGAACATGACATGGACATGGCCATGGTAAGCAAACCGCCGGGTACGAAGTGATATCGTCCGACAATACACCACACCGTCATAATTCATGCTGACTTCGTATCTGTACTATAGGTAAAACATCGTAACCCATTGCATTCGTATTCTGAGATGAGCTTTCCCTTGCCCTTCTCCCGTTCGCTTTGGCTTGCTCCCTCCGCAGAGGTTTGGCGATCAAGGATGCTGAGCATGAGTACCATTGGGGGGCTACCATCGCTGCACGGCATGCTGAAGGATGAGGACCCGATTACATACCTCTCTCCGGCCGTTGACTCTCAGGTTGCTCGGTCCGTGTATCTACATGGAGTGGCAGCACAGATATGGGAGCACTCAAAGCAATGCGCCCTCATTCATGAAGATTGCGATCCATCTTTGCAGCTCTGGCTAAGATCGCGACACCAGAAGATGTAAACTGCCAACCCCTCTACTGGTGAAAAGTTATCATACTGAGTCTGTCACAGATACAACCTGCTCCAAAGGTTTTCACTACCTGGAGACTCAACCTTCGCGTATACTCGCACCCTGCATGCTTTCCTTCAAATGTATCTGCATACTTCGGTGGACACCATTACGCGTTTTGCGGGCAAATGCGGGGAAGAAGAAGCAAACCGTGCTTACACCCTCCTCCAGCCATGGAGCCAAACCAAGGATGCCCGCATTGCGATATACCATGCCGGTCAGGTTTTGCGTGCCGCGCGCGAAGTCCCTAATCATCAACTTCGGGGCCAGGATGCCCTTATGACTCACCATTCTATCATGGTGTTGTGGACATACAGTATGATGATGAGCGATCGCGCACGCCGAACTGGCGGGAATACCCCTGTACGGCCAGCTCCATCTGACGCCTCCCATGGCCCCAAGGTTTTCCTAGATGTGCATCCCTCGGTCAATTCCGATCATGTTGATGCGTTTATTCACAAGGATGTTGGGAAGCCGTGTCTCACTACTATCCCATCTACTACACAAGACACTCTCCGAGGGATCAGTTCAACAGAGCAGGTCTGCGATCTCCGATCCCCGTCACAAATCATGGAGATAGGTGTGGAGCTTCTCGATGCAAAGCATCCGGAAGTTGAGCGGAAGATCAAACCGCCTCTCTTGAGAGCGCTGTGCAATCTTATGGAGGGACTTGGACGCTTGCGTTAGAATAAATATGTAGACACATGAGTCATACTTGGTTCTTTTGTCATGAGCACATGCAAATCAATCTAGAGAACATAACTACAAAGGACACTCGGAGGGTGCTCATCAAAGCGGAATGGGAATCGTGGTTGTTGTTCTATATCTACAGCGGTACGAATGGCAAAATGATCTTGCTAGGAGTACTAGGGCCAATGTGGATGCGATGCTCGCCCTTGTTCTTCTCCTCTTCGGGCCGCGGCTTCGAGAAAGCAGAGTATTCTGCAATACCGGGGAACGACCCACCGACTTGCATGCTAATCGTTTCTCCCTGGTCAAAATCCACGCCCATGGACCAGATTCCGATCTCCAGCTTGACCACCTCGCCCGGCTTGATCTTTTCCTCAGTGTCATGAGGGTGGAAGGGAAATTGCGGATGGATTGACTTTTCTGGGATAAATCTGCGGTGACTTGCCCGCAGTACGCCGACACTTCCGGGGTGCAAGTTCAAGCTCTGTCGGTCCTTTTCTGGGATCTCGTCGATGGACTTGATGCCAGTTGGCACGGCGGCGAACGGGAAGCACAGGTGAAACAGAAGTTTGCCATTCTTGTCTCGCTTGCGAAGGATGATGTAGACGTTCATGTCGTTGTGTTCCTTGCAGGACATGTAGAGGACAGCTTTCGGAAGACCGATAAGGCGCGAGCGCTGTGGGAAGGTATACGAGAACTCTGCAATCGAGGTCGTGGATGTGGAGTCGTAAGAGACAACTGTATCCGCTGTTGCTGCCTGTTCTTTCAAGCCGTCCTGACAGAGGAAGAAGTCGCGATAGTCGGTTCCCGGGATGGGAAAGTCCGCGAACTCAATGTCGTCAATGGCTTCCCGATCGCCGAATTGCAGCGCCGACCACCGCACTTTTGGCGTCTTGTCCCAATCGTTGTTCTCTCCGCGCAAGAACTTGTCAAAGTACTTATGCAGTTCTCTGTCGGAAGAGGGCTCGCAGTACAGCTCGTACCACTCCTGGTTGGAGCTCCACCGTATCCACTTGTTGTCATGCGGCAGCTCCAACCATCCGCGAACGGAACCCATTGTGTGGATGCTGCTGAAATCACTTCCGCTGATGAAGACAGGGACTTGGATCTTCGAGATGTCGGCTCGCTTGTCCTCCCAATACGCGTTCGATATGGGCGACCTTCGGTACATCTCGGCGAAGTCCTCGATACCTCCGCCAGGGTTGTTCGTCTTGATGATGTAATGCGTGATCAAGTCGAAGTTGGACATGTTGAACACTCCACCGCGGACGAATTGCTCCCGGTAGATATCAGCCGATCCTTCCCAGGGAGCGATTGCTGCAAGATGAGGAGGCCGAAGACTCGCGACGTGCCACTGGATAATAGCCAACGCCGAGTTACCTGCCATGCCAACCTTACCGTTTGACCATCGCATAGCAGCAATCGCCTCAATAACGTCGTAGCAGTCCTCCGCATCTTGAGATCCCATGATTGGTATTGATCCATCTGAGTTTCCCGTTCCGCGCGAGTCCACCGAAACGATAGCATAGCCTCGCGGACACCAGACCACTGGATCAAGGCCTTCGAACTTCTCCAGACCGCTCAATGACTCCTTTGGAACGCAGCAATTCCACACGCAAATAGGTAGCATATGCAGTGCCGAATACTTCTTGCCATAGCATGACCAGCTTATGACTGCGGGAAGCTTCTCATTTTCAGGCACATCAGCAGGGCGGTAGATGTCGACGTATAATCGGCAGCCATCACGGACTTTGATTTCGACGTCGTGATCTATGCGGATGTTGGAGTCGAGAGGCCGCGCGTTATACGGATTGGCACCTTTGCGCAGGACTTCGGTCTTGCCAGGTGTGAAGCCTTGGTAGTTGTTGACGCCTACTTCGGGCTTGGAGACAGGTTTGTAGGCGATCTGAAGAGGGACAGGCATGGTAGAGAGAATGTGATTCTTGGAAGGGCTGTAAGAAATGAGTCCTGGGCAATCAACCGCCTGTGAGTTCATCCAAGCTGGGGCGAGACAATTGATAAATGTTTTCAAAGTACTGTTACTGATAAATTTGCATTCCGACTCCAGTTCCGACTCGGTTCCTTGATCGTCCGGCTGTTGTCGTTGAGTGGCTGCCCACATGTTCCTAGCGCCCGAAGCCATGATCGGCAAGACTGTCCATCTTATCCCCACACGGGATGTGGGTGGTCGACCTCGCACGTTCTCAACACCATTGGATATAATAGAGTCAGTCAGTGGTCTGTCCATTCATTGCAATCATCCATCATTTCAACACTGCCTTCTCAGTTATTCTTTATTTCACTACGCTTAAAAATGGCACCTCACGCAGAAGAACCGCTTCCAGACACTGGCGTCGACCTTATTCAGCATGATGGCAAGGAGTACGGCGATTGGCGCGATCAATTCCACAAAGAAGGCTGCGCCATCGTGAAAGGCGTCATCACTCCAGAGCGTGCTGAATACTACAAGCGCAAACAGATCGAATGGCTGCAGTCCTTCAACCTCGGCTTTGACCCCAACGACGAGTCAACATGGACAGCTGATCACCTCCCAGTCAGTTTCAAGGGTGGCATGTACTTCTCCTATGCGTCTACACACGAGAAGTTCGTTTGGGAAGCCCGCACAGAGCCCAAGGTCATCGATGCATTCTCAAAGCTCTGGGGCACGGAAGAGCTGATCGTGAGCTTCGATGGTATGAACATCACCCTGCCGCGGCAGAAAGACTTGTCTTGGAGTCCATGGCCACACACAGATCAGAGCCCGCACCGCAAGGGTATGCAGTGTGTGCAGGGACTGCTGAACTACCAACCGAACGGGGAGAACGATGGCGGCCTCATCCTAATGAAGGGCAGCTCCAAGCTGTTTGATGAGTTCTTCAGGGAGACGCGAGAGCAGGACAACCATGTCGACAAGCCGCCGGAGGAAGAAGACTTCAGGGACCTGTTCATCTTCAAGGAGTCAGACGTCAAGTGGTTCCAAGACCACGGATGCAAGTTGGAAAAGATCAACCTCGAGCCTGGTGATCTGGTAAGCCGCCTGCACGCCGTTCTTAGAATCAAAACTAATGATGTTCAGGTACTGTGGGATTCCCGAACCATGCACTACGCATGTTTCCCGCAGGGCGAGCGCATCCGCCATGTGCAGTACGTGTGCATGACGCCTCGTAAGTTCGCGAAGCAGGAAGACCTGGATCTGAAGGCGGAACTGTTCAACACATGGCAGGGAACGACGCACTGGCCGCACTGCAATATTCGCAAACAGGGTCCGCCGCTGAGAGATGGAAAGGTGGACCCGCTGGATAGGTCTGAGCCGCTTGAGAAGCCGGAGATTACGGATCGCTTGCTGCAATTGGCGGCGGTGAAAGCGTACTAAGCTTAAAAATTCACGAGATATTACTAGAGCCGTAGAACTTTACAAATATGTTATTAAATCAAAGCGCTGTATTGCTTCTCTTAGGATAACAGATGGGTGTACATAAGCAGGGCCGCTTCGCAGAATGCCCTGAACAGGCGCTAAGCATACTAGCTTAGCAGCTACCGGCAATTGGTCAAGAAGAAGATGACACTCTTATAGTAAATTGCGTTATCCAGAAGTACGACTATAACGCAACTTGCAGCTCGAGTGACGGAACGCCCACTGCGCGTGGCCCTGTTGGAGCCATATCCATTCCCTCCAGTCCTGCGGCCAAGACATCATTTCCCTACGGACCCACAGCCCATATATGGATCCCCTCCAATCTGTTGCTAGAGACGTGTACAGGCCCGTCGACGTGGGCGCGGTCCCCGGCCAGCGGTTCATCGACCACAGCAAGTATGCTTCCTTCGGAAAAATGATTGAGGCCGACGGTTGGAGCCCGCTCATATAGGCTGCCTGGAATGACGAGTGCGAGACCAGATCGCAAAAGATCCAGGATCTCGGCCTCGCGACGTTCGAGAGAACGGCCGACGATCTCTTTTGCGCAATGCACAGCGAGGTCCTGAAGCCAATCTGTTCCGGAAACTTTGCCCAGGCTTACGATAAGAGCAAAGCGGACGGCGGTGAGCTGCACAATGGCCTGCAAGCTAGGGCATACCGAGCGCGGCTCAAAGCTCTCGGCGAGCAGGATAAGAAATTTCGCGACGGCATCAAGGGCTTCGATGCTGTCTAGGATAAGCTCAAGATTGCTGACATGGACTTACTGATGAGGAAAAAATCCTAAGCTCCATAATTAGATCCTTATGTACAAACGTCTCCTCGATGGCCAGCACGCAGTGTTGGAGAGTATGGATCGCGAGTACCCTGACCTGCCTGAGCCTGCGCCTGAGGGGTAGTCCATCGCCCTCGCCTGCCCAGGCCTCTACCCTCCGGCCTCGGCTCTCATACTCGGGACGCTTTGTGCGGATTCCCTCTCCACCTCGCACCAAATTGTCCGCTCTAGTGTGTGTCTTTACTCTCAGTCCTCTCACGAACAGCACCTAGCATCCTTACCCTACCACGCACCATTGGTCCGTGCTATCATCCCTCTCTGCACTCCTATTCTGAGCAGCAACCGCAGAGCAGGTGAAGCCCCTCTACCACGCCCCGTTTGTCCATGCTAGAATTCGTGACTTCGTTCCAGGTTGCTCCTCGCATGAGCAGCAACCGCGAACTAAGCACATTCTTCATTCATGTGCCCAGTTGCTAGCTGTGTATCGAGGAAGTTTGAGATGCTGGACATTGAATTGGCCACGGAGCCGTGAAACGTTCTTATTGCAATTTTGGGAAAGCTCGCGTGTCCACAGGCATACTTTTGACAACGTTTTTGTAATCGGTTTGGACGTTGTTCGAAGTGAGCATGGCGTTCTCCTAAGTAGCTGACTCGCCGTTCAGGCCATTCGATAATCCAAAATTATACACATAATCACAGCTGGTTCTGCTTCAACTTTCTTAGCCATCTGAGCCGTGGTGTTGTCCAAATCTTCCAAGCCTATCCACGCATGCCGAGCGCTGCTCCATCAGGAACCCAATTAGCGAAAGCTGGTGACGATTGGGACGAATGAGCTTGTTTGGGTGGGATGCGGGACGTAAAGATATCGAGTACTCAATTACTATTTTGTTTGCATATTCATCCGTTCGTAAAAGATCCATCCTCGTCATCGTAAATTAATAGACATGAATGATAAGATTTCCCTCTCCAACTATTGACACCTTATTTGGGGCCAATCTTGCTCTCCAAGAACTTGGGAGCCTCATCCGCAGCCTCGTCCTGGTAGGTGGAGTGCGCAGGCAACACAATCAAGGTTCCGTCGCACACGAGGTCTCCATCCGCGCAGTAGACCGCCAGGTTGGACTGGGGGTAGCTCGGGATTCCACCGTTGTTCTGCTTGTTGCGGGTGTAGCCGAAGAGGACGACGCCCTTGATCTGGTTGATCACCGTGGTCGAGAGAGTGGGAATTGCACCCGCGATGAGGGCTGCACCTTGGCTGGTCGCAAGTTAGGATGAGGTCTACATAGCTGGACGGGAAATAGCTTACCTGTAGCCTCCGGCAACGACAGGGGTGTTCGGGCACTTGGTGTTGGCAAGCTTGAAGAGACGCGCTCCCTCGTTGATTGCGGCAGTAGACGTGCCCTTGGACGCGAGGTTGTCGAGCAGACCAGCGGTGTACGCGCCGCCTACACCCTGTACCCACACATTCGCGGCACCATAGTAGGCCTCGAGGGCATCGGCGAGGATCGGCCCGGGTTGTTCGCCCTGCGGGTGTTAGCATCTTATACCAAATTGTAGTTCTCGGTGTGTTTGCGGCGAACAATGACTCGCGCAACCCGTCCCGAGCGGAAATTTACTTACCATGTTGCCTGCCTGCGACGTGCCCCTCGCATAGATCAGGATGGCCTTGGGACAGGCAGAGGAGCTTCCAGCCTCGAGTTCCGTCCTGGTGGTAGCCGAGTCGCGGGTGATAAGCGGGAATGCGCTCGTCACGGCGACGAGCGATGCGAGGGAGATGGTGAACTTCATCTTGAATTTCTTCGAAGAAAGATCGTTTCTGTCTTACAACCAAATGAATGGGAGACAAGGAGAGACTGCAGATCCAAGGGCGACTTTCGAGAGAGCCGTATCGCTTTTTCGTCGAGATATTCTTCAGTTAAATATCCACTGCTCGAAGTCCCCCATCCTCAAAACGTGCTGTCCTCCGCTCCGCCAGGTTCTTAGTCAGTAAAACGAGCTTGAAATTCGTTTGTATGCATCTTCATCGCCGGCATTCGCATCACCTTGCAAGTCTCCTATATGCGCAGCCAAGTAAAGAAGAGAACTTGGCGAGTTCCGTGCGGCCTCCACCACTCACGGCATGTTTCTCCCACACTAAAGTCCCGTGAGCATGCGCACCGTTGCAGATAGTACACGTGGACCGGGTAGACGCAGCGGAGGCTGCCAGGAACCGGGTGTAGCTCCGCTGTCCGTTCATGCCCAAGTAGGCGCCGAGCGCGGGGTAGGCAGTACGAGGTCACGATACCAATGCCGCTTGGGGCAGGTACACCTAGCGTATCGGTGTCTCGTCGTGGATATTTCCTTGTAAGCCGTTAGAGCGGTGTGGCTGGACGTCAGAACTTGGACTAACACCACCGGAGTCTATCAAAACTCCCAGAATCGAGCTCGGACAACACAATAGCGACCTTAGGCACTGGACGTTGCGGCACCAGCGGTAGTCAAAGCCGTATGAGTGACCAATGAAACTCCTTTCGAGACGGGACAGCCCACGCGAAAACCGAAGCGATGTCGATCAATCGATCGATTGCTGTGATTCATCAGTTGCCCAAAGCCGCTAAACTAGTTATGTCTATCGCATCTGACCCCAACCCCCGCATTGTTGTGACCCCAGTCCTTGTGCCGTTCCAGGACCAAGTAACCGAGGCACATATAGAGCTGCACTGTCAGTTATTGGTGGCCACAGCAAACGCATGAAGAAGGCGCACACAGCGCGAATGAGATATTTACGGTTCCTGCATTAGCAAGGGAGAGGATATACACAAATCATGTCTCTTCACCACCCTCCTCCGTCGTGTTCCAATTACGTGAATCTCTTCACCCAATGCGCATCTCTGGTGTCGAGCTGTACGGCACTTCTCTTGCGCTTGGTCGAGATATCAGCCGCAGTGATGTTGCCACAGTCTGGCGTCTGCAGGTGCTGCCCAAACTTGTCCACTGCCCAGATCAAAACACCGTTGGACCATCCAAAACCCTCGACCACAGTGTACTCTCCTCCACCGCCTGCTGCGTTAGTGCTCTCGTCGGAGTACTTCTCAAACATGGTTCCATTGCCTCCTGCATTGGCGAGCTGGGCGAATTCTGGTGTACTGCCGCCAGTGACACGCCACGTGCAAAAGGTCGAATCCACGTATCTTTGTGCAAGGCGAAGCGCGAGAGCTTGCGTCCAGACATAGTCTTCGGAGGTTTGGTTGCTCTCCGTTGTGGATTCGAGCGGCGTGTTGAGCAATCCCTCCATCAGAATGTGCATTAGAGGCGGCCAGACATTAGGCTCGTCCCATTGCTGGCCAGTTTGGATGTTCGTGGCAGCGATTGCGCCCGCGCGGTCGTCAAGCAGCTCCTCGATGCGAGTATAGACACGGCGCAAAGCCGATGGGTCGTTCTTGATTTCCTCGGGTGCAGCTCCCAGCCAGAAAGGATAGAATTGAGCCAGATGGAAGAATACCTGCTGACCAGCCGGAGCTCCAGGGGTATCACCTCGGACAGTTGTGTTGTCTGCGATGACATAGACGTTCTTTGCCCCAGAAGTCAAGTTGTAGTCGAAGTAGCTGTAGTGCTCAGCGTCCCACAGCAGCGCTGTCATCGCCGCGCTTCGTTCAGCAGCCCGGCTCGCCCACGCAGCAGCGGCAGTGTAGTTACCCTGAAGGCGGTGGAAGTCCGCGATTGCAACCTCGTTAGCGTACAAGATCGAATTGAGATCCACTGGGAGGATGTTGACAGTGTTCAAGGAGCGCAGAGGGAAGGATGTCTGCGTGACGCTGTCCGCCGGGTTGGCAATCCAGCGTGACGAGTAGTCCCAACCGCTTTCAGCACCAGAAGCTAGATTGGCATACAGCTGGGCTTTTTGCTCATCGGTGAGTGCCTTCGAATTATTGAAGATCTTCCCTTCCTCGTTGTAGTACGACGCGTTATTTGCAGTCACGTAGTCCTCGTAGAAAGACTCTGGTCGCGGCTGGGTGTTCGACACGGCGTAGTGGTTCTAAACAGAATGTCAGGAAAGACAGCCTAGTTTGAGCAAACAACTCACCAAACTGTAGTTCCTTCCCGCTCGCTCCAGCGTCACTGTTCGATTGTTGACCCAGAATTCATACTCCTTCTCCAGCAACGGAAGAGCACGCTCAAGGAGAGTGTAGTTCTGGGTGTATTCAACGTAAATGCGTACCATCTGCGTGAGAAGCGGCGGCTGCGACCGATTGAGATAGTAGCGACGAGCGCCGTTCGGGACAAAGCCGATCGTCTCCACCAGATCCAGGAAGTTCTCAATGATGTTCTCCGCAATTTGTGTAAACGAGCCTTTGGTTCGTAGCAGACCTTCGATGATCCAGAAGCTGTCCCAGTAGTACGGCTCTCGGAAGCGACCGCCAGCAACAACAAAAGTCCGATTTACGGGAATGAACGAGTTCACGCATTCCGTACAATTGCTTGGCCCCGCATAGCGCCGTGTCAGATCAGGCCAAATATCGATCACCTGGGATGTGAAGTTGGCAATTGTTGAACTATTGACACGGTCTAAAAAGTCCGGTTGCGTCTTTAGCTCATCCGTGGGAACTGCCTCGAGCTCGCTGCCCGCCTCGCCGAAATAAGTCGTCAAAAAGTCGTTCAGAGCGGTATTGTTCTGGATCGGTTTCTCGAGCTGGTTGAAGGCATCAATGACTTCGCTGAGGGGTTTAATTGTAGGTCTGCAGAATTGTGAGTCGTTGTTGTGAATCTCCTCGCTCATGACCTACAGATCCACAAACGTCTTGGAGTCAGAAAACGGGCGCGCGAGCTCAATTTCGCGTAGGATATCCCCGTAGCAGTAAATCGGTGAGTCACAGGGCGCAATCACAGAGCCATTTTCATACAAGGCGGATGCCAATGGCACAATTGCAAAGAAGGCTGCGGCAGAAGCTCGTGAGACTTTCATGACGGCGCTGGAAGATGGGCAGGAGCAATTGAGGGCACTGCGTAACCGGCAATTCGTTGCGGCTCCATGGCGCCTTTAAACGTTTTCATCGATCGGTCATCACGGTGCATCAGCAGCGCGCAAAGAACCTGATCGTGCACCGGGAAAAGGTGGGCCACTGCCGAGCCAACGTAGGTGGCTGTAGGACGAGAGATCGGCGCGTACGGAACACGAACCGCTTACTTGGCACATGCTACTCGTTTCTTGAACACGAAGCCGGGGATCCGACGCCTGTTGTCCGACGGGAAGCAGTGGCGTCACTGGTTCGTGTGTGGGGAGGATGTTGTTGGAGATGCCTGCAGGATGCGAGCTTTCCCCGCAACGCCCGTAAGCGTAGAGCTTCCTCTCACAGCTAGCGTAACGTGGAGCTACAGCGCAACGTCATTGTTGCACACCGTAAGAAACGGCAACAACCACACTGGCTGATGGCAAAAAATGGGAACTCAGAAGGTGGCCCCTATTATGAAAATCCAGGCTAACTTATTTTGCTATGAGTCCACAAGCGTAGAGCAGATTCAGTTGATACAGGATAAATTGCGCTCCTACTATAAGCATATCCCCAATTTTTGTGTTGGCTACTGTGAACCATTGATTCCTCCTATTCGCCGTCAAATCTATTGCTGTTTAGCGAAGAACTTGATAATTCCGCTCACAAGACGGAATCCTTTTCTTGACATGATTTCGAGCGTACAATTTCCCGATTCCTGTCCGTACTGATGCTTGATCACATTCTTTTGAACTACGCATATGACGAAGAGGAATACCACTTTGGAAAAATGCATCAACACTTGTAGGGCCGATCAAAGCGAAACAAAACTATACAATAAGCAAACATACTCGTAATTGCAGCACCACCTTACATTCGCTAACGCCAAGAACCTCATACACCTCGAGCCCGATCCCGCCAGTTGAACACTGCGATTTTTGTGGTTCTTTCAACTGTAACCATCCTGTCGTCAAGCTCATATTGACCAGGTGGATAAAGTTGTGCTGAGAAGACGCAGATCCAGGATCGCCTTCTACAGGATGAAACATGCGGAGCTTCCGGCTGTGTTAAAGTAAGATACTCTGGGAAATCGGTCTAGTCCTTTAAGAAACAGATTGTATGATGAATCGTAGTTGCCAGTCCGGCTCCTAATAGCTAAATAGTCTATGCAGCCAGTCGAAGGTCCGAGTCTTGGTCGCTGGAACCGGCATCCAGGAATTTCAGTAGCCAGAAAAACACAGATACCGCTGCAATATCTCGCCGCTTAGCCCATGTTGCCTGGGCTATCTCCAGAGCCAACAACTAACGTCCGTTTTCGTCCATTATGCTCATGATTTTGGTATTTCATCGCCATGATCTACCACTTCTGAAATGAACATAGACAGTGAGATGTGCATGTGTCCAAGTTGAACGGTCCGAATCTCCGCTCGGCGTGGTACGCAGAGTGCTTGGGCTGAAGTATTGTGCTGGGAAGCCTTCTCACGAACTGCAAACCCGATTCGACCGAGATTCCCAAAAGCCGGTCATCTTTACAAGCACAAGACGGCTGCCATGAAACATTGGATACGAAGCACGCAGAAGGCGTCCTATCTTGGTACATGAACGAATCTGTCGATTCGTCTGTGGCAACGCTAGGAAGTCTTGGTGGTGCTTTTGTCGGTGTTTGCGATAGAAGCGTATGGGCATCCAGATCTGAGGCGACCAACTCGTACACCATGTTTCGAATTTCACCTGGTGAATGCTTGCCGCGTCAGCGAGGTACTGGACGATACGATGTGATTAACATGGGATCTGAGTCGGGTGTGGCCGCGAAGGGGTCTCGATTCGTAGTGTCAATTATGATAACGGTCATTTGGGTAGGAAGCTTGCGTTGACCTTCGGGGTTGCGCTGAAAGAGCCAGCAAGCAAACCGCACAGTACAATGGGCCACCGCTGTCTGTACGCGGGCCACGATTTTGTTTCTTGGTGTCATTGGCCTGCACTTTGCATGGTCCAGTGACTCTCCCCTTCACTGCGCTAAGCTCGACACGTTTGCTGAGTCTGCCCACACAGCGACGACTTTCAAGCGTTTGCTCCCGGTTCCTTCCTGCTGCAAAACATCGCAACATCAGGTACGTCGACAACCCGCAGCGTGCTGATTTGCTAACGCTCGCAAGTATGTCTTCACATGAGGAACCAGAGCCCGATGGGTTGTGGTACTCCCATGGGTTGTGGTATGCACGGAATTCCCTCGAACACATCGAGGGCTATGTTCGCGCCAACGACATCGCGCGTGAGCTCCTACATCCCTGGCTAACGCCAGAAGGTCAGGATTGGTTTGCGGTTTGTGTGGGCACCTCCGAGGTGACTGTCCTTCGCTGGCTACAGTTTCGGGAGCACTTTTATGCGCTCATAAAGAAGCACGAAGCGGCATCACGGCGTCAACGCCATGGCCGGTCAGCTTCTTGGGCCCTTCGAAAGCTTGGACATGGTAGTTCAGCGGGTCGAGCAGCGGGTGTTTGAGACAATTACGGACCAAACGGTGCTCGGTCTTATAGCTCTGGCCCAGACGGCGCTCCACCACCTGGTCCCTCGCCAGATGCTTCGTCGAACGGCCCGAGAGTTCATGAGTACAACTGGGCAGGCGCAACCCCTCAGGCACGGGCCAATTCTTACACAGGGGAGACTATGAACGACAGCACGAGGGCTCCCAACACCGGCATCAACCCTTGTCCGGCGTCCCTGCCCACCGGAACTGCTACGACACCTCCGTCCGACAGTTCTCGTCCCCAACCGAACGCTGCGTCGTCTTCGCTCTCCAACGACCAACCGGCACGTACCCTCCTCCTCCTGGGGGAGCCACACAAGAGCCTCTCCCTACCGTCGTCCCCAGACAGAAGCGGAGCGGCTCAAGGAAGACATGGAGATCGAAACAATGTACGACCAGTCATAAGCTGCTCATCACCTCTTCGTTTTTCTCCCTTCTCTTCTCTCCTCTTTTACCCTTGATCCGCTCACTGAGCGGATCTCTTCTCTGCAATTTGATTGATCTGATTCAAAGAGGGTGTCACTTTGCTTGGCGGTGATGATAGGTGGTGAGAGAACTCTTTTTCATCGCCATAGCTGGCGCTGCTGGTTCTACGAGTAAGATTCATGTGTGAGGCCTGTATTTGAGTGGCGCGGCTTCTCAACTCGGCTTCTTCTCGTGTGGAGATGCCGTGCTTCAACCAGAGGCATTGTTGATCTTCTGTTTCTTTCTCTTTCTTCTGACCCAGCTGGGAGAAGGATGGTGTATTTGCGGGTAGCTTGACATGTAAATCACGGCTGATTCCACATTGTGATTCTAGCCAAGTGCAAGACAAGGCCCGTGTTGTTGTCGGCCTCTGTGGATAGTTCATTGGAACGGATGACCTTCACTTCTAACCGCGCTGTGGAAAGGATGACATGTCCTGGAGTACCTTAAAATATGATACAATCCAATTGTATACTATGACAGGTAGGCTGGACACATGACAAGGCCTGCGAAGGACACAGGAAGTGGTCATCTCGTGTAAGGGCTTGGCTTCATCCACGTTATCGTGTACCATGAACGCCGCCCGGATGGATGGCCAGCATGTGAACGCCTTGGTAAGAATCTGTGTACTGGAAACTGTAAGACGGCGTACGGGCATTGAAGGGCATACCCTGCACACTGGCATGGAGACGGGATGATGTTCAATTCTAGTAGCGCACAGGCCGCACCTTAAATCCCTCTCACGACAGCAGTTCCGAAATCTCTCCTCCGCCGTTCCGATCACCACCAACAACTCCTCCCAGCCATGGCGCCCGTGCCCATGCCCTCGGCGCTCAGCTTCGAGCTGCTGGGCAAGTGCTCTGTACGCATCTCTCCCCCAGCAAACTCCAATTCTAACAGCAGACCCAGGTCACCAAAGCACGCGCCGCAACCCTCCACCTGCCCCACGGCCCCGTCCCGCTGCCCATCTTCATGCCGGTGGCCACGCAGGCCTCCCTCAAAGGCCTGACGCCCGAGCAGCTCGAAGAGCAGGGATGCAGGCTCTGCCTCAACAACACGTACCATCTGTAACTCCCACCCGGCACACGTCCTTCGAACGTCCCCTTCTGACACGGGGGAGAGGTCTTAAGCCGGGCCAGGCCACGCTCGACGCGATCGGCGGCGCGCACAGGTTCCAGTCGTGGCCGCACAACATCCTCACAGGTGCTTGAACCGCCATCTGCAGGAAACACAGCGGGGTGCTGACTGGTGCAGATAGCGGTGGGTCCGTAACTCGCTCCCTACTCGACTCTGCGAACGATGCGCTTACGGCCACAGCTTCCAGATGGTATCGCTGCTCAAGCTGGCGCAGGTCACCGAGGAGGGCGTGCGGTTCCTCAGCCCGCACGACGGATCGCCCATGCTGCTCACCCCGGAGCACTCGATATCTTTGCAGAACTCCATCGGCTCCGACATCATCATGCAGCTCGACGACGTGATCGTGACGACTTCGCCTGATCTGGCGCGCATGAAGGAAGCCATGGAGCGCTCGGTGCGCTGGCTGGATCGGTGCATCCAGGCGCACAAATACCCGGAACGACAGAATCTTTTCTGCATTATACAAGGCGGATTAGACCTGGATCTACGGCGAGAATGCACGGCTGAGATGGTGGCGAGAGATACGCCTGGTATTGCAATAGGAGGGCTATCAGGCGGCGAGGCAAAAGACGAGTACTGCAAGGTGGTAGACACTTGTACGAGCTTGTTGCCAGAGAAGAAGCCGCGTTATGTCATGGGTGTGGTGAGTATTCTCATCCATCATGCAGACCTGGCTAACTGGGGCAGGGCTACCCTGAAGACTTGGTGGTTTCGGTCGCTTTGGGCGCCGACATGTTCGACTGTGTATGGCCAACTCGAACGGCTGTATGTAATCCCATCTCCAAGCTAACGACTGCCTCTGACTTTGCAGCGTTTCGGCAATGCCATTACTGCCCGCGGGGTGCTCAACCTTCGCAATGCAGTTTACTCAACCGACTTTGGCCCCATCGAAGAAGGCTGCCAATGTACGTGCTGCCGGTCTCCAGAGGACGGCGGCTTGAGTATCACGCGTGCCTATATCTACCACACAACTGCAAAGGAGACTGCAGGTGCTCATCTGCTCACTATGCACAACGTCCACTACCAGCTCAATCTCATGCGACTGGTCCGCGAAGCCATCCTCGAGGATCGGTATCCAGCTTTCCTGCGGAGCTTCTTTGCCAAGCTGTACGATGACAAGAGCAAATACCCGGAGTGGGCGGTCGGCGCTCTGAAGGGTGTCGGGGTTGACCTGCTGAGTGACTAGGTGCGGTATGCGGTGTTGGTTGAAAAAGCGTGCCTGGGAAAGTAAACAAGACAGACTTCGGGCTTGTCGTCGCTTCGACCCAGCGAACAGTGAAGCAATAAACATAGATGGCTTATGTGTGCTGTCAATTCCCGGCATGAATCCTCACCTCTGACTTTGTGCTGGTCTGCAGACGAATGGTGTCCTTGGTGAATGCGTATTCCAAATGTCGTCCACCTATCGGCTGGTGAACAACTGCTGTAAGATCTACCGCTGGCTCGGCTCGTTATATCCAGCATCAGCTCTGCCATTTCCGAAAGAGCCTATTTGACTCTATCAGTCTTGACTCGGAAAAGAGGCCGACGCAAAGCATTCCGCTCCAATACTGACGGCTGCTATAGGTAGAAATGAAGAAGCCCTGCTACGAAACTCTGTGACCATGGAGGGGTTGAGTGTCGGCGATCCCTAAGGTGGCTGCCTGAGGTTACTGAAGATCATACCCAAACTCCACGCTAGCGGAGCCTCACTATACGATAATGGACGTTTCGAGGACCCGTACGCGCCGAGATAAACTCAACCTGCGATGTCCGGGTCCCGCTCTGCTGTCGTAGCCGATAACGTTAGTCCTACTTGCAAGTTGGAAACTTTGCGGAGGCTCCATCGCTGCGAGCTTTGACTTCTGACCGTTGCTATCGTGTTGTCCCATCCTACTCGTATAGAGTACCATGTGGAGCACGTCTCTTACTCGTACTGCCTCGCTGAATGTTGCCACAGGATCCGCATACCTTCTCCGCACGTCGGGTTAGAGCGACGGATGTCGAATGAAAGAACCTCGGAGCGAAAATGACGTGCCGTTGGTACCGCTTTCGGGCCTGTTATCCATCCGTCGGTATTTTTGGACCTGCATGCTGTAATCGCTGCTGTAAAGCTGAAATGCCGTGCCTTCCTAATCAGATTGACCGGATAGTAGTCGACTCGTGTCCCAGCGTAGTCTTTAGAATACGAGACATGTCTTGGGCAACATACGCGTAGATATAGGCTACGCTTACGAGGACAGCTGTCGAATCACTTGCGGGTGGAGAACATGCGGATTACATGCGCAAGGTGGTCGTTGGCCATTCGGTAAGCGACGATGATCGCAATCTTTTGGATCGAACTGCGGCTCGCGTACGCTCTTGCTCGAAGAATTGCTCCGCTGGCTTCAGATTGACAGCTCGGCCCCACTTACCTTGACTCGTACCGGGAATGGTAAAGGCGGTCCTGATTGTAGACGTCGATCCGTCTTTACTGGGAACTCACGCGCATCCTTGTCTGTTACGTACAGGGCGAAAACCGCAACCAGCGGCTGCAGCAATGCTAAAATAGACACGACCAGCAAGACATGGCAGTGTGTAGACCGATGGACCCAGACTCAGACTCAAAAGCAGGTCATTCTTCCCAGTTGGCCGGTGCTGGTTGGTAATCCTGCAGCATCTGATATCGAAACGGCAGCCGGCGGGAATACAGGGCTTCTGTCGTTGACCGGGGAATTCCCCCAATGAGTGCGCAACTACGGACTGTCGGCAGTAGTGGGCGAGCTGGTGTCATTTCCTGCGGACTCAAGTAGAGTGTCGTCTAGTCCAGGAGTGGTTCGAGTAAGCGAGCTTGCCGTGTAAATCTGACATACTCCTTTGATGGTCCCTAAGTGGAAAATCCAATGTCTTCAACTCATGCATACGAGTTATTGAACGCACCTGCAAAACAACCACGAGATGCCGGGCTCACGTGCTTGGTCGCAATAGTTTCCGGTCGAGTTTAGTTTGAACAGTGCAAACAATTGCAGATCGACCAGAAATGGCTAGTAAGTGAATGAATGGCGGACCTAGCCGTGTTCTATTGGACCCGATGCGTTTTCAGTCCATTAAAATCTCCCAATAGAGGTGCCAAGAGCTGGCGCCTCCGCCCTGTAGTCGCCGTTCAAGCAAACTCTGAGGTGTTGACCAAGACGCCTCCAGCGGCTGCTCGTGGGCGCCACATTACACTATAATCGGGCCTATGCTTTGTGCCTTGAAGTTAAACATCAAAATGTGGAGCAGTGTCTGATGCAATTTCTCGTGCGGATCTCACCGCGCATTTGCTTTTGCGGATCACAGTGTCGCTCGTGGGCGAGTGCGTCTTCGCTACAGGGAGAAAAGACATACAACATAGATCGGCAGCGGCTAATGGCGGAGGAGCCTCATTCTCTGCTCGAAATGCACCGAGGTGCGAACTGGCGGTAGGGCCCCATTCCAAAAACGTCGCAGCGCCGCCCGAGATTCGGCGTACCAAAGCGTCTTCGATGGCTCAATCACTAACCTGCTCGACGTCGGACGAATTCCTGAAAGCACTTGGAACCGTTATTGTGCAAACCTTGCGCCTCAGCTGCCATGGACACGAGAGATGGCGTGGGCGTGGGGTAGGCTGCCGTCATGTGTCCACCATGCTGCGGGGCCCTACACTGTTGATTGCCAGATTCAGCGGATGGATTCAAGTTGGCGGCGGGCGACCAGCAATTACGGACGGGGGCAGCGCTGGCGAGGACAGATAGGGAAAGCCCAGCCCAGAAGGAGTTGGTGTGCATAGCACCTCGTGGCCAGGCGATGGATCGTGGGTGAGGCTGCGGGTGGTTTGGTGGCGCTCGTAAAAGCTAGAGCACGGAGCAGCTTGGGGTCCAAAACCAGGGGTCGGGGTGGCGGCATCGCGGTGGATGGTGAAAGGGCCCATGATTTCCGGGCGATCTACGTCGCTTCAAGGACAGTGCATGTTGGCAGTTGGCCCTGGCTGCAGCTGGGTGCGAAAATAGAGCTGGACCTCGTACTTGCGGCACTTGGGTCAAGGCTGCACATGTTGTGCTGCAGGTCCGCCCAAGATATGCAGCGAGCAGAGGCCGTCGGCGCTCCGGTTATGGTTTTCAGACTGTCATAGTTATCGGGGGAGAGGCTGAGGGCTCCGAGGACCCGGTCGCACACGGGCCAGGGCGCAAATCATAGCGCAGCGTGTTAAGTCGTTGCGCTGTATGGGCCGCCCGCAGCGCTCGCGTGCGCGCGTCCAGCTTGCCTGGGGACGGCGGCGCGGCGGCGGCCGCGACAGGCTGGGCCGACGCACGGCAGAGCAGCGCTGGTGCTTGCGTGCGCGGTCGTCGAGGGCCGATTTGCGTGCGCTGTGGCGAGCAGTCCCGGGGCGGTGGGAAGGGCATGGGGGTCGGCGGGAGGGTTTAAGCTTGTTGGCCAGCGCAGCATCAGCCGCCCGCCCAGACGATCCGACCCATGCTCCTTGCGCGCATCTCGTCGCAGACGACGCGGCGTGGATGCGGATGCGCGAGCCATTGGGATGGGTGCGCTGCTGGGGCGCGCAGCACCAGTTGCTTGCTCAGCTGCAAAGGGCCTCCGGCTCGCAAGCGACGTCGTTGGGCGCGCACGTGCGGGCGGCGGCGACGCGTTGAGCTGGCGTCTGGACGCGACGAGAGCGTCGTGGGCGCCGAAGGAAGCAGACAGCCATGTGGAAATGGGACGATGCGTGCAGGGTTCGCTGCCGGCGCGAACCTCAGCGTCGGCGCGGCCACTGGCGCTGCCCCGGCGCGCCGCGTCGTCATGGCAGCTCGAGCGTGCATCCAACTGGCAATGGCAGCGCAGACGAGCGCCGTCGCCGTCGTCGCTGAATCAGGCCGTGGGCGTGTGGACCTGCGATGCGCCAGCGGCGACCTCGGCGCGGGTAGCGCCTGCCTGCCCGGCCGCTGGCCGCTCCTGCCCTGGCTGGACGCGCTGGACATGGCAATCTGCCCTCGAGTGCGTCCCACGCCCGCAACCGCCCTCGACGACGGCTTCACCACCACCGTGATGCTATTCTGAGCAGAGTGCCGCATCCTGGTCTACCGGAATCCAGCACGTCCCGCCCATTAGCCCGCTCGCGCCCAGCCAGCGATCGCCCAGGGGTGTATTCACTGACCCCAGCTCACCTCCCGTCGTGCGTCTGGTGCTCAGTCCTCGCACCAGCCCAAGCGTTGCAGGCCTCTCTCCCTAACCCAATAGTGGCATGCAGCGTGCCCGCACTCCGCATCATGTATGCCCTATAGCACCATGAATCCCGTATCGTCTGCAGCTCGATCCCCTTGCCCATCCGTCTGCGTGCCATCCTTACTGCTTATCGTGAATCACATAGCTCGGCAGGGCCCCAGCACACCGTCGTCGTCCCAATCTGTCTAGACCGCCTGTTCCCTCTCAGCCGCCTGCTTGCCGGTTCGAGCTTTCACCCTCTGCGTGCAGCCTGGTTCGGGCTGGCAAGTCAGTCTACGGGGCCCGTCCGCCTGGTAGTGAGTTGGGGTCTGTTGTGGCGGTCTTCACACGTGGTGTGTGCTCCCCTTTCCCTATATCTGACATCCTCCTCCGGCTCCACTTGGTACCTGAGCCATACGACACTTGAGCATACTCGCCTCGCTGCCTCGCCCGCCTCTGTACCCACACGTAGCGCTGCTCCTTGACAGCGTCTCCTCGGGTCCGCCGCAAAATCTGACAGCTGGGCCGTTGACGCCCCGCCAAACCACAGCCAGCCGATCGACACTTGCTGGCGGGCGCTTTCCCCTCCTGGCCACATAGCGCCGCCTCTGCTTGCGGACCAGTAACCTGCCGGCCGATCTAGTGTCCTCTCCTTAAACACCGCCTTGCCCAGGTACGCCTCTTTCCCTATCATCCGGAGCGGCCCAAGGAGCCGGGCGACCTTCCAACCATCCTGGGATACCTCTTTACTGACCATCGGCCAGTCTCGACAAAGACACGGCCAACGTCCAAATCCTCCTTGCAAATGGATGTAGCCGACCCCAACCCGGGTGCGGGGAGTGGCGCTGGCGATGTGTCACCAACCGCCTCGAGCAACGCAAAGGCGAGGAAGAGGACCAAGACCGGATGCCTGACCTGCCGCAAAAGGAGAATCAAGTGCGGCGAAGAGAGGCCTACCTGTGCCAACTGCATCAAATCAAAACGACAGTGCGAAGGCTACAACCAGCGCGTCGTCTTCAAGCCTCCCATCGGGGACTGGCCAAACCATCCAGGAGTGGTGACCAACCTGCAATATCACAACTCGATGCTTCCCGGCAGCCGTGCACAAACTTACCGTCCCACTGCCTCATCGGCGCAGGCGTCTGAAAACACCCTCTCATCACTCCAACCCCGACCGCTCAGCCACTTCGATTACCGATCGGAAACCCCACCTGCTCTTGACCACCTCAATACCCAGCATGCCTACACCGGAACTGGCCCATCCTACGGGCAGGACGGTAGCTACAGTCAACCCCTCGCCTCACCTCAACACCAACCACTACATTCTCCTCAGCATCAACTGCCAACGCCCACAAGCGCGACGTCTTACTTTCCTCAGACGTCGCCGGTGCATGCAAGCTTCCAATCACAGTATGCTCAGAATGCTGCACGATATTCACCCACGCAATACCAAACCCAACCTTCTCACGACCAGAATTATACGTACGGGAGCCACTCGCAGGCACCCATTCAACCGCCACAAATTAGTTCCGCGAGCTACAGCCAGGCCTACTCACTGGCAGCCTCACACGGAGACGATTCGCATTCTATTTACCAACCTGTTCAGATACCCCAGCATGACGTGTCTTCATCTGTAGCGTATATGCCCCAGCATGCTGTTTACGGTATGTCTCGTGTTTAGTTCCGGCTTCCGTCCTTTAGCGGCCACCATTGTTATTTCTTTCTCTGTCCATCTGTATAAGCACACTCTGGCCTGTCAAGACGGCCATCAAATATTACTACATTCGTTTCCTGTCGGTACTCTCCACATGCTATGCTCTGCCCTATGCCTCGTCTGTGAGCATCAAATCTTAGTCTGCACTCTTGCATGTGGAACGAGAGGCGGCTAACGATGGCTTACTATAGAATCTGCTACCGCGACTACGGCGAGAGACCTCCCCGTCAGTGGTCTTGGCCGCGACGACCACATCAGCCTCACACAAGTCCTTGAGGAGGCTGCTGTAGAGGAAGTTGATGATGACTACTGGGATGTTGACTCGGACGCAGAGATGGCGGATATGCCAGGAGCGCCTGATGAGGACGCCATGATCTTGAGTCGGGATTTTAGTCTCATGCGAAAGATACAGTACCAGCATACGAACGAGTTGTCTTTGCGACGATATGATGCCTTCATCTACGAAGGTGTCTTGGCATCCTACAAAGCGGAGCAGGTTGCAAATCCGCTGAAGAATCCCAGAACCGCAAGAGTGTTTGCGCACTTCATCCACGTCACGGCACCAGCAAGTTGACGCAAATCCATCGCAGCCCGTGGCTTCGGCTTACCCATACCAGTCACTCTCAATCTACGAGCGAAACCCGCGAAACCCCGCGTCCCTGTTCGAAGGACCGACCCCGCCGTCACAGCAGAACCTGTGGACATACATCCTACCGTTGAAAGCTCTGAACCATCAGGGGTTGCTGCACGCTATGCTGGCATTGGCGAGCTTACACATCGCAATACTACAGCGTGCTTCGGTAACCCCATCGTACAAACATTACGGTCTGAGCAGACGCACACATACACTTTGGTTGAGCTGACCAAACGACGCAGCGTACGCATTGAAGCGGCTTGGAAGATCGCTTGCCAACCCCAAACGACGGCACACCATTGCTACAGTTGCAACAAGTCTACTCTTGGCCTTTTACGAAGGCAAGATGTCCTCTCTCCCTGTCCGAGCCTTGCTGAGAAGATAGTGATGACTGCCGAGCACGTCAAGTGGTCAACCCACTTAGTTGGAGCTGCGCAGCTGCTTTCCGAGCTCGACTTTCCCTCGCTTACCCGAGAAGCCCGCCGTTTGAGAGCGGCCCAAGAGGCTCAAGAGTCAAAGTTCCTCGCCGGTCTCGGCGGTGCAGATCCACTACCGACGATAGATACAATGATGCCCGACGAAGGTATGGTCAGTGCGATAATTGGGAAAAAGGTCAGTTATGAAGATTTTGGGAGGGTGCTTGAACCAGGCGAAGATGGCCAAGAGAAAAGGTCCCCTTTGCCAGGAAAGTTGGACATCAAGACGTTTGAAACGTTGCAAGATCTGCAGTGGTTTTACATGCGCCATGACGCCTTTCAGAGCATGGTCAGCGGCAATCCCTTGATGTGGGTGGACCCTTCCCTCTTACCAGTGGCATCACTGACAGTATAGAACACCCTTTCGCAAGTGGTCCAACTGCCCCCCTCGCGCACCGCTCGGCCGCCCAGACGCCGTCTTTGGTACTCATGACCACGTCGTTCTTCTCATCGCTCGTATAGCCGACTTTGCCGTTCGAGATCGCCCGAGGAAGCTCAAACAAGTGGAAGCAAATGGGGGACAGTGGAGGCCGAGCCCCAATATGCCTGGCGGCATGCCTACGGGGCCACCATCTGCGGCAGCGGGACCTTCGGGGTCTTCAAATACTCCGGCCACACCCATGAGTCCCCAGCCACAGCTGCATGGGACCCCTGGCTCCATGTCTACACCGGTCGCTGAACAAGGATCAGGACCACAGCAAGGGCATAGACCACGCGCACCACCTCCCATGCCGGCGTTCTATGGTATGGCACCAACTCAAGGTCCGTCGGCACTTCCCAGAAGCTACGCGACACCCGAAGGCTTTGCCTATGAGCAATCCCCCACAACTTCCAATACTCCCCACCCAAAATTTGCAGATCTTCCTGCTGCCCTTGCAGCAGCAGAAGAAGAGTGGCAGGAGATGTCTCGAGCCCATGCCACGATCGCAAGCACTCTCACCAACAATGAGGCCTTTTCACCTCTCAGCGATGACCTTTACCCAGTCGCTCCTGGCGGCAACATGACACCCTTTGGGCCGGCCCTCGTGCACCGCAGCTACGACATAAGCACAATTTGGACGATGCTCCATCTTTCTAAGATCTTGCTCATACGGTCGCATCCTGCAATGCCCCCTGCTGCAACGATAGCAGCTGGCGTTGCCGCAGCAACAACCAAACCCTACGCCATGCTGATCGGACGTGTCTCTGCAGGTATGCAAGTGCCGGCTAGCGACGATATACCGCTTAGTCCCTTCCTCGGTGCGGCCCTCATTGAGACCACGATGGCACTTTTCTTCGCAGGCGTGCAGTATCAGGAACCCCCACAGCGCGCTTGGCTCATCAAGCGCCTACTAAGTATCGATCGTCGAACGGGCTGGGCATCCGCGGCAGTAATCGCGCGTGCGTGCGAGACATCCTGGGAAAGAGCTGCAGAAGCAGGGAGAGGGCCGCGATATGAGGGTAGGAAGACTCGACCGTATGGCGAAGACGGACCGATAGTACTCGACGGTGAGGGAGACGAAGGAGGATGGGGTGGCGGTGGAGTGGTGAGGGGGAAGGTGTTCACTGTGATTAGTGACGACGCGAGGTATACTGCGATGGGGAGTGTGAGAGTGCCGTGGGCAAAGAATGTGTTGGCCAGTGAGGAGGAATTGCGGGCAGATATGGAGAGGGTAGAGTTGAAGGGTCGCTGAGTAAACCACCGGGTACAAAGTGGACTTGCCTTTATTGCAGAGGAAAAGACCCCTCGCTTGGCTGGGACATGCGCCATCCTGTCTTGACTTGCTGACGCGACAACGACACGCAAGGACACTCGACGGCCTCACCATCGTTGGACGACGGTGGACCCGACGAGAACGAAGTCAACCATTTTCACCTACGAACGATGCGACACTCAACCGTTTTATGAACCTTATCCTCCGGGCGGAACAAAAATTAGATTTGACATTTTACGGGCTAGACAAATTTCTGGGCGCAGGTATTGGAACGCGACCTGGATCTTTTTCGCGGACTTTGGCCTCTTTGGGTGCGACGACTCGATCACAATCACAATGACATGATTTATTACACAGTTGCCACGTTAGACTCACAGTACCAGTATGAGTTCCATGTGACACTTCCATTAACAACTAGACGCCATGTCCCGCTGTGTATGGCAGACTATCGACATATTATATGGACATTAGAGGCGGCTGCACAGCTTCTTAGTAGGGCCAGGATGCAGGATGGTGACGCTGCCCAAGTCAAAAGGCTAGATTACAATGAGAAGTTTGAGGCAAACAAAAGGGCATCCCAGTCAACGCCAGCTTTCCCACAAATTTACTGGGTATAATTCGACAGCTCGACGTACATCGAAGCACTTCGGTTGGGAACGGCGGCAGCGTGTCTGCTCAGCAGCCGCGTATCCACGTCAAGTGTAGTTGGGGTTGCGACTCTGCAGCGTGACGAGCGTATCGTAGAAGTCGGCACGCCAGTCCACGCACTCGAGGTACTCCCACCAGAGGCGCAGCGCCTTGGGCTCGTCGGCATCAGCCTGCATCACGTCAGCCCGGTCCCCTTCGCTGTCCTCGGACGCAACTCGCCTGATCAAACGCCTCGAGGAGAAAGTCCTTCTTGATGAGATTCGTCTTCATATCGGCGTCCTTCTTCCACGCCCGCAGTGCCTCCACATACCGCTTCACGTCGCGGACAACCTTCGCCTCGCGCGCGGCCATCTCCTCGTCCGCGACGGACCCGCCCTCGTCCTCCGCAACTGCAGGCAGCGCCCCGCGGTATGGCGGCGCAGGGAAAAAGTGGTTCTGCAGCGCCTTGGTCACCCAGCCGGGCCGCCCCGGGCTCGCCAGCCACTCGGCCCAGTACTCGCGGACCGAGGCCGGCGCGCACTGCGCCATGCGGTCGTGGTCGAGCTTGTCGCTCCAGCGGGACTGCGTGTAGTGTCCGTGGTACACGTATCGCTTGCGGAGCTTGCCGTCGGGACCGGGCACGCTGCGCAGCACAAACATGGGGACGTTGGACGCGCTGTCGAAGGTCTCCGGGAGGTCGAAGACTGGGCTATCCTCCGGGTTGATGTTGAAGAAGGGAACGAGCTTGGCGCCATGCTGGCCGGGAGCAGAAGGGAGGTGCGGGTCGTACGTGGGGTCCACGGTGTAGTAGACGCGGTCAGGGAGGATGGAGGTCTGTGGGGGTGGCACAAAGACCAGACCTGGGCCCCAGAGGTTGCCACCGAGGTGGTTGCGGAGGAAGTCGCCGGAGAAGCTGGTCGTTGTTTTGGGGGACGGGATCTTGGAGGTGATGGAGGGCGGCAGGTCGGGGAGCTCGGCAATCGGGTGCGGCTTCCATGGGCCATCTGTGATGGAGAGCTGCTGGACTGCGGAGCTGACCTGGGCGTCGGTGGACTTGGGTGAAGGCGGGGGAGTGAGGTGGTACGCGGCAGCGACCTTCTGGCGGATAAGATCGGTTTCAGGAGTGTCGATATTTCCGTCTGTCACCAGAGGGTCGCTGGCAGGGGAGACACTGATCTGCGGGCTCTTACCAGAGACACTGTATCTATGAATGCCTGACCAATAAACCCGCCGGGGACAAACTGACCCGTTGGCGTCTCCCTGGCGCTGGTGAAGGGCCTTGGCGACGAGGCCAGAGCTGGTCTTCATGCAAAGGTGCGGAGGGACTGAAGTGGTGGAGGAGCCGTTCTGGGAGCGCTTATGAGGAGGCACGGTCACACCGTTGGACTTCTTTTTACTCACATTAGCATTGGTACAACAACCGGACAGCGCGTCTTGTATCAACACAGCACCACCATTGGTCCTCTCCTTGACAGCGTCCAGCGCTTTCGCAAACCGCGAGTCGGACTGGTCCCGGAAGGGACTCACGGTGATGTTCCAACTACCCTTCTTGAGGGTCTTGATCTCGGTGCGGAGGGTGAGGCAGAGAGTCTTGAGGTCAGAGGCCTCGGTGCGTGCGCAGGCTTGCTCGCGTTCGAGGTCCTCCATCTTGAGTTGGAGATCGAGGAAAGAGATGGAGCTCACCTGAGTGCCATTGGCGGGGGCGAACGCGCCAGCAGCGGGGTTCAAGTGAGCGTTGTCAGCCATGGTGCTTGCAGATGATCGTCGAACGCGGAGACTGAGGTCGAACTCGTGGCGGGATAGAGCGGGACTGAATCGGTCAAGAGAGAAGCAGTGAATCGATAGAGGTGTACTAGAAGGCTCCGTGATTGAAGGAGTGTGGAGGGGAGAAGGATTCGAGGGCGTTGGCGAGTTTAAATAGACAATCAGGCCAGGTACCGAGCTTCAACGCAGGTAGGGTAAGAGACCACAGCTCTCAGAAAGGAATGAGTGGCAAGCGTTTCTGGCAGTGACAAGGTGAGAGATGTCTGGTCCGTGATACTGTGCGACAAACGCATGGCTTGAGCTCCTGACCAAGAGAGGTGATCTGCAACTGTGATTGACCGACAACCACAAGTCCGGTCGTAGTCTCGAGATGGTAGTAAGATACCAGTCGGGCTGGTGAAGGTAACGATTGTAGACGAACTCGAGCTAGTGCCTACTTTCAGCAATGTACCCTACGCCCCTCCCTCTGTACATTCGTTTGTGGAATGCTGCGATTGAGGCATATGCAGTTCAATGCGTAGTGGTTTTGAGACTGCTCAGCATGCTTGTACTGTGCTAGGAGACCTCGCATTGGCTTTGAGACGGGTGGGATGCACACATCGATGGATCCATTTCAACTTCGAAGCTTTCCGCCATCCTGGCAGTGGGATAATGGCTCCTCATTGAGCACCAAGCTTCATAGACATGTACGTGCGGCATCCTTCTAAGGCTCTGCGAGCGAGCCTGAAGGGTTTAGCTCAGCTCAAGTCGTGCCGAGCTCGGCCCCGGATGAAGCCCGCACATTACAATCGCTAGACGATTCCATCCCACCTGCTGGACTATCTCTTCCAAATCTGTACACTTTGACTGCACGCCGCTCCCTTCTTCTCACTTTCGCGTTGGGCTCGTGACACGGCTTGGCCTTTCCGCTGACGATCCTTTCAGCATCCCACACCCTCGAGCAGCGGGCACCTGTCCGCTCGGGGATCTCAGTTCTAATGGCATAGGACTCGAGTGGGTGGGGAGTGCACTTTGAGACGCGTCGCGTGCGCGGAAAGAGCGGTGGGCTAGCGCGGACCCTGGAAAGGCAGGAACGCTTGGGCAATTTCGTCATGGGGGAGACCATGGGGGCCGGTCGCGCAAAAGATCGACCGGTGGGCGGGAGTGAGTGAACACCAGCCCGAGCACAGCAGACGACCCGACCCTCCACGGATGTAGCCCTTTTCTTTCGAGTTTGCGCCACCGGACACACACTGTACGAGGCCTAGCAACATCCGTCTCTAGAGCTTTTGTCTGTTTTCTACTGCGCACACCATGCCGCCGAAACGCACGCACGAGGACCCTCAGTCGCTCAAGGACAAGCTGCACTCGCTGCAGGGCACCTCCAATGCGCGCGGCCGCCGCAACAACAACGCCGATCTCGCAAATGGCAGCAGCCTCAAAGAGGTCATGTCCTCCAACGGCGACAACGCCTCCACGCACAGCGGACAGAACGAGCACACGTCAGGAGTGGGTGGCCTCCGATACACTATCCCGCAGTGACACACCATCATGCTGACCCTGTCCTGTCTCGCAGATGAGCTGGAATACGCAGGACCACGCCGTGCTCCAGGGCTACCGACGAGCCTACCGCCTCGACACGCCATCTTCGTTCAAAAACCCCGGCAGCCACATTGTCCTCAGCCAGGGCATCGGCAAGTTCTCGCCCACAATGGCACGACCAAAGTCGAAGAGGAGAGTGGAAAAGAGCCACCTCTCGCTCGCGGTGCGCAAGAACTTCAACGCGCAGGCTGTCTCCGAGACCAATTGCATCATCGATTGGATGTACACGGTGAAGAACCAGGGTAAGCTCACACTCGTACCATCGGCGATGAAACCGAATACTGACCGGCATCAGACAAGGAGTTCCGCGTGCGCTTCGCTCCTCCACGTAAATAGACGACGTTATACCTCCTTCTTCGCACCTCCTCGCAGCACTTTCGGAGTTCTGATACCCTGGCCTTGGATAGGCATTACACCGTCACTCTACACATAACGAGTACTGGCATTGGGAAGGCGTTTGGCTATTTTAGTACTGGGAAATGGATATCCGGAATGGGCATGCATGCTGCCGCAAACGCAGCAAATGTCTCATGGCAGTCCTTCACAGTGGGCTTTGGGAAGCCTCTTTGGGGTTAATGTAACGACTGGACACAATGCTCTCCACAAACGCGTCATGAATAGAACAAATAATTTGGCACCAGGTTCTCCCCTAATGACCGGCTTGAGACGGCGAGCCTCGGAAACTGGCGACTCGAGTCTCGGAACAGCCTCACCGCGTTGTCAACGACTTGAACTTCTTTCGACTGCGCTCGGAACAATCGAGCTGTCCCCAAAATGTTAATGGAATAAGTTAATAAAGCACCTTTTCATTGGCGTCCTCGTGAATATGCATCTAGAAAATACCAGAAGCAACGCGTGCCGAGGCGACACGCCAATGACATCGCCTGCGTGTCGTCCGTGCGCCAAAACTTTTGACGATTCCGTGCATCGCTCCCAATCCCTAAAGCTTCATTTCATTCACCGGCATCGCAAAGGCCTTTATACGTTCATTGTAATTCTGCTTGTACCATAACCGCCATGAGCTTGATCAGCCCCGCGCTGCCTCTCAAGGCAGTCGCTCCCGCGCGCATCATCTCCGGGTCTTTCCAATGTCAGCGACGGAACATATCGCAATCATCAAGACCGAATCGAAACAGGCCTTCGATTAAGTCGCAACCGCAAAAGCAGCATGCGCCACGGATACGGGTACGCCAAAGAATCCCTCTTCTCCCAAAGCAGCATGCTAACCGTATGCCCAGCTCTTCCACGCGACCACCCCTTCTCAAGCCGTTGCCAACCCTTATACTACCTTGGGCGTAAACAAAAACGCATCCGCTTCCGAGATTAAAAAGGCGTATTACGGCCTCGCAAAGAAATACCATCCGGATACGAACAAGGACCCCGGCGCAAAGGACAAGTTTGCGGCTGCGCAGTCCGCTTACGAAATCCTCTCCGATGAGTCCAAGAAGAAAGCCTACGACTCATACGGCTCCGCTGCGTTCGATGCGAATGGAGGGTTCAACCCAGGGGCCGGTGCTGGTGCCGGTGGGGCAGGCGGCAGCCCGTTCGGCGGCGGGTTTGGAGGGTTCGGGGGGTTCGGTGGAGGCGGTTTCCAGGGTGGCTTCGCGCAAGACATCAACATGGAGGATTTGTTCAGTCATTTCGGAGGTGGTGGCAGGAGGAGCAGAGGGAGGAGCCCGTTTGAAGAGGAGATCGTGGTTGGAGACAATATCGAGGTGCAGACGAGCATTTCGTTCATGGACGCAGCAAAAGGTGTCACCAAAGAGATCTATATCACACCGATGGTGGAGTGCAAGACTTGCACGGGCAGCGGACTGAAGAAGGGCGCCAAAAAAGCGGAGTGCAAGAGCTGCGGCGGCTCGGGGCAGAGGGTAACGAGCATGGGAGGTTTCCACATGAGCATGACGTGCTCAAGCTGCGGCGGCTCCGGTATGGCAGTTCCCCGTGGCTCATCGTGTGGCACCTGTGGTGGAGACGGTGCAGTCAAAGAACGAAAGACAGTCACCATAGACATTCCTGGAGGCGTAGAAGACGGCATGCGGTTGCGGGTTACCAACGAAGGAGACGCGCCGCTCACAGGCCAAGCGTCGGGCTCAAATGTGAGGGGGACGAAGGGCGACCTCTACGTCCTCATCCGGGTAGCATCCGATCCAAAGTTCAAACGCGCAGGCTCCGACATTCTCCACACGGCAACTATACCCCTAACGACTGCTGTGTTGGGTGGAGAGATCAAAGTGCCGACACTCGACGGCGAGGTCATGGTCAAGGTACCTACAGGGTCTGGCACAGGCGACAAGGTCACGCTATCCGGGATGGGCATGAAGGTTCTCTCTGGGCGACGAAACGCAAAGGGCGACCTGAAGGTTGAGTTTAAAGTCAACATGCCCAAATACCTGAGCCAGAACCAGCGAACCATTCTCGAGATGCTAGCGGACGAGATGGGCGACAAAACGGCGAAGAGGATGATCGTGAACAAGATGCGGGACGGCGGAGACAAGCCCTCAGGTACCTCGACCGACGACCACAAGAACGAAAGCTTCCTCAAGAGCGCATGGCACAACCTCACTGGGCAACACAAGGACATGCCGAAACAGGAGGAGCCTAAAAAGGACGACGAAGAAAAGAAGAAAGCATCTGGGTCTGGGTGAGCGCCTGCGAAGGTTTACGATTTTGGTTCTTGTATTGGTTGCACAACTCCATGCTCAAGTGTATAGTATGTTGAAACGGCGCAAAGGAAGAGCGGCGGTGCTGAGCATTTTTTGGCGTTTACATGTATCCTGATGTTTGCATAAAGTCTCCAGATAGTCACGCCCCCGCTCAGGCTTGTATATTAGCTACTTGATAGTAATCGTCTATGGAAGATCAGTGCATGTTCTCAGAAAGATCCAGGCCAGTCGACGGAAAGCTAGAGCAAAGCCCTGACCGTTCAAGTGAGCCAGCCCTCCAAGGTTTGTGCAGTTGAGCGCTTACACAAACCGCTCACGATGGTGTCTCGCGATGTGAGTGGCCAAAGGCTACGGGAAGGGCCAGGATGACCCCTCACGGTGGCTCCCAGAGCTAGCGAGTGTGTGACTGGGACGGCGGAGGTGCAGGGGAAAGGTGAAGAGCGGCCGTCTGGCTTCGAGCGCGGCTGCAGGAGGATTGTTATATAGGCAGCTGGTGTAGGAGTCGAGGAGCAATGCATGGTGGCTAAGAGCGCGCCGACTGCCCGCGATTTGCCCCACGCCCACGCTTCGCATCGGACATCCGCGCTGCCCTCGACACGGGCGGGATTGATTGACGAGACACGTCGAAGACGCTTTGCTGGCGCGGCAGAACAGGAACCATACCTATTGAATAGGAACAGCGCAGCCCTCCCGTAGCCCACCCGTCGACGGCCACATCGACTGGACAGCCCAACCCTGCAACACGTCACATCCCGGGGCCTGCATAGCCGTGCATTCACGCGACTGACCGCATCAGAGCAGGAGAGCGAGAGCGACATTTCCCTCTGAGCTCGTCTTCGCGCACCGCACAGCTAGGCACCTCTGCATTTGCACCGCCTGGCTGCCGCCCCTCTCGAGCTCCACGGAACCAAATCATCGCAAGCGATCCGACACGGCCGCCCGTAGCAATTGCTGGCCGCATCCGTGGAAGACCCCACCGCGACTCCCTCGTTGGATTGCGCGCCCGATTCTCGCGCGCCGCCTCCTGTGCTGAGCTGGCAGGCGCATGCTTGGCCTGGAGACCAGCACCATGGCGACTCTCATACCCATGATCTCGGTGCCGCTGAAGCAGACGAACGAGATCGACTGGATACAGCCGCTGAAGGGCTACATACGCGCTACGTACGGCGACGACCCGGAGCGCTATGCTGAGGAGTGCGCGACGCTGAACCGGCTGCGGCAGGACATGCGGGGCGCGGGCAAGGACAGTGCTGCGGGGAGGGACCTGCTGTACAGATACTACGGCCAGCTCGAGCTGCTGGACCTGAGGTTCCCGGTCGACGAGAACCACATCAAGATCCAGTTCACCTGGTACGCTGCATGAGCCGGGGTGGTAGGATGCGGAGCGGCTAACAGGCACCAGGTTCGACGCATTCACCCACAAGCCCACCTCGCAGTACTCGCTCGCCTTCGAGAAGGCCTCCATAATCTTCAACATCTCCGCCGTGCTCTCCTGCCACGCAGCGCACCAGAACCGCCACGAGGATGTCGGGCTCAAGACGGCCTACCACTCGTTCCAGGCCTCGGCCGGCATGTTCACCTACATCAACGAGAACTTTCTGCACGCGCCCTCTACAGACCTGAGTCGCGAGACGGTGAAGACGCTGATATCTGTCATGCTGGCCCAGGCGCAGGAGGTGTTCCTGGAAAAGCAGATAGCCGACGGCAAGAAGGTGGGACTGTGCGCGAAACTGGCGAGCCAGGCTGCGTTCCTGTATACACAAGCTGTCGAGGGTGCGCAAGAGAATGTCAACAAGGCCGTGTTCGAGAAGGTGTGGCTGTTGGTCTGCCAGGTAAGGCTGCTGATTACCGTTGGTGAGAAGCAGACTGATGATTCGACAGACCAAAGCGAGCCATATGGCCTCAGTTGCACAGTACTACCAAGCTCTGGCAGACGATGACGCAAACTCTCACGGTGTAGCCATCTGCCGCCTACAGGTTGCCGAGACGAACGCGAGGGATGCAAACCGTGCAGCGAACGCTTTCCCGTCGTCTTGCCCTGCGAACTCAAACCTGCCCGCAGAGACCGGCGCTGTGTTGTCTGAGCTGACCAAGAAGCATCTTGCAAATGTGCAAGAGAAGCTAGCCGAGTTCATGAAGGACAACGACTTTATCTACCACCAAGGCATTCCAAACGAAGCAGCTCTAACGCAGGTTCCAAAGCTCCCGGCAGCCAAGGCGATACCTGTGAGCGAGCTGTACCAGGGACAGGACATACAGAGGATTATTGGACCCGACATTTTCCAAAAGATTGTACCAATGGCTGTAACCGAGTCTGCTAGCTTGTACGATGAAGAGAAGGCGAAGCTAATACGGGCGGAGAGCGAAAGGGTCGAGGTTGCCAACGATGAGATGGCGGCGAGCTTGGACTACTTGAAGCTACCGGATAGCCTGAACGTGCTAAGAGGAGGCATGGACAACCAAGATATGATGGTCGATGAGGACTTCCGGAGGTGGTGCGAAGAGTTGGCAGGTCATGCGCCATTCACGACTGCGTTCGAGCAGTCGAACACAGACAAGTCCGAGATCACCACCATGCTTGACGCAAGTATGAAGCAGTTGGACATGGAGGAGAGCGTTTGCGAGAAGATGAGGTCCAAGTACGGTGTAGACTGGACGCAGCAGCCTAGTTCACGTTTGACCGCGACCCTGCGGAGCGACATTCGGAATTACCGAGGAGCGATCGAGGAGGCGAGCACCAGCGATGCCCAACTGTACAGCACCTTCCGCCAATACGAGGCGGACTTTGACGAGATGAGATCTGCTGGGGAAACTGATGAAGCAGATGTGCTATACTCCCGAGCCATGGTCAAAGCGGGCGCGGCGAAAGGAAAGAGCCCCGGTCCCGCTCAAGGCAATCTGTTGGACGATGACTTTCATGACGGACCTAGCGTTGCGGACCAGATTGCCAGCGTCGAAGAACTTTTGCGGCGGCTGAACTTGATCAAGAAGGAGAGGTTGCAAGTGCTGAAAGACCTCAAGGAGAAGGTATGCCCACCTTCTGATGTTACAGTTCCACTCATTAACGATGATAGGTCCACTCCGACGACATCTCCAACGTCTTGATCTTGAATAAGAAAGCCATCGCAAACCAAGAGTCTCAGCTTTTCAAGGCTGAACTTGAAAAGTTCCGACCCCACCAGAATCGCATCCTCCAAGCCAACCACAAGCAAGGCTCACTTTTGAAGGAGCTCACACGTACCTACTCCGATCTTCTAAAGGATCCACGCGTCCGCTCAGAGCAAAGCAAGTATGACATGTTTTCCCGCCAGCGCAGCTCTGTCATGAAGAAGTACGAGCGAGTCTACCAGTCCTTCAGAGACCTCCAAGCCGGGCTTTCCCGTGCCCAAGGGTTCTATTCTGAGATGAAAGACACGGTGTCCAGCCTCCAGAAGAACGTAGAGACCTTCGTCAACAACAGGCGCTCTGAAGGCGGCCAGCTGCTCCAAAACATCGAACAGAAGAAAACCCAGGGCGCAGACCAAGAGCAGCAGCGCCTGAAGGACCTCATGGAACGCATGTCTATGGAGCCCTCCGGCTCGCCCGTCTCCCTCGGCAGAGAGCGCAAAAAGAGCATACCTGCCCCGCTAAACCATGTCGGGTACCCAGCATCATCCTCCGCGCACCCCTCCTACAACCCAGCCGCCTCGCCTCCCGTCACACCCCGCTACCCCATGACCACACAAGCCCAGCAGCCCTACCAACAACCTGCCCAACCACAGAACCCCTACCCCTCGAATGGCTTCCAGCAGTACCCCTCGCACTCGCACTCGCACTCCCACTCACAGTCTCAGACCCAGACAAGCTACAACCCCACCAACTACGGGCCCGTCTCGCCCCCAGCGCACCAGCAGTACTTCTCCCCGCCGCCCAACCAGCATCCGCAGCAGCCGTGGGGCCAGCCTCCACAGCAGCAGCCACAGTACGGGTACCAGAGCGGGACGCCACAGCCCGGCACGGGCCTGCCGCAGGGCTACGTGCCGCCGCCACCGCCGCCGGGGCCGCCGCCCAGCCAGTATGAGCAGTACGGTGCGCCGCAGTATCAAGGTGGGTATGGGCAGAGGCAGAGTGGGCAGGGGCAGGGACAAGGACAGCAGCAGGGTGGGGCTGCGGATCCGTGGGCGGGGTTGAGCGGGTGGAAATAAACAAGGTGGTCTAGGTGAGAGGGAGGGCGAAGGTAGAGTTGCGTGGGAGTGTGTTTTGCATTTTCTTAGTACGGGGTATTGCATGTAGAGCTTGGGAGGATGAAGATACATGGGCGTGGTATGCATACAATTCGACATATTGGAAACGTTACAGATTGTGATCTACGGCTGCGACTGGCTGCAAGGAGATGCGGCAAAACAGGAGGGAAAAGAGAAGGGAAAGGAATGGAAAGAAACCCCATGAAAGCATACCTTCCCGTCACTTACGAGGCTAGCGTCGAACGAAGACGATTGACTTCAAGCTACATTCTGAAGCTCACAAGCTACGTCCGTCCACCTCCCGCCGCTGCAGCGTCCTCACATCGACCCCCTGGAACATCCGCACATTGAGCGCCTTGACGCCCTCGTAGAAGCCCGGCTCGATGCTCTCCGCCATCAGACTGCTGCCGCAGCGGCTGCAAAAGTAGTGCTGCACACGTTCCTTGCCGAAGCGGTATTTCTAACCCGAGGTCAATAACACGTTCACATCTGCCTTCTCACCTCGGCCAATGGCCGAACGGCGTGCTGTCCATGTAGCCAATCAGACCGTGCATGTGGTACGTACCTCGACAAGGTTGCTATTCAGATCCACGTTGTCGAACTGGATGCACTCGTTCTGCACGTAAACGTTGAGGTACCCGTTGCGCGCGCAGATGGAACAGTTGCATTCGACGACCCAACTCTCGGGGTCGTGCAGCGGCGGGGAGAGCGTGACGGTGTAGCGGATCAGCTGGCAGTGGCAGGACGCCTGGTACTGTGGTCATAATTAGCCTGGTATTACGAAGAGTGCGTCCGAGTCTCCGCAAGGCAGGATCGAGGTAGTGCAGATGAATGGTTGTCTAGCCAAAGATGGATGCTAGACGCGAAGGCTTGAAGCCCGAGAAGGGGGTGGGCAGTAAGGGTCCAGTGTAAGGCGGAGCGCTAGGCGCTATGCGGGAACGACTGCGACCGGGTGGGGTTCACGCAGATCGCTGACCGGTGTCGAGCTAGGAGGAACTTTGATAGGACTTCTCCGCAACGAGAATCTGGGACCGAGAGGATCATGCTGGGAGGGTGACGGCGCTAGGTTGCATCATCTCGATTCAAGAAGAGCGTGCTCGCCGTGAGTCCCCGATCGTTTTCTTCGCCTCTTTCTCGACACGCGCCTGAGCAATGACGATGAAAGAAAGAACGTCAAATTAGGGGGACTGATATTAGGATGATGGGGTGTGATGGAAGGCCATTCTTTCCGAAGATGGATGTTCAAGACGTGCCACAGGAAATTTGAGATTGAGACGATTGGAAAAAGGAATTGTACGTACTCTCTGACTTGTCTTGTTGGTGGCCATGGCATGTACAGTAGGATATCTGACGTCCTGTTGTCGGCGAGAATCGAGATTGATGGCGATGGAGAATGGATGGAGCGGAAGGAAGTAGATGGGGTACATGCTCCTCGAGGGGTGGAGCGTCCTATATGGACGTCGGACTGCAAGGGCTTTCGCAAGTTCGGCTCAATTGGGCAGTGGTTGCGAGAGAAGAGATGTTTTGACAAAGGAATGGGCTTTGCAAGACAAATGTATGAGATTGGGCATCAAGAGTTTCTGATGCCTCTGAACAATCGGATTGTCTGTTTGTATTGAGTGCGTTAGCGGTCGTTAAAGCATACTTATAGAGCTGGCGACTACCACTCTACTACCAATCGTACCTGGCTAGGGATCGTCGCGGTCCCTAATCAACGATCAGTCCTCGGCCCGTTCCACTTTTCCTGTTGCCTTCTTCTGATTCTTGCTATTTCGATCCTGAAATCACCGCTACACGACTCTGCAGAGTTCAGAACAGCTCCTTTCAGAGCGCTCGTCGTGATAAGAAAGGAAGTCCAGCATTCGGACGAATCGGTATTTCGCGGACGGGGTGTGCTCTCAGCTCACCGGTAGCCAGATTGGGGCTCGAGGAACATCGCGCTTCGTAAAGATGATGGCCGACAACACTGAATGCCTTCGCTCCAGAACGTGTGATCTAAAGGCGTGTTTGAGGATGAGCATGCTCGTATTGCGAATGCCGAATCATTGCTGGTGGCGTATACCTCGACAAGAAGGGTTAGCAACTTTCAAGAAGTGAAGCTTGTGTGGATGTGCGACTAAGCAGAATTCAGGGTACGGGGTGATGGTTGTCGCTCTACGGCTAGGTCCTGCAGTCCTACGCACGAGGGCTCAGACCCGGCTAGAGGCGCCAACATCGGTGACAGTTGCCGTTGTCGAAGTACTGGAGTATTTGGTTCGTGTCTCGTCGGTTTCGCTGCTCCATTAGGTATCACAATGGGGCCAAAAGAGGCTATATCTGGACCGGCTGGCTGGAACGATTGCAGATCTGCGGGAAGCTGCATCCTGGATTGTACTAAGAGACGAGACAGCGGAGAATTTTAACAAATCGGAGAGGCTCTGACGGCTGGTTATTCCACCGCTGCCGGACTGCACTTTTTTTTATAGATGGGTACGGCAACCGGAGCGCCCGTTTGGTGATCCTCGTATTTGCGACGCATATTGTTGGCTGCAACGCCACCGAATGGAGCCACCCTGGATCGGTGGTCCGCGGCCCTGAGTATTCGCACCAGTGGCAGCGACGTATCAATCTTTCCATAACTGGGAGATGTATCCAGATATTCGCGACCCCGGTATGCTGTGCGTTAGATCGACATAGTTGTGAGCACCCAGGGAATGCCACCATCAGCTCTAGGCAGATGCAACAACCTAGAGGCTAAATCCTTTTGCATACGATCCAGGATGGTACGACTATCGTCCACTCCGAGCCTGCGTCGGACAGAAGATGCCGAGGGAATCTCGCAAGCACCGATTGCACGTTTGCTTGGTGGAGCATAGGATATCTGGGCTAGAAAGCGCTCGTATCGTCTTCGGTCGTCGTGTTAGTCAGTGCGCCAATCGTTGGTGCTGTGACTGCTGTCCTGAGCCGAGGAAAATCGTATCATCCTCATTGGCCGTTCTTGTTCGTTCATGGCTATTTTCACGTTAGCGATGAACGACCCTAGGGCTCAGATGATTGTCTCGAGTCTCTTACTTGGCGTCTGCCTCGACGCTCCACTTTCGAGCGGCCCCATCATCAACGTCACTGTGCAATGCGAGCTATGCATTGCGTCGACTTGAATGCGAAACCAAGTTATTATTATCTCGCCGTAGGGTGAGCAAAGATTACAAGGAAGAGATGGATTCGCCAGGGGAGTGCGAGGTCACAATCATGCAGTGGGAAGCAACGAACTGGAAAGGTTACCGTAGTGGCTGTCTCCAGCGTCTAAGCTAACAACTTCAGCGCCCATTCAACACAGCCAACAACGTGAGAGTCGAGTATCGATGAGCCAATCTCAATCGTTCTCACATCTTAACATCATATATATCACAAGATTCATTTCAATTGCTGTTCGATAGGGAGAAGTCTTTGAGCAGTGATATGCTTCAGCTACGCTACTGACTATGCTTGCATTTGGACGTCAAGGAGACATCTTCCAGCTTGAACAAAGTTCTTAAACCTTCGGCGCGCGCTGAAGCAGATCATAAACTTCACCGTCTTCAAGCAGACGAATCCTAGCGTCGCCCAAGCGCTCGGCCAGATCATCCACGTCAGACCTTGTCACTGTACGCAGTCGAACGGTCTCGATAGAGCCTCGAAGACGACCTTTCCTCGCTGCTAGATCAGTCCCTCCCCAGTATTCTCCACCTGGTGACTGCCTGGTCTTTGTGAGCCGTGGTATTTACTCGGTCCATCCCGATACTTCGCTGGTGCTGTCGGCCCTGCCAGCTCCAGCGTACGTACGCAGTACTAACAATCGAAGGCAAGAACTTGACGTGCAAGAATTTGTTTTCATTGCCAAGAAAGAAGATCCCCGGCGTTCCTTCAACAATCCTCAATCCGGGCCTGATACCAGTCGAATGCTGCAGCACAGCCACGTCTTCAAATTCTTCGCTGGGTCTGGGTCCGTATAGTGGCCAGCAGCTATGTATTCCATGTACGTCTTGACATAGTTGCATCGGATCAGCGTCTTGAGACACACAGGACATAAGAATCGCGTCAGCGTGCGCCTCGAACTGCTGTCGTGCTCATCCGACGACGCATGACAGCAGTTAGAGGCGCAAGGTGCTTTCGGATTGAGGGGAGTCACTCTAGACGTAAGGGCTAGGTGCCCACAGCTAGGGTCGTGCTAATTAGTGACCTGGTTTTCGCATGCGCTTTATCAATGCGGCGTCCTCGTCCCGTGAGTCTCCTCCAGACTGTCCAGCGCCTGCGGTACGAAATCCTTTGGGTCGGTGAGCGTTGAGCAGAGTGCCAAGCGTGAGCGCAGCATAGAGTAGATGTTTCTATTTCAGCTGCTGTGGGACGAAAGTTTCGTGGTCAAGGTTGCGAAGCATACAGCGAGTGGGGTACTTTTGTTCTGGATTCATGATCAATGCAGTCTTTGGTATCAGAATTTCGCAACATGATGCGCATGCCGGTTCTGGAGTCTTTAGGGAGCAAGCGCTCTAGCCGGAGATTGTTCCCTCTGGGAAAGCGGACAGCAACATAATCTTGCAAATTCGCAGGTTGATAGAAGTTACATAGAGGGGAAAGCTCTCAAGCGACTAGATATTCTTCGAATGATAGGGAGCAGGTGCTTAGTCACCGTGCACTTTAATTGACAAGATACCCATTTTCTCTGATTCTTGAACACTGTAAACGTCTGCACCCATTTTCCCGCTTTCGAGATCAATTGCGATGTGATGTGTGTCTGTTTCTTTTGCAGCTGCGATGCGCGAACCCGATGTCTCTCTCAGCAATGTCAGATTTCTCGTGCGAGGCGTGCCTGGGCGACTTGCCCGGCGCCTCACGGTATGCCGCGCTCAGACTCCATCCAATCCGTGCGACTTCTTAGTCTTTCGATTTGAATGCGAAGAATTTCGGGCGCATCGGCAATTCGCGCCAGGTAGACGTTTTGGCCCCTCGCATTCTAGATCGCGGACCTCCACATTGTGAAGGCGCTCCACGTTTGGTTTGAGGCATACAACCCCATCTCTGAATTAGTTGCAAGGAGCTGGGTTGATATTCACTCCTGCAGAAACCATTGGTTCGTCTATCTCCAACGTGTTGGGCACTGCACCTGCGTGCAGTAGCGACCCGTCAGCTTGGCTTGCAATTACGTCTTTCGCATCGTACACCACCACTTGACCCATCCAATCAACGCTTAGCGAAAGAACCGTACGGTTGGCCCGGAGCCAGTCCACAGAGCGTAGATGCGGCCCCCGCAAGCCTCCCGCATATAACGGAGGAAGGATCGCAAGGCCCACGAACAAATGGCCATGTAGAGGCGTCATTCGCCACTATCTTCTGCTTGCCTTACAAGCTTTAAAGCGAATGCTTGCGCGGCACTCCCCCTTTTCCTTTACCATTATACTGGCGCTCAAGTCGCGCGAAGAAGCCGGTCGAACCTTGGTTTTATATGCTACGAGCGTACCTTGGTCCCCGGTCATCGCAGACCGAATACTGCACGCGCGGCACAGCAACTGCATCGGGCATCAAGAAAATCTCCGAATTTCGTACACTTACCTGAGAAGGCTACACCGCGGAGTGCTTTGTGCCGTGGCATCGAATTGGCTGTTTCAGGCACTTCTCGAGCGCCTTATCTGCCATCGGAGGCATCCACATGTGCGAATCATCTTATCCAAAGCTTTCTCCCGCATTCATGTCTTCCTAAGGAAAAAAAATCCCCAAACACGATATTGTCTGTTCGGAGGTACTGACTACGCTAGTCTGAGAGGCAACGATACATGGGTGCGAGGGCCGATCGATCATGATATCGATCCTAGTCTGGGAGTTTTACTGGGAACAGGACCCTGTATAAGTGCCAGTTTTAAGACTACAAGCATTTAGTTCTGACTGAGTCTCACCATGGTCAACTTCACTTTCGTGTCACATAATGGAGCGCGACCGGAGAAGCGCGAGCTGGTCAAATCGCATGTTATGAGAGAGTCACAGAAAAGAAGAAGAGAAGCCAAGCAACGCTATCGACGTACGCACTTCTTTGCACTCACGAGGGGTCTCATGAGATCGTGCACTGACTTTGACAGACGACCTCTCTCCTTCGTATACGCAGCAGCGTCCTGAATTCGTTATGGCTCGGACCGAGACACTGCATCAATATGGAATCGCGCCACAGCCATCATTACAAAGCGATCGACCGAGCATCTCGTGCTCGCCAATTCTGACTTCTTCTGGAGACGTCAGGACCAGCCGCAGCGACAATGATGAGCGTCGTCCCTTGTGTAGCTTATCGCAGCCTACGATTGCTGATTCGATCCGGGTTTTGGACCTGCACATGTCCAGAGGCTCAACTTCAATACCTGTAGCGGGATCCCAGCCCCATCTCAGTGTCCACATGCCGTTGCCCCCTCCTCCACTTCATACGACACTTCACTCCCGGCGACCACGAATCCTAGGACCGCAGTTTCTGCGTTTTGCTGATGCAGTTACGGACCCATCATGGATGCCAGAAAATTGGCTAAGCCGCGTTGACGAAATAGTGTCTCATTGTACGTTGCTCACAACCGTGAAGTTGAGTAGTAGTTCTCTGACAAGTGTGGTGATAGACTTCATGAGTTTTACCGGTGCTGCACCAAATACTCAGAGTACACTGACACATTGGTTCAAGCAACCTTTGAGGAGCCCACTCATGTTGCTCTCCTATTGCCTACTCTATTGTGCACATCGTGACCTCATAGTGGGAATTCTTGGAAATGACGACCACTATTTCAAAGCGCGCAATCTACAATTGATCAACGCCGCGCTTGAGGACCGATCCACCGCTTTGGCTGATGAGACCATCATAGCAGTCGTAAGCATGGCCATGTACGAGGTATGTTTGAGTTTGCACCCGTGCTTGAGAGCTACTGATGTGTTCGAGAATCTCCGAGGTAGCGATCAGGTCATAACCCATGAACGGGGCCTCGGTCAGATGTTCGATATGCGAGGCGGCATCGAAAAGTTCATGTCAGAGAAAGGCTTCTATATTGGCAATTATGCCATGCTGTAAGGCTCTTCAATCCAGCGTATTTCATCATGGCTCATGTACCGTAGTGTCGATATGATGCACTCAGCATGCTCCAATAAGCAACCATTGTTCACGGAAGTCAAACGGCCAATACTGAGAGACCCGCATGTGGGCATGCGAAAGCAATACTTCCCACATTCACCACTTCGTGTCGCTAACAATCCCGGTTTCAACGCAACAGTCTCCATTGAAGAGCTTCGTTCGAGTCTGGACGTGCTCAGGGATGCTTTTGATGGCTTGGAAATGCTTTGTATTGAGGTCTTCGACCCGAACACCGCGACTACGGAAGGACTGCGGTTCCGGCATCGACGCGATAAATTCTGGACGCGACTGCAGGCACGCGACATATCTGAGACTGAGCCAAACGAACTTACGACAGAAGGGAAAGTAAAAGAAGCAATCAGATTGACCGGGACTATTCACTGTTGCGCAGTGGTATCTCAGATCCAGCATGATGACGAGCTGAACATGCAGTATGTTTTGCGTCTTCACGAGGTCCTCAAGAAGCTCCAGCTTGATTTTTGGAAGACAGCACCATATCTATATCTGTGGATGTACGTAAAGAGCGCTGCCAGTCCACATGTGCAAAACACTGACGATGCCAGACTGTTGACGGGTGGAGCAGCTTGTAGTAGACTCCCTGAGCCTCGCGCATATTTCGTTAGCGAGATAGCAAGAGTCGGCATGTCAATCGGCTTCTTCGACTGGCAACCCTTCACCCGTAAGTACAATGCTGATTTGTACGCGGCTTGCTCACGATGGCCCAGAAAGTATAAACAACTTCCTTTGGCTGCAAGAATTCCTACGCAAACGCACCAAACGATAAGATCGATACACCAGCATCCATCTGTTTACTGTAAATCAACTAGCGTAGTAAAATCTAAAACCGCTAGACTAATGATAGGCTCCAGGTTTTAACGTAGACCCCGAACATGTTCCTGCATGGTCTCGGAGTCCGAGGCCTTCAGCATTCCCAGCGCAAGCCTTCCCAACGATACCACGCACCCTGCAGTTAATTCCACTCGGCAGCGCATAGTCGAATATAGAGTACACGTTGTCAACAAGCATTTGCAGACTGGCCAAGCGTCAGAGTGGATGACCTACAAGCACAGGCGAGTCACCACGATACATTTATGTACAATAGCAGATCTTAGAGGTGTTTGAATGCTGCAGCTACCACACTAAGACACTCTTAATGACAGTGACATCTTCCATCTTCCGTTTTGTCATCTCCTAGTCATGATTCTACACCCAGCGGGGCATAAAGTTTGAGGTCCTCACAGCAGCACGGATTAACTTCGTGACATTAGCTGCACACGACGCATTCACTGGCATGGGTTATGCGAAAGACTAGTGCCCAAAATTGCCGCCTCCTATTACTGTGGATTTGTCGCCTGCGAGTACAAAGTTAGCCTGGTTGCGTGCAGGCGTCAATGCTGCGTGATCGATGCAGTACGCTGGGTGTCCTGTGGTGCAATAGCGGCACTTGAGGCATGCTGCGGCCCCGAGAGAGTGACCAAGTCACCAGGCGCGTACTTCGACTAAAGGGCTTTGGATCAACGACGGAGGATTCGGCTGGCTCCTAGAGATTGTAAGCACAACAGCAGGATGTAGTAGGGCTGCAGGAATCATGGATTGTTCAACTACCTTTATGTCCCAGAACCCTTGGGTAGATACCGCCGTAGCACAAGATATATTGGATGGTGCAACAAATCAGTTAGTTCAACAAGATATCTGTGTGGCACACGCCGGTAGCTATGAACTCGACAAGGAACTCATCTTCATATGGTTCGTGCGTCAACATGTCTTCCCACTTCCAATCATGCTCTGAGTACGCGACAATGCCTTTGCACGGGACTATGTATTCGACCATGGTCAAGAACGCGGCTGATTGGCACGAAGAAGAAATTTAGTCGAAAGAGGCTGCAGAATTACATCATGAGGCTGACAGCAACTATTATAGCTATGGTGCATATATCGTGGTCACTTTATGTTATGTTTGTAGCCGAGCAAGACGGTGTTGCTTTCGCCATCGAGTGCGGGACTGGCTATTCCAAGGTCGAGGTGCACATGTTTTTAAAGCCGGAGACAGGTCCGGAGGCTGACCTCTAGCTCTACCGGTACTTGCGAATCGTAGCCGCATCGACGAATAGATCATAGATATATACGCTGCTTGACTCCCACCTTTTACAGCCCTCCAGATACGTTGTACCTGACATCGCCGTGCAGTGCATTTTGTAGTGTCGCTCATCCGGTATTACGGTGCACACGCATACCTCGAAATGAAGAGATACTTCTCAATTATTAGTTGCAATGAAGGGAAGAGCTAGAGCAGACATCCATAACATCTATTCAATAAGCTGGAGATCCTGCACCCCACAAACAATTACGGAAGCAGCGAGCCAGCCTCTTATTCCCACGTCTTCAAGTAATCCTCAACAGCTTCAAAGTCTTTCTTGATAACTTCCACGTGTTTCTCGCTCCTGGGTACGAACCTGACATTAAACGGCTTAGGGCAGCACAACAGACCATCGTCATACGCATCCGTATCAATCTCAAGCTCATTACCCTTCTCATCAAGTTCAGGCTTGATCGAATAAGCCCACAGCAGACGCGCAGTGAGGCGCCACAGCGTACGTTCGGCAAGGTGTATACCTACGCAGATCCGACGGCCAGCACCGTAAGAATAGTGGTCGCGATTCTCATAATCTGGAGAGCCAGCATAGGACATGGCTAGAAGTGGGCGGTTCAGGTAGCGGTCAGGATTGTAGTTGTGAGGATCGGGGTAGAGATCAGCATTCATGTGGATATTGTAAGCAGGGCAAAACACCGCCGAATCTTTAGGAATAAGATAGCCGTCGAACCAGTCGTCGCGGTTCACGCGGACAGGTACCCCTGTGGGGAGACTGACATCCCGGATTAGTCCAAGGCATGGTTATGGTTGAACAAGAAGGCCTTACACAGGACGCATCCTCATACTTTCCTTCACAATGCAGTTGATATAAGGCAGGTTTTTGAAGTCATCCCAGGTGGGCGCTCTGTGATCTCCACAGACGCGATCGAGCTCCTCTTGTGCCTTTTTCTGTATCCAGGGGTGTTTTGCTAGATATAGAATATTTGTCAACACCACTGTCGCGGAGGCCATAGTAAGCTGAGTGTCTCATACTACTCTGTGCGATACGTACTAGTTGACGTGGTGTCCGCTGCTCCTTGATGTAGCGTGCCAATAAAGTTGGCCTCCTGTCGTGGGGACATTTCGACGTCGCTCTTCATTTCACCACTGATCAGCCTGTCCCCGAGGGACACGCGGTGATCACCCTTTTGACGGCGTGCCACGACCTGCGAATGTGCCTCGACCCAAATCGAGCTTACGGTGTCAAAGCACGTCTTCGCACGTTTCTTAGAGGGCACAAGAAAGGAAGGAATGTAGTTGAGGATCGGAAATTGTTCAATGGGAAGATAAGTTCCAGGTGTAGCTGTGGAAGTGATAAGTTCAGTGTTGTCGTTTATTAGTGTAAAAATTGAGGCATATGAGATGGTGTTCTTACTCGCAAGATTAATCTGGTCGATAGCATCGTAAACGCACTGGGACTTGTCAATCGACCTATAAGATTCCTTGGTATTTGGTACAGCTTACAGTGGCCCAGAAACTGTCCGGTGTCGGAGCGCGGAACCCGAAGATGACGATACTAGCTACAGACGCGGTGACTCTCTTGACGTGGTTGAAGAAATCCTCCGGGGTGTTCAGCAGGTCGTGCATCAATTGACTTGCCCTGTTTAGATTAGCTTTCCGAAGACTTCGCAGGATTGGAGGTGTCCCACTCAGCTTCCTGCACCGCCATAACCGTTTCGTCGAGATTCTTCGGCGACACGAAATGAGCGGCTATCTTTCTACTTGCCCTCCATGCCGGGTTCGCATCCCAGAAGGCAAAGTTCTCCGCGAGGGCCGTCATCATCTGCTGATCCTTCGGTCGCTCTGAGTATATCGCGCTTCTTTTGTCGAGCAGATCATGTACTGTGCGTTTGTCATTCAGCATAATGAGTGTGCCAGCACCGATCTTCAAGGAGTAGATGGGCCCATAGATGTCTGCCCATTCCTTGAACTTTTTCTCTACACTTTGGCCGGGGATCTGATGGGCATTTCCAAGGATCGGGATGGTGGGTGGGCCCGGAGGAAGGCTGGCGACGATGTCAGTGCTTGAATGATTTTCTACAAGGTACGCACCGCTTGTCGCGACTGCCGAACTTGTACAAAAAGCGAATGCAGAAGGCAGTGACTACCAACGCAGCTAGACCAAAAGTATATCCGACAGGACGACCCATTTGACTCAGTGAGACGAACTTGAAGGAAAACCAAAGGAAGGCTTTGCGAGGCTGTCATTCTTATACCCATACTGTACACCGATGGACTCAGTACATGCGCACCCACACTGACGTTCATGGAGTTAGAGTCGCTAAAGTGCCCGACCTCCTGTTGGTCAACACAACAGCGAATTAGTTCCAATACATCGTTACCCCTTGCCTTGCCCAAGCGCTCCCTACATCTCCGCATAAACGATTGGTTGTTCCAGAACAAAGGAGATGCACGAAGATTACGCAGCATTTATGCGTGCTCCTCTTACCCAATTACCGCACTTCCGCCTTGGTATTGACCTATAGTACGGGTGTTGCTGACGCCACTACTGAGTACGCCAATCACATCCTGCCTTCAAACATGAGGAATTCGTGATGATGCTGATAAATTTTGCTTTTGGTATGTGTTGTGTGGTGTCACAAGTTCGGGGATGGCTTTTGCCCTTTCGTCACTAGGGCGCTCCTACCTATCTCGGACGGCTAAGCGAACGGTCGTACCAGGTGCAAAGCGAAGCTGTTTAACCGAAATCATGTGCTTACTTCTGCACTCTATCTCGTCCGCCGAGTCTGAAAATTTGTGATGCGTGGAGTAACTCTTCATTTCGTCAGTTAGTTTCCAAAGGTACTACTTCGCTCAAAGTCAGGTGTGTACGTAACGTGGATGGAAGCAAGGACGAAGCATACAACCTAGAGTTGCTCAGCACAAGACCTCTGCGCTTGTGGTCGCGGAACGAATTAGCGTAGAATCATCGATCCCGATATGAAGTGCTGGAACTTCGCTCGAAGGGACTAGTCGAGTTCAGGTGCGGAATTGATGGATATGTTGAAGGACGGACTGTAACAACAACCGACCGCTTGGCGAAGCAGTGAAATCGCGGTACCGTGTAGGTGTCAGGGAAGATGCATCAGGCGACGGCGTGACGATACCTGCTAACATTTAGTCGCACAGAGGACTTGTCGACCACAGATTGGCGAGACGTGAAGAACCTGAGCCAGCAGTATATTCTAGCAATCACCGATGACGAGAATGGTGGCATACTCTTCATCAACACTGCAAGCTGAATCACAATGAGCCTCGTACGTCGAGACAAAGGACTGCTCGAATTCCTAAAATACGTCGACAGCTCACTTTAATTACCATGGCACCAGCCTCGTAAGCAGTCCTTGCCAGACGTAGCCAGCCAACACCCACCACTGTGTTCGCACATGCCCAGTCGCCATCACTGCAACCTGTTGATTTTCCACCTCCCTCCTCCGTCCCACAGCCTCGACCCACGCAGCACCGAAGTCGGCATAGTTCAGCCCGTCAGTCGTCGCCGCATCCGTCAAGATCAGCCTATGTCCTGTCCGCTCCATACTATCCGAATCATGCAGCCCCGGCCCATCCATGTACACATACCTCAAAACTGGTCTCTCCGCTTCCGCAGCCTGCTTATACAGATTTGCGGCCTTCTCAATATCCGTGTACACGTGATAGAGCATGAAGTGCATGATCGCACGTTGGAAGGCAGCCATACTGTGGTTGACGTTGGTATTGAAGATCATCGTCCGATTCATTAACAATAACGGCGGCGGCGGCTGGCCTTCTTTCTGCAGGTTCTGGAGTGCGGTGATTATGCTTGCTGCCGCCGATTGAGCGACATCCATTCCTCGAAATGGCATATTTGCTGCGACGCAGTTGTATATGACCTCTGTATTGCGGAGACAGTCGGTCAAAGTGTCGAGGTCTGTAACTGGTGCCGTATAGATGTGGATCTCAGGTCGGGATGCTTGGAGAAGCTGCGGGAATGCTGACAGGAGCTTCTCTTTGTTTCGCACAAAGATGTTTAGACGAAGATCTTGAGGTTGAGTCTCGAGGAGGTAGTGCAGCACGGCAGAGCCAGTACTGCCCGTGGCGCCTAGGAGTGCGTGGGTTGGCATGATCTTCGGTATTGTGAGCTTGCTGTGCTGGTATTCGCAACATACAGAGAGGTAGATCCATCATAAGTCTTAAACATCGAGTACACTACTGCAATGCGATCACAAGAAAAATATAATTCAAGACTGCAATCAAAATTCGGCTTCTGCGGCTTCTGCGGCTTTTGCATGTTTAACCTCGACGGAGCGTATGTGTATCTTGAAACAACGAATACCCCCGGTCACGTCCCAGTTAGTTCTATCATACAGAACAGTTGAGCATTTAGTGGCTTTGTATGTGACCCGAAACCAACCTGTCTCGAGCTTTACAACGCGGCTTCTCGTTCCTGTTTGCAGCGTCATGTGACTGACGTGTGCTAGCGCGTCAAAGTCGCGTTCTAGGGGACGCTATGGCTATATGATGTCATCGATGGAACGCGAATCAAAATCAGAGTCCCGACAGACCATGATCTCGTCCATTGTTCCCTGATCCGTCCCGCTCTCAATTCGACGTTGGTAGCATCCTCTTCGTGTGTTTGTATCAATACCATGCCACCGAAAAATAAGCAGAATACTGGAGCCAGTTCCAGCGCATGTGGTGTGATGAAGAGTTAGAGACCCGTAGAATATATAGTGCAGAGCCTGGGAGTCTGGGGGACGGTTAGGACGAGAGAAAGAGCTATTTTACGCCGACCGCAAGATGCGACTCGGTACCCCACACGCTAGAGCCTGTCTTGACCCTTGAAGATCGATGATTTACCGGATCACAAATATGTTTGTACCTTCCGCCCAATGTTTGATTGTAGACTGGCGATAGACACCGAAGAACGCAGTGAAGAGGAAGAAGACAGAGGGGGCGAGAAAAACGACGAAGAGGAAGATGAAGACTAAGGATATGCTGCGTAAATTACTAGGACGGCAAACATTTACCAGGACGTAGAGAAAAGGATGCTACAGTCTTCATGCGACTATGCGACTTTCCTAAGTTGGAATTGAGTAATGCTCATGGAATCCTAGAAGATCTGCTGCTGTTAGCTAAAGCAGTCTAACTAATGTCAACCTGATTCTCTCACCATATACATGTTCAACGACTGGTATGGCTATGGGATACAAAAACTGCTCGAAAATCTTGTAGGGCGACATATTTCTTCCTCAGTGAATTCAATGACCTTTTCTAGCTGATCAATTTTGATGTTGGACTCAAGAACAAGACCGACGAGGGCAGGATGAACGTGTGGGCTGTCCTCAGCTCTATGGCGCTCGCTTACCGCGGGCCAGGGGAGTGACTACATGAGTAAGAGGTCATATTCTACGTCAAACCTAGCTGTTATGTACGAGTGACTGATGATGACGAGCGGGCTGAAGGGATTTCTGCTTTGACGGAAGCGGCCTGTTTCAATATGGTATATCAAGCATAGAAGATCTTTTAAAGAATTTCAGGGGCATATCCTCGTTCAAACCCACCAAGGCGGTTCCATGAGCATGGAATTCAAAGTTCACAAAATATTGTAGATTGTATGGGACTGGTGCTGGCGGGAAAATTGGTGGCACAAAACACGACATCACGAAAATGTCGAAGACGGGGCGAGCAAGCTACGATTCCGACAGGAAGGGCCCGCTGATGGATGTCTCCGCCAAAGTCCTACGGGAGGGGTTGATGGGAAATGAGCGATCGAATCGACCTGACCGGCGTTGAATCTTTATTGTGATTTCTTCCGTTGGTTTTCCAGATCTGGAATAAATTTGCATATGATAGCTTACGTCCAGACGCAAGGGTGGGCCATTTGTCTCTTATCGAATCTTTCTGCCCTGTAGCAAATAGGTCATGCCTCAAGGTCTTAGAATGGGCACTTCCTGAATCATTGCTTGATTATCAATGCAATTCTATATGTTGCGTCTATAATCTTTCGCGAGTGCTTGACAAGTCAGATCTGTTATTCGACAATGCAGTGCAGGCAAACACACTACTCGAGCTGTCCGTCTGCCTTGGGTTTCGCTAGCTTCTCAGTCTCGGGGTCCTTGACAATATCGTTGTACTGTGGCCGCGGTAGCTCGAACAGGTCAGTGACCCGTCCATACGTGATTCCTCCCAGACGGCAGATGGGCCTCAGAACCTATTAAAAGTCAGCATGTCTCCTTATCATATCGTCTTGAATGATTCAACTCACCGCAGGATCAATTAGCACGCCCGCTTCGTCCACGGCGTCCTCTCTTACCCAGAAGTTCACACCCTCCACAATAACCGTAACACCCGTCTTCTTCCCAGGCGTAGCCTTGCTCTCCCACTCCATCGACTTGATGAGCTTCGCCTCAATGTTGAAAACCGCCTCTTGCACGCGGTCTGGCTTGACAATCGAGCTCTTGGCGGGATGCAGCCCGCTAAATGTCCACTCCGACACGTCCTCCGGTGCGTTCAAGCTCGTGTAGTTCGCCGCTTCGATGAAGTCCTGCGAGATAATGTTCAAAGTGCACTCCCCGGTTTTTAGCAAATTCGCCAGCGTGTCCTTCGCGTTGAGAACCCCACCGGCAAAGCCGAGAACAAACAGCGGCGGGTCATGGCTGATCATGTTGAAGTAGCTGAATGGCGCAAGGTTTGTCGACTTGCCGTCCCCCGAAATCGTAGAGACGAAGCCTACGGGGCGGGGCACCACGCCGGAAATCAGAAGCTTATAGTTGTGAATCGCGGGGCGGCCTTCAGCGTAAGGATCGATTTCTCGATGTTTCTTTGAGAGTCCTTCGGCGTTGTTCGCGCCTTGTCCTGGCTTCCAGTCGGGCTTCGGCGTCTTGACGAAGTGCACTGCTCTGTCTGCCTCGAAATCCGGGCGCGATGCTTCCACACCTTTGAAATCGGGATGTGGGTTGCGCTGTATCGCAGCCTCGGCGTCTGCTTTTCCTTCTGCCATGTTTTCTGATGCTATCCTACTTCTCAATTTTCACAGGAAGGCGCAGTATGGGTTGTGAATGCGGAAGAATGGGTTGACGGTAAGAAAAAATGGTTGACACGGCGCAATTTGTGTAGACTCGCTGATAATGTCCACCCGCCACGGAATGTATCCGAGGCACGGAACGCCCCCGAGCTTTCCTACAATTTCCTCTGCCGGCCGCGCGATGAACGGTCGAGACGTAATCTGTTTCCCGACACTAGCCCCTACCCCACCATGGGGATCTACCCCGCTGCGGGTAGCGTCCAGAGCCCTTGAGAAGATAAGAGACGCTGGACGAAGGCAACGCTCTGAAGTTTCTACAGCGTACACTGCATGATTCGAATGATAAAGCTGTTTGTTTAGTTTAGTTTAGTTGCGTTGAGAAACGAGAAGACCGCTGAGCAAGAGTGGAGTCGTTGAGCAGCACAACATTCTCGCAATTTACTCGGGTATCGCTCGGTGAAGAAGCAGAGCGTCTGGTGATTACAAACATCGCGACAGTCGAACCACAAAGAGACAGTCCCGAAGAGAGTAATTCCTTTGAATAGTAGACCGAAAGTGTAGCGAGTCGAGCTGGCAGAAGAAGTACAAGTAGACGCTGTTCGCATAGGAAAATGGCATCACAACTTCCAACCATCGACAAACTCGGCATGTCAGACGCCTACCAGACCTACAAGATTGGCGACTTCAAGTTGCAGCGCGGTGGGGAGCTTCCGGATGCCTTTATCGCCTACAAGACACTAGGAGATTCTTCTCTTCCAGCGGTCATCTACCCAACATGGTACTCTGGACGTAAGTCGAAGCTTATGGTGTCTGCTATCTTCCACTGATGAAGAATTCCCAGTTATATCCGACAACTTGTGGCTCACGGGATCTGACAAGACGCTTGATCCTTCCAAGTACTACATCATTATTCCAGCACTCTTCGGCAACGGACAATCAGCGTCGCCATCAAACAAACCAGACCTCCGGCCGTTCCCCGAAATCACGTTCTATGACAACGTGCGAGCCCAGCATGAACTTGTCACGAAACACCTGGGCGTCAAGCATGCAAGAGCTGTACTGGGGTGGAGTATGGGTGCCGGTCAGACTTTCCAGTGGGCGACGCAATATCCGGACTTCATGGACCTGATTGCTCCTTTCTGCGGTGCCGCGAAAACTAGCCTGCACAACCAGTCAATGCTCGAAGGCGTCAAGTCTGCTTTGTACGCGGCGAAGGGGACCAGCAGCGAGGGCATCGGCAAGCAGCACTTGAGTTCTGACAAGGCCCAATACAGGGAATTCACCGAAGAGTCCAAGCGTGTTGGACTCAAGGCGCTCGGTCGAGTATACTCCGGGTGGGGTTTCAGTCAAGCCTTCTACCGCCAAAAGCTTTATGAAAGTGTGCTAGGGTTCAAGGACATTGACGACTTCATGGTGAACTTTTGGGAGGCCTGGGCGTGTTCCAAGGACCCAGAGAACATGTTGGTCATGGCCAACACCTGGCAAATCGCCGACTGTTCGAATCAAGAGCCATACAACGGCGACTTTCAAAAGGCGATGGAAGGGATCAAGGCCAAGGCGCTGATTCTTCCAGCTCAGACTGATCTTTACTTCCCGCCAGAAGACTCAGAGATTGAAGTAGAGAACATGAGACCAGGTGTGGGAACGCTCAAGGTCTTCCCAAGCATCTGGGGTCATTGGGCTGGCGGACCTGGAGACAGTAAGGAGGATGTGAAGTGGCTGGACGAGCAGTTGCGAGAGCTCTTCGCGAGTGATTGAGGTCTCACTCCAGGGTGGGTTCCGTCTGATAGATTGGTAGCTCAGTCTTCTCCCAGCTTTATGCCACCAACGATATTGAATCGATCTTTGAAGCCTTTGCGTTCGATGACGTAGATGGTATCGACAAACCAGGGTAGTTCTTTCGTCTCACTGTCAGTGGAATACTCCGTGACCCTGTTGTGAAGCTCTATGCGAATTCGCGTCTGTTGAGCATCCGATTCTGCCTGGCCTAATGATAGATGTGGCACGAAGGGGCGTTGGTCATGATGGCACTCCGCGAATTCTGTCTGAAGGGCTGCCTGCAGGCCGCTGACCAAGTCGGAAGAGGGCTGCAACCATACCGTTCGGGATTTGCTGGTGTGGATAAAGGACTTGGGTCCTTCAGTCAGTAGACTCATATGGAACGGCTCGATCTGTCTCGTGACTTTCTTGATACGACAACGAATGTGTTCCTTCAACTCTGGCGACCATGAGCCTTCGCCCTGCACAGAGGGTAGCGCAAGGAATGGATAGATGAGGTTTATGTGCGGAGGCCAGCGCGCGAAAACTTTGTCATGCACACGCCGCACAGCCTCTATCGGCGCCTCGATAGCAGATGGCGGTAGCAACACGAGCGCGCTCTTGTGAGACAGATGGGCTGGGATGAGTATTCTGCGAGGCGTCATGGCGTGTGTTCGGTCTGAACGGAGCGTCGAGCACGGAAGGCGCGTCGTTGCAGCGCGCTGTGGCTGGTGCGCGGGTGGCGCCTGCGCTTTGGCCCTTGCGCCTTGGGCCTTGCGCCGTGAAGGCTAACGGCAGCGACTGCAACAAAGTTTCTAACCTCCACCTTTCAGTGCCGCTGCTGATCGCGTCGCCATGTGGGAGCCCTCGACTTAGCCCGCCAGGCTCAGCACCCCTCCCGCCACAACCCGCCCGACACGCGCCCAGCTCGCCCGCTGCGATCCCGCCGCCAGCGCTCCGCAGCACCTCCGAGCTCTTGCCCGTCTGCGCGCTCGCGCTCGATTGCCCCCAATGGCCGATTCGAAGCCGAAATGGGGCGTCACGCGATCCTTGTCCGACGACCCACCAAGCGCACTTGACCTCAAGGCCAATGACCAGCTCATTGAGTACCTGAAGAGCATCAACAACTTCGAGTCCCCCGAGGGCAATGACCGACGGTATGTTCGATGCACTGCCTGCTGCGCCGGTGCTGACCTGCTCTAGCGATCGCGTGCTCAGGCACCTCCAGAAGGTCACCGAGGAATTCGTAAAGCGCGTCGGCCGTAGGAAGAACTTGCCCAAGTCGACCATTGATACCCTGGGCGGGAAGGTCTTCACGTACGGCAGCTACACCATAGGTGTCCACGGCCCCGACTCCGATATCGACACCCTCGTGGTCGCGCCCAAGAGTGTCGACGTGGTGGACTACTTTGAGACCTTCCCGCCGACGTTCAAAGAGATGTCTGATCCCAAGCTGATCGAGAGCTTTGTCGAAGTGCCGGATGCCTTTGTACCCATCATCAAGCTGGAGTACGATGGTGTAGACATCGATTTGATCTTTGCATCGCTGCCTTCGCAATCGTCGATACCTAGGGACTTCACGCTGCATGACCAGAGCGTTTTGCGCGGCCTGGATGAGCAGACTATACGAAGTGTGAACGGTGTTCGCACGGCCAAGGAGCTACTTGAGCTTGTGCCCCAGCCGCAATCATTCAGACACGCTCTTCGTGCGATCAAGTTATGGGCAAACAGACGCGCCGTCTACGGTTTTGTGTTCGGCTTCCCCGGAGGCATAGCCTGGGCTCTCATGGTTGCTCGCGTCTGTCAGCTGTATCCCCTCGCCTGCGGCTCCACTATCGTCGCCAAGACCTTCTATCTAATGGGGCAATGGACCTGGCCACGCCCTATTTTCCTGAAGGAATTGGAAACGTCAAACATGCTTAATCTTGCGATCTGGAACCCTACGAACAATAGCGGAGACAGGAAGCACATAATGCCTGTCATCACTCCCGCTTATCCATCGATGTGCGCCACTCACTCTGTAACACCGTCCACTCTTGCAATCATGAAGAAAGAGTTCGAACGTGGAGACTCCATTTGCCATCAGATTGTAGGCGGAAAAAAGTCCTGGGCAGATTTATTTTCACGGCATACCTTCTTCACCCAGGATCACAAGTATTATCTCAGCGTCATCGTCTCTTCCAACGGTGACAAAGACAAATTCGATGCATTTTCTGGAAAAGCTCAGTCCAAGGTCCGCTTGCTGGCCATAAACATCGAGAATAACGTCGCTGGTATCGCTCAGCTGCGCGTCTACATGAAGGGATTCGATCGAGTGCATCGCTGTGCTAATGACGCGGAGATTGATGAAGTCAGGAAAGGCAGCTCAAAGTACCAAGTGACTCCGGCCGAAGCATCGCAAAGTGCCGACCAAAAGACGACCGTCTACACCTCCACGTGGTATATTGGTCTGACAATGAAAGAAGGCGAGGCCAAGCTGAAGCTTGATATCTCGTACCCTGTCGATGACTACAAGCGCCTGGTCGAGATCGATACAGATGTCTATGACAGTAATACCATGGCAACGAAGATTGTGCACACGCGCTGGTGAGTGGTGGGCAACTCAAGTCGCAAATTGACGCTGACAAACGTAGCTACGACTTGCCCGACGATGTGTTCGAAAAGGGCGAGACCAAGCCCACGAAGCCAGTCAAGAACAAGAAAGACGACAAGAAGAAGAAGACTAACGGCACTAAGAGCGCGAAGCGTCAATTCGCCGAAACTGGCATCGAAGTGCGTAACATGCGAGCTGCAAAGAACCCCCGTTTGACTAATACGCCATGAGAGGCGACTCTGAAAACATATACTGACTTTGCGCTAATCTAGGACAGCGAAAAATCCAACAAGAAGCGAGCCTCGGACGTCAACGGTATCCCCATGTCGACCCCTGCATGATCATGACCGCAGCTAGATGGATATGTCTCCGGCACGATCCTCTGCAGAGGCCGGACAATCATGATCTTCTGACAGAATCTTTTTCGAAGCTGCGGTTACGCACCCCCGGCTCCATATCAAGATTATCATTGCCAAGGCCCCCGTGAAGCGCTCAAGGCAAGCAGCTTCTCTAATGACAATCCCGCCACTGGTCTGCGATGCGCTGTCGCGTCCATACGCCGTGTCGTCGCGGCTACTTCAATAACAAAACCAGAAAAAAAAGTGGAAAAAGGCTGCTTCACCGCGCCACAAAACCAACTTTGACAGCGACAGGCAATTCGAAAACAGCTCGAACAGAACCTTCCTCGCGCCCGTCCGACTGCGCGCCATTTCCTAGTGTCACACGGTATCGTGCTTGGTCAGAGCGGGCGTTCTTTTGTTTCTCATGCATTGGGTGTGGCGAACTGGGAAAAAGGTGATCATGGGCGACCAAATCAACATTTTGGGCGATTGGAGGAGGGCTGTGCGGCTTCGCTTTTGCGGACTGTAATTTGGTCTGCTCCTTCGAGGAGGCTGGTTGGCATTACACTGGGGGAGTACATACCTCTTGAAAGTTGAATTCATCCGATTTACAATACTTTCAATGCCGTGCCACCTTGTGGATCTGCTTTGTGGCTGGAGGAATTGATTGATACTGAATTTGGAAGCTGCATGTTCCATGGTAGAATCTTTACACAACTCCCCGACCGCCAAACAGCCGGCGGAATCTCTCACGACTGGCTTGCCACGCTGTCTCAACGTGGCCAGACAGTATTGGAGGTGCCTCACAAGCCCCCGGATATCCATCATGAATGGCATCAAACCGCCCGAAGAGCCGACGTCTCCCAGACCCAGCTACTATCCTCGCTTTCTTCCGAATAAACCACTTTGCGCATCTCGAACGCTCCCACGACTCATTTTCCGATATATTAGCGACAGGTATGTATGATGTTGATGCGCTAGTGTGAGCGAATGGAAAAGCAGTGGAGCTGTGCGAAGTTCGAGCCATTCGTCGAGACTGCTTTCGACTTGCCTGCAGCGTTGGGCTTGCGCTGTGGGCGTCGCGCTGCAAGTCACAGATGGAAGCCGCAATCGCGTTGTGGCAGCTGCTACGCTTGAGGTCATCAAAATCCCAGCAAACCCTAGGTGCAGTACACGAGGACTGGCTTATCTGTAGATGACCATACCTCCGTGAGAAGTCAGTGGCATAGGACCAGAATACGACGGAGCGCACCGTGGACGAGATCGCCGATTCCGGGGCCAAGAGTCCACCCAGGCTTTGTTGTATTGAGTCTGTGTAGTTTGTGTTACTGACCAAATATCCTTGCCTTTGCCATGATCAACCAGCTCTTTCCAGCGTTGCGATGTTGCGCTTTCCACGCATCGACGTCCTCTACAAAGGCCACATGGTCTGATTCTCTTGCTTCCTCAAGTCCTGGAGCGGGATCCGCACCTCGATCCAACAGCAGCCAGGTAAGCTCCCGTAGGTTTTTCAGGCCACTCAATTCGGCAACGTACACGATGGGGGTGCCTTGACGATCGGCCGTCTTCTTGCCCACGGGATGGTCGAGGGCATTGACTTCGACACCAACCACATCGATCAGATGGCGCACCATGGCCATGCGTTCCTCCACCTCCGCCGCTCGATCCAGTGCGACCCCTGCAGTCCGAACAGCAAGGTGGAGCGGACGCCAGCCCAGCGGCGCCCCCTTGGACCGCAGAAGCTCGAATGTCGCAACGCTGCCTTTCGCCGCAGCACATTCTAGAACTTGCCTGCAACTTAACTGAGACTGGGTCAACACGTTGGGATGCAGGCGCTCCTGGCGGATTGGAGATAGGGTCGCGCCATGTTCAAGACACCAGGCCACCAAGTCTCCGTCACCCACAATGTGCCACATGTAGGGCTCCGCATCCGGGCCTGATTCAGAGACATGGCGCCAGTTGATGTCCCAGCCGTGCGCGAGCAGAAGTTCCAGTATGGCCGTGGACCGTCCTGCGCGCGCAACGACCGTAGGCGGCAGGTGTTGGACATCTAAGCCCCGATCCTCGATGAGATGTATCAGAACCTTTTCTGCATTGATCTGGATGGCGAGGTGGAGACTGTATCGGAAGCGATCCGGTGGATCGGGGTAACTGGAAAAGGCTTGCTCCATCAGAGAAGTGTCATCGCGTTCGCATGCGGCTTTGGCGCGCTCATTGAACTCTTGCAGGGTCGAATTGGTAGACATGGTTCACGTTGGCCTGCCGTACGGGGAGCAAGCCTGCCGAAGGTGAGGAATTGTGGAGGTGACGTAGATGTAGAAGCAGGAAATTAAAGGCACATGGTCTAGTATTCACTCGTCCGAGAGAAGATGGCGCTGACTGCTCGACGCTGCCCTGCGGAAAGCCTCGACGCTTGACGCTCATATACAACGCAACCTGGTAGTAGGCTGCTGTTAGGTGAGACTGGCAGTTCCCGTACGCCCTACGCGGGTTGTGGCGTCTATTTCATCGACGGCTAGCGAGAGTTCTCGGGCGGAATGTGCGGACGTTACCATCTGCGAGGTTCCGCATGTCAAGTTGCACGGAAGATGCTACCGATGTCCTTTGTGAGAACAAGTGCTTGGCACGCTGAGGTCCAGCCTGTTTCCATCTCCGCATCGCGAAGTAAAGAGAGACGGTGCTGATCCTGCCCTGTTTGTTCGCCAGTAGCGGAGGACCCTGGGCGGCTCGCGGCAGCGTCATTGGCGGTGCTAGGCTACCGACTGCGCTACCGACGTCCTCACCGGTTCTTCTGCACGAAGGTGGAACACACAGTCCTCGTCTTCACGACGGCAGCGGATTCGAGAAGCTGAAGGCGTCAACAGAGAATGGACTGGGGCGGCACGGCTCGTCGCCACGCCGAGTGCCCGCCTCTGCGTAGGCTGAGTGAGCACCCCGAACGGGGCTAGCGGGCATCCCACCTTTTGTGCTGCTGCCCGAGGCAGGGCAGAGACAAGGCCTAGGAGCGGGCCCGGAGGAAAAGTGGTCCCTCTCGAACTGGTGGTGCATGTACATGTCCGACAGCTGTGGGCGTCCGCAAACAAAGATTTACACGTGAGCTCCGCGTCCCGGCCTGCAATGGGCCCAGGGCGGCGGCCAGCGCTGCAGCTCGACGTGGCTGCGGCAAACGACAGGCGGCGTAATATTCAAGCCGTACCTGGACGGGCGCGGCGCTGGCGCTGGCTCGAGGGAGGGGCAGGCGGCGAACAGCACGCTGGCCGCAGCGCGCGAGTAGGCGTGCCCACGAGAGCGTCTCTTCACTGCCGCCGGGCACTCCAACAGCGCGCCCAACGGTCCAATCCAGTCGCTGCGCCCCCTCTGCCTTTTCCGCACGCTCTGGGGCTTTGCGAGCTGCGCTGAAGCGGGACAAGCATTGAGTTAGCTCTGTCAGCCTTGTATCAGCCGCAGCGTGCTTCCAATTTAACACCCGACACCCCACCACCCTTCGCTCCTCCCTCCTCAGTGCTGATGAACTCCATGAATGCTCGTTTCAAGAACCTAGTGGGTTCGAAACGAAGAAGCGCATCCAACAACCCATCGCCCTCGCCCCAGGGCTCCAGCACGCCCGCCCAGCGCCCGAACTCACTCTCCCCGCAGCCCTCCAACACCAGCACGAACAGCCTGCCCCAGCCAGGGCCGGGCCAGCAGCAGCAGTCCAACATGAACCCGAACAACCCCCTCGGCCGCCCACCCTCGTACACCTACGCTCCGCCCGGCGGTCTGCAGCCCGGCCAGCAGCAACAAGGGCGTCCCAACAGCCCGCTGCCGCCCATCAACACGGGCGCGCCTGGGTACCCGCCGCAGCATGGCCAGCCCATGGGCTACCCACCACAGCAAGGCCCGCCAGGCTACCCTCCCCAACAGGGCTATGGAGGAGCGCCTCCGCCCGGCCAGCAGCCCTACGGCGCGCCAGCCCCGCCGAGCCAGCAGCTGCAGTACAGGCCCGGCGGCGGCATGGCAGAGGTCGCGGGCGAGGGCCGCTCCAAGGCCCAGCTGATCGTGGGCATCGATTTTGTGAGTTTTGCCACGCATGCGTGCAAGCGTGCGGCACGGACGCTGACATTGAATCCTTCAGGGCACCACGTTCTCTGGTGTTGCCTTCGCTTTCGCGACCAACACTGAGGCCAAGGAGGACATCATCACCGAATGGCCTGGTGCGGGCAACCAGACAAAGCAAAAGGTACGGCGCTCGCACTCCGCCCCGTTCCTCATAGTAATGCATTCTGCAGATCCCCACGGTTTTGTACTACGACCAGTACCAGAAAGTCGTGGGTTGGGGCCCTGATATCGCTGACGCCTTGGCCCCCACGGGCTACCCCAAGCCGGGTGTGCAAAAGGTCGAATGGTTCAAGCTGCAGCTCATGCTGTCCGGAAACACATATATCGACCCCATCAACCTGCCGCCGCTGCCCCCGGGCAAGTCGGAGATCGATGTCGCCGCCGACTACCTCTTCCACCTGCGCCAGGCGATGCGCAACCAGCTGCAGAAGACGCTGGGAGAGGTATTCAACAGAGAAGAGCGCAACATCCGGTACTACCTGACCGTGCCCGCCATCTGGAATGATGCGGGCAAGGCTGCGACACGTGCTGCCGCCATCCAGGCCGGCTTCCTCCGTGACGAGAACGACAACAGATTAACGCTGATCACCGAGCCCGAGGCCGCCGCCATGTTCTGTACCAAGACTGGCCTGCTGAACGTCAAGGTCCACGATGCCGTGCTTATTGTCGATTGCGGTGGTGGTACCGTCGATTTGATCGCTTACGAGGTCGAGGAAGAGCAACCATTCTCCGTTGCCGAGTGCACAGCTGGTTCCGGTGACTCGTGCGGTTCAACAGCCCTAAACCGCAATTTCAGCAACATTCTGCGCGCCAAGATCCGCAAGATGAAGCTGCCCGACGGCTCCAAGACAGCTGGCAAGGTCTACGCTAAATGTATCATGGATTTCGAGAACAGGATAAAGGCTGATTTCCGCAACAACGGACAGAAGTGGGCCGTCGATGTCGGCATTGAGGCCGAGTTCCCCGAAGCTGGTATCGAAGAAGGCTACATGACGTTCACCAACGAGGAGATTCTGCAGTGTTTCGAGCCGGTTGTGAACCGCATTCTGGAGTTGGTACGGAATCAGATCATCGCCATCCAGGCACAGAACAGATCCCTGCAGGTATGTGCAACCATTGAGTGGACAATTCTGGGAATCATTTTAACTTGTGCAGAACGTGCTCGTGGTCGGTGGTTTCGGTGCGTCCGAGTACCTTTTCCAGCAAATCAAGCTCCACGTGCCGCCCCAGTTCCAGTCCAAGGTCGTCCGTCCTATGGACTCCGTCGCTGCTATCGTCAAGGGTGCCGTCACTGCGGGTATCACCGAGCGAATCGTTACCCACCGCGTTGCTCGACGGCATTATCTCATGGCCACCCTCCAGCCCTTCAAGGAGGGCCACCACCCCGAACAGTACCGTGTACCATCGCTGGACGGCAAGGACAGGTGCAAGTACACCCGACAGATTTTCGTGCAAAAGGGTCAGCGTGTCAAGATTGGCGAGCCTGTCAAGGTTTCCTTCTTCCGACAGGTGGCGCCTGGCGCGACGCTCATGTACGAAGATATTCTGTACGCCTGCGACGACGACGTTTGCCCAGAGTACACAAAGGACCCACGTAAGTGCAGCCAGAGTATCAACGAGACGCGCCCGCTAACGAACATGCAGGCATCAAGGAAGTCGTCACCCTCACGTCCGATCTCTCCCGAAAGAATCTCGAGAAGGACTTCGAGCGCATGGACACACCCCAAGGTACCTTCTACCGTGTTTACTTCGACATCTACCTCACGCTCGACGGCTCAGAATTCAATGCCGAGCTTGTATGCCAAGGCGAAGTCATGGGCCGCTGCACGGCCCGGTTTAGGTAGTTTGTTCGTAACGCGCATATGTGGATACGTGGGCATGGCCAAAAGTTTGCTTTCTGGGTCACATTTACTGGCGACGATAAGATAATAGCGAATACCTTATTAGATACCTTGGATATGGTGGTGGGGTGTGGGGATGTTGGGCGAAAGTACACACGGTCTCTTGAAGGATCTGATGAGACGAGACGAGATATTCAGCTTCTAGCTTTTAGCATACCCCCTCAAGCACTTCGTATTGTTTATTTCTCAGTTCTCTATCTTGGTGGCAGAGCCCAGGGTGTGGATGTGATTGGTAGATCGAGAGTGGACTCACCACATGGTACACGTGCAGACTTGGATGGCGTCTCCACCATGGATCATTTTGGTTCTCTTCCCAACACACACCATTTCGAAGTCGTCCCTGTGCCATGTCAAGTTGTTGAGAACAAAGTGGGCTCCACACAAATCACCAAAATCCGCACTCTTTTCATGGAAATTGCCTTCAGCTTTCTCTGCCTCTCAACCTTGCGCATCAGTTTCACACTCGCTTTGAACCAGCACTCCTTCGAAACACTCGTAAATCGTCAAAATGAGAACTTTTGCCTGCATTCTCGCGGCTGTTTCTGCTCTAGTCTCCATGGCCTTTGCCGAAATCCCTCTCTGTCCTGGCGTTTTCACCGCTATCCCCGATGTGAGCGCGGCTTCTCATGCTGCGCCTGTGCCAGAGGGCTACGCAAGATCTTTCCTCGCGCTGGACAGCGCAGTGCAGAATGTGGGAGCGTATCTCGGACTCCAGCAGCTGACGACGTAAGTCACTGATCAATAACTGTACAAGTGAGATGTCGAAGCTAAGCGAAAGGGATAGCTACAACGTGACCGAATGTGCGGCTTTCTGTGGCGCGACAAACGGGTGCCGGGCGTTCAATATCCATGCTGAGACTCAGACTCTTGAGGTGAGTGACGGAGTTTAGGGCAAGGTTGGGACGGGATGGCTAATGGTGACAATTCAAAGGAACCCGTGAGCTCCTGCAACGAGATCTTGTTCCACTGCGCGCTGTACGCTGCGCCTGTGTTCCAGGATATGGCGAGCAACTATGGGCAGCTGGAGAATCGGCTTAGTGTTTTTGCGTCGAATGGTAACGCTCCCCTACCGCTTCTACATGTTGGTTGCCTTTTGCCTCTTCGTTTCCTGCTGCTCTGGCACATACAGCAGCATCCTAGGTCTTTTCGACTGATTGTATCAAATGCAGGTTACAACGCCGACGAAGTCGTCATCGCAACCGAGCTGCTCACCACCACGGTAACCGTAACGTCCACCCTGCACCACGCCACCACCGTCACAAGAATCGAAACCTCGACCGCGGTCTCCACCGTCGTCCAAACGTCGCCATCCAGCGCCGCCGCGCTCGCAACTTCCACACTCACCGACGACACCACCACAGCAACCATCGTCTCGACCTCCCTTCCCACCGTGCTCCCCACCCCGAGCACCCTCGCGACCCAAGTCTCCCCATCCCCATCATCCGTCGACGCCGACCCGCCAAACGTCAGACTGGCGGCCCATGTCGCCGCAGACGACAAGCCCACCGTCTCCCGAACGTACGGCTTCGATGTTGCGGCCACACCCCTCGAGCTCGGGCCGGATTCCACCGTCGCCATCGAGGAGCGCGGGACGGACAAGCTCGCGCCGACGTACATTCGTCAAGGATCAGGCCCATCTGATGCGTATGTGGTGGCTAAGCGTAGGATGGGACTTTCAGCACGGCGGCTGCGTGTCGGCGGGCGAGGCGTTGCCATCGGCGGCGGAGGTTGACGCCAGAGCAAGCTGCATCTGCAGTGGGACTTGGAGAGTTGGATGGGCAGTATGATGGTGGGAGGGCACTTGAAGTGCTACCAAAAGTGTTTGTTGGGACGCTGTCTGTCTGCTTCTGTTGCAGACCACAGACGAATTGGTTGGTTGTCAAGTATTAGCATTATGGTAGTATAGATGGTTATGTAGTTTTCTCATTTACTGGACCCGACTCGATCCGATGCGCATGCGCGTCGGTCGACGTCTCCTCCCTTAGCCAAATCCCGACCCGAATCTTTTCTATAACAAGTCCCTAGGCGAACGGTATGGCCCAAAATGGCGAACAGCGAATGCGAAAGCGAATGAAGAGAAGATACAAGAAGCCCATCCCCTACTGGTACCTAGCGAAGTGGCCATGCTCGCTCGTAATCGGCGTCGCGTCCAACCCGGTTCACCTCAACCTCGTCGCTCCCTATTAGTCGTACACTCACGCAATCCAGCGATTCACCGCCAGTTACTGCGTCTTTTTGGAGCCGCGGCGCGGCAGGCCCAGCCTCTTCCTTTCGGCCCGGTCGCCCTCGGCGAGCCACTTGCTCGCCTTGACAAGCTGGACCACGTTGATGACCTGCTTGCCGAACATGATGGGGAACGATGCGATGCAGAGGATCCAAGGAAGGGTAGAATCCATCTTGTTGGCCCTAGTATGTTTCGTTAGCCTACAATGTTCGCACGATTGTAGCCGAGTAGTTCGTACCTGGCCATCTCCATAGCACCCGCTGACCAGGGGCTCGTGAAGATCATGGAGGGCTTCGGCGCCGCGGGCGTGCCCATGTTGAGCGAGGCCGGGGCCTGCGGGTCTTTCAGGAGCGTTGGCGAAAGATACGGCGAAGAGAAGGAGAGGAGGTAGAGCGCGATGAAAAACAGCTCGTTGAATAAGCAGAAGGTGAAGAGGACTTTCTGTACAGCTGTCAGTCATTGCCAGTGTCTTGGAAGGATAGTTGTTGGACGCACGTTGTTGGAGTAGTACATCTTCAAGACCCAGCTCCTCGTCTCGTCGATCTTCTTGTGACTCTGGTTGCTCCCGCCCATGCTCAGCGTCGCGTACATGTGCATGTAGTGGCTGGCCAGGTCGAGGGAGATCAGGCTCTGGAAGATGATGCTCCAGCGCGGGAAGGCGCTTGCCAGGAAGACCAGCAGACACGAGGTGGTGCAGCGGTCCGTCACCATGTCGAGGACGGCGCCAAACTTGGTCGATTGCTCGAAATGGCGCGCGGCGATGCCATCGAGGGCATCTAGCAGGCAGGAAATGCTGTATGCGGTTGCGCACGTGCGGGGGTGCAGCGGCATGTAGTAGAGGGAAGCGATGGCGAGGACGACGCGGCCGTAGCCTGTGCAAGAGTCAGCGGGAGGGCTTGGGTGGATTGTAGGGCCAAGTACCGATCAAATTAGGGTAGAAGAGGAAGATGTTCTCCTCCTCGTTTTGGGTAGGTTGCCTGCTCCGGACCGCGGCTCCATTGCCGTTGGCCATTGACCGTGTCTCTGGCATTTTCAGCGCCAACTGGTCTGTTCAATGTCGAAGAAGGAGTCCGGGTATTCTCCCAGTCCGAGTGGTGGAGGAGCCCCGCGCAGAAGGTCCTGAGGCGCAACGCAGTTGACCGAGCTTCGTCCGGTGACTTCAAGCTCTGCACGTCCGTGTGTTGCGACGCTCGTGCAGCTGCCGCGGTCGTGGGAACTCCAAGCACCAAGCCTCCCAGTGTGTTCGCAAGGTACGCGGAGACTGCAGCGGGACGCGCTCTGGGATCGGTGCTCAAAGTTATTCAAGGAGACGCCGATAAGCCGATAAGAAGGGCTAACGTGGACAGGGGTTCTCGGCGACCGTAGGCTTGTGTGCGCGGGCGGGGTGGTGGTAGTAGGGAGCCGGTCGCAGGAGGCTGGGACGGCAGGAGAATACAGCAGGCCGAAGGAGTGTATGGTGAGCAGAGCAGGCAGGCGCAGGCGTGAGACGTGAAATTGGCTGTCGAATTGGCGCTGCACTTTTGATCCGACTCCTCCGCCGCCCTCCGCCTATACGGCACAAGCGGCCTTGGCACTCTTACCCTGAGCGCCAAGGGAGACGCAGTTTCAGTATCACTCCCACGCGACAAGCACGGAATGCAACTTGATGGTCATGTTGTATGGGTATCGGATTGCCAAACTGGGCTACTGACTACGCTCAACGCCTCTTACCACCCGTGGGCTTACCACCCTTGGGCTTGCCACCCTTGGGCTTGCTACCCTTCCCTGCCGCACCTTTGATTTCACCCAGCGTCTTCTTTCCTCGGTCCTCCTTGCCCTTCTTCCACATCTTGCCCTCCGTCCGAACATCGTTGAGCTCTAGCTTCTTGCGGTCCTTTCCGCTCAGCTTCTTCTTCTTGCCATCGCTGCCCGTCTTGGCAGGGCCGTTGAGCGCAGCAGCTCCCTTTTCCTTCGCTGCCAATTTGTCCTTCTCTGACTCGAACCATGTTCGCCTGGGCCGAGCTTTGATCTCGTCTTCGTGGACGATCAGATTCTCTCCGCGCTTCAGATCGCGCTCGGTGATGCTCATGGCCCGTTCTTCCTTCTCCTCCTGCAGTACCTCCTCAATTTCATCGGCAAATTCCTTGAGCTTCTTGGTCCACTTATCCGACTCTTCCTGGGGCACTTGTCTGCTGACTACTTTGGCGCCCTGGGATCGAGATGAGCGGACAGCCTGTTTGACTACTTTGCGATCCGGCTCGGCCGCAATCGTGCACGACCGTCCACTTCGTCCCGCACGGGCCGTACGTCCGACACGATGGAGGTAGATCTCATGTGTCTGAGGCGCTTCGTAGTTGATGACCGTCGACACGTTTTTGATGTCGAGACCACGGGAAGCCACGTCGGTTGCGAGGAGGAAATTTGCCTGTCCCGAGCGGAATGCTTCTACGCTTTGGATACGCTGGGGTCTGTTAGTCAAAGTGTGGGATTGGATAAATGAGCAGAACTCACCTGTTCCTGGGTCAAATTTCCGTGAAGTTCGGTAGCCTTGAGTCCGCAAAGCGCAAACACCACCCTGACGCGGTGGGCCTCCTTTTTCTGCCGGAAGAAGATAATAACCCGGTCTGTGTATACCTTTGTACAAATGTACATGAGATAGGCCAGACGCCTGTCCTCTTTACCCTTCCTTATCCTGACGAATTCTTGGGTGAGACCAGCCACGGTGTTCTTTCGGGAGTCTACCATGAGCCGCACCGGCCTGTTCATGCCAATCTGGATCAGCTTGTCAACCGACGTGGACATGGTAGCGGAGAAGAGCATCGTTTGTCTTGACTTCGGGATGGTCGTCAAGATCTCGCTCAGCTGGCTCTCGAAACCTTCCTCGAGCATACGATCGGCCTCATCGAGAACAAGGATCTCGAGAGTCTCCACCTGGAAACCTGCCGAGTTTTGCATATGATCGATGAATCGACCAGGGGTGGCAATTACGACATCAGGCTTCGTTCGGAGGACTGCTTCTTGCTCGCGTAGCGAGAAACCACCAGCCAGTTGCGCGAAAGTAATGTCCGTAAACGCAGCGAGTTTCTGTGCGACGTTGAAACATTGCACTGCCAACTCACGCGTGGGCATGAGTATAGCAACGCGAGTTGTGGGAATCTTCTTCGGTCGATACAGCAGACGCTCAAGAATGGGTATCAGGAACGCAGCGGTTTTACCGGAACCAGTCTCGGCTCCTCCCACCACGTCTTTGCCTTCCATCGCGATTGGGACCGTCTTGGACTGAATGGGAGTGGGTTCGGTAAAACCGACTGATGCCAGACCTTTGAGAATAGGCCTTGATAGAGACATGCCTTGGAAAGACGAGCCTCCTGCTGCGCCCTTCTTCTTCTGCGACTTCGCGCTCTCCTCCTCAGGCGCGAAAAATGCGGCAGCCTTCTTTGCTTCTGCAGAGTCCTCATGATCGCTTTCGGCGTCCGATTCTGCTTCTTCGAGATCCATGGGATGTGCGACAGGAGCAGCAACAGATTCGTTGTCCGAATCGTCCGCGCCTTGCTCCGCGTCCTGCATACTGGCGTCTTCGCCCGATTGTGAACCCTCTCCTTCCTCGTCTGCTTCCTCATCCTCCTCACTTTCTGCACCCATTCCGAATCCATCCTCAGCGAGTAGCTCATCGTCATCTCCGAAGCCTTCAAAGTCGCCAGTGGCTTCTTCCTCACTGTCCGGTTCGTCCGCAGGCTGCGCCTTCTTCTGCTTGTTGCGTCTCCGCTCAATGATCTCGTCAACATCAACAGCGGTGCCCTTTCTGTCTTTCGCATCATGCGTCGCAACCGTCTCGTTGCCCCACCCATCGAAGTCCTCAACATAGCCAATGTCAACATCGCCGGGTGCAAATTCGAAATCGCTTGCAATGTCGTCGTTATCCTCGGCATCCTCAGCAGGCTCTGCGATGTCGTTGTCGTCGACCTCTTCGAGCTCTGGAGTCGGCTCTCTCGCCTTCTTGCCCTTCTTCTTACTTCTCTTTGACTGCTGGATTTCCTTAGGCTTCACTAGGGCGGCATCGTCCAGCTTGCGCTTCTTTCCGCGACCAGCGAGTTTCGAAGGCTCGTCTCCCTGTTCGGCGCCATCGTCGGAGATATCCTCGTGGTCGGAGATGGTGAAGATGAAGTCGTCGTCGGTTCTCGGCGCCATTGTGGGCGGTTGTGACGGGGAAATGGAAGAGAATGCTGCTGTAGTACTTTAGAGCTCGCTTCGGGCAGGCCGTGCTGTAGCAAAACGTGTGTCCGGCAGCCGAAGACGACGTTGCGAGGTCGAAGAAAAAGTTCAGTTTGGACGGCCACGCCAAGATTTCGGCCGCTAGCGCCTCGTTTAAATCTAGGCCGCGGCTTCTGCGCAAGGCACCCTGGCTCAACACACTTCACAACTGCTCCGAGGCCATCCAGGTTCGCATCGCACAGGACTTCGACAGTTCGGGTGCAGATGTTCTTCGATTCAGCATAAGACTCGAGATCCAATACGAGGCGATGCGCCATGGTAAATTATGTGCAAAAGAGAAATGTCGAAGTCTATGTACACATGCTCCATCTCAACGTGCTCTGAATAGCTAGATACGACAGACTGCCAGCTGTTGGTAGAACCTATCGCAAGTCTCCCCCAGTGTTCCACAGCTCGAAGGACTAGGGCCCCCGCAAGTCGTAGCCACCAGCGTCTTCGGCCTGCTACACCTCCTGGTAAAGCCGCCATCGCAGGTAACGGTCCCGGCAACAAACCCGTATCCGGCCTGGATGCCCTCACCTACAGGCTTGTACTCCCCCGATCCTTTGAACACACAATTGTCGTATAGTATCTTACTCTCGTCGTTGGTGTCCACGATCCTAGGCCGAGTCAGTTCACGATTCTCCAATATCGCTGGTGAGACTTACCTGAATGTCTGAGGGCTGGTAGTGGCGCCATCTACGGCTGTAACCCCGACATCGATGTTCGTAGAGCCCTTCTTCACTTGTTCGCTAGCAGTGACGCCTGCATGAGCCTTGTCGTCGCCGAGTTCATGATTGCAGGCGTCGATAACAGTGCCAACTTTAACCGTTTGTATAACGTTGACAGCACCGAATCCGGACGCGCCTCCATCAGCATGCAGTCGCCAAACCTGCAGCTCAACGTTGGGAAATATGTATTCGTATTTCTTCCCCTGGAGATACACCTGCCATATCGCAGAGCCGGAGTGGTCGGGAGAGTAGAGCATCTACGAGGATCACCATGTTAGTGCAAAGTAATGAGCCAGATGGATGAAAAGTCAGTGGAGTTGAGACTTACTGCGGCCTTTCCCCATGCACCTCTGGTAATTTCGATTATTTGTCTCTTGTAGTTGAACACTACCGGATCCTGATTGAATTTTTCCTTCAGCAGTTTTATGACCGTGTCGACCTTGACTGCGTGACTGTGACTGTCTTGTGAATTGAAGAGACTTGAAGGGTCTGCATCCATGCTATTCTCGAGGCTCACCGTAGCTGCCATGACGAACACTTTGGCATCGCCGTACAGAGCGCTGTCCCAACCCTGGCCAAGCAAATTGCTAAATGGCAAATAAGCAAAGTTTCGTGTAGTCATGATAGACATGGTTACGTACGCAAGAAGATCAATCGCATCAGACTGAAACAATCTGTCTGCTTGTGCATTGTCGAGCATGGTTGACTTTTCCCAAGTATGAGACATGAAAAAGCCTATCTCAAAAGTCAGCACTTCAGTACCCAACGCCCCAAGTAGTCACGAAACGGGATGGATCTGAGAATACGTACCGTTGTGTGACACTATAAATATGCCCAGGCAGCCCTGCAGACCCTCCAACATGAGTTGGATGTCCTGTCCATTAGGCGAGCCCGCTAAAATAGCGGTCTCGCCGAAAGCATTATTGTCGATTTTAAGGTGGGTTGCCGTGCCAGCCAGTGCTTTGTAGAAGTCGTCCCTATCGGGGTCTGTGCCTTCTGGTGGTACATCGCGTTTGACCATATGCCGCGTGAGATTGACCTCACTACCCGAGTAGTCCGATATGCTAAAGACCTCTGATTGAAGCACATCCTGATCGAGGTACCGTATACTGTCGCTAAAAGAGCTCCTCCTAGGAGAGGGAAGTGGCATTCCGGTGTCGGTCGGGGCAAGACCTCGTTTCTTTGCAGCAAGTGTGCAGACACCATTGCATGCTTGGTCACACTCGTAACCAATAGTAGTGGTTGTCGTCGTAGTCGTGCTCGTCGTGGACGAAGAGCCTGTGCAGGCCGTGATGGTGTAACAGGAAGTGGTGGTCTGGGTGGTGGTCTTGGTCGAACTCTCATCCGGGTAGACAGTCTTGGTAACTTCGAAAGTAGACGTGCATGTCGGAAACTTGGAACTCGTCTCGCAAGATTTCGTGTCTTTGCCATCGTCGGGCTAGTGCCAGAGATCATGTCAGCATGTATAGCAGTGGGGTATGGGCAAACAACATCGATAGTAGAAGTGAACTTACCGCATTAGGACCGCCCCCGACCTCGCCTCCTTGTGGCTGGCATGAGCTGCCTGCACATGTACCATGATGACAATCCGAGCCACTGCACGAGCGGACAGTACATTTGGGACCAGAGCAACCACCGCCACCACCGCCACCACCACCTCCGCCTCCTCCGCCTCCTCCGCAGTCGTCTCCTGTACAACCAACGTCGATGCAGTTAGAGCCAGTGCAATGAGAGTCGCCTCCTAGTTGTTAGAACATGTCAGTACACAGTCAACAGTGTCTTGGGTACGCATCTCACCATCGTCGCTGCCGCCACCCTCGCAGTCAGGACCTTTGCAGCCATTCGTTGTGCAACCCGAACCTTTGCAAACTCCATCAACACAGTTTGAGCCGACACAGCCAATCGGGATGCAGTCCAAGCCAGTACACAAGCCGTTGACGCAATTACTTCCTGTGCAGCCGAGACTGACGCAAAGGAGCCCTATCCCGGTCAGTGGGTGTTCCGAGATCGAGGAGCGGACAGAAGCTCTGTGACTTACCGGTACACTTTCCATTTTTGCAGTCTCTACCAGCGCAGCGGCCATTCGTAACGACTGGAAAGCCTGTTTCAACTACACCTCCAGGCACTGTTGTCGATCCGGGGTTGTTGGTGGTAGTAGAGCCACCAATGACGGAAGTAATACCGCCCGTAATCAAAGGGACGACTGTAGTGCGCGTGGATGTGGTTCCACCGACTACAGTGACAAAGGTGCTTGTCAATGTAGTAGTCTTCCCATCAACGACTGTAGTAATCGTACTAGTACGGGTAGAGGTAGTTCCGCCGACGAGGGTGGTAATCGTAGTCGTAGAAGACCCCGTAGTTGTGCCGCCGATGACAGTGGTGGTGCCTCCAATGACTGTGGTGCAGCCGGATTGGCAGCCCTCTCCACAGTGGGCGGGTGTACTTCCACAGAAGCCTTCCTGGCTGCAACAACCTCCTGAAGCCCATCCGCCACAGAACATGTTGTTATTGGTCGCACCACAGGTACCGTCAGTTGTTTCGCCGCCTTTCACGCAGTCGCCTGATTGACACCCTGAACCGCAGTGCGCATCACTGTAACCGCACCAACCACCTCTACGAAATGTTAGCGAATCCACTGACCAAAATCTTGCGTTGCACAAAGCTTGACTAACGCTGAACAACAATTTCCGCCAGACCAGTCTCCGCATATGGTGTGAGCATGACCAACACCGCATGTGCCGTCCGTGGTCACATTGGGCGTTAGACCGTTTCCTGCGCCTGAGTTGAAGTCGACACTCCAGGCCATAGTACCACCAAAGCATTGATCGTCGGCCCAAGACTTCTTACGCGCAATAGTGCTCTCGTCGTCGTAGCCAATCCATTGATCATCCCAAGTCACTTCCATCATCAGTGCGTCTGGGAGAAATCGTGGTGTCAGGTTCTTCATCTTAATCAAGTCTTTGATCTCACTGAGTCCCATAGCTCCTTCCTGGTGAGTACAAGGACCAGCCTTGGAAGCGCCTGAGAAAGGACAGCCTAGCGTGTTGCAACTGGGGTCCGACAAGGTGAAGCCTCTGCCGTAAAGGGCGACTCCAAAGTTGATCTTGGAAGGATCCAGTTCATCGAACCATAGAGGAAGCGTGTCGTTCGCGATCTCTCGAATGTCCGATTGACCACGAACGACTGGAGTAATGGTCTTTTGGTTGATGTCCCAGGGACCGTGTAAGTCGTAAGCCATGAACCCGAAAAAGTCCACCGAGCTCTCCATAGCTTTGGCGTCGAAATATCGCAGATACCAGTAATCGGGAGCCAAGGTCAAGCTAATACCGTACTTGGTACCAAACGCAGCACGCATTTCTTGTACGAGGAGCACGAAGTTCTTGGTATCGTCCTCGTGCCCTCCTCGCTCGGGAGCCACAGGGTATTCCCAGTCCAGATCAACACCTTGGAAGCCGTACTTGGACATGAAATCGACAAGCGACTTGATGAAAGCCGCACGATTTGTTGAGCTCGAACACACATTACTCCACGTTTCGTGCGTCGGGTTGGGCGATGGGTCGCTGAAGTCGAAGCCTCCAACGGCGATCCAAGTCTGCAGGCCGCGACTCTTCAGAGCAGTGAACTCGGTGTAAAGCGGGACATCGGCTGCAGTTGCAGGTGTTATGGAGTATGAGGTTGGGTCGATCGATGCGAAAGCATAGTAAAGGTGGGTATATCCGTCCGAAACGATGTCGCTCGGGAAGATGTTGTTGCACCATCGGTCGCGAGTATTGGATCCTTGGTAATAGCCGATTGTGCGTCCCGTCGAAGACCCACTGCCCAAACCGCAGGTGCGGCCCTTCTTGACCTCACAGGAACCAAAGCCATCCTGGCAGGGGAGTGTGTTGTGGACAGGATCACCGTTGACACAATATAATTCAGAGGTGCCGCACCAGCCTGTTGCAGAGCAGCATAGATTCATGCCACACTTGACTTTGCCATCTTTGCTATATTTACCACACATTGCAGTCGCCCCACAAGTGGAGCCAGTGCAGTTACCCACACCACAGTTATCCGGACCGTAGCCACACGTTCCGTGGACGTTGCAACAACTTCCGTCGGCGCAAGTGTCATCTGGCAAGCACTTGGTCGCGTCGCGGCGGACAATACCAGATGTGAGACTCGCTGCGAAAGAGATCATTTCCTGCTCAGCAGCAGCGGCTTGGTCGATGATCTCAGGCGGGGTGAACTGAGGGTGTTGATGCGTAGGATCCGCCAACTGAACAATCTCAGAGCCATTTGGAGCCTGTTCTCGTGCTTCTAAAAGCTGATTAGAGAAAGTAACCGTTGGTTCAAGCTTCGGCATACCTAGGTCAACATTTCCCGATCCGTCTAGCCACGGCAAAACGGAAGCCTGCGTTGTCTTCACACCGAGGTCTGTGAGTAAGAGAACCCAGAAAGACGCGGCGAGCATCCGGGAAGCCATCGTGAAAGGCGGCTCCTAGAAACTGAGGTAGTTTCCCAAGACATTGAAGGCAAGCCCAACTTTATAGACGGTCATTCTCAAGAAGGACCAGCTTCAGAGTCGGCATGTTGTCAACCGTACAAGCAAGTAGCGAGATTGCGTTCGCCATTCCAGACTGTCCCTGTCGTCAAAAAGCCTAGAGCGAAAGACTAATGGATCCCGTAGTGTTCCATCGTCGTATGAAGGATTGGATGCTTGAAAGCTGCTTTCAGATGTTCCTAAGCGCGTCCATTTCTTCTCGTGCGACTCAAAATTCCTACCACTAGCACCCGAGATGAACGGACTCGGCTACTCAGAAGTTCTTACTTCACTCTTTATCCTTGCTAGCTGTGGAACTGTGCGGGCGTATAAGCGTGACAACAAGGCGTACTTGCCGCCAGCGTGAACCGCCGAATGGCCGTGGAATTGGCCAATGTCGTACCGAAGGGAAGTGCATCCGTATGACCATCGTTGTGGGAGGCCGAGTTGCAATCGTATAGCACAATGATGGATGTGCCTATTGTGGTATAGACTGGTTCGAGGGATGAAGTGACCAGATTCAGGGTACAGTAGGCCTCAAACGGGATAATGCTGCGTTATTTCTGGATATGCCGGTTCATGTCAAACGTTCTCGCAGACATGCGAGTACATTTTCAGGGGCGGTTGGTATTCTGTCGCGGCGCTTTTCCACAATGGTACTCGGACAGGACCGCTTCGCAACTTACAGAGCACCTAGTCCGTCCTACCGTTGCTCAAACCTTAAAGCATTAACTAGAATGCGTACCATATGAAGCGGGAGATGGGCAAGCCGCTCCCGAAGACTTGTAGCGGAAGAGGCGGAGGCGGAGGCGGAGCTTAATCCGACAAGCTTTGATGATAGGCGTTGGCGAGGGATACGAGGCGAAACCAAGCGTCGTGCGAGAGCTTGAGAGAGCTTAGCACTGGCGAATCGGCACGCCCAATGAGATTACCGGAAAATGAAAGGAATTTGAAGCCACCAATCGAGCGTTTCAACGGAGCTTAGTACCTCGGGTCATTACATTTTGGGGGCTGTTGGGCACGAGTTTTTTCTGCCTCGACGGCAGATGCGGATGATGCATCGGGCTAAGGGTTCCGCTGCAGGTACGAACCAAATTTTCTAGTGTCTTGGAATAGCAAAAAAATGGATATGTTTGCACGGGATGAAAGGAAGCTGCAATTGGAAGCTCAGTACACTCGAAAGGCTTGCGTATGGTGGGGGCGGCATGAGCGTTAAAGCGTTTTCCAACTTCCTTAATCTACTTATACATTCACGTAAACCGCGACTCGCAAAGTACGCGAAGCATCAGGAAAACCACTTCTTAACACCCTCATCCTCGTCGTCATCGGTCATGATTACCGAGTCATCATCGCTCGCCATCGGGTACTGCTCAATGAACCCTAGTACTGCTCTACCCCAAAGGTCGCGACCCTTGAGCCTCGCGATATGGCTTGGCCAACTTCTAATGTCCTTCGCCAGACGCCTCAACGCGTAATCTTCCATACGCACCAATGGCTCAACCTCAAGTCTTGTTGTCAGCACCATAGCACCTGAAATTGGTAGCCTCGTGAACATCTGTTTTTCAATGCGTGCGTGCAGCGTCTCTGGCTGGAGGAAGCTGATGTTACCCGAGAAGAAATCTTTGCTTTCTTGGACGAAGTATTTCTTCGAGAGATCGACCTCATGCGGGTGAGAGGTCTGGATAAAGGCGACATGGCGCTTGTAGCGAGAGCTGTTGCGATGCCCCTCGATGTACGAAAAGATCTCTGGAAGTCCTGCGGAAATTTAGTAATCAATTGGATCCCTGGATTTTCGTGCAACCTACTCTCCCAGGGTTGAATTGCTTCTTGCTGGCTCTCCACAGAGCAGCCAACTCGAGCTTTGAGGCGCCATCCTGAAGGAAAACACGTTGCACTCGCCAACCTGTCTTCATCAGCATGCTACCTTTCTGAACCTTTCTACGATACTCGGACAAAAGCTCAAGTACAATTGGCCTGCGCATAGCCTACCCTGGGGTAACACACTTGTGCTCAGACTTCCGTCCTGGTACTGTAGACACTGCTTACAATGTGTATTGTGCCGAGAAAGGGCTCTTGACGAAGATACAGAAGTCTTCCCGAGCCAGACGCGCCATAGTGTCGAGCGTTAGCCATCCGTAGGGCCCATCAAGCGGATGGCTTTCTTTCAAGTTGTCGTCGTAAAGCTTCCTCACTCCGTTCTTCTTCTGTTCCCAAAACCGCGCCGGATATCTCGTTGCAAGGAACTTTGCAACTTCTTGCCACAATTCTCCACAGACATCTTCGGCTTCTCTTCCTGGACGCATCTGAATGCAGTCTTCTCGGCAATCTTCTAGGATCTGGTCGCGCGCCGTCATTTGTTCCTTATTATGGTATGACAACCAGTCATCGTGGGCTAGCTCACTGAGACCGAGATCCTCCAGCGTATCGTATCGATGCGGATAGTCCTGTTGATTGTACTCATCGGCCGGCATGTCGACAGGCATGTCCGGAAATTCGAGGCCGTCGCCGCCATCATCTTGCTCAAAAGCTGGGAGTCTCGAGATGCGCTGTCGCAAGCTCGAGCTCTCGAACTCTTGCACCCTCTTGAAGCTCATGGTACTGACATCGCGATCAAAGCGTCTGGAGCCCACAATCTTTTGGCTTTCACGCCGCCTCTTCTCTTCTTCGCGCGCGAGGCGCTCACGGATGCATTGGGGCTGGATGTCGTACTTTGGAAACTTCCTGTGGAGTTGTCCGTCGTAATACCAAAGGCGGGCGAGCCAGGCACCGACACAGCACCACCAGCCAAAGAAGGTCCCCACGACGATAAAGAGGAGTACAAAAGGTGCCCATTCAGCCGGGCCCTGCTCTCTGGTAGCGCTGGAAGTGTCGTTGCATGCCATCCTGTGGAGGGTAACTTTGACTACTAAGCGATAAGAGAAAGAAGAAAACCTGTACAAGTAGCACACTTCACGACCGCTCTTTTAGTGAATGCTAGACTGGAAGTTTAACGTGAGAAGTTCATTCACCTACATCTGTGACACGATACCAACAGCAAAAAAGATTTTATATTCCAGTAAAGCCACTATTCCACTTCACCTGCACCTCTGCTTGAAAGGAGAAATGGAACGCTAGACTTTACCCGACTACTCGAGGCCTTCAATGCTTAATCATTCACAAATTCGTCCGCTTGGTGCATACGATCCCCGCAGAATCTGGATCTTTGTATTGCAAAGAAATGAAGTGCTCCACGTCGAAAGTCTTGAATCTCAATCGCTCGGTAGCATGCATCATCGACTCGCCTTTTACCCTCGCCGGCCGAAGGTCGCATTCCCTCAATAGTCTCGCTATCGCTGCCATGAATTCCACTTGGCTGAACCTCTTGCCAGGACATTGTCTTGGTCCGGACGACCAACCTACAAATTCCGCCCCATCCGGCGTCGCGAACAGCTCATTTCCGGGTTCCCCCGCGTTCTTGATCCAACGGCTTGGTCGAAACTCGTCGACATCTGAGCCCCAGATTGCCGGATCGAAGTGAACCGCGTTGTAATTGATGGACACGAAGGTATGGGGAGGAATGACCATGTCCGTACCGTTGATCTTGAGAACTTGGGACCGATTGCTGGTATACTTGGGTTGCATAGGAATCGCGCTGAAGAAACGTTGGGTTTCGTACTGTCGCGTGTCAGTAAAGGCCTTACCGGATGTGCCCTTGTCGGCTTACCATTAATGCCAGCGTTCGAACTAGCCGTGGAAAGATCTCACTGTAGTAATTCGTACTAGACTCAGTAAGTACTGCATCTACTTCTGCTCTCACCCACTTTTGTATGTCGGGGTAGATAGCGAGCAACGGAATTGCATAGCTTAGTGACGCAGATGTTGTCTCGTGTCCAGCCATGTTAAAGATGAACAAATTGCCGTATAACTCATCATCTGTCAGAGCCAGCCGTTTCCCTTGCTCGGCCTTCTTCTCTTCCTCATTTGCGCGCACGAGAGTGCTAATGAGATTGTCCTTTGGCGCCATGCCGTTTCTCAATGCATCCCGCTCTGCATTGACAGCATCTCTCAAGAACGTGCGCACTTCCTGCACGGCAATCTGCAGTCTTCTCAGTCCAGCTGGAATAAGTATGCTGGGTAACTTTGCCGCCGCAAAGGTAATGGGCGTAAGCATAATGGACAAGGAACCGATGCACGTGTGCATCGCCTCGCCGAAGCTGATACTGTGCCCTGGCTCCACGACCTTGACGCCAGTGTGGAAGTCGTACTCTTTTCCGAATGCAGCAGACATGAGTACGTGCATCGCAACCTTCTCGGTATCGCCTCTTAGCCTGCGCAACGTGATCTCATCTTCCACCAACCACTTCAAAACCATGCTATCGACCTGCTTCAGCGTAGCTTTCCACACCAGTCTCGAATTTGCTTCTTTGAACGCTGGTGATGTGATCTTGCGATGTCTCTGCCAATCGTCGCCATTCACGCTGTTCACATTCTTCCCATAAGTATTGAACATGCTGTACAGGTCTTGGTTCTTGATCCACACACGCCAATTCTTAAACAATTCTCTTGCAGCATCGACGTCAGAAACCATGATGTTAGTCTTGAACGGCGTGACGAGGGCGAAGGCGGGTCCGTGTTTTGCATGTGAGGCGAAGCGGTCGAGTTGCGACCAGCCGATGGTCGTGTAGTCTATTGCATTGCGATCCCATAAGCCAATGACGGACAGGAGAGACCGTATCTTGGGCCCGAGGAGCATCCAGGCGGGGTCTTGCCATGACTCTAGGCGGATGATGATAGGGATGTTGAGGGAACGGGCGGATAGATAGTTTCTGTAGAGGGCGTACAGGCGGTTGGCGAAAACCAAAGCTGCTATCGCCGCAAGGGTGTAACATAATTCGAGGAAGAAGAGCATGATGAGCTATTTTGTAGTAGTGGACTCTAGGGAAGGAGGGCGGGAGGAGCGTATAAAAGCATACTTAGGCGTCCTCGACCATAGATTACCGTGCGGAATCGCCCATAATGGTTAACGTTGCATGCTGACGGGGTGGGACAGTTGACTGGAAGGTACTCATGAAGGCAAGTTCACGGATTGGCTTTCGATTATTCTGACACTTGCGAACACTTTTGCCGTTATGTGTTTCGCAAAGCAGCCACAAGGACCAGGCCCGCTAAGTCTGGGCTAGCGCTGAGCTCAGAAAGGCGACATTAACAAAAGGTACCATATTAGGGAAGGTGTCATGGCTAGTTACCAATGAAATTTGAAGTACAATAATCTAAAACCACGGATCAGTCATGCCATAGCCAATATATAGTCTCTTCCGATAGATAGCCTTGTTGTCCCATGTCATGCAATTGTGCTGCTTAGGGAATTTCAAGCACTCGATACACCGCTGTGGAAATGTTCTTTGGCTCAGAAAAATCTGTACATCAACTATTGCTGCTTCTTCGCGATGGCTTCCTGGGCTATTTCTGCTTTGCGACCTCATCCATAAGCGGCTTGGCGGGCATCGTCGCGAACCTCGCCATCACCTCCAAGTTCTTCTCCTTGCTCATCTTCTCATCACTCTTGCTGACCTCGGCCAAGATCTTGAAGTAGTCGATATAAAATGCAGGCGTGAACGTGTTGAAGAACTTGGCCTCCACGTCAAATGGATTTGAGAAAGTGTGCGGTGCGCGAATGGGTACCGTCACGTAGTCGCCCACTTTGGCGTCAACGATGGTGTTGTCGGGTGCGTGGAAGCGAACGGTACCCTGAGTAACAAGGAACGTCTCGTCGTGCATTTCGTGCCAATGCGCAGGAGGGCCCGCAGTTCCAGCTGGGACGGTGAATTCGGCGCTACCGATGCGGTTATCTTGCACTGTCAGACTGACGGAGGTCTTTGGAAGGTCTCGGGAACGAAATGGTGGTTTTACCCGTCCGCGAGCCATCTTCCATGACTCTGCATGTTATGTGACCTAGCTTGAGGATCTCGCCCGATTGCGCGGGCACAAAGTTGATGGGCCTGCGTGGCATGTCCATCTTGGCGAGAGCCTGTCGGGCTTCGTCGTCCATGATGGCGATGGGCAGAAAGTTGGTGATCAGCTGAGCTGATGTTTACGAAACTGCGATTTGGTATAAGACTGTTTGCGCAAAAGATTAGAGGAGGATCGAGCGAAGACGCGAAGAGGAAGCTAATATATGACAGCAGGTACTACTGCGGAGAGCCGACCAAGCTGCAAGGGAGCAGGAGCTAGCGGAATAGTAATACGAGTGTCCGGCATTGGAGGCAGCTCGCACGACTTCGCCAGATGCTGTGCTTTTCGAAGATCTGGAGCGAATGGGCTCATGTTGTGGCTCTCAGTCGTTGAACCAGGTGCATAAGAGTGGTTCACCAGCGCAGCTTCCCCGCGGCCAGATGCGGTTAGTGCGGGGAAGGTACATCAACAGAGGGCGCATGTTGATACAGCTGCCTAAGCTCGCACGCGAAGCTCCAGAAATTCTAAGAACGCACCACGCTGGTGACTGTCGCCTTTGATCCCTACTAAACCCACCACTCACGCAGTTTCCAGCAGAACCACCGACTAAACCGCCCGAACACAGCATCGATCAGCAGCGATGGCAGAACGCTTCGAAATGCTTGAGAACAACCCGCAGGTGATGAATCACCTTGCCTACGCACTCGGTCTGGACAAGTCACTCTCTTTCTACGACATCTACTCGCTCGACGATCCAGACCTCCTCGCCTTCATCCCGCGCCCTGCCCTCGCACTACTCGTGATCATACCCCTCACGCCGAGCTGGCACGCAGCTCGCACAGCTGAGGACAAAGACACGCCGGACTACGCAGGAAAGGGCGAGGAAGAGCCCGTCATCTGGTTCAAGCAGCTGGAGACCATCGGGCACGCGTGCGGATCTATCGGTCTTACGCATGCTGTGCTGAACAGCGACGCGACCAAGCGCGTTCGGCCTGGCTCGACCTTGGATCAGATCCGCAAAGATGCGCTGCCGAAGACGATGATAGATCGGGCTAAGGTGCTGGAGAACTCGGACGCGTTCGCGAAGGCTCACGGAGATGCCGTCAAGCTGGGTGATACGGCGGCACCAGCATTTGAGGTGGAGAATGGGCAGCACTTTGTAACCTTCGTCAAGGGCAAAGACGGCCATCTTTGGGAGCTGGAGGGTTCGCGGAAAGGCCCGCTGGATCGAGGCGCGTTGAAGGAGGACGAGGACGTACTGAGCCCAGCAGCATTAGAGAAGGGTCTTGGGAGGTTGATCAAGATCGAGGCAGAAAGTGGCGGAGACCTGAGGTTCTCTGCCATCGCCCTTGCCGAAAGTCTGGATTGAGCACTTTCCGGTGAGCTCAAGTTCCGCATAGGCTTCGTCTGATAGTCTTCGTCTGTTAGTCTTCGTCTGATAGCCTTCGTCTGATAGTAATCCAATCAGATCTGGTCGGACCATGGCAAGCCGGCAGTTGAGATGTTGGAGACGCCATCTACGAACCAGCGTTCACACTTGACTGGAAGCTTCACCTCACGCATTAAGGAGCGTTTTCATAGCGGCAAAGAGTGGTTATCAAGCTGACCATTCATGATCGTTCGTCACTGGACGAAATAGAAAGGCGCTTACCAAGAAAAAGATGTGATCATTGCTACATGCGTGACTTGCCTACAACCAACGTTTCCGGCAGGATCATGATGGAAGATAGTAGTTGCGGATGCCAGCGATGAGGGTCGGACTCGGAGCGACATCGCTCCATGAGTGTCGGCAGCATTGTTCGGTCGTCGGTTCGCTGGAGCAATAGTTCGTTCCGGTATCGGCCGCCGCCGCTGCTAGCGGGGTAGTGGGGTAAGCACAAGCGGTCTTGAGAAATGTTTTTGAACGCGCGACCGCCCTCTGATTCTGTAATATTTCAAAATGTCTAACTTCAACATTGTTGTTCTTGCTGGTACGTCTACGCATTGCCTACATGTGCTATTGCTGACTTAGTGATACAGGCGATGGTGTCGGGCCCGAGGTAGGAGCTCCACGAGTATTTCACGACACAAGAGCTCACGCATAGCTTCCAGATCATAGCAGAGGCCATCAAGGTAGGCTTCAAGTCTAATTTGACGCATGCAAGCACATGGCTGACTACTCCAGATCCTCAAAGTGGTCGAGAAGACCACCGACATTAAATTCACCTTCAAAGAGCACCTTTTCGGAGGAGTATGTTGGCTGCCCTCCCAGTCTTGCCTCTTTTGTGTCTAACGACTGCAGTGCTCAATAGATGCGCACAACAACCCTCTGACCGACGAAGCTCTCGCAGCATGCAAATCTGCAGATGCCATCCTCCTCGGCGCAGTCGGAGGCCCTGTAAGCTTCCCATCTGTTCGTAATCGGAACCCTGAACGCTGATATGCGCAGAAATGGGGAACTGGCAAGGTTCGCCCCGAGCAGGGCATTCTTAGACTCCGCAAAGAACTAGGAACCTTTGGCAACCTGCGACCGTGCTTCTTCGCCTCAGACTCGCTCGTCGACGCGTCGCCGCTCAAGGCCGACATCGCACGGGGCACAAACTTTAACATCATCCGTGAGCTTACTGGCGGCATATACTTTGGCGAGCGGAAAGAGGACGACGGTGACGGCAAGGCTATGGACACAGAGCCATACAGCGTTGAAGAAATCGAGCGTGTCGTACGGTTAGCGGGCAACCTCGCCAGCGTAGAGGACCCCCCAGTGCCGGTATGGAGCTTGGACAAGGCCAATGTACTCGCGACGTCGCGGCTTTGGCGAAAGACGTTTGAGCGCATCATGAAAGACGAGTACCCGAACCTAAAATCTGGCACCCATCTCATTGATTCGGCGGCAATGCTCATGATCAAGAACCCCCGGTCGCTGAACGGCGTCATTGTCACCAGCAACCTGTTCGGCGACATCATTAGTGATGAGGCGAGCGTTATTCCAGGCAGCCTGGGTCTGCTTCCCAGTGCTAGTCTGGGTGGTATCCCGGATGGCAAGACCCGCATCAACGGTATCTACGAGCCCATTCACGGTAAGTGTTGCTCAGCCCGCTTCATCGCGTTACATTTGCTAAATATGGCCAGGCTCTGCGCCCGACATTGCAGGAAAGGGTATTTGCAATCCCGTAGCGACCATCCTCTCCGTCAGCATGATGTTCAAGTACTCCCTCTGCCGCCCTGAAATCGCGAAGCACATCGACGAGGCCGTCAAGATAGTTATCGACAAAAACATCCGGACGGGCGATATTGGTGGAACAGCAAATACCTCCGAGGTTGGCGACGCTGTTGCGGCGGAACTGGAGACTCTGCTCAAGAATTAGAAACCTAAAATCAAACTCAAATTTTCGTGGTAATGATGTTCACCATAAATTCATCATAGTGTCCGCATAGTGATCCCATGGGCACCTCATTGTTGCCGCTTACGGCCTGAGATCAGCACATCATTCAACTTTGAGGTCAGCATAAGATGTCTTGATATTGACTCATTGGTTTCAATGCGAAGCCTCCCCACGCGGTCGACTGTCTGAAGGGGATATGTATTCCGGCATGACCGTGTCTTGTGTAATGGTCGGTACCGAATGCTGAGCTTGACTGCGCCCTAACAGCCGCCACCTGAGACTGTCTGGGAGCCTGTATCAATTTCGTCGAACGCGCATTCCAGAAGCAGGAGGAGCTTCCACCAAAGGCTAGATCAAGGCTTCCCTGATGGAGCCTGTCTGTATGTCATACTCGGAAGGCGGCAGAATAGTGCCATGTGATGCGAAGTGTCGTTCCACACTTCGACAACAGCGCGCCCGTTGTACTCAAGAGTATATTCCTGTCTTCCCCTCGAGCGACCTCTTGTGGCTAGGTATACCATGCAAGATATAGACGGCGGCAGGCCGAGTACGTCGCCGGTTGCCGGCGCGGCGTTTGAGATTGCCTTACCTCGTTGAATCCCCTGCAGTGATTGCCAGCAAGGGCGTCTCGCGAATCCACCGTCTTCTTGTCTACAGGCGAGTCGTTGGGTAGGAGTGAGGGCGAATGGGAATTGCTCCACGGCCCCGCATCCGCGCTCAAGGAAGCGCCGCCACCACGGAAGCAGGAAAGCGTGAAACGTTGCCGCGAGAATCCACAACCAAACGCGAGCCAAACTCCGACACCAGCCAACGATCTTGCTATATCACACAAATGCAACGGCTGGCTGTAAACGCTGCAGGTGCCCGTTTCGAAACGCAGGCCTTGCTCCACCCTCTAGCTCGCCCCATAATGACCTTGCGCACAAACTGGCTGCGGGCTTGCCAGGACCCTCTCGAGATCCACTCGCGCGCTCTATTCAGTAGCATGTAGTAGCACAACGGCTGAGACCATGTCCAAATTTTACGGCATTCCATCCCCCCCGGGCGCGCTCTGGACCTGAGTAGTCCGCTTCCATAAAAAGGTTGAATGCTCCCGTGAAGGTAGGTTCGGCATCCTGCGAGACACTCCTTTCCTTGACGGACCTTCACTCCTTTGTACATCTTCTTCACCGGGACGCGGGGCCGTTTCTCTTCTTTCTGTTCTGACATTGCCGCTTCGGGTATTGTTCTTACGTTCTAGCTTTCTCCCTTCTTCGAGCTACATTGTCAACTGACTGCGTTGGCTACTTCCGCGGCAAGCATTGTAAAGAGCAGCTCCTTCGTTCATCTACGACTAGAATATTCTATATAAGGCCACTGCGCTCCTCCCAGATACAACAACACCGAAAGAAAATTCGCGACCAGTGCAGTCTGAAAGAGAAATATCTTATAACTATGCACGCATCCAAGCTCTTGTTTCTTGCGCTGGGAGGCCTTGTCCAGTCGCACATGCACCTTTACTATCCTCCAACGCTGAAGGGTGAAAACAACCCTCACACCCAAGGCGAATCCGACCCTTACCTCAATTATAATTACGGCTGCTGCGGGCGCGAGGTGCCCGGGCCTTGCAAGGGTCATCTCGATCTCGTGGATACAGATGAGGGCAAGCCAGTGGTGACCTGGGCTCCTGGTCAGAAGGTCAATTTCACCCTATCTGGATCGTCGACTACCGAGGTGAAGGGTGGCACGCACTACGGTGGCTCGTGTAGCGTTGGATTTTCCACGGACAAGGGCAAAACGTTCAAGGTTGCCACCACCTGGAATGGAAATTGTCCGCATCGCGAGGGCAGCATCGATCCTTCCACGCAGTCGTTCGACTTCACGGTCCCGGCAGATCTTCCCGCAGGCGATCGGACCATCTTCGCGTGGACTTGGATCAACCGCGAGAAGGAATTCAACATGAACTGTGCAGTCGTTACTATTGCCGGCTCTGATCAGTCTGAAGACCCTGGCTACCAACCAGCGCCTAGCAGCGCTGCTCCGAAGCCGTCCTCGCCGCCGTCTCAGCCGCCCAAAAGCCAGTCGTCCAAGGCCCCGCAACGGCCGACTCAAACACAGCCATCGTCCAGCCAACCTACGGGTTCTGCGCAGTACACCCTAGAAGGCTGCACCTGCTCTTGCCCTTATCAGACTTGGTCGTCGGCGTGCAGCTGCTACGAATGCAAGTCGCCTACCACTAAGCGTCACCTGGTCGAGCGCAAGGTCCTTGAGCTGCACAAGCGCCATCTCCAAAACGCCGAGAAGCTCAATGTGCCTGTTCGACGTGCTGAGACCGTCGCTTGGACCTCTCGCCCCGACATGCTTCTGAGCATCGACTTTCCGGGTGCTTCTTGCCACTCCAAGGGCAACCCATTCGAGCTCGAGTTCCCGGATCCCGGTCCAGACGTCGTTGACGGCGATGGCGAGTATAAGCTTGCGGGCCCTGATTGCAGCTAAGCCTGTAATATCGACTTCTTCTCTTCTTCAGTATTTGCTGGGTGTTGACCACCCAACTATCACTTTTTCTTCGCTTCTGTATACTGTCTGTTTACTTGAATAAGATTTTTTCTTCCTTTGACTATTTGAATAAATGTTTGTTTCCTGCATTGCGGTGGTCGTTAGTGGTTGCATTCTCTAGTTACGTATCAATTCTAAACTTTTCAATGGTCGTCATACACTGTTCTCGCTCAAGACCAACGCCTCTGCAGTACCGGTATTGTGCTACGCCGCACAAATTCACATGTATCGCATCACAGTGACAAAGGACTTTGCACCATTGCAGTTCAATCACTCTTCCAATGTTTTACTGTACCGATTTTCCATTGGTTGACCACTATATTAATAATAAACTCCCGATTTCAATGGCCCCACACAGCACTTTTGATGAAGCCGCACTTTCGTAGATGCAATGTGGGGTTCTTTGGTGATGCACACGCGTCTTCAGAATGGTCAGTATTCCTGCTCCTCGATCATTAGATCGCAAAAGAACAAATCGATAAAGATGCATAGCTTCATACACGCCGCCGTCATGGCAGGCGCGGCCACATTGGCCAGCACGCAAAACACATCCATCCCAGGAGGTCCCACCTTCAACGACTTCCTGCGCTTCTCCTGCTCCGAGCTCAACATCCAACGCATCGATCCGTAAGCCTCACATCTCGCCATATCCACTACTGAACATTCCAAAATAACATTACTAGCCTCGTGACTCCCGGCATAGTCCCCTCACCGCACCTCCACCAGTTTGTGGGCGGAAACGCCCTTGCACCAACCATGGACCCTTCCATGAACATATCCGAGCATGCGACCTGCACAACGTGCACTTACATCGAAGACTTCTCGAACTACTGGACCGCGGTCCTGTTCTTTAAAGCGAGGAACGGAAGTTTTCACCGCGTGCCGCTGATGGGAAATCTGGGGTTGGAGGGACAAAGAGGCGGGATGACGGTGTATTACACGGCGCCGTATGACAAGAAGACCAAGGTCACTGCATTCAGACCTGTAGGCCTCCCTCGATCTTCTGATGCTGCTTTTATTCAGCTAACTTTCGTCAAGGGCTTCCGCATGCTTATCGGCGACCCAGGATACCGCGCACCCAGCCCGATCGCGCAAGAATACAAAAGCATAGCTTTCCGCTGCTTCACAGAGCCCTGGGGTCCAGCGCCCCCAGCATCGGAAATTGGGGGCGACTGGGACACGCGGTATTTTCCGAAAAAGCCGTGTCCGTACGGGTTGCGTGTGAATAACTTCTTTCCGACGTGCTGGGATGGCGTAAATGTGGATAGTACGTATCTCCAGTATTTCGATATCAGCAGCGGGTTAACAACCACCTCTATTTATTCGTTCCTACTCGTTAAGTATACTGAGTTGGACAGGCCCCGATCACAAGAGTCATGTGGCGTATCCGAGCAACGGCACATTTGAGACAAATGGGAAGTGTCCAGATACGTGAGTGGTTTTTTGTTCTTCTTCCATCTGGGAAGCTGCACTCGGATTGCCCCCGTGCCATGTCATTGAACCCACTGCTGATGCGGAACTCCTCCAGTCACCCAGTAAAGCTCCCCCAAGTCCTCTACGAGACAATCTGGAACACCTCAGCTTTCAACGACCCGTCGATGTGGCCGATAGACGGCAGCCAACCCTTCGTCTTCAGCATGGGTGACACCACTGGATATGGCTGGCATGGTGACTATCTGTTTGGGTGGAAGGGCGATGCGCTGCAGAGAGCGATGGATAGGTACTGTGGGACTGACTGTCCAGTGCTGGAGACGCAGAGTATAGAGAAGGCGAACAAGTGTGCGAAGGCTGTGGTTGTGAATGAAACTGTTGATGGGTGGCTAGGGGAGATACCTGGCGGTGTAGAGGTTACTTCATGAGCAAAATAGGGAACTGCGCTATTGGGTCCTATATAAGGGGCCAGCAGAGCTATATTAACCATGTGTATTGCCCGAAGTCATATATATACAGTATCTAGGGACTAGACCCTCCAATATCACAGCGATGAGACTTGACAGTTGGATGATGCTCGAGTGAAAATTGGGTTTACTTGGCAATGTGGCACCATGCAAAGAGGTAGTGACATCGGGATTAAGTTTGCTTCATTGTCTCAACTCAGGCTATCACGGCCGAAAGTGTTGGTGCAAAATACTACTTCGATCCGCCTTTGCGGCCAGCCTCCTTCGCCGCCTCACTGCCTGGCTCGAACGAACCAGATGATGCCTTTCCACCCATGGAAGCAATCTCGCGCTACATCACCGTATTAGTAAGTACTATTGCACCGACGCATTGAAGAAACCAACCTGCTTGTCGGCGTCCATAGAGGCAAAGCCGCCTGAGTGAGATGCCTGTCCACCCTTGGAGGCGATGTTCTGGACCTCCTCCTTGGGGCGGTTGGCGAAGTTTCCGGGATTATCGTTGCCAGACATATTGCTTTGGTGGTAGGGTATTGATAGGAAGGTGAAGTGGTGCTGAGATGTTGTGGCTGTGGTGTTGGGCGTTTGAATTGATTGCAGGTTCGAGCTGGTCAATGAGGGCTTTATATACTTCGCGGACGGTCCCAGGTGTTGCTGTCGTCACAGGACTCTCAGGTCAGCACGGCTCATTAGCACCAAAACAGCGACAAAGCGATGATAACGCATGTATGATGCTATGCCGAGATCGCCGATTACCTAGGTATTCAAATGATTATGTCCCTACACACTAGTCTTATTCACCAATGCTTCGCATAGCATCACGGATACTCAACCGAGTCATCTACATCATCGCTGTTGCGATCCTGGGAGCTCCTCTCATAATAAACGTGACGTCTACATGTCACGCCAGTGAAGTGACGACACAAGAACATTTCAGGTACCACGGATGGATCTGAATAGATCTGGCGCTAGCGAGGAACCGTATTCTCGATCGAGGTATCGGAAAGTGGGTTTTGCGGGGATGAATTTCCATGATGTCGAGATGGAAGGAGATTGGGATGGTGGCTGGTAGATCAGCAACGCTAGTCTCGTTCCTGACAAAGCACGTGAACACGCGATCGCGCGTTACGTGACGGTGATGACAGTCCTAGACTCGATGACGAAGGATTCGGCAATTGACCAGCATCATTTGGGTCGTAAATTGTGTTGTCAATGAATCCAAATACTCACCTTTCGTCATTGCAGCAAATTTGGAGTGCTGAAAAGGTTGTGGGGGATCTTGGAGCCGCCTGGGGCCGCTCGTCACACACGCCTGCACTATCTTCAACGTGTGACGCATTCCATACGGGATCAGATTCGCTCTCTGTGCTTTTGGCCAGCTCTGGATGGATGCAGATGTACACTTTCAAGGCAACAGCATTCGAGAGCTTCCGAGGTTCTTACAACCGCCGAGTCTGGGCGATAAGACTCTGGCCGCTCTAATGGATCCTTAAGGGCATGGGAATTATTTTATTGTACATCAGTGATAAATTTAGAAATTGAGACCGCCCACTGCATACAAGTATCAATAATTATCCTAGTTGGAAACAGACTGCAACATCTACATCATTGATCGCGCCTTCGGCTAGCCTCTCACGTACATCGTCACCCAATCCTTTTCTTCCCTTCCACACCACAATCCACCCAGTGCATCCAAGATATCAGGAAAGCATGGATTTCAGATGGAAGAGGAAATAGACCATACGACTACGGAGAAGTCCATGCCGTAGAATGGGCGGAGATAGTATTACGCCGTTTGGTTCAGGTAGCGAAATTTGTTTGGATCAAATGCCGAGATCTAGTCAACCTTTCGCGGGGTGATTTACGTTTGCGAAGGCCATATTCTGGTGCTCAAGGCGATTGAACAAGCGCAGATCGATGAGTTGCACACCATATGAAGTATTGTTTGGCTCTGCGAACCTTCGGCGTAGAAGGAACCAAGGCCTTACTGACTGTTGATGAAGGTGCGGCGAGGCGGTGCATCATGGGGGCCAAAGATTCTCCGCAGCATTCGGGCCTTTTGCTGGAGATCCCAGAGATAATCAAATTATAGTCTCCACAAAATCGTCGAAGAGCAGGGGGAAATCGTCTTGCCAGTCATCCGACTGCTTCTGACCAGACTCGATATCCCGTTCAGATTCAGTGCTACCACCCCTCGTCCACTCTCGGACGTTCAACATCGACAGTTTCGAAACACCAACAAACGCATCGACAAGCCTCGCGATGGAGTCAAACAAGGTCATCCTGGACGAATATCAGGCCCGGAATCGTGAACCAAAGAATGCAACAATAAGCATCGAGGGTTGGGTTTGAGTCCTCGTTAATATAGAATATAGCTAGATGGGGCTATGTTGCACGCCTTGTTCGTGCTAGGGCAAATTTTGGTGCCTCAGGTGTAACGGCTAGGCTGCTACGATTGCAACAGCTTGACTGGCAAGTCACCTCTGAACAATTTTTATTTTTATTTTGCCCTATTTCCGCCTTTCCTGCTGCCTGGATGCGGTAGTCTGGAGAAGCCCAAATCAATAATGAACAATTCTGCAATATGCAATGACAGTCGTGGGACAAAAGCATACCGATACTATATTATTGTACTAGAGATACATTTACACGTGTTGCACCTCGATAACTTCTAGAGGTCTGACAATGGCCTCCACCCTCAGCCTCGTTGTGCAAATGTATTCGAGCTAGTGCTAGAGCCGTCCATCGATTATACATAGACTGGAGGAGGTCGTGCTTGGGCATAGGAACATAGTGACTTAACAAAAAGCGAAAATTCGGTCCAGCTACGGCCGTAGATCAACCAAAGGTAGAGGAAGCGCGAACGATCAAACGGCACACGCGTACTTGCGAACAGTTAAGCTCGCAGCTTCCGTTTTGACTACTGCCTCTAGACATGGTGCCTTACGGTTCTTGCCAGAGACACCGTATCGTCTTCCTATTCAGCTTATTCAATCACGCCAGAATTCCACTGCTACTGCGAAGTATGCGTCCCCGAGAGCGATCAGCTCCACCCAATAAGCACAGCCCTGTGGCAAGGTCTTAGCCTAAAATGGTAATAAAGCTGCAGATGCGCTCCGCCCTCCTTGGCTAGCGGGGCTGTACAGCGGAACATCAAAGAAAGACTAACACAAACTACGACTTCTCCACATTCCAGGAGGATATCCTCCGTCGTGAAATGATCAGCGTAGAGCGACATGGCTGACATCTAGCCAAGGGTTATACGAGCCACAGGTCCTTGTTCGCAGCCATCATTGGTTCGGATCCTGCGTGCCCAGTGTCGCACGCCTGACTCGGCTCCTTGTAGGGCAGCCTTGCGGCAGGCTGTGACGAAGCCAAGAGATGCTGTGTAAGGCCGAGTGCCGGTGAAGCTGAGGTAATAAGTACTGCGCAGTACGCTGTTGTTATGGTAGTACCATAGGAAGTCGCGACAGCAAATTTCCACAACATTGTACCACTTCAATAAACATCAAACAAGTCCATATCCTCACAATGGTCCAGTGGTACCCGCGCGACACCCGCTGGCACGGCGTCCAAAAACACTACTTCAATGCCTCTACCTTCAAGTCCCTTGTCCTCATCGCCTACGTCATCCTTATCGTCGTCGAAAGCGTCCTCATGCGCCGCTGGTTCCGAGAAGAAACCTACGACTTGAGTACGACCGAAGGACCGTAAGTCTTTACTCCACACACTTAACCCCCAGGGCTCCTACTAAATCGCTCTAGATGGTTCTTCTGGTCCCGCACCGGCATCTACCTCATCATCGACGCCGTCTTCTCCCTCGCCATGGCGTACTTCACCTGGAAAAACAACTGGCACCCCGTAGCCGCGCTCGTAACCAGCATCCTACTTTTCTGCTTATGGGTCGCCGCCTGTCTTCTCAATACGTTCGTTGTATACAGCAACGAGTACTCCTTCAAGCATTTGGATGAGTGGAGGCGCATCGCATATGGGGAGTCGGGGCTGCAGGCTACGATTTCGGTGTGCTACTTTGTTATGATGGGGTTTGCGGCGAAGGCGGTGCATGACTGGAGGAAAAACAAGACCGGGATGGGTGGCAGGAATCGCAGGGTTGATGAGTTGGTCTTGGAAGAGAGGGGGGAGGCTAAGGGGAGGGTGAGCGACGCGGAGTTTGTGCCTTACGGTCATGCAGAACAGGGGAGAACGGTTTGATGAGCGATGATGTTATGAATGCGTGCTTGTATATTAGCTTGTAAGACTGTAAGGATGACGATAATTTGTAATTGTGTAATCACCATAACTAAAACACAAAAACTGAAAGAAAATGATCGAACGAGTGTCCCTTTCCTGCCCTTAACCAATCTGGCCTGCACCCTTCGGTCTATTCAGCATCCCCACCCTCTCCGTCTCCCACTGCAAGATCCGGATGCATCTTCCCCATATGTCTGGCCCAATGATCCTTCCTCATGAATCCCTCCGACTTCCTCTTGCACCACGACACTGTGCATCTGAACTTGTTCACTCGATCGCTTCCAGACTCGCGTCGATGTTTGCGTGTGGCCAAGTGTCGTTCGAGGTCGTTCCTTGACCCGAAGACCTTCTGGCAAGGGTTGAGAGGGCACGGGAAGCGGCGCTTGCGAAGCTTGCATTTTGGCAAGCGTGCCCGGTCACTAGAATTTTAGCATCTTCTTGGTATATCGACTCAAGAATTCTCACATTGCTAGTTTGGATATTGGGTCGCTTCTCATATGTGTTGTACTGTTGGGTCGCACGCATTCGCAGACACTATTGGGCGTCCTTGTGCAGTTGTACAATGACATCAACAGTGACGGTGAGTACGCTTCCGAGGATTGGCTCGACTTCCATCCGGCCGGGCCAAGGCTTTTAAGCTCGAATTCCTGCTCAAAGAACGTGGGTGGCAGTTGCTGTTGGGCATTTACACAGGGGCACTGATTGCCGGAGATGGACCTCGAGCTCAAAGATGACCACGAAAGAGCTTCTTCTACTTGGTCAAGATAGATAGAGTTTTCGTTCCATAGTGAAAAAGAACCGTCAACGAAGACCTATGCATACGTTAGAATCCTCATCATCGGGCGGAATCGTTTAGGCAACGAACTGAGTCCGAGCGAAGAACGGTGTCAGGACTGAGCTGTTCCGTGATCATTTGGGTAGCACTGCTAACGATATCTGGCGCAACCGACGTCGAGCTATGTCCTGCCCCTCTTGGGGTTGGAAAGAAAGGATCGAAGGGCCATAGGAGATCTAAGTCAGGCCAGGCGCAACATCCCTAATTATTCAGTATTACATGAAGAACATCCTGCGGTCCGGTGGACAGAGACACATACCGAGCAACAAGGTCGACTATGGAGACATATACAAGAATGCGGGACGGAGTCTTGCTGGACATCTTGCTGAGGTCGACCAAGTCCGCTTCTTTTTACGTGGTTATTTTGCGCAGAAACATTGTTCGCCGGAGGCGCGGACGTGATTGGATTGCCTTCCGGCCACTGTTGCCAAATTAAATGAATTTCTCGCACAGCTTTACACGCATAGGATCGAGATCCAAGCGAACTTACAGACATAGAGATCCATTCCTCGAACGCGCCTATACTTGCGGAAGCCTCTCGTCTCACGAATCGGTTTGAAGTCACAGTTCCGCGTATAGGATCGATGTCGGGGCGTACTTGATGTTTTGAAGCTCGCTGTCGCCGTGTGGTTTGACGAAAGGAGAGGAATTGTGGCGTACCTCGAAAATGAGCTCCTAGTTGGCGGGGAATGGCTTAACGCGAAAGTGCATAGACTTCAAGAACAGATGGCAGCAGCGCGGCCATTAGTATCGTCCAGCTGCGCGCCAAGACGATGTGAGGCATGCAGGCATGCAAGGCTGGCCAGTAGAATTACAAGCTACCTCAGGTTAATACAAAAGACTCGCACTCCTTCACCGGAGTTGTGTCGCGTGATAGACTACGACGGTTTGCCCTGCGGGTTAGGCGCATGCTGAACGAATGATACTGTCTCGGAAACTGGTTGTGGGCCGCATGAGTACTGTTGTCCTTTCACTTTGGTCTTTGGAGTAATTCTGCACGTAAAATTTCTCTGTATTCATACCCTCGTTCATGTATCCATGCATAATCCATGCCTTCTACCTGTTCTTGTTCGCCTCTTCCCTCATCTCCTCCTTGATCCTGCTTATCGTACCAACGCCGCCGTAGATGATTGCAGTGTACACTTGCGCAACGCTGGCACCTGCGTCAAGAATTTCTCGTGCCTGGCGTCCATTTGTGATACCGCCGGTCGCGAAGATGACTTTCCGTGGGCCAGCCGTTACCGGAGCCGGAGCAGGATTGCGCGGTGGGACAGCGGCAGGCTTCGATGTGGCGATCGGCGCAGACGCACTCAAATCGTCCACATTTGTCGGTGGTGGTGAAGCTTCCGAGTGCAGTTCCACAGATGCAGGGGGAAGTTTCGATGCTGCCGAGTCGATAGCTTCCGAAGGTGACTTGGAAGCCTGGAGCTTGGCAACAATGGAAGAGTCGGGTTCATCGCCAGTCGAAGGTCCCACTGAAGGTACGTCGGGCTTCGACGGGGACGGTGGAAGCTGTTTCGGGCCATCATCGAGCGCTTTCCTGTACTTCCTCACAAGGCTCAGAGTGCGCTCAAACATCTGTGGTCCGGAGTAGCCTCCTTGTTCCAGGAGGAGATTGGCCTCGTCCTGGGGTAGAAGATAACCCTTGGGAAGGGGGTCAGGTCGCTTCTTGGTCGTGTTCCCGACAATTACTCCGTCCACGCCAGAATCCCATACAGCCTCGCAGATGCCAGACACTTGCTCCTCGGAGTCCTCATCCGGGCTCACCTTGACCATGATGGCGGGTTTTGTCTTCCGATCTACCTTCTTCGCAGCTTGCACAACGCTGTTCAGCAGCTGTGTAAGCGGCTCCACGTTCTGCAGAGCTCTCAGACCGGGCGTGTTGGGACTTGAGACGTTGACAACAATGATGTCGGCATACTTGGCCAGCTTGTTGACGCAGGCGGTGTAGTCCCTCTTGACGGCCTCGATATCCTGCTCAGACGTGGTCTTGTTCTTCGCGATCTGGACTGCCAGCAGCCGGCCTGGAACGAGCGAGCCAGGCGGGACGCCAGCTTCTCCGTCCAGGACCTTACGCTCAGCCTCCTCGTCAATGCCGAGGCCTGCATGATATGCAAATTGTCTCACACGGTGTCGTAGCCTCATGGCAACCGTCTCTGCGCCCTCGGAATTGAAGCCGTAGCGATTGATGAGGGCATTCTGGGATGGAAGGCGGAACACCCTCGGCTTGGGGTTGCCTTCTTGGGCCAGCGGAGTGATGGCTCCTACTTCGACAAGGCCAGCACCCAGCTCGAAGACGGGCGTCACAATGTCGGCACCCTTATCCATGCCCGCAGACGTTCCAATCGGGTTGACCAACGTGTGACCGAACACCTCCACAGCAAGGTCCCCAGCGGCATCGGGGTCGCCTCGCTCTCTAGGGTTCAAGCCAAAGCTGTGCAGCGCCTTCACGATCTTTGTCCCCGCGTGGTGCGCATCCTCTGCGTCGGGGTAGACCTGCCTCAGCGCAGGCACAACAAGCCATTCGTGGATGCTGGAGCGCGTGTCGGTGACGTAGAGGTAGCCGAAGGAGAGCGCAAGCGTGAGGGCAGTGCCGTACACGAAGTTTTTGGTGCGCGTTGCGGCGGAGCGAGCGTCGGTGGCAGCTGTCGAGGCCTGCCGCGTGGGGTGCACGAACGGGCGCTGCGACGGGCGCAGGCGGGGCACCGAGGGCCTGATGCGGAGGGCGCGCATCCGGACAGCCGGGTGCATGCTAACGAGCGTGTCGTGTAGCTTGTGGGAAGACCTGTTGCGATTCAATGGCTGCTTGATGCTGCGCTGAAGCTGCGTCGCAACCCTCGGGCATGTGACGTTGGTGCTTGGCGCCCCATGCTTCTTCGCTCTGTACAGGCTTCCTGATGCCGACAGCACACCTTTGTTTTTGAACAGTAAACAAACCAAGCTGGCTTCGAGTTGCGCTACGTGACCAATTCCCCTTGCAAGCGCACCCACGAGCAATCTAGCTCATAGCTTTGGCCATTCACTGAGATCCCCGCACGCAGACCGAGGGTAGACCCTTACGCTCACTGATATCCTATTCCTTGACTTCCCTGTACCGCATGCTTCAATCTACCGGCAGTGACGTTGTCCCCACGTTGTATGCCCAGCATTTCAATCATGATAGATTACTACACGTCTAGAACCCAAACAACAACCGGCTGAACAACATGAATTTTGCACCAATCTTGTCTGCGCGTAGCCTTTTCCACCACCCTTGTGTCCGGAGGAACCGTCGTAGTACCTTTCGCAGCTTGAAGGCTTGGAGACGGTCCCCACAATGCAATTTTAATAAAGCTTGACCACGAGCTTGACCCAGATTCGCTCTATTGCATAGCTTGTGTTGACTACAGTTCACCAAGATGCTGCTCACGTGGTCACTGATCACTCTCCTCGCTGTGCCAGCTCTGGCTGGCATGAACAAGACCGGCACCCTCTGCACCGTGACCCCGTCTGGCAGTAAAGATGATAGTGGCTTTATCATGGATGCATTCAAGCAATGCGGTCAGAATGGACAGATTGAGATCACCGAAGGTGACTTCACCATCGCCAAAGTCATGGACGTCTTGAATCTAAAGAACTGCGACATTAGCATAAGAGGCAAGCTCACTTGGAACGATGACATCAACTATTGGACCAAGAACTCCATCGGTGTCACTTACGCGCAGCGTAGCACTGCCTTCCGACTCGGCGGAGACACCTTCTCTATCCGAGGGCATGGCCAAGCGCTCTTTTTCGGCAACGGCCAGAAGTGGTATGATGTCAACAAGAACGGTTCGAACATGGCTGGCCGGCCGATCAGCTTGACACTATGGAAAGCAAAGAATGTGTTCATCGATGGGATAACGTGGCGGCAGCCGCAGTTCTGGTAGGACTTCCAGTTGCTGGACTCTGCAGACGACTGAACGCAGTGAAGGCACACGTTCGTCGCGTACTCCGAGAACGTGACAATGACCAATCTCGACATGAACGCCACTTCGACCTCGCAATGGAACACTGTCAACACTGATGGCTTCGATTCCTGGAACTCGAAGGATATCACGATCAAGAATTGGGTCGTGAAGTGCGGCGACGTTTGTCTCTCTGATTACTTCTGCTCTATCACTATCTGACCGTAGGAACAGGACTGCATATCCATCAAGGGCAATAGCAGCAACATCTATGTCAAGAATGTAACCTGCTACGAGTCTGGCGCTGCCTGCATTGGTTCGCTTGGAAACAACGCGATAGAATACGTTGATAACGTCCTCTTCGAGGACTTCACCGCCATCCATTCGTCCAATGCTGCCTGGATAAAGACGTATCCCGGTCAGGGCCATGTACGAAATGTCACCTTCCGGAACTTCTACTTCCAGGATGTCAACCAGCCAATATACATCTCTCCTTGCATATACTCGTACAGCAATTGCGATGCGAGTAGGTTGAAGATCAGTGACATCACATGGGAGAACGTGACTGGGACAAGTCGGTACAATGTCGCTGCGGGGATTTACTGTAGTAAAGGTGCATAAGTCTTACAAGATGGTGGAGAACTAATACTAACAATGACCAGGAGCGCCGTGTACGGGGCTCAAGTTCAAGGATATCAACATCAAGCCGAAAAACGGAGGGACCGCCAAGGTTCTGTGTAGCAACATGAATAGCGACAGTGGGTTGTCGTGTACGGGCACGTGTCCGAGTGGATGGAAGCAGCAGTTGAGCGGGAACGCATGAGCTGCTAGGCGCCATCACGACGTGTCGAGTACTTCTTCCTTACTAATCCTCAATCAGCTTCGAGACCTTTGGATTCGTGACAGTGGTGATGATCGGCTTGGAACGCGTTCTGAGCAAGGCCCATATTCTGGCAGCGTAATTCACCCACAGTATGGGTGAACCTTTGGCTCACTAGAAAAGTTATCAATGAGCAGGTCTAACCCGAAATAATTCTTGACAACTGGTTTTCGTCCACTGTTACCGTGCCTCCTATGTTCCACTTGCTTTGCCCCTGCTTACGTTCACGGCTATCGGCACAGAGCACGTCGCACTTACCAGAGGGAATACAACGGGCCTTGTGCGCCATCAACTGTATTTACATGCTTCACTGTACCTCCAGTCCTCTCCAGCCAGATGGCTGTATCCTCGGTGTAATTTGCCTTGTGGATTTGGACCAAGAGCGCACCGGTGGCGGTGTAGAAGCGTAAGTTTCCATTGTGGCGCCCACCAAGCAGCTGAACTGCGCGCGTTCACGACCAGCTTACAAGGCCAGGAGGAGGAGGTTATCCGCTCTCTTCCGCGGGCATATTCAGTGTTCGTTGCGCCAGAGAACACTTGACCTCTGCTGCTCACCTCAGCAATTCCAGAAAGTTCGGCTGCCGCCAAACAAAAGGCAGGCGCGACCTCCCTGTGCCTCGCGCCTCGCGCCTCGCCCCACCATCGCGTGCTCCCACCTCGGCTCCGAGCGACGCCCACGATGCCACCGGCGGGCAACGAATTCGCGGCGGAACAGCTCAAGAGCCAGGGCAACGCGCACTTTAAGAATGGCGACTACGACCAGGCCGAGACGCTGTACAGCCAGGCCATCCAGAAGAATAGCAAGAACCCGCTGCTCTTCACCAACCGCGCCAATGCCCGCCTGAAGCTCGAGAAGTGGGAGGGCGTCATCAACGACTGCCTGGCGAGCATAGAGCTGATGACGGAGAACATGAAGGCGTACTTCTACTTGGGTACGTAGGCTGCAGTCGCGTGGTGAGATGCACTCGAGCTGGGCTAACGTGTCTGCTGCAGCGCAGGCGCAACTCGCCATCAACCACCCCAACGAGGCGCTTAGCAGCGCGCTTCGAGCGTACGATCTTTGCGTCAACTCCTCCCAGCAGACATCCAACGCAGCGACCATTTCTGCACTGGTAACCCGCTGCAAGAAGGCAAAGTGGGACATCCGCGAGCGCGAACGCATACGGCGTCGCAAAGGCCTCCTCCCCGAGCTCGAAAGCTTGCTTGAAATCGCCTACAAAAAAGACGTCGACGACCTCGAAGCACGGCTAGAAGCCGGCGAAATCGGCCGCGTCGAAGCCACCGAGGAGAAACAACAGCTCCACACGGAGTTTGAGCAGAAGCGGGACGACCTGCGCACCGCCTTCGCACTGTCCGACCCTGAGCATCTCGAAATCCGCGAAGTCCCAGACTATCTCATCGACGGCATAACATTCGAGGTCATGACCGACCCGGTAGTCACCAAAAACGGGCGGAGTTACGAGCGCGCGACCATCATCGAGCATTTGAAGAGGAGCGCAACGGATCCCTTGACCAGAGAACCGCTGACAATCAACGAGCTGAGGCCGAACATCGCGCTGAAGGAGGCATGTACCGAGTTCATGGAAAAGAACAAGGGTTGGGTCTACGATTGGTAGGTTGCAACCTCCATCGGCATCGGGTAGAGTAGGAAAATAAGGAGAAAGGATACGAAGCGGCTTGCTTGTGGCTGCTGACACTAAGCAGTGAGGACGGTGAGGAGGATACGGTGCCGCGGTGGGCGCATCTCTCTTGTGGCAGGAGAGACTACGAGACGAGCTGAGAGGATTTGAATCAGACGAGCGCGCATTGCAAGGAGTTGGAATCAAGAGCACTTTCGCTGGAGTTTGGATACCCCTGCGCTGTATGTGACCGTGAGTCACGCCTGTATCTGCGAAAAGGATTGAAGAACCATGCCGGTTCTCTCGACGGATTGTTGCATTATATGTATACATACACCATGGCGGTAACATGCTGTGCTGTCAGTTAGTATTATCGTCCGTTCTCCAGCTGCACAGGCCGCACTGAAACATCCAAGGGTATAATCCCAAACGCCATCCCTTCCACCATCCGAACCCAACGCCAATCCCAAAGACCGAAGGCAGCCCGTCCCAATCTTCTACCCCTCCAGCACAGCAGCTCTCATCCCCTGCTCCACTCCTCCGCCCTTCTCCTTCTCGGCCCCCTGCCGATACAGATTCGGGTAACTCCTCATTCTCCTAATCGCATTATCCACGTCCTCTCCTCCGCCCTCCCTTCCCCGACTCGGCGGCTGACTCCTCTTCCTGACTCCTCTCGCCCTCTCTCTCTCCCGGTCCTCCTCCCCCTCCAAAATCGGACTCCGACTCCGACTCTCCGAGCGGTTCCGCACGCGCCCGCGGAACGTGTGGTCCGGCTCCGCGTCGCTGCGCCGCCGGTTCTTCTTCGCGGCCGGCGGCGTCTCGATCAAGGCCGACGACGACGACGACGCGCGCTTGTGCTTCCGGTAATGGTGTCTGTGGCGGCTGCCCGAGTCGCGGTCGTGGCCGCGCGAGGGGGAGGCGGCGCGAGGCGGCGTGTGCGAGGAGAGGCGGCGGCGCTTGAGACGGCCTCGAGGCGCTTCGTCGCCGTGGACTGAGTCGTTGGGGGTGGGCGGGTCGGTGGGGGCGGGTGTGTGGTTGGTGTGGGGTGAGGGTGGTGGGGATGGCATGATTGTGGAGTAGGTACGCTCAGTACCTATGGAGGAGGCCGTGGTGAGGGTGCTCCGAGGATTGCGTCGTATCTGCAGCGGTTTGGGATGCTACGGGGGCCTTTGCAGGAAAGAAAAGACTGTGTCTCTGGAGCCTGGCGGGAGGAAAAGGACGACATCTGACTGTCTCGTACGGTGCGAGGTCCCGTGCAGGAGGGGGCAGTAGCGTCGTGTTACTCGTGTGACGGCTTGCGCGGTGATCAGCGGTGATCAGACCGCGAGACGTCATTGGGAAGGATGCGCGGCTAGGCCGGATGAAGAGAGGAGCGTGACGGCCGTAGCGTGAACGTACACACGGCCGCCGTTGGGCACTGGTAGTTGAGCTTTTGCATAGTGATTGCCATGCTGCGTTTCATGTAGAAATCATGTAGAAATACGGAACATCTTTGTATTCGTTTGAACTCGATCTGTGTTGGCAAATGACGTGTGCCCCGGAGAGGCCAGGCTTGCGGCCGAGATGGCTTCCGGGTTTGAGCGCCGCACAAACACCTGGGCAAACTTGACCTTCTACTTGCAATGGCACCACCTTTCCCCTTCAGCTCGTCCACTGGCCAATCTGCAAAACACGGTATGTACCCCGAATCGTCGCTAGAGAAATGGTCTACTAAAATTTGGAACAGAGCTGATATCGACGCCACTGCATGTTGGTTGGTTCCCCCGTCGCGTATGCATGTGCCTGGATGCATCTGAGAGTGAGGTGCATTCGCGGCGCCGCTTATTCCGTGCGAGGCTCTGACAGCATTGATTTCCTAATCGGCATTCGCCCGTTTTCGAGTCTCGCATAAACCGGACACGCGCACGACACTGCCCTCAAGCCTAGATTGAGGGCTCTGATATGAGATTCCAAGTCAAAGCACCATAGGAAGTCTACAATCGTCGCGTAGCCTCGAGTGAGCCTTTTTTTCGGGGCACACCGGAGTTCTAGGAGCTTTCAGCCTCATCCCAATACGTGGCAGTCAAACGCCCCTTTCCCCGGCCCTATCACCTTGGAGAAAGCGCCCAGTGCGCCTGGCCGCGCAGTGTTCTCAGCCTTGTTTGCAACATTGGAAGGGCTATTTTTGGCCTGGACACCCGTATAATGCCCGTCGTTTCATCCTCAAGGCAAGATGACCTATGTTTCCAGGGGTATCTGGCCTTTTCGGCCTACCTCAACCCCTGATCATTGCCTTCCAATCGACCATGCTAGGTTTTTCCCGGGTTGCCCTTTTTTTTCCAAGGCACCGCATCCGCCCCGTTCAATACATACGCCTCTTTGCCCTTTTGCCCGAACGTCAAGCACCATTCAGTATATATATATGAGAGACCTCACTTCTACATTTCCAAGAGCGTGTCGCTGTTGCTCGATATGTCGAAAGTCATGAAAGAATATAAGAGTTGGCGGCCTCCCCGTTCAATTCTCGGGCTGTATACACTCAAGTTCTTCTCATTGCCGATCTAGTTGGTCAACCTTTGACCCAATGATGTCTGAAGATACTGATTATCATTGGCTCCTATCCGAGCCGGGCTTAGTTGATAGTGCCTCGGGAGGCTTCGCATTGGACAGTCATCGCCATAATCTTTCCGTCATAGCTGCTCGCACGGCTCCTGCGTACCACAACAATGCTTCACCCAGCATTGCCAACGACTTATCCAGCAATGTAAGGTTCTCATGGAGCCTTAGTCCACACATTGCTGAGCTTTGAACAGATTCTCACTCCGTACAACACTTCGCTGGAAGGATTGCTCACGAACACATGCCCTGCTACTGGGTTCAACGTGATTAATACTGTACAGAACCTACCATCAATTCCGGATTTGACTGTCACATGCTCCCAGCTTGGTGAGATTTCTCTTGATGATCCCACTCATACATCTCCGTCTCGGTTTGCAAGCTCGGTATGTCAGTTACGTGTATCTCTTCTGCTCTTTTCCTGATTTAATCCTATGCATATAGACAAGGTATGCGATGGTAGAGCAGTCCTCTGCGAACCTGAGTGCATGCAATTGCAATACAATGGATATTGATGTGCAGTGCCGATTGCACTTTGATCCCCAGAGACTGTACCCGGATACCTTTTACGTAGATACCATCCCATCGCATTGTCCTACCACACTACACGGTCTGAGCTTTGAAACACCGAGTTCATCAGCCCTCTGTTTCGTCGATGATGGGCAACATGCCCCTGAAATCCTTGGCAATGTCGACTACAGCGAGGGCTTTGAGGCTGCGGCTCCGCCGAATCAGCTTGAAAATCTCGGCTTGGATTCATTAATAAGCCCATGGTGTGACCTGACTTTCGATGAAGGTCAGTCTATCAATGTGGGATGGTTGCCAGACCACCTTCTGAATCCTAGCATGTTGTATCCCGTGGGTGAATCATCGTGAGTTTGCCACTCGCCCACTTCATCCAGACCCAGTTCGTTGACACGACGGTGCAGTTCAGCAAGTCCGCAATCGTCGCAATCTTCCACACGCGAACGCCGGTTTCCTTGTCCCCACAAACCTTGTGACAAGGTCTTCGGATCAAATAATGATCTTGAGCGCCACCTCGGCACACGAAAACATCGGAAAGATGTGGGGAATTGGAGCGAGCGCGCTAATCGTTATCCATGCAAAGTCACCGTATGCAAAAGGAACAATGTAGGCTTTGCAAGGAAGGACCATTACATCAACCATCTTCGGAGGATGCATCAAGGTCTGGAGCTTGATGAGGATGACCTGTATGGATGAGAGGAGTTGGGAAACCCTAGCTATTACCAAGCGTCGTACGCGCAAAGCTTTGCTGGAGACGCTCCTGGCAAGCCCGAGGCGGGAGAATCGGATTTTGGCCCAACTTGCATCTTCCTTCAACGGGCGCCTGGTGCTAGGTCCCTTAACATCTGCCAGAGCCCCACTGCGCTCTTTCTTATGTATTTACTGCATATGTATCCTAGCCCTAGTTTTTCAACCCTTGCAAGGTAGAAAGGCGAGCCGAAGAGGTCCTCCAAAGTGAGGTACCTGGGTAGTTGGATGTCCATTGGCTCGCTACGCCGCTTAGCCCCTTTCACACCGCCATGCCTGATGCAGTAATCCATCGTAGGATCTGATTCGCGTCCAAGGCAGGCGGATTTAAGCGCTGCTGAAGCTCAATTAAAACTTTCGGGGTCCTTGCAGAGGTACTCCCACACCAATTCGCCATTTTTCTACTGCAAGCGTTCGAGTGTTTGTAGCTGACACCTCATTTCAGCGATCACTATGCCTCGAATACTGTCCTTCGACGAGCTACCCGCATGGATGCAAAAAGATCCGCGCATTCGAAGGGGCTACAGGGAGGAGCTTCGCAACGTCTGGCACTGTTTTGTGTCGCTTTTTTACGTTCACAACGAATTTGTCAACATTTGGTCGCACCTGCTGCCCGCGCTCGTATATGGCACGATGCTTGCAAAGGAAGCTCGCTTTGCGCTGGCAGAAGCGGATAACGACACTGGACCGACGGCGAAGATGACACAGTTCTATGTTGTCACGAGTTTCGCTCTCATGTCGCTTTCGGTGCGTATCGTGCGAGAAAGTACGCTCACTATTCACAATCGTTGACAAGGAATAGAGCTTATACCACATCTTTAGCGCCCATTCTGAGCGGGTGGCGCGCCACGTTCTGAAAATGGATTACCTTGGGATCATACTAAATGTATCGGCGACATGGTAAGTCTCCCGAAACCAAATTCGGTTCTCTCGTCAAAGCGAACCTCGCTTCACTCACCATACGAGAAATGTATCTTTTACCACCTGTTCAAACACGAGCGAGATACCATTGGCCCGGGTACACAAGAAATATGCTGACTTTGTACCTCCGGGTTGACAGTATAACAAGCTCCTGGTTTGGCTTCAGACATCATGCTCACGTCGCCAACATGTATATAAGCCTCACCTTAGGACTGTCTATCGCCATAGTGTTCCTCTTGCTCAAACCAAATGCTGACGGCCCCGAAGCTGCGAAGTGGAGGTAAGACCGCCCTCCACGTTTGCTACTATCGACATTGACGTGACGTACAGGGCCTTGATCATTGCCGGATTGATGGGAACGGGCTACACGCCTCTGATCCACGCATATGTGATTGGTGGCATCGAGAGGCTGCAGCATTTCCCCTGGCAGGCAGCCGTAAAAATGCTTTCCGTAGATCTCGTCGGAGTGCTCTTCTACATCACCAGGTTCCCTGAGAGTAGTTTTCCCGAGACGTTTGATATCTGGGTAAGTCTATGCGATGATCGCAAATTATGTCTTCGCTAAAGTGCGGCAGGGTGCGAGCCATCAAATTTTCCACATCATGGTTGTTGTGGGGCGGGTCGTGTATCTTCGTGGCTTAAAGGAGTTGGTCGGTCTTGCGTAACGGACGCGCTGTCCCAGAAATCCGGTGGATCCTGGCTATATTCTTACCCCACAACAGCCTGGCTTTAATAGCTCACAGATCCTGCTGTATAAGTCGACCGGCAAAACGGAGCATTGAGAGCTATGATGGCATACCCGTTGACCGAGGGGAGCCGCTCCTTGATCGGTCTTGTCAAGATCCTCCAGGGCCTCTGTGCAATTGGAATCACGGCTCTGACCTACAAACATCGTCGCATTCGCATCGTGATAATAAAGTCCGTAGATCATTGACTAAATCGCTCATATGCCATATGCCGTGTTCCAACAATTTCGCCCAGTGCCTAAGCTCCGCTACTGGGCAATCTTGAGGCCTTTTAGGGTCACACTAGCTCTCACAGTCGCGCCATTGCCGACATCGAAGGCATCTACAACACCACTGTCTGGTCCGTTGAGCACATCCGCGAAGGGGATTTCGACAGCACCAGTCTCAGTCTCCTTGTTCAGCAACGCAATCCTGAAACTTGCTTGGCTATCCAGCAGATCCCTTGTGACAGGGAAGCGAAACGCCTGATCGAAGGAAGGGTTGAAGATGTCAGTGCCCGGCGTGTATGTCTTTATTGCCGTGCGGAACTCCTTAGCGCCCCATGTCACCTTGACGCTGGGGTTGAGCTCATCACGCTTCCCATCGAGGCCAAGTGCACTGGCGATGAGTATGGTAGCCAGACCACAGAACTGGCCTTCTCCTTGGCTTTCCGAGGCAGAGAGTGCCGAGGCATCGCTCACGAGGTTGAAGAACTTGGCATGCACCGTTAGGTGAGCTCCAGTGCGTTCGCCTTTGTGCGAAAGAGCAATGTCCTTGCTTCCACCACCCAGCAGAATATCTTTGATGGAAATGGAGCCCTCGCCAATGTCATCGTCAGCACCAACATCATCATCGTCAACATCAAGGACGATGTTCTGGTCAAAGTCCGAGACAAGGAAATCGTGCGTCTCGTTCCATTCCGGATCATGGTCGTTCTTCTTGGTCGAGGTTCGCCACACCTCCTCAGCACCGACAGTCACTTTGCAATAGCAGTCAGGTACGTCTTTGATAATCTTGGCGAGAAGTCGTTTCGCGCCGCTCTTCTTCGGTCCCGAGACACCGACTGCTCGTTCTATGGTCAGGCGTACGACGCCAATATGGGGTTGGTAGGTCTTGAACCAGTCACTGGTGTTGTCAAGTTTGACAAGGAAGCGGTTGGGAAGAACAGCCATGCCGCCAATGATGCCTAGGATTGTTTGACGAACAGTGCCCGAGATGATACCCAGATCGGCAATGTTTGCAGCGTCGGTAAAGTCGAGATCGAGCTTCGGAGGGTTGATGAAAGCAACCTGGGCAGCGCCAATCTATCCCCATGTTAGTTTATGGCGATCCTGCTGGAAAGAAACGCTTACGCAAGGGATCACGTTCGTTAAGGGAGCGAGGAGGACTGAGAGTCTTCCCTTGAGATGAATGCGCTCGATGCCCTGTTGTCATGTAAGTGGTTTGCAACAGTGTATAGGAAGACCAAGACCCACAATCTTGGGAACCATGCTACCGTCTAGCTCGATGTCGCTCTTGCTTTCCCAAGTCACGTCCATTTCCAGCTGGATTCCTCCAGCGGAGGTCTTGTGGGTATCTACCTCCGAGAGATGCATCTATACACGCGGGCACAAAGTCAGTCTCTAAAAGTGGGATTCAACACGAGGTATCCGTGTCTAACACATAAATCCCTCATCCTGGAGTAGGACTTACGGGAACATCACCCAAATCGATCTTGACGAACTTCAAATTTTTCAGTGGGCCTGGAAGAGTAGAGGCCAGGATGGGCTCGACGATATCCTTCACCATGTTACAACCGGCAATGTTGATGTTGGGCCAAAGCTGAGCGACGAGGTCGTTGAGGAACCCTGAATGTGGGTAAGCCTGCATGTCCAGGTAGTTCACTCATCCTTTAGTTGTACCAGCAGACTCTGTGCCACCAGAGGCGTTCAGCGTGTGGGCGAGGGGTCCCATGTTGTCCATGGCTGCAGTAAACCCGTCGGATAGTGTTGAGAAGGAGGTGATAAAAGGGTCCGTAGTGGGCGCTTTGTTGACGTCGGCTACTGTCGCAAAGGTCAACCCGTTGTGCTTGCTAATTATTCCAAGATCTGCTAGTTTGTTTATGAAGAAAGAAGCTGTGAAGTTGGGCGGGAAACGTACTCGGTTCTCAATTTGAGTTGCAGCAATTGTTGATACCTGACCGCTGTGGATGCAGGTGGGGTAAAAACATGAATCCAAAACCAGGATCGTGGATCAGTAAGTGGTCGATCGCAAGGATGCGAATTGGGCCTAGAATCTGCGGCGTGCACAGCAAACAAGAGAGACGCGTTGTTTGCATGCATGACGTTCGACAGCTCCTCCCACGTCACTTGGTTGGAGGGTCAAACAGGATTAAGCAGGGTCATTGGCCACTAACACCTGCTGCGGGGGCCAAGGCTGCCGCTAATGCGCGCGCGGAGCGGAGGTGATCGCTTAATCGCACGGCCCTGGTGTCAGTACACTCAACTGCAAATGTAAGCGACGATGGCTGCTTTCCAAAGACACACGTGCGTCTACAGGCCGATTGACGGTTTCAATGTTCCGGCTGTAGCAAGCGAAAGTGCATCAGCCTTGCATTTTCGTCGTCTCCTGATTCGGTATCTCATCTGTATATGCTGCGCTGAATACAGACACGTCACTCTGGACAGATACCAAGGCTGATTCAGATCGAGTGCTTGTTCAAGCTAAGGAGAGGCGCCCCGTGGACCCTTTTCCCTAGATTCGCTATATAATTGGCTATACGATAACGCCCTCCTTGGAAGCCCGCACCTTGTTCAGATGTTTGGCAGTCTGTGTCAACCTCCACCAAGAAGTGTAATTTCCAGATGCTTGATGTAGTCTGGATAGAGAAACGTCTTGAGATGGACCGGGACCATCTTCTCCAAAACGTGTCACGTGGACACCAACCAGAATGCCGGCTGGCTTCCTCTCTGTACGAACCAGCTGAACTTTCTCTGCATATCTACCTCATCTGCGGGATCCAGCCAGTCACGATTTTCGTATGCGATCTCTTCACTCATCTCTTGACTTGCAACACCAATAATCAACTGTTTCAGATTATGTCGCTGGATGCCCATGCGTCTCAACATCAAGTCCACTTCACCAGGCTTTACAATCTTATCGCGAATCCAGTCGGGTGGTCCCTCTGGAAACAACACAAAATGCTTTATCCAGGGCAAGTAATTATTGATAGGACCCGGTTCAACGACATACGTCGAAGTCTCTGGCTCGTAAAGTTCGTCGGCCCAGTAGAAGAACTTGACAGGAGCGGCGCTAAACCAAGTGTTCTCTCCGTATAATATGGATGCGGCTTCATCGTGGATCTGTTTGTTCGTTCCGAGAATCGCTGGATGGGGTTTTGCGCTGGCCTCGAATCTATGTACCCGTCGCAGATGAACTATCATCGGATGAGTGTTGAGCAGTAGTTCTCGATAGATCAAGTCCCTTATCTCTCGCGGAAGCCCCAGGAACCGACATGGGCCTGGAGGTGCCTTGATAACCGTTGCAGTTGGCACCTTATTGTGGGAGGACCGAGAGCGTAAGAGCCAGTGGCGTAGTTTTTGTGGCAGCTTAGGGCTTGATTCGGCTTCCATAGTACAGAGCATGCAGGACGCAGTCGGTGCCCTTTTTGTGTTCGGCCGCCAATTCCCCACGTACGCAATGGGGTGACCCCAAACGAAGCACGCAATAACACCTCAGTCTGCAACCCAGTAGCTGAAGTGGCGATCGTTTCTTAGCAACAATGCTCTCTGTAGATACGAACTGATCAGGATGGCGAGTGCACAGTAAGAGGTGCGGCGTAGTTGCTGGTCACGAAGCACAGCTGGCCTGGCGTCGCGCGAGTCATCTCAAGCTACGTCATTTATCCAGCCAATCACCAGCGTTTGACTCTAGCTCTACCTTCTCACACGTGATGTAAGCTGGACAGCTATGTGCGGGCTTCCAGTAACAGTGTCACCTCTACACCGCATACGCTCATGCCTTTCAGCCACCCAAGGATTTGTTTCCCAACATGTGGCTTGAATTGCTTTTGTCTCGTTTCTATGTATTACCTTTTTCTCGGCGAAAGCACATCATCGCCTAGCGTCTTCAACCCAACCAAACAGCGGGAGCGTCATCCGAAAAAATTACTTCTAGAAAAGATGGAGTTGCCATTGCACCTAGCCCAGTTTCTTCTGATCCCATCCACGATAGGCGCTCGCCATGGAACACCGCAAATTCTCTAAAGACCTACCTGAGGAGGCACCGCCAAGCAGCCTCGACCGCGACGATGATTTTCAGCGCATTGATCCCAGGTCTGGAGTGAAGCGCGGTCTCAAAACGCGGCATCTCAGCATGATGGCCTTGGCCGGCATTATTGGGCCTGGTCTCCTAGTTGGAGCAGGAGGCGCGTTGGCAAACGGAGGGCCGGCATCCCTACTAATCGGTTTCGGCATCATCGGCATCATCGCATTTTCCATTATGCAGTCACTTGGCGAACTCACCACTCTGTATCCCACCGGAGGCGCCTTCACGCAGCTGTCGGACCGCTTTGTCGACAAAGCATTCGGAGTTGCTGTGGGCTGGAATTACTGGCTCATTTGGGGCTGCGTCCTTGCAAACGAATACAACGTGGTCTCCTCCATCCTTGTCTTCTGGTCCGACAAAGTTCCATTGTGGGGTTACTTCCTCATATTCTGGTTTTTCTTCCTCGGCTTTCAAATGCTTGGCGTGGAAAGCTTTGGCGAAGCTGAATTCTGGCTTGCGTTGGTGAAGCTCGCAGGCCTGTGCGCGTATTTCATCTTCGGCATCATCTATGCGAGTGGGGGTTTGATCGGACAGAAAGAGGCCTTAGGATTCAGATACTGGAACGACCCAGGGCCTTGGGTATCCGGTTTCCGTGGTGTGGCCTCTGTCTTTGTGTTTTGCTCTACGTTTTATGCAGGAGTAGAAAGCGTGGCTGTCGCTGCCACGGAGACCAAGAATCCAGCTGTCGCCGTTCCCCTCGCCATAAGACAAGTCTTTTGGCGCATTATTTTCATCTACATGGGCTCCGCTTTCTTTTTCGGTCTCACGTGCCCGTCGGATGCTGAAGGACTGGTGAACGGATCCAGTCGTGCGCTCAAGAGTCCCATGACAATAGCCATTCAGAACGCAGGCTGGGAAGGCGGGGTTCATTTGATCAATGCCTTCATCTTTATTACTGTGTTATCAGCCGCCAACAGTTCTATATACATAGGATCTCGCACACTACTTTTCATGGCTAAAGATGGCAAGGCTCCGCGCTTCTTGGGGTACACAAACAGTCGTGGTGTGCCCGTGTACGCGATCATCCTCACCAATCTTTTTGGCGTCCTGAGCATGATGAACGTGTCCACAGGAGGAAGCGCGGCATACTCTTACATTGTCAACCTCTCCGGTGTTTCGACATTCTGCGTCTGGGCCGCCATTTCTTGGACACACATTCGGTTTCGACAAGCCTGGTCAGCGCAAGGTCGACATCCGGATCAACTACCATTCAAGTCCTTGTGGTATCCCTGGAATGCGTATTTCGGGTTGTTCGCAAATATCTTCCTTGCCTTAGTACAGGGATGGACAACGCTCAGTCCTTTCGACGCCGGAACTTTCGTCGACGCCTACATTTTGCTACCCCTGTTCTTCATTATATGGTTTGGATACAAATTCGTTTTCAAGACAAAGTTCCATGGAAAGTACGAAATCGATCTAGATGCAGGACGGAGAAAGGACCTCGACATGCGGGAATTACTCGATGAGCCGAGCGGAGAACAAGGGCAGGCTAAGAGACCCTTGTGGAAGCGGCTATGGAGAGACTTTTGAGCGATGATCGCAATGGTACGTGGTCAGCTAGTGGTCGCCTATTTCGAGCAGTTTAATCCATGGCTTCAGCGTCACGCAGTGACATGCTCTATTCTCCCTAGGTTTTCTGACAGATGCACGTGGCCCGCTATTCAATGACGGTGCAGATGCCCTTCGGTACTGTACATACCAGCGTGGTCCTATTTTGTTTTCACTACAATCAACCAATCAGATCCCACCGAAGTCATTCACATTGGGTGTGTTCTTCACAGATCCCAACTTCGCTAATCCCATTTGGGAACAAACTCAAGAGATGCCGAAACAGCGAGCGTCCGCTAGCTGCACAGTGTATCAATCAGTCGCCGACCTACACTAGAGCTTGTATCGCCACGATGGAGTTCGGCATGGGCCTCCTGGACGACTCGTTCGACTCGTGTTGCTAGGTTGCTAGGCAGACTTCGAGATGCAATGTATACATTCTATCAGGCCCCCTGCATGCGGATTTTCATGGCTTTTCCCAGATGCCGACTTGACCGGCATGCAGCAGAGCCTGCTCGCACCAGGTACCATCCGAGAAAAATCCCATGGGCCGCCTGAACTCTCTTTCTGTGTACGTGTACAGAGGTGCCTTTTCGGAAAGTCTGGGACGTAAAGGGCATCGAATACTCTTCTTAGTTGTTCAAGCAACTGGTAGTATTGCATCAAATCAGATTGGCTGGTTGACCGGCGCAATGTCTACAGCCACCACTCGCGCTACTATAGGCTGGTCGACTCCGCTCGTGGTCATAAATAAAAGCGATCAGAATATTTCCAAAGTCTGGGCTACTTCGAGCTGCGTTGTGAATATTTGGAAATACATACCTCGGCGGTGCACATTCACATACCTGCATATTTCTCCGACTAGCTACACGCCACGGACACCGTGGACGACACCAATAGCTTCCTCTTTCGGGGACCATCCCAATCTCCGCCTATAGTAGATATATGCTTCACGGGTACTGATGCGTCTCCAACAATGGCAAATTTGCATCCCCTCGCGGGAGGTTTGCATATTTTGTTGTTCATATTGGGAATACTATCTCTTTTGCTGAGGTTCTATTCTCGAGCATTCGTCATTCGAAGATGGGGTCTCGATGACACGCTTGCGGTCGCGACTTTGGTATGCAATGGTCTCCGCCCCAAACTTTAGTGGTATGACTTACAGTATGCAGTTCCTGTATGTCGCGCTCCAAGCCGTACACCAGCTCATGCTGAACGCGGGATGTGGCTTGTACGTCCCATCCTATGTATCAGTTACCCAGAATCCAGTATCTGACCCATTGCTTCAGGGACGGTCCAAATGAATGCAGCCCGACTATAAATTCAAGCATTCCAAAGGTACGATAGAGCCTTCAGACTTCGCGTTACAGCGTTTCTGACCATTCTAAGATCCTGTTGGCCACTCAAGTGCTGTACGCACTGACGCACTTCACGATCAAAAGTACATTCCTTGCATTCTATGTGCATCTGTCCCCAGCGCGGACCTTTCGCATCCTAGTGTATGTTGGAGCAGCTCTGAACGCATCTGTATTCATCACCAACGAGTGAGTGATGGCATTGGGTTTCGTACACCATTCCACGATCCACTGACCTATCTAGACTCCTCATCGTTCTGCGCTGTCAACCGCCCAAAGAAGTGTTCTCGCCAGGTTCCACCCCGGACGCAAAGTGCATGTCGCAGGCAGTGACATTTTGGTCTCCTGTGGTACTTGTATGCTCAATTCGGTCCTTTCAAATCTGCCGCCAAGCTAATCCTTTCGAAGAACCTCAGTGTCGATGTCTACATCCTTACACTCCCAATCCCCGTTATCTGGGGCCTCCGCATGCCTGCCAAACGTCGCCTCGCCGTTCTGGCCATCTTTAGCTCAGGCTTCAGTGCAATTCTGACATCTGCATTCTGGGTCTTCGCCTGGGGCAAAATGCGCGATCATCAGACTTCGCCCGCGCTTGCAATCAACACCATCATCTCCTCTGTGGAACTCTTCTTTGCGGTAATGGCCGTCAACATGCCGGCTTTCAAACCGCTTTGGACACGGATGGTAGGCGATGTGACGACGCCACCGGCTGCATCGTACAAAATGGATGGCTGGTCGCGCGAGAAAAGTACACCGAGGTCCAGACCTGCACCTGTGGAAAGTTCAATCATTTCCTCTATGGGGAAGTCGTCGAGGGATTCGAGGGGTGTTCTGGGCTCGGAGTCCGAAGAGGACCTTGTTGAAGCACAGACGCCTTTGCATTCGGATGGCGCGAGTGCAGCGGAAGCGGGACGGAGACGGGTATGGATGGATGAAGATGGAATTGAATTTGTAATCGCGGTGCCTTCAAGAAGCGACAAGTACTCTTCTTCGTCGGAAAGGCGTCGCGACCCTCGAGATGAGATTTGTTTCGACACTTGAAGATAATGTAATTACCTGATGATGTAATTCCAGAATTATCATACACTGGATATCCTACTCATCACTCTATGCTATTAATGATTACCACCGGTCCTGCACAGATAGTTGGTCTACGATCGGGGAAGGGGCTTGGTCTGTGCCGAATCACCGTAGCAAGGCTTGGATAAATCAGTGGCATGCCAGATGCGCTATCGCGGGACGCTCAGCGCTGCTCTTGAGCAGGGGTTCCGCTAGTGGCGTGCAGATCGCTTGATCTCGCCAAAAAATCTCGAGACATCCAGGGTCGCATGCACGAATGTCCGTAAGGACTGCGTCACTGATCGTTTTAGAGAACAACTTGCTCCATGGTCTCAGTCATCTCTTCAATCGAATAACAACATGCACTAGATATCATGATAAACAAGTGGCGAGACCTATCGCCTTCTGTCGACCATTTCGCACCGTCGCTTCGCTGTACCCCCAATCTTGTCCTTCAGCTGCAGCCCTTCGTGGCCATCCTGAGACTCGAGTCGTGTGCAACACATACTTTGAGAGTATCCTTAAGAAATCTCTGGACAGTCATTTTGCTTGCACCGAATACGTAGTTTGATCCTGGTATGCTGTGCCGTAGGAAGTTTGCGCGACGACGCGTGGCTGGCACTTTTGGCGCGCTTTACTTAGGTGCTTGTGCCCACTTTGTTCTCTCGCGATACTTCGAGCCGTGAATTATATTATCCAAGTCCATCAAAATTTTCTCAACTCAGGGTTTCTTGAGCAGATCCCCGAGATCGATTGGTATATCCGTTTCGAATGGTTTGGAAGGCTGGGGGGAATGATGTGACTTTGTCAGAGACGAGAGTTCCTCCTCGTCTGGCACTTTTCTCTCAGAGATTCTTGAAGATGGGGTTTTCTTGAAAGCCGTAGCTGCTTGTGGCGGCCGAACAATATCATTGTTGGGTGGTCGGCTATCCCATGGCGCGGGAGTTTCTGAGCGGGTGTCGCCTTTCTGTGTGAAGAGACTGCGCAAGGTTCCTGCGCATGCAACAATGATGGCTGTGTAACTGTTAGAATCAAGCCACTCAGCCTAGCGCCAATCAACTCACCTGTATTCGCCTCAATGTGGGAGAGAAAGAGGAGGAGAGTGATCTGGAACATCCTGTCCCTGGCAATCCCGCGGGCGGCGATGATGACGCGAACAATGGCGACTAACATGGTAACGAGCTCAAAAGAGAAGATGGAATAGAGGATCATCTTCTGGCGCAACGCGAGTCGCATGTGGGAAAGTATAGCGAAAGGGATCGCAACAATGAGCGCATCGGTGATAACGTCAAACGCGGTCGCAAGAGTCAGTGCAATAGGTGTAAATCTGGAGACAGCGGGGTCGTGGTCACACTGGGACAGTCCCTTCTTGACCCAACAGTCGTACGGATTGAGCAGCCATCCGCCGAGATATGCGGCAATAGTAAGTATGAAGACGACAGTCCAGTATCGTTTCACAGCTGGCAAGGCGACGACACCGATGCGTCGGAAGAAGATCAGAAAAGATATCTTGATGGCCCACAGAACGTTGTAGAAGAAGAGTTGTGTAATCGGCCGGCTTAGGAAGACGCTTTTGTAGAAGGTCGTGGTATGCAGCACTGTGTTGTGTTTAGACGCCACAGTGACTTGCGCCGCCATCGGAATCTGAAAGTACGAATAAGAACATGGAAAAAGCAAAGCATTCAACAAAACTCACAGAGAGAATCCAGGCCAGGACAACGAACAGGTCGTCCCAGTAGAACTTCGAGAAGCGCCAATAGCGGGTATAGAGACGAGCGCCTAATGAAATGGTGGACAAAGCTGTCACCAGCCATGTGGTGACCTTCATCGAATCAGCAAAATCGAAAAAGAACCCTCACTTGCAAGACGTACCAGCAGTCCCTTCGTATAGGCTGGTGGCTCGGTCGACATGTCGTTGTAGCGGTTAGAGAGTGACACGTTCAAGATGAACACTAGACATTAATGAGGGATTCGAGTATCGAAGACACCGGTTAGACCCACACTCGCAATTATATTCACTCACGGCGTTCAGCAGGTAGGGCGTTCATTTGAAACTACCGGGATCGCTCGACCGGAAATGTAGTACAGTGAATCGCTCAATGTGGCAGGAAACGGCTTCTCCGTAGGCCGCGACCATGCCCCAGCTACAACAGAGCGGGCCTCCCTGCATCGAGGGTTGCCCGGGATCGAGAGCGCCGTTGCAGATGAGCCATGTTCAGTTAGGCGAGTCAGTCCGCACGTGGAGCGAGGCTGACGGACGAAGATGAATGCTGGGGTGTCAGGCGAAGGCGCAATCCGTACGCGAATGGCCTAGGCTAGATCGAGGAAGGTGTGCGCCGACCAGGGCAGGTACGGAAGGGAGGCCTTACATCGCCCTCCCCCATCAGACCTACGACCGTCCACTCTGGAGTCCGCCCTCTATCGCCGTCCGTGTCCAACTGCAGTCGCATCGCGCTCCCATCTCCGTTGCAGCGGGCACCAAGGATCCGCAGGCGCTCGTCTCGTCCTTCCCGTCGGAACAATTACACGTGCAGCGCAAACCCACGCCTCCTTCTCCCCTCGCGTTGCTATCACCCTTCTGTGCGATCCACTCAGTATACGTCTCTCTCTGCTCGCCGCCAGGAGAATCGCCCAATAGACGCGCGCTCTAAACGACCTTGCCCGCGCCGCTTCCGCATTGGGATCCAGTTTCGCCGCAGGATGCTAGCGCTGATTGACTGGTTGAACATCTAAAATGGCGCTAGCAACTTGAGATAAAGGGACTGCCGTCGTCGTGCTCTTTATGAATGACAGCGCTTCTTCGTCGTGTTTACCGCTTGCCCACAGCCTGCGGGCAAGTTTTGTAGAGAAGAAAAACAACTGAAACCCCTACAATCGGTACACAGGTGCTCTCAGGTCACTTGAAATACGCCCCGATGGCTTCGACCGCTTGTTCTATCCTGGTGTTACTGGCCACTTTGGTCGGTTACTTCTTCTTCAAGTTGAGAAAGAACCGTATGAAGATACGGCGACTCCAACAAGCTGGAATTGTGAGTTAGTACCCCGCGGTCAGTCAGCATGGCTAACATTCGATGCCAGGATATGCCCGCTGAACATAGCTTCGTCTGGGGTCATCTCCTGCAGATGGCCGAAGCCCAGAAATCATTCCCGGTCACGGCGAGCAATGACTACGGAATCGCAACTCTTGCTAAACCGTTCACAAACGGCATTTTCCTCATCGACACATGGCCTTTTAGTCTACCTCTTCTTGTCATCAGCACGCCCACTGCCGCTAATGCGTTACAAAAGTACAGTACCTCACTTCTCAAGCCAGCCGACGTCAACGGACCTCTGAACACGCTCTGCGCAGGGCCCAGCATGATGACTATGCCCGAGGATCAATGGAAACAGTGGAGGCTCTTGTTCAACCCCAGCTTTAGCATCACCTACCTCACACAATTGGCACCAACAGTTGCTAGCGAAGTGTCGATATTTTGTGAGAAGCTGAGGAGAGTGGCAAGAGAGGGCAAAGTCATTCGACTGGAACCCCTCGCTTCGCGGTTGACGATTGACGTAGTCGGGAGAATCTCTTTGTAGGTCCACACCAAGTATTCACAGATTACTTCCCAATCATTGGTCAATTCGATGCTAATTGCATAGCGGCGAACCTATGGGCCATCAACACCGAGATAACCCGATCGCTGCTACGATCCGGAGTCAAGCCAAGTGGATAAGCTTTTCTCCCATCGTTGAGCCCTGGACTGTGCTCAACCCGAAAAGGCCATTCATTCTGTGGAATAACAATCGTCTTTTCAAGAAACACATTGGCGCGGTTATCGACAAGCGATTCGCTGAGGCCAAAGCTGCCACACTGGAGAAGCCAAAGGCAAAAGCGTTACTCCCTGCAGCTCTCGAAAGCTACATCATCGACGCTCGTAGGAATGGTGTATCGCCTGATCATTTGGATCCCAGCTTCAAATCATCGCTGATAAGCAATTTGATTATCTTCATGGTGGCAGGTCATGAAACTTCAAGCACCACGATATGCATGTGCTTCAATACTCTGGCCATGAACCCCGAGTATTTGTCCCGCGTCAGGGCCGAGCATGACATAGTGTTCGGTACTGATGTATCGACGGCGCACATAATGAGCATTGTCCAGCAGGAGCCTGAACGTCTCAATCAACTACCTTATACCTTAGCCGTCATCAAGGAGACCTTAAGATTATATCCGCCAGTATCCGGTATTCGTATGGGCACCCCTGAGGTCAGCCTCCCTGACGACTCCGGCAAACTGTTCCCTACAGAAGGCGTCAAGATCTGGACAAACCATACTTCAATGCACATAAACGCAAAATACTGGCCAGAGGCCGAAAAATTCCTTCCAGAACGCTGGCTTGCGAAAGAAGGTGATCGCTTGTATCCTACGAAAGGGGCTTGGCGTCCATTTGAACAAGGAGGACGTAACTGTATCGGTCAAGCTCTAGCGCTCATTGAATTGAAGTTAGTCTTGGTGATGACCCTCAGAGAATTCGATTTCGAACCTGCATATGCTGCGGACGATGGCGAGATTTTTGGAAGCAAGGCCTGGATTGCTGGAAACCAGGGAGTTGGAGGGACACCAAATCAGGAGTATCCGGTTCGTGTTCGGTTTGCCAATCGGACCTAAGATCATCTTCGTTCACTTCCGCATGTGACGCAACACACCGAGGTTTGATATCCAAATACCCTTGTACTAGCATGACTGCGAAGGCTGATCTACACGATTATTCTACGCGACTCGCTTTCATCCGATGCCCGATGTTTATTGTAGATTGCGTCGCGTCCAGTTTTGGCGAAGTGCGAGTTGCCCATTGGCCCGTGTGGGCCATGAATTACAAGGTTCCCCAGGTCTTCTCTATTCGGAACCACTCTAAAAAGCACAGAAACAACATGTTCACCGACCGAAATATCTTTTATAGGAGTAATATGTGGAGACAGGTCAATGGCTACGCCGGAGTATTATATACCAGCACCATTCCAGGGCAGGCGCGCTCCTAAGTCCACAGGCGACACCCTCGATTCTTGCATTATACTGCCCCATATCCTGCGTGACTTGCCCCAATATGCGTTTTATCTTGCTGCCTGTAGCTCTTACAATAGGGCTTTCATCGGCAGCGACGCTCATTCCTAAAACCGTCTTCGACTCAACAAGCTCGCTCACGCAGTACTTTTCTTACAACTACCCTTGGGGTACCGACCACAACGGAGGCGCGCGAATGGCCGCTTCGCATGCGGTGATCTCCACAGCTGGTACCCTCACGTTGACTGCGGAAAAGGTCTCTGGCCAGCCACCAGCCACGCACGGTGGCAAGCAAATCCCTATCAACTACCTCTCCGGTGCAGTCTACGCGAAACAACATTTCACAATTCCCTCAGGCGGTGGCTTCGTCTTCAGCGGCAGCTTCCAGGCTACCACTGCAAAGGGGACATGGCCCGCTTTCTGGCTCACGGCTGTGAATGGCTGGCCACCAGAGATTGACATGGCGGAATGGAAGGGCAGTGGAAAGATCAGCTTCAACACTTTCAACACCAGCAGTGTATTGCAATGGAAAGACGTGGACTATGCTAGCCCTGGGAGCTTTCATAATATCAAGTGCCAGGTCAGGGACAGGGGTAACGGGAAGGATGCGCAGGTGAAGTACTTCTTGAACGATGTTGAGGTCACGACGCACTATGGGAAAGACTACATCGGAAAGCCGTTATATCTGTGAGTGCACTTGATCGTTGACGAAAGTAGCTATTCTGACCCCAGTAGGATCATCAATCTTCAGATGGAAGGGAGCAGCGGCACACCGGGGCCATCTTCGAGTAAGTCGCGGAGCAAACTTTGAGACCGCATCGCTAATGTGCACAGATACTGCGTACTCCATCCGCAATCTAGAAGTTACGACGATATGAGAGGGTGGGAAGGGAGATCAGAGAACAAATACTCTGTTTCTGCATCTCAGCTGCGATTCTTAGTCGACATCGCCCTTCTCAGTGTCTTATATCTTTTCAAATGTTTAGGAACTAGTCCATATCGAACCAGCGATGCTCTGCGTCGTTCATGTTGGGTGTCAGTACAGCATCGAGCCTCGCCTTGCCCGACGGACGCCCCCCACGTCTCAGGCGAACGTGATCCTGCAGTTGCCAAACATGCGGTCCGGTCTCCGTCTCGAATGCCGACCTGTGATTAGGTACTAGGCTGATCGATCGTGCTGACTGGCTAGAGGCTTCACATCATCGATAGAGCTTTCGAGCCACTGCCTTCCTTCTTTTCTCAGCTCACATCCTGCTAGGATCACGACATGGATAGCTTATGCATGCCTAGACGTCTCGTGCTCTTCGCGTGGCTCCTCCAAATTACGATCCCTTAACCCCAGAAAAATAAATTAACCGACCATTCCGGTTTTCCCGGAAAAACCTCCTGCACCCCGCGTTGCACAACAGATGTATGAACTTCCACCAACACAAATGCGGCTCTGCAATATGTGCGGAAATATTAACAAATCTTCACACCATTATCATCGGAGTTGCGTTTTGTACGCCGTAGTGCGCGAGCTGAACCTGAAAAGCCAAGGCCTACTGTTGGCTGGCTTGAGGCCTCAAACACACGCTGATTCGCGCAAAGATAGAAATTCAGGTTGCCTCGTGTCTTGGTGTAGTATCCGAAAGGGCCGTCTCGGAAAGCGTAGCGATGCACTGGGCCAGTGTTCATGGCTGTGAGACCAAGGGTTGTGTACTATAAAGAGTTCATTGAATATTACCTCCTTGTCCCATCAGCAATCTACCTCAAATTCTCTCATACAAACTCAAAATGTATACGATCGCTCTGCTTACCGCTGTCGCGGCTTTCTTCGAGGCTGCTTCCGCGCACGGTACGGTTCATCTGAGCTTTGCTTCACTCGGTGAGGTCTTGCTAATCCAGCGATAGGATTCGTTACAAGCGTTACTGATAATGGTGTCGTGACCAAGGGTTCTGATCCTGTCTGGTGGTACTATGTCCAGAATGGCCAGGCACGCCCCGTTACCGCTGGTTGGGATGCTCTCAACCAGGATAACGGTTTCGTTTCGCCAGATGCCTTCACCACCGCCGACATCAACTGCCATAAGAGCGCTCTAGCGGGTCAGGCTTACGTCAATGTCAACGCAGGGGACACCATCAACTTTGTCTGGAAGTAAGATACTACAATTCCCCAAGCCCCCTGAGGTACTGAAAGATACTCACAATATATAGCACCTGGCCCGACAGCCACAAGGGTCCAATCATCAACTACATCGCCCCATGCAACGGTAAGCTCTTCTTTCCGAAGGATAGACTGTACGGTGCTAAAATTGGCGTATCAGGCGAATGCACTTCTCTCAGTCCCTCATCCCTTAAGTGGTCCAAGATATCCCAGGCTGGCCTTATCACGCCCGGCGGCTCCGGTACCTGGGCTACGGACAACCTCATCAAGAATAGCTTCACCGCGTCGACAGTTGTACCCAAGAACCTCAAGGCTGGTAACTACGTCATTCGCCACGAAATCATTGCGCTCCATGGTGCGAGTAGCGACAATGGCGCCCAGATCTACCCGCAGTGCCTGAACCTTAAGGTCTCGGGAAGCGGTAGTGTTGCGCCTACCAGTGGTGTGGCTGGAACTTCACTGTACAAGAGGACCGACCCGGGAATCTTGTTCAACTTGTACACCAGCCCCACTTCGTACACGATTCCAGGCCCGGCGTTGTGGACTGCTGCAAACTAGAGGAATTTTGGCTCCTTAGATAGATGGTCAACGACTAGGATACTGATCAAAGAGCGGGTCCTGTTGGAAGGCTACTTGGAGAGTGATGATCATACCATCTAGCTAGATAAGAGACAAATAAATCCACATGGAACGATTACATCCGAACGAGACCAACTCGAGCAACCTTCTACGCAGTATGGTGCAAAGGGATTGACTACTCAAGCTACGATTATACGCTAACAGGCATGCCCGAGTACTGCTTCGGAAGTTGCCACTTGTCTCTTTGAAAGTCTTTTGGCAGGAGCATCTTCACCCAAGGTCCAATTCGTTGCCATGTAGGGGAGGTAAGAAGTGTAACGAGCATAGCCTCGAGCTTCAAGCCCCACGCGCTCTGGGGAAACAAAGCTTGAGGCATCCCAGGCATAAGCCGCTGGCACTGGTCTGAGAATGGCCGCAAGGTCGTGACGTAACGTTGAAGAGCAGCAGGGATGTCTGAGGGCGAGCTTGCTATCTCGCCAGCGAGTACGTATGAGCCGACAATGGCGAGCGAGGTTCCCTGGAGAGTTAGCCTGCTTTAAACAGGAGTATGGGAGAAGTTTCGGAGCCTACCATTCCGGAGAGCGGGGAGGGGCAATATCCTGCATCACCCAGCAGCGCAATCCTGCCCTTGGCAAAGCCTTCCTCGCCCATCTTCACTTGCACAATCTCTTGCATGTAGAAATCATCCGTTGTCTTCATGCTGTCCAAGACCCTTTGCGTCTCCCACCCCGCCCCTTCGAACTCCCTCGCTAACCAATTCTTCGCACCCTTTTCATCCCTCCTCTTTACAAGGTCTTGAATTTCACTGAAGCGCTTGAGGTCCCAGTCGACTACTCCCATGAAGACGCGTGTGTCGTTGTAGGGTGAAGGCCTTGTGCACAGAATCCGACCTCGCGTCGCCGGATACCACTGTGCCCAGTGGCTGTCACTTTTATTTCGTGGAATGGTGAAGAACGCCATGTACTCGCCTAAGCGGTGGAGGTAGTCGCCGTTTTGCGGTCCATGGCCGAATGCTAGGCGACGCGTCCGCGAGATCTGGCCGTCTGCACCGACGACGAGATCGTAATAAGCTTGCGGGAGATGGTTTGTAAATTTGACTTGGACCTTGTCTGCTTGCGAGTCTTGCACGAGGTCTTCGATGGTCTCGTCGAAAACATACTCGATGCCTTTCATGCCTTTTGTTGCGTCGTAAAAGATGTTTGCTAGATCGGCTCTAAGTATTTCGTACCTGATGTGATTAGCGTGCTCTCCAGGAACAAAGACAAGGGTTATATACTCGCTCGTGAAGCTTTGGTTCTTGTCGTCCCCAGTCGCTGCCATTCTGGCTTTCGACACACCGTCTGAGTACACAAACTCGAAGCCCACTTCCGTCGTGTTCTTGTCCCGTATCGCCTGTTCAAGGCCCATCGCTTTCATGACCTCGACTGCAGCGCCTCGTATGTCCACTGCTTGGCCTGATGTTCTTGGTTCAGGTGCGCGCTCAATGATTGTGATCTGGGCGTCGACATTTGCTTTGTACAGCCACCAGGCAAGACAGGAGCCTGCAATACCACCTCCAGATATGAGGATCTTAAGCGGTGCCATGTTGTTGTCTTGTGAGCGAGAAGAGATAGGATGGCCGAGATCGAGAAACCGAGATAAGAGTCACTGTGAAGGTATTGTGTCGGAAACTATCATAGATATACTCAAGGTTCCATCGCAGCGGTACAGCCCTTATATGCTGCATTAGTTCCAAAGTGGTGTCACTGCTGCCTCCTGACATTGATTGCATGTCGAGTTGTTGTCTCCGCCCCATGACGCGACTGTTTTCGGTATTATTCGGTCTCGGGCTTACAGTGGCGTGACTCTCCGACTAAGACCGAACGAGGAATACCGCCCAGATGGAGGAAACAACCCAATGAAAGGATGCGTTGAGCTCATCGTATAGTGAGCGATCGTTCGGGTATGCTTGCTATGATGCGCTTTCGATTGTCGGCGTCTCTTAGCTCAGGCGTTCTTTTGGAATCTCATACTTACGCAATGAGGTTTCTCTCGTACCTCGCTTAGGTTCCTCGCATTCTTCGCTTCGAACCAAACACCGAAAGCTAAACGCTTGGAGGTCACCACAAAAAAGTATAACGTTAGCTGCGCATCCCACCTTTAATTTCCTGCATGACGAAGTGCACTTTTAGCCGCTGGAAATGCGAATGAACAAGTATTGGATCGGTGATAGATCGTAGCCAAAAACCCATCTCAAACGTACTAATTCAAGCCGTCGAGGTTACACGCCTATCGAAAATGTACATAGAACCATCACACAATAAAAAGTCTCTTCTTTGGGCATTAACAATATTGTCTAAGATTATACTCTTGATATGCCTAAGGTCCTTCCCTAGCACTTGTATTTGACTAGTGTGATCTTTGAGCCTGCACAGCAATTGACCCAGCAATCCTGTTCTGATTCTCGTTCACGACAGCTATCCTTCACAGCAGATATCGAATCAGGTGTCTCAAGCCCTGGTATTCTCCGTCACGTTTGCGACATTTTCGCCGGCCAAAGGGTGCTTACCCGCCTCAGCTTCCTCAGCCTTAGGAGCAGGGGGTGTAAGGGGTGCAGGAGGGCCAGCAGGGTGTTCGACAACTGCAGCAGCCGTCTCGGCGGGCAAGACGTGCTCAACAGTGCTCGTGGCTTCGGAAACAACAGTTGCGTTTCCGACAGGGTGGATGGCCTCCGCTACACTCGTGTTCTGAGCAGCTGGCTCGTGGAGAAGAGACGCATTACCCTTCGCGGCCAATTCTTCCGCGGCCTTCTTCTTCTCTTCCTCCTCTTTCTTCACCTTCTCAGCTTCTGCTCGTGCAGCATCTTCTTCAGTTTTCTTCTTCCCGTCCTCCTCCTTTAATTTCTCGGCTTCGAGCCGTGCGGCTTCCTTCTCAGCGTTCTCCTTCTCCTTGGCAGCTTTGTCGGCAGCGGCCTTATCGGCAGCAGCTTCAGCCTCGAGCTTGGCCTTATGCTCTGCTTCAGCTTTCGCAGCAGCTAGAAGATTTTCAGTAATGATATCTCAGGGAACTGTGAAACCAGTGTACCTTCTTGGGCTGCTTTGTCTTTTGCCTGAGCTTCAGCGACGTGCATCGCTTCCATTTTGGCAGCGGCTACATCAAGAGTTAACGGAAGATATCGAAGTGCACCCGAAAAGCATCTACCTTCTTGGGCAGCCTTGTCTTTCGCTTCGGCCTCTGCGACATGCATAGCTTCCATCTTCGCGGCGGCTGTGGACGTTTAGCGGTCTGACAGATTGATATGGGACAACAGAACGAACCTTCCTGGTGCGCCTTCTCCCTAGCCTCAGCTTCAGCTACATGCATTGCCTCCATGGCGTCTGCCTGAGCTTTGTGATCCGCAGCTGGACGTAATCAATAAGGCGGTATAAGTGTGGGGACATGGGCCGCGTACCTGCTTTCTCCTCAGCAGCCTTCTGAGCTTCCGCATCGCCAGCACTGGGCGCCTCAGGTGTAATTGCGGGTGCCGGCGCAGGTGCGGGTGCAGTAGAGGCAACGGCACGTTCGTCATTACGATTGATTGGGAGCGGCCCGGCGACCACTAGAGACACGGAAAGGAGCGTGAGAAGAGAGTATGCAGTCTTCATAGTGTCGGCGATGGGGATGCAAAGCGATTGAAAAGTTTCAGGATAGAAAATAGATCGATGATGAAGAGAACGTGTCGAGCTCTGCTCTAAATAACCAAGTAACGCGCTGCGCAACGAATGTCAGATCAGAAGATCAAAGAAGAGAAAGAAAAGAAAGCTGAATAGGTTGATGGGAACTCTTAGTGATTGCATGCGAGAGCCGATATATACTCAAGCCAGAAAGCTCAGACCCAGGACATGTGAGTGTTCCAAGACTTGACGTCGTACCGTGGGCCATTTGATGGACTAGGAGTGTTTGGCGGAGAGTTTCCTGCGCGGCTAGTGCTGCCCGAGCGAGTGCCTAGAGACGGGTGAGGCGATAGCTGTTCACAGATGTTGCAGAGGAAGGCAAGCGTATTGGTCGAAATGTGCGAGTATCGAATACTCGACCAATTAAGTCGCGCGCGCAGAAAATAATAATATCAGCATACAAACGAATATTCGGGCCTATCGACTTCTTGGCCGAACAGGAGTCGTTAGAAATGTCGTAGCCAAGCTAGCCACGGGAGGAACGACATCCCTCTGACAGTCCCGAAATGGGGCTGTGGCGCGGATAGCCGGACTGATGAAGCGTGTCGCGTCTCGAAAATCCTTTTCAGGGACTGCGACGGCTGAGCACTAGAGGCACGTCCACTTTTGAACACAAGAATGTATACATGGAAACCTGTGTTTGTTCTCGGCGGTATCATAGGAGATGACGGATGTTGGACGCCGTTTCATTGGAAGCTAAATCTAGCTCGGTCGTGTTGGTTTCCGAGGACACTATGTGGTTGTTGCGGAGTGCAGAGCCGTAGGCTGTAGCAAGATTGCCTGCAGCTGTAGAAAGGCTGAATACCGAGCTCTCCATTTGATAAAAATTTGTGTGTGTCTTGAGGCACGGTACCTGGGGTATTTGGGGAAGCTATGGGGACCGTTGAACGCGCTGCCTCTGGCTTGTATTAGCAGTCAGATGTTGCCAGAGGACACAGCGTACTGATAGCGAAGAGCGACGATCGACCAGAGGCCAAGTTGGACGCAACGCAGAACAGAGGCAACAATGATTATGAACCAGCCAGGATAGGAGGCGGCCCTGACCAGTCGGATCGAAGGCTGCTCAGTCGCTATAGATGAGCCATACAAGCCGTCGGCAAATGAATGGACAGAGAGGCATCTGAGATATCTTCTTGATCACATCTAGCACCTTCAGCCTTGGTTGCTGGCCATTGTCGCGCCACGACGAGGTCCCGCAATGCGCTAACCGAAGGAAACACTACCGATGATCTTCTCCCCTTGGATCTGCATGCGAGTCGTCTACTATCGCAACATCAAATTCCTACTTTCCCCAACTGTGTAATCTTCCGGTCTCGATAAAGTTTCTGCGCATCGCTTTTCTCTTCTAGTAAACCTTCGCAGCTTGACTTTGCGCCGTTCCCCGCCCAGTTAGTGCGACGCCAGGCCTGGGCCGGCTTCACTGACATGAGGGCCGGCCTAGCACCAGGCCAGCGCCGAATCTTCAACAGGCTACGTGACTCGCCCGATGGCGTGGACTCGGTAACTCCGTCCGCAATTCTTCGACTTTCGAACTGCGTAAACGCGCACCGTCAGTCCGCCACAAGCCACCATGCCTCCCGCTTCTGCCGGCCAGACCACGACAGCGGGACCACTCCGGGTGCGAGTGCACGTGGAGAAGATCATTTCGCGGTACTACTGCAATTCAATGATTTTCCAACGGCGTTCACGCAGTGACTGGACCCATCGCTCGTGGCCCCCTGTCTGCGTGCGATTCAGGCCATGTTGACTACAACACCTGTTCACAGTGCGTCTGCGCGACGTTTCACAGGCATTTCTGGGCGGACGCAGTTCATTGGCATGTGTCCTGGGTCAAAATTCCATCCAAAGTTAACGAAAGCTTGCGGAGATTGGCTTCCATGCGATGCCCACTATCAGCTTGCGTCTTCCAAAAGTGGGTCTCGAGCCTGGCTCGGCTGCCTCCAAACATACAACCAACTGGGCTTCCTGTACGCAGGCTACTGACGGAAGTAGAAGCATCTGAACTCTCGAAGGGTGCTATCTCTGCCCTAATGAAGATGTTCTGGGTGGCCTTGGGAGGCGCATGGTCCTGGTCGGCGAAACATGTGGCCGAGCAGGTTGTAGCAACTGTTCCACCAAGGCTATTTACTCTCGGTGTGTTCGCTACCAAGGACGTGACTTCCAGATGCGGTCTTGGTGTGAGAAAGCTGACAACGCAGTGTCAATGCGTTCGACCGCGTATTTGTCTATGGACTAGTTGCACCCGGCCCAAAAGTTCACGAGCCCAAGCTGCGATCTCCTCCGAGGCGTGTATGGCACGCGCCTAACGAGATGGCCCCAGGCGTTCTCTGTGAGCCAGTACGCACGATAAGATTGTTGAGTACACAGCCACGGGACGTTCACGTTCGTCCTTCTGTCTGCACAAGTATCGTCGTAATTCCCATTCAAATACCCGCTCACTTACACTCGTGGACGACATGGTCCTGCGAGCGATTGGCATGGGTAGATCAGGATTTGCTGAAGTACCGGGTTATTGACACGCTGCTGTCACGAAGTTGCAGCAAGCACAATTGATTTACATGCCTCCGCTTGGTTGCTGATCCACCAGAAAGATAATTCCCGTTCTTCAGGGATCTCTGGTGCAACCGGTGCATGGAAGCTGTCACACGGACTTGTGGTCGTCCTAGGATGCACCTAGAAGCGGCCCCATCTCGTCAAAAGGCACGCAAGCACTGACGGCTAGCGTTGAGCGGGGCAGCGGCTGAGCAAACCTTATGTGTGAACATTTACAAGGGACGTGCTCCCTAGTAAGCTGCCCCTTCTCGGTACCTGTCTATTCGTCCAATAATTCCATAGCCCGTGGCGATTGAGGCTAGTGGTATCTCGGAGATCCAGGGCCAGAACGTGGTAGGCTGTCGGTCGCGCGCGCGCGAAACAATGCCACACGCAAGCTGCACATTCAAAAAGATTCCAAGTCCCGAGCCCACTTGACCATCCTTTGCGTCTCCTTGTTCACTTTTTGACTTGCTGAGGCAAGTTTTCCTAATCATGGCTCCCACGAAGACTCTCGAGCTGTGCAACAAGGTTACTACGCAAGGCAACAGCATCTCCATACGTATGTTGGAGTATCTGTCCTCGGCCAAGAATCCCGTCCACGGTGTCCAAACCCTCGCAACCGAATTTCTCGAGCTAAGCCGCCTTATCTGGTCAATCGAAGCTGGCTTGACAGAATCCTCCCACAAGCGCAATGCCATCCCTGCTGAGGTCACCCAAGAACTCGACAAGCAGTTCCGTAGGATCAATGATGAGTTCATCGTTGTCAATCAGATGATGCTCAAATTCTTGGACAACGAGAACAAGAAGGGCGGATTCGGCAGAGCCTTCCGCATGATGTTCGCAGACACAGACGTGGACAAGATTCGAAACACGTTGATGAAGAGCCGTGACCAATTGAAGATGAGCTCTGCCATGTTCCGGTGGTCGCTCGGAGATGCTAAAGCTGATTCGCAAATGGGCATCGGGTACACTGGATTGATCGCAGCTCTCGAGCGTCTCAATCCAGGCAGGAGCAATATCCTTCTGCCTATGCAACCACCACCAAATTCTTCGCCGCCTGATGTCCCGTCAAAGCAACCCTCCGTGCAGGCTTTTTCGATTGATCACAGGTCGATAGACCATGGGTCTATACAACGAGCACCGCTCGGTGGTATCGACCGTGTCCCGTCGCACAATGAATTGCCACGCCCTCATACGCCGCTACGAGACCGTCCATCGATCCACGATTTCCGCAGGGATGACAAGAGAGAAGACTCCGGTATTGCGTCCGGTATAACTGATATCCAAAATCACTGGCGCGCACCCAGCGTGAGATCGAGCACCTCCGTCCGCGACACTATGTATCAGCATAATGGCCAATACCATGGACAGCCCGGCTACGGGGAACACTCATCAGACGACTCAGTCAGATCTCGCGCCTACATCGACGACGATATGCACCACCTCTCGATCCAAGAACGTTACTCTCACGAACAAGCACATTCGAGACAGTCAGATGGCCCGATGGGCTCGAATGGGCAGTGGGCCCCCAGACAACAAAACGGCTCCATGCAGTCGGGTGGAAAGGGTGCTCTCGCTGACGCCGTGTACCAAAAAAAGCATCGCATTCTTGAACAAATGCTTGAAGGTGGCGCTAGAGCAGACCCACGTCTGGAAGCTAATATGTTACGTACAGCAGTACAGAATCGCGACGCTGACAGCCTCGCCTTACTTCTGAGGTACGGTGCAAATGCCGATGGACTAGATAAGGACGATGTCACGCCTCTGCTCGCGGCAGTCGAGACTTCATTCTATGAAGGAGCGAAGCTACTCCTGAAGGCCGGGGCCGACCCCAATCTGTCCGCAGGGTCCGAATCCGAATCTTCCTTCTGTAAGGCCGCTTGCGACAACCGCATTGATCTGGTCCAACTGATGCTTGCGCACGGCGGAGATCCGGGTCTCATTATGGAGAACGGCAATACGGCACTGGTTCAGTGCATGAACAAGACAGTGTCGCCCAGACTGGTGGAGCTTTTGTTGAAGTCCGGTGGTGATGCCAACGCGAAGAATGGTGAGGGCACCACTGCGCTATTCCAGGCAATTCAAGCCAATCGAGTGGATCTGATGACGGTGTTGCTCGACAATGGTGCCAACCCTAACCTGCCTGGGCCCAAACATCCACTTTGGCCCTCGACCTACAAGCCAAAGGCTCTCCAGCTTATGCTTGCTCGCGGTGCTGACTGCAAGAAGACCCCTGGTATCATGGAGCTTGCATCAAGTCTCAAGAAGCTCGAGTCCATTCAAATTCTCATGCAATCCGGTGTCTCACCTAATGTCAGAAAAGACGGGATCTACACGCCTCTTTGCTCAGCGATCCGAGATAACAGCGCGGACATTGTTACCTACCTTCTCGAACATGGCGCCGACCCGAACCTCAATGCTGCCGAATATCCAGCCTTCAAATGCATCACACACAACCGCGTACACTTCCTGCCGCAGCTCCTAGCAGCAGGCGTCGACTTACGCAAGCCCAAGGGCATCATAGAAACTGCTGTTGCGCATAATAACAAGGATGCTCTGTTGTGGCTACTCGAACAAGGCGTGTCTCCTAACGACCGCAGTCCCGAAGGAAACACGCCGCTCACTACAGCTATCCGTGACGAACGCATCGAGATGGTGGACCTGCTTCTCGCCAATGGAGCCGATCCGGCCATCCGCGGTGCAGACTGGCCTCTCTGCATGGCTGTGAAGCATCCTGCTATCCTCAAGAAACTTCTTGCTGCTACGCCAAACCCCCGCGCCTTCCGCGGTATCATCGAGATGGCTGTCGTCGCTAACCAGTTGGAAAGCATCAAGATGCTTCTTTCCGCCGGTATCAGTGTAGAGGACAAGAACTGTGGAGTGTTCTCGCCACTCACGACGGCTATTCGTGAACGCCACAAGCACATCGTCCGTTACTTGCTTGATGAAGCCAACGCGGACCCGAACGCGCCGGGCGAGCACCTGCCCCTTGTCAAAGCTCTCCGCAGATTATTGCCCGGCGACACCGAGATCCTGCAAATGTTGCTTACGCGTGGCGCCGATATCAACAAGATGCACCGCGGATGGAACGCCATCCTGCAAGCCGTTGAGAACGGCGATGCCGACATCCTGCGCATGCTCATCGAGAAGGGTGGTTCTGTGGACCTCCAGGCAATCAATGAAGACGGTCGTCCCGTCATCGACCTTGTTTCAGAGCGAGGCTGGGAGGAGGGATTGGCGCTACTGTTCCCTAATGCGCAGACAAAGCAGAAGCAGTAGGTACATCGTACGCACAACCCGATTTTTCTTTTTGCATGCATCAGTGACCTGATGCTGACCAAAAGCAGCAGTCGGAGCTTGTCATTGAGCAGTTGGCGCTGGATCACTGATGCAGTCGCCAAAGATTACGAAGGCAAGGTCATGGACGAAGATGACTGCAGGAGCCAGTCTAGTGGCCCATTGCCGGAGTCGAAAGAACAAAGAAAATCAAGGCAGCTGGAGGCTTTGTGAGATACTGGAATGGGTGTAATAGTAATGTCTGGTGGATTGATTTGGCGTTGGAGGCTGTGTGTTCTAGCTCGATATCCCCCTACGTTTTCCTTTGTTACGATCGCAGCATTTTCCCCTTGACACAATGTACGTGCGCCACAACTCTGTACAGCATATACGTTACGCATATTGCAAAGAAAATTGTCCTCGTCATAGCCCGCGTGCTCACCTGTCAAAACGTTTGTTTCTTAATATCATTATCGCCAGTGACATTGACATCTCCGGCAGTCAGAAATATCAGGACTTGAAAGACAGCTAGTCGTCCGGACCTACCATTTACGGTAAAAGGGTGGCCTGTCGTGCTGTGAAAGAGTCCTGTCTTAGTTCCATCGGCTGTGCTTTCCCGGTGAACGTGTCACCGCCCCTCAAACCGCTTGATGTCACCTAGCGATATTACTTCTCATCATTAGCTATGCGTCCGCAGAGTAGACTGCCAACCGTGCCCCCGCACACATAGGCCTCCCTGATCCCCAAAGCAATTCCATGTTTCCAATCGCACCAGCCCAAGGTTTTCGCTACAGCCTGCTCAAGCGTCGTTTCGTCCCTTGCCCAGGATTACGCGATGGATCATGCAATCTCGCTACACGTAGATCGTAAAGTTAATCGCTCCTTCCCTGCAACACGGAGATAAAAGCCGTAAGCGAGAACAAAGACTTTCGTACGGATCCGAGCAGGGAACGTGTGTAGATGTGGCGTTCGAGTGGCATTGCCTGTTGGTGGCGTTACGAGAGTGGCTCAATACATCGCGGGGATATTTCATGGTAAAAGACGATGTGGCTTGCAGTAGTCAATGACGCTTGGAATGGTTCTTTGTCCATGAACGCATCCGACCACAGGGAAGCGAAGTAACAGCATGGGTGCGCACGGCTAGGTGATGATTACTCGATGCAGATAGACGTCCTGTTGCCGAGGAGGGCAATTTGCTGTCGCCGCTTGCAGGCTCCGTCGTGAGACCAAACGCCTATTCTTCACTATGGCCCTTAGAGCTTGACTGTCAGTGAGCAAACCAGCTCCTGAGCTTCGCACAAGTGTACACCTTCATTCTTGCCAGTCTGGTGGTTGCCTTGTATAGCGAGTCTGGTGCACGAAGCTTTGAAATAGCCGTGACTGGTGCTTTGGACGATGTTGATATCACCCTGTCTAACGCGGGGAAGGAATCGATATCAAGCAACATTTGAGATAAGATCTGTTCGCGGGAGTAAAACATCCAAAAGCTTATGCATCGATCTTACAACCTCGAGCTCTGGCGGTATTGCTCTTCTCGGGTAATTGAACCACGATCCCGACTCCCCGCATGACCAGGTGCGTACCTGCATATTGATATCTTCGTCGTGAACAATTTGTCGCTTGAACGCGCTATGTAGAACCATCGCATGTGTTGTGCCTTCATCGTCATTTGAGACATTGTTTTGAGTGGTGAACAATGTCCTTATGGTTGACACATGTCTTATATAGCCTTCATCTTCGATCTCTGGTCCTCGTTTAAGAACGCAATCAGAACCTCTTCCGTAAGCATAAAGTCCACAAGAACAGAACTTCCATAGTAGTCATGTCGACAGATCCGCGGCAAGTCTTACAAGAGCGAGTGGCTGCCATTCTCGTGGACGCGGAAGAGCAGGGCATTGAGCAACGCGATATACTCCCCTTGCAAGTGCATGGTCACTTCCGAAATCTTCTGCGAATCGCAAATAACCGCATCTCCGCGCTCGAGGATGAGGCTGAAGAGATGAAGAAGAAGAAGGACCTAGGCCTAGAAGACAAGCTAAACCAAGCTCAACGGAAGCTTGAAACTATGGATATTCCCGAAGATTCAAAGCAGCTGCAGGTTCAGCTCGATCTAACGAAGCAGTCTGCAGACTTCTACCGTGGCTTGATGAACCAAGCTGAAGAGAGGGCCACCATGTACCAAGAGAAGTGGCAAGAGATTCTTCGGAAGCAGACCGCTGCTGAAGAAGCTGATAAAAGGATCGACCGTTTAGAGACGGAGAACCGCGAACTACAACAGTCGAAGACCATGATTTCCGAAGAGATGCGCAAGATGAAGGACCTTTACGGTAACCTTCGCAAGAAGGATCTTGCCGCAATCGAACAGAAGGAGGAACGGCTCATGGCTTCAGAAAGGCAGCTCAAGGAGTTGACTATCAAGCTCGAAGAACTCGAAAAGGAGAACTCTGCTGTAGAGGGTCAATATCAGGTCGTGATGTCCTCGCTGGACGCGGTCGTCACTGAAACAACTAACGATCTGAACACCACCAAAGAACACGCTCGTGCTGTCCAGCAGCAACAGAGCTCAACCTTCTCCGAGATCCAGCCACTGCGCAAGTTTTACAGCCATGCAAACGATATCCTCAGCATCTACCAGGGGATATTCAAGCAATTGCTCAACGACATAGAGCCTGATGTCACATTCTCATCTGACTTCTGTGAGATGGTCACCGCTCGCCTGCAGGCCGCTTCCGGAGAGTGCGAAGCCTTTCTTACTGTACGAGCACTGCTTACGGATGAAGGTGTATCGGAGACTGAGCACTCGGAGCAACTGGACGATCTTGCAAAGACTGCGCAACACATGCACAAGAGCCTGGAACTTATTGGCGAAGATGTAGCACACTTCCTCTGGGCACTCCAACGTCGCCCCTATCTTCGAAAGTTGATCCGCATGAAGTTCAGCGTATTGCGCTAATCGAAAAAAAAAAACCAAGGCAAATATTCTCTGAAGGTTTTTTGGATGCAGTAGGTTAGTGATGAATTGAACTCAAGCATCGACAAGTCACGAAGTACATAGACTTGTTTGGTAATTTCTACCGAAAGCGGGGGCACGACTTAGCAGTCATATGCAATTCAATTCTCAAGTCGTCTTCTTATAGTAACATGTCAAATTCCTTAGTACGTACAGCGTTCTGTAGCCAGTCAGTCCAAACTCCGTTCTCCAAGATCTCTCTCGTGGCACATGCATATAGTTCAAGGTATGTCGTCGGTGAATCCCACGATAGATTTGAGCGTGTGACTTGTGTCACTATGCGCTTGCCCTAGGCTTCCAGCTTGTTTCTCTCATTGTGTGTTTATACTGTTGTTCTAACGTTCATCCACGCGTAACGGAACAACCGCCGTAACGGAACAAACTAGAGGTACTTCGAATTCGAAACCACAGAACTTCTCCACGAGTCTTCAACTTTACTATGTCTACCTTATATTGCATGCTTAGATATTTCTAAAGCGCCATAATTCTACTTAAATAAATATTACGCTTGCGCGGACGCGTTGCTATATAGTTCGCAGAGAGTGTTATTTTCCACTGTCACGAGAGCAACGAGTAGAGACGTCTGCGGCCTAGTAGGCTAGACTGATATTACTGCGTTCGGTATCTACGTGTAGGGACAAGACGTTGGATAAGGAGAAAAGGTCCTCTTCCCCTTAGCCAACGTGGATCTATCATCTCGCTTCGTCGCGTGCCCTTACCAAGGGGAACTAGCGCCATAATTCGACCAATCAGCTAGCAGACGGGCCACCCGTGTGCTATTCTATTGGCTGGCTGCCAGCGCGCGATACCTCTGAGATATACTGCTGCCAGCAGTATATCCATGCTTGTCAGGTAGCCTGGGGTTACCGTGACAGCGAACTACAGTACTTTGGCTATGCTACTTCTGTGCTACGTTTAGCCAGCCGCTTTAGGGACAATCTGCTTGCCACACCTCTCTTGCTAGGTATTCTGCTTGCTAAGTTCCTTCACCTCTAACTGCCATGTTGCAAGAGTTTCGTGAGATGATATAGTAAAGGGATGTTGAGGACCCAAAACTACTGTCCGCAGCCTGCAGCAGTTCTCCATCAGTGGGATCGCTTTATTTCTAAGTCCCTGACCCTTCAATGTAACCGCGAGATTGTTCATGCTGGTCAGCGTGTCTGGATGCTCCTCCCCAAGCACTCTCTTGAACGTCTCCATCGCTTGCACCTCCAGCTCTTCAGCCTCCTTCCACCGGCCTTGATTCC